GTTCGGTGCGGGAACGATGTAGTGTGCGGTTGACGCGATTGTGTGGTCCTTGACGGCCTGGAAGATGTAGCGAAATCCCTGAGCCTCGCCTGGAGAGAGGCGTCCAGTCATCAGCTTCCATGATGGCACCATAGCAGTCAACGGCTGGGGGTGGAGGAGTGCCGAATTCGTACCCACGTAGATGTGCGTCTCGCCTCCGCGAGCACCCGCTGAGGTGTGCTCGACAATGTTTCTGTAGCCGGTGACATTCGATTCCAAGTCTTCCATCTCCGCGCTTGGGTTGTCGCGCGAGACCTGAGGACTTTGGGCTGGACTCGAGACTGAATCGCCGCCACCCAGGTTGCTCACAGATCTATGCGCGCGTGGCGACCCCGAGGATGGTTGGGGAGGTCCTGCAGACCCGTCAACACTCCCACCCGCAGGTGCTCGACTGCGCCGAGGGCCTTTGTGCTTGCCCCGGGCAGAGACGTGCAAGACGCATTCGATGGCATCTTGCTGGCAATTGGCACATGGGCGGCCACTCGAGACGACATTACAGCGGACCTTTCGGGCGTGGCAGGCACTGCAAGCAGCAGGCGCCCTCTTCCGTAGAGGCGTGACAGATCTTCCCTGGGAACTGAAGGATATAATGCCTGACATGGCGTCTCGGGTGACCCTGGCAGTGTCACAGCGCATGCTGGGACGGTGGACGGCTCAGGCGTGGTCAAGGGGGAGCGTGGGGGGACCCTGGGATATTGTGGGGAATCTTGGGGCTCGGCTACCGGCTATGGTCTCGGCTAAACTACATTAGGTAATTTCCTCGGCTTTATTCCTCCAACCCCCTCACGCTTATAGAGCCTTCTCACTGGCTCCATCACATCCGCTCTCTATTTGCGAACATAGCTGACATTGGCCGCCTTGGCCGCCGCGTCCAGGTTGTACTGTCCGTACCAGGTCGGCTGGGTTTCCGTCAATGGGCCTTCCACCTCAGTGGCTACCGAGCCGATGAGCGTGAGGCCTTTGCCGTTGTGTGCAGGGTCGCTGGCCAGCCACAGTGCTGCCCTGGCCACGTACTCGGGGCTCTGCAAAGGTATGCCCAGGGACCTGAAAGAGTTGCGGGCACTTTCGTCCAGCATGCCAGTCTCTGTGAGCGCCCGAGTAAGCAAGAGTCCGCTGGTAGGGGACCGTGTTTGGTTTACCTGTTCCGCCGGGAGCGATCAAGGCCACGCTGACTCCTTGCTTGGGCGCCTCGTGTCGGAGAGCTCTCATCAGTCCAGCCACCTGTGAGGGTGGACGGTAGGGATTAGCCATTTTCTCAGCCAATTGAGAACGACCTGCTCGCTTACCCCATGTTTTGCTGCTGAATACAAGGGCAGATTCGGTCTCTCGTTATACCCCGACGTTGAGCACGTCATGACCAGGCTGCCTCCAGGCGGTGAGTTCTTCTGAAACCAGAACAAGGCGCACTTTGTCGCTGTAGACACCCATTAACCAGACACTCCCGGCGTGAAGAGTGGGAGGCCAGACTCACTCAAGGCCACAGACTTGAGGTTGACATCGATCACCACCATCGACGGTTCCGCGAGCTCGCCGTTTTCATCATAGACGTGCTCAAACGCGTTCTTGGTCTCGGGGATCCCCGCGTTGGCGAACACCAAGTCCACATGACCGTACTTTGAATGGGCGAATTTGAACAAGCCCAGTAGTTCTGTCCAAACCAAGACGTCGGTCTTCACAAAGTCGACATTTCTGGATGATGCCGGAACTGTCAGTCTTCCCGCGCCTTGAATCGGTGGCCTCGCCGACAAGGTAGGGGTGTGCTATCTTACGAGCCCAATTCGGCGGCCAGTTTTTCGCCAGCAGACGTGTTGACATCGCCAAATACGACCGACGCTCCTTTCCGATGGAGCAATTCCACCAGGGCTTTTCCAATGCCACTGGCACCTCCTGCTGGTCGGTGAGTGTCGTCGCTCTGGCATCACAGTTCAGGGACAATGAATTACCGGTGACAATTCCCACTTTGCCCTTGACATCCTTGATGCCGGCTTCATCGACGACGACCTCTGTCATGTTCAAGAAAAAGTCCTTATCAGTTGAACTATCGTGGTTGGAAGTGCAGGCACGCTTTTTTGAGTCAGTCTTTGTCCTTCCCCCCCCATCATCTCCTCCTCGGCTTCATCCTGTCTCAGGTGAGTGGCATCTCCGAGGTGCTCATAGTTCTAACCCCCACAGCGTCTTTTCGAAAGCGACTATTCGTGACCCCAGATCCCCACAGCCTCCTCTTTTTGTACGTTCTTACCCCATGGAGATTCACTGATCGTACCGTCGTCTCGCTTACAACTAACAAAGGACAATGCCCTTCTTCACTTACCCAAAGTGGACATCACCTCGGAACGTCCATGCTCTAAGTTTCACGGTCAACGCCATGAACGAGGATGGTCTCTTGTTAGCTGAATCAAGCAGCTTTCTTCTATTGGGTGACATCTACCCCAGAAGTCCGGATCTTGTTTCCCAACGAGCCCGAGGAGAAGATGGGCTCCGAGGCTTTCTATCATGTCCCCTACTCGGCTCATCAGCCTGAGACTCCCGCGTGGCTAAGATTGAACTGAAGTAAGGGTATGGATGGTGGTGGAATCTAGACCGTTGCTGTTGACTTGATAAACGAGCCAGTCGCCTCATCCTATCCTCCATTCACCCCTTCCACTGCTTCTCCCAACGTTCGAGTCGCAAACCCTCCTTGCATCTTGCGAGATTGTCGTACATCATGGAGACATACTCAAACTACAACACTTTTGTAAGGAATTGCTTTTCTCAGAGGGTGTAGGGATTTGTTGTGCCAGGCTAACAACTGGAAACACAGGTCGTTCTCTTTGCCGCCGTCGGCTCGTTGGTAACGGGCTATGGCATGGCTGTCATCGGCAACACCCTGGGTCAACCTACCTTCTATTCCGCCATGAATCTGGTCCAGGATCCCACCGCGCCAGGCTATGACTACACCGGGACCATCATTGGTGCCGCAAACGGAACCTTCTTCGGCGCAGGGTTCATCGGATGTCTCTTGTCGGCTTGGATGGTGGACTACTGGGGCCGTGTTGGCACTTTCCGCACTTCTGCCCTCATTGGAATCATCGGTGGTGCCGTTCAGGGCGGCGCGGTCAATCCTGGCATGGTCAGTTGAGATGCTTGATGCTCGCTATACTTGAAAGCACTCTGTACTGAAAAGAATCTCGACAGTACCTGGCTGGCCGAGTTCTGACAGGGATTCCAGTTGGAATGCTTCTTGCAGGGATGCCAATCTACTTTTCAGAGGTGGCTCCGCCTCACTCGCGCGGACTCATGGCTGGTGCTCATGGGACATTCATCAACTTGGGCTACGCTCTCGCAGCTTGGATTGGGTCAGTCGGCTCCAAGGTATTCGTCTCAAAAGGCTTCCTAGCTCACGAAAAGATGTGTGTAGCTTCGGCTGCTTTTACTCTGCAGCTTCGACCTTTGGCTGGCGGTTCCCCAACGCAGTGTTCGCCTTATGGGCTTTACTCCTGCTTATTGGCACCCTGCAAAGTACGTGGATTGTCGAAGGGCTCCTCTGACCGCTTCAACGAACGATTGCACTAACCTCTCCCCACAGTTCCCGAAAGTCCTCGCTGGCTGGTGCAGATGGGCCGCAATGACCAAGCACTGAAGATCCTCTGTCGTCTGCACCATGATCCAAACGACGCCGAAGACACCTTTGCCCACCGCGAACTCGAGCTCGTCGTGCAAAAGACCGAATCTGACCGCGCTGCCAAAGCCTCGGGGGGTCGCTGGCAGCTTCTCACCAAGAAGACATACCGCACGAGATTCATCCTGGCCCTGATCCTGGCCACGGGCGGCCAGAATTGCGGCATCCTGGTCATCAACAACTACAACGTCCTGCTCTATCAGTCGCTCGGCCTGACGGGTTCGATGTCGCTCATGATCGCTGCGGTGTGGAGTACTGTCGCCCTGATCGCGAACGCGGTGGGTGCCTGGACGTCTGATCGCACCGGAAGGCGTCCTGCGTTGGGTAAGTCGTGGAGTTCTGCAACCCCGTGCGAAGAGCAAAGTCGTCGTGTCTCGGAAGCCCGTCTCTGACCAGCGGACAGTCTGGGGCTTCACGTTCACCGTGGGCTGCTTCATCGTGGCTACGGGACTTATCGGCAAATACAGCAGCACTCCTACGAAGGGATATGCGACGGCATCAGTCTTCTTCTTATTTCTCTATGTTGCTGGGTGAGTTGACAGCCCCGTCCCCAGAGGGATGCCCTTTCCGCTACGGACTAACTCTCCTCGACCAGGTACGGCTCCATGATCGACGTGAATCAATTCACCGTCATTTCGGAAATCTTCCCTTCGCACCTTCGTGGAGAAGCGGCGTCTATCAGCATCGGCTCGCTGTTACTGGTGGACGTGCTCTGGCTCGAGTTACAGCCGGTGGCCTCACGAACCATCGGCTGGAAGTACTATCTGGTCTTCGCCGCCATGGGCATCGCCCACACTGTGTATCTTTATTTCTTTTTGCCAGAGGTACGTTACCGACTTCCTTTTTCCCGACGACATCCCCACTGCCTCACTCTTTTCCGTCGCCAATGGCTCGAACGCAAGGTGCCCATGGCTGAAATGTGGAGCTAGACCTCTGGCGTGGCCCTCGAGGAGCTGGACCGGATCTTTGGAGACTCGGCCGTGGTCGACTTCACGCTGCACGATCGTGGAGATGTCGCTATCGTCTCGACCACGACGACGCAGGACAAGTTTGCGGACAAGCCCGGCCAAGTTACGCACAGCAAAGGTTCGGAACGACACCTCGAATCGGTCTCAAAAGCGTGAGCGCCGGACGAGGTGCAGTGCATGGAGCTGAACAACAGGGAGATTAGGTGAGCTGGGTCGTGGAGAAGAGAATGAGCACTGTTGCCGACGACGACGTGCGCCAGGCTAGTCAACCGTGGATAAACGAAGAGAGAAAGACAGACTTCTATTCTCGCCAACACAAATACGGAGAGCGTGGTTGATAGAGTTCGCTTGCTGGCTATGGATTTATGGATGTCCATATGTATGTATGTATGTATGGTCTTTACCGTAGCTGAGCACGCTTGAGCTATTCACCCTTCTATATGGATTCCCTTCCCACTTCTCTTTCGCTAGGACCCTAGTCGAACGCCTTGGACTAGCGGGTGGTGGATTCTTTTTCAATTCCCTCAATAATCGTATGAACCAGGTAGTTAGAAGGTTGAGGACCGCTGTGGGATTCCTCATGGTCGTTTACTGAGCTACAACTCCGCCCTCAGCCTCGTCTGGCGTTTCAGTAGGATAGTCTTAACGAACCGCAATCGTCGACCGCTTCTTATCCTAGCTCCACATCAGTCTGGTGCCATGGCAACAGGTATGCAGCTCATTCAATCCCCCATCCCGCCCGCTCCTCTCCGAAAGTCCAGCGATACAGAGATGCCAGTACCCTTCAGCCTGCCTCGTCTCTCCGCCGGCGCCTGAGACACGAGCATTCCATAAATAGCTGGACTGTAAAGTATGCCGGGATCCAGAACGTAACTACCACCACCACCAGTAATATCTGAGCCCACAGCGGCCAGTCTAGGTAGTTCGCGGCTGATCGACGTATAATTTCGTGGTGAGGACCGGCGTCAAACCCAGGCACGGGGGCCATTTCAGTCAATAGCTTTTGCGGAGGGTGTTGATTCGTGGCCTGGGACTATGAAGTAATTACTAAAGAAGATTGTTAGATCAGGATCCTATCTCGCGGTTTGTGGAGCAGCAATTACTGTATTTGACTTATACGACCAGCTCCGATCACGGACGGTCTTTCGAGGATGGCATAGACAGCGTTCCAGTCAATGTTGCTTTGTGCGGCGGAGGGAGGGGGAGTTGGTGGGAGTGGCTCTCTGTGCATAAACCCTCATCTTCAGCCATGCATGGCGATGACCAGTCAGAGTTTAATGCAAAATCGAAGACAGAACAGTAGTACTCTCGAGCCGGCGGGGAAAGTTCTCGCAGAGCCGAGCTGTCATTCCTTGTCAAAGACGTTTGAGAGCCGAGTCTGCAAACAACCCCCGGACAAAGAACCCTCCCTCACAATAAGTCCCAGCACAGTCATCACAGCCATTTGCGGCCGGCAGCAGTGACTCTCTGCTTGAAAACCGGACTCTTGATGGGATTCCCGATCGTGTAGAACGGGTTCATCAACGTCTTCACCCAGAGTTCGAAGACCTCGCTCATAAACTGCCGAATCGCCTCTTCCGTCTGCGGACTGGTCGGATTCTGCGGAATCGAGGTCGACGAGATGGTCGACGCTCGGGCCCCGGCCGAGGAATTCGTCATGGCCGACGGCTGGTGGAGCAGCATGAAGCGCACGTTCGTCCCCGTCATGAAGCAGCTGATGTGGGAGTTGGTGGGCGCGTAGTTGTCAATGACCTTGAGCCACATGTTGGGCGTCAGCCACTGCACCTCCTCCACGACGTCCAAGGAGGCGTGCACGATGAACTGGTTCATGTACCGAGCCGTCTCGCCGTTGCGGAAGCGAGCGACGCCGTCGCCGCCCGCTTTGGACGTGCCGAAGGTCAATTCGAAGAGCGGCGAGTCGGCCGGCGAGATGATGACAAAGTAGTACGACATGTTTCTGTGTGCTGCGTGAGTGCACTGATCTCGATATTCTCTCGGACGCGGGGATCGGCCTTGACGTGTTGATTGATATCCCGCAGCCGTGGATCCAATGTGTGGAAAAGGGACATTTGAAGCTAGGAGCCTGTGAGTGGCCGCGATGAGGCTCGGCACAACTCCGGCGAAAAGGTCGCCGCATCAAGGAAATCTCGAGTTCCCATTCTCTACGTAGCCACAGCTCACAAGCAATTTATCGGCGGTGTTGTCTTCCTCAATTGCGATCGCGAGATGCCGTCCCTCGCTTTCGGTCTCACCTCGGCCAAGTCATCCTCGGGCCTCTCAAAGCCAGCGCAGAAACGCAAGGCGTTCTTCGACGAAGACGATGATGCAGGCGAGGTCCCCGCGCCTGCTCCCGCGCCTACATACGGAGCGAAGAAGACATCGAAACCTCTAAGGCCCCTAAAGGATCTTGACGACGATGAAGATGATGGTGAGCCGCCGAGCAAGGCTCACAAGCTCACCCAGTGCGGTCTGCAGCTTCCGCAGCCGAAATCCTCTGGATCTGTCACAGGGACAGACAAATACGTCAACCTGTCGGCACTGCGCAGTGCCAAACTGCACGACAAAGAAGCCTCAAAGATAGACGCCTCTGTCTACGACTATGACGCAGCCTACGATACATTCCACGCAGAGAAAGAGAAGAAATCAAATGACGCTGGTGGCCCGTCGGGTCCGAAGTACATGGGCTCGCTAATGCAGAGCGCCGAGGTGCGGAAGCGAGATCAGCTGCGAGCGCGGGAGAAGCTCCTGCAACGTGAGAGAGAAGCAGAGGGAGACGAATACGCCGACAAGGAGAAATTCGTGACCGGGGCATACAAGAAGCAGCAGGAGGAAATCAGGCGCATGGAGGAGGAGGAGAAAAAGCGTGAAGAAGCCGAAGAAGAGCGGCGAAGACAAGGCGGTGGCATGACCGCTTTCCACAAGAGGATGCTGGAGAAGGACGAAGAGCGGATGCGGTTGATCAAACAGGCGGAGGAGGACGCCGCAAAGAGAAAGGAAGGCGGTGTCGAGGAGGAGACCCCGGTTGAAGAAGAGAAATCTGAAGCGAAAATGGCCGAGGAGTTGATTCAGCAAGGAGCACGCATCGTCGTCAACGATGAAGGCGAGGTGGTCGACAAGCGACAGCTCCTGTCCGCCGGCCTGAATGTGGCGCCCAAGAAGCCCGGCAAAGAGCAACAGGCACCTGCAAGATCAGAATCGGGGCGAAAGGACGAGTTCTGGAAGTCGTCCAAGGCGGTAGACGCACGCCACGCTCAGCGCGAGCGACAGTCACGGATGATGGAGAGACAGATCGAGGAAATGGTGGAGAAACAGAAGCAGGTCGAAGCGGACGAGGAGAAACAACAGCAGGACAAGATCAAGAGCAAGGTCAGCGAAGCCGACAAGATGAGTGCCAGAGAGCGGTTTCTACAGCGGAAACGGGAAAGAGAACAGGAAGCGCGGAAGAAGAAAGAGGCTGGTGGTTGAAGCGGATCGAGGCTGTGGTCCAAGGTCTTTTCGACCTATCGTGCCTGCTCCTCTTACTGGATGAACATGCCGCCGTCGACAGCGATGATCTTGTTATGGACATAGCCGGTCTTGACGATCCAGAGGACTGTCTCTGCGATTTCTTCGGGCTTCCCAAGTCTCCCGATGGGGATTTCTGGGCAATTTCTCCGTCAGCAAACTCGACCGCTTCTGAGACACCGGACTTCGACTTACTCGCAGACAACTCTGCGGACCCTCCAGGCAGCATCTTGGTCTCTTCGATCAACGCTGGCGCGACGCCGTTGATGGTTACGCCAGTCTTTGCATAAGCACCTGCCAGCCAATGCACCAGCCCGTGAAGGGCCGATTTGGACGATCTGTCATGGGAACAGTCAGTCTGATTTGGGCAAAGGGTGCCGCGCTAGGAAGAGCACTCACGCATAATGCGGTCCGACTACACCACCAGTGAAGCCGGCGACACTGGAACAAAAGACGATTCTGCCCCAGCCAGCCTCGACCATCTGGGGGATACACAATTGGGTGAGCAAGAACGCGGTGCCGCAATTCGCTCTCCAGGTCTTCTCAAAGTCCTCCACGGACACCTCGCTGACGTCCTTGACCCGGGACACCCCCATGGTTAGCCCGGCGTTGTTGAAGAGGATGGTCGGATGACCCAGCTCATGGACGACGTTGGCGTGCAGAGCGCGCGTCTCGTCGTAGGAGGACAGGTCGGCGCGGAACGCCGAGGCGCGCACGTTCATGGATGTGAGCTGGGCGACGAGCGATTCCGCCGTGTCGGACGCGCTGTGGTAGTGCACGGCGATGGAGCAGTTGAGGTGCGCCAGGGCCAGGCACGTCGCTTTGCCTATGCCGCCTGTTGCTCCGGTCACCAGGGCGAGGTGGGAGGAGAGATCGGTGGTCAATGCCATTGGGGGCTGTGGAGTGGCAGGAGTCCGTATGGGCAGTTCTGTGGAAATAGGGCAGACGTCCAGAGATAGACCCCAGCTCAGCTCAGCTTCGATCCTTCTCCTCGTGGGTCTGTCCTAGTCGTACAGTAGAGGACGACTCAGTCTCGCTCGTACTCCTCTCACTTCAATAGACTCCGAAATCGTTCTGCTCTCTGGGATCTGTCCTCTTCCAATCCGTTCTCGAGCTCGTTCGTTCGTTCTATTCCACTCTTTGTTCCTCTTCCGGTTTCTCGTCCTCTTCCGTGCCACTTTGTAAATAGCCGAATGGGATCAAATCAAATCGCCTATACAATACCCACGCACGCTCAATAAGATACCTAACACAAAGATATGAGATAGATGTACGTGCACACCACGACTGGGTACGAGGTATAGATGTGCGTATGAGCTCGTGATGATGGTGAGAATTGAATTGGGGATCTTCCATTTGTCATGGTGGTGATGGGGGTGGGCAGTGGTGGCATTGGTGACAAGCATTGGTGGTGATGTTTCTTATCTCCGAAGAACAGATCTAAACACCGCGAACAAAGCGAACAGAGCGAACAAACCCCCCAAAAGACCAAGAATTTCGAACCTTGATTCGACAGACAGCCACACACACAAAACACGGTGTAGTTGTGATGTAAAAACTCTCGACTTGGGCTCCTTACCTACCTGTCTACACACACTGATACACACATCCATAGAATACACACCTATCCTATGTCTCCCGTCCGTCCGTAGGACCCAGATCTCTCCCTCTCCGCACCCTGAGAGTCATGACCGCGGTGGTGAACTCGGTCCTTTTGAGCGCGTGAAGGACTGGGATAGTCGGGGGAAAGGAGAATAGTTAGGGCTGGGTTAGATTGAGCCGGGGTGGGAAGTCAAGGGAGGAAAGGAAGGGAAGGGAAGCGATTGTGTAGCGGGAGTTTATAGCGTGCTTTGTATAGATAGATAGATCTATCCCTCCTTCCACAGACGGAGATATTGTGAGGCCGGGGCCGAGGCAGACTCGCACATTATACGGGAGGTATATTGCTGGATCAGACCGGCGAAAGACTTACATCGCTATATACAGAGGATCAAGGGCGGCGGCTTCACGGGTGTCCTTTCTCAGTACCTTCGAGCCTAACATCCCCGCCATCTGCAGCTCTCGCACTGGAACCGACCGGAGAGTATTGTCTCGCGAGACCGACACGCTCCACCATGTCCATGTCAACTCACCGATCCTCCCCATTATGTCCCTCCAGTCTGATCACCGCCAGCCTCCAACTCCACTACCTTGCAGAAGGCGCCGCCAACATCATCTACAGCGTCTCCGTCCAGTCACCGCCGGCTCTCCTCCACCACTCGCACTGCTGCGTCATGCGTCTCCGCAAAGACCTGCCCTCCACGAAAGCCGCCGTGCAAGCCATGTCCGACTTTCAGGGCCGCATCGCGCCGCTTTTCAACGAGAAGCACAAGTCGTTGCTGATGGAGCAGGCACTCTACAAGCTCACGCCAGCAATGGTGAGCGAGGCGAACGACGAATTGAGGGAGATTGACGGCGTGGATTTATCGGCCCTCTCGGCGGAAGATGTCAAGGGCAAAAAGATCCGCCACCACCACAGACGCCACGTCTACCTGCCCTCGTACGAGAACGAGCAGTACGGAATCCTGATGCAGAACTTGCAGGGACCGGGGATTGATTGGCTGGTCGAGTTCAAGCCGAAATGGCTGGTGCAGAGTCCCAGCGCGCCTGTAGACGCGAGGAACTGCAGGACGTGCGCGCTCAATGCGATGCGAAGAAAAGCGGGAGCTCATCAAGGGAGAGGTGACTCGGGCTTCTGTCCGTTGGACTTGCTGGCGGACGAAGACGCAGTGTTGGAGCGGACGCTGGCGAATATCTGGCCACTCGAGAATGGGATCCACAAGTTTGTGGCAGAGTTCAGAGAAAAAGTCCAGCCATCTTTGAGACATCTCCAGACTCTTCAGGAAGAGCATGGATCGGTGGGAGTGGACGATTTTCGCAACCCGGATGGTAAGGACTTTGGCGTGGCCATGGCGTTGAGGGACTGCAGCGTCTTTCTAGCTCTGAAGCGGAGACCCGACTCAAGTGACCGAGTGGATGTTGTAGACATCAAACTTGCGGACTTGGATCTGAAGACGACTGAGGGAGGAAAGGTCCAGAAATGGGCAGCGATGGAGGAGGAGCTGCTTGAGGGCGACTGGTACCAGAACCTCGACGGGTCGAATTGTAGGATCAGCCGTCAAAATCTCTCGTAGCCATCACACCACCTTTGTCCCTTCACCAATTGTGTTTGATGGGAAAGATGAGATCGGCCAGTTTCTGGATGTGGTGGTGCTTGATGGCTCGGATCTCGTTCTTGATCTGCTCTAGCAATTCCTGGGACAAGCCGCCCCGGCGACGAGCGTAGATGTCGATGCCCGCGGGTGTAAATAGGGTCTTTTGGAAGAACGTGACAACCCAGCCGCCCTCCTCTTCGCCATATCCTAGAATCTCCCAGTGGCTGGACGCGACTTTTAAGAGCCCCTTGCCGCGCCAATTGTATGCGGCCTTGGTGTGGGCGTCCGGGGTGTCGATACCTTCGACGCGCTTGTGCTTGTCCGAGGTCAGGGGCTGGTATTCGACCAAGTCATCGAGGTGCTCGGCGTTCTGGGGCAGCGACGTGTAGGTGATTGTCACATTGCGGTTGTTCTTCCACATGGGAAGCGTCGAGTGGGTGACATTCCATGTCCCCTGTAGGAAGGAGACGTGAGGAGATTCGAAGGTGTTTGGGCCAGCTGCAGCTGCAGCAGCAGCAGCAGCCGCCGCCGCCGCCGCTGTCGACGGTGGACGGAAGTTGAGTCCTGGAGTTTGAGTTGCGGGCATGCTGGAATGCTGACTGACTGGGTGTCTGTATGTTGTAGACACAATGGGTTGGAGATGTGGCTTGGGAGTTGGAGAGGAGGTCATTGAGATGCGGTACACAGCAGAGTACGAGGAGGACAGAGCAGCTACTTAACTGCGCCCAGCTGCTCGCGTGCTATCCTATCTCGTACATGCTGCGCATTGATGGTCATCTTCTCCCTCACTACTTCACCTCACTCATACCTGTTCGAGACTTTGTACGCAGTGGGCTGACATTCGTCAAATCTCTTTGCACAGCACAATGGCTCAACAGTCACACCACATGGTATCTTGCTGATCCTCCACGCTACGATATCTACGCGCTGTTTACTTGACCCAGACTAATTGATGCTGCCATGTCATGAAGGCGATGTCGGCCGAAATGTCCCTCATTCTCCCAACAGCGACTTGACACGATCCTGAAACGCTACGGCCTGCCTGCTGATCGTTCGGAAATGGTGTCACCAACCTCAGTCGCAGACAAAAGATGTCTTGCGTCTCACGAGCGCAAATGATCGACCGTATGGAAATCTCGATCGACCGTATTGAAGATTCCCCGCACCGAAGCAATGAGTCATGCAGCCCCCCGCACACAGTAACAATGAGTCGTGCAGCCTCGCATTGACATTGGCCCGGCGTTTGAACGATTGGTTGATTTCGTCGAGTTTGGCCGAATCTCGCGACAAGATGCCGATTAGATCGGTCCTCATCGAGCCAGCAAAGCCCGAGGTCAAGGACAGATCCAGCAACAAGTTGGCGAATGTCGCGAGCGGTCCCAACGCCGCCGCGATCTGACTCTCTCGGTGCAGCGTGCCCATGAACACGATCAGCCAGGTCGCGCGCAAAACATCGCCAAAGTAATCGAACTCATGTGCCATGATCATTGCCTGAGACCGGCATCTATCGGGTTTTGTGATTGGTCGTCAACTCCAGGCCCAAGAAATGGTGGTATACCTGTTTCACTATGATTCCTCCAAGGCTATGACAGATGAAGATGATTGGTTTGCCTAGCCACTATTGAAGGGTGTTGGTCAACAACGAGCTCGACAAAGCTGGAGAGGAGTGCCCATCTCACACCTTTCTCGGTAATAGACTTCAAGCCATGGAGCAGCGCGTTTGTCGAGTCGCTGGTTCCTGCCACGGAGCGGCTGAAGGTTAGGGTCGATTCATACCCAACGGAAAAGATGTAGGCACCGGGCAATTCTTGCGCCAGAATGTTGCCGACAAAGACGTCAAGGGAGCCAGCGGATGATCCACACAATATAAGCTGTGGCTGGTGTAGCCCACAGGTACAGATCCTCTTTAACCGTCATGGACATTGGTTTGATGGTGGGGTGGAGAGAGAGACGGAGAGTCGGAGAGAAAGTGGTAGTCCATCCATCTGCCCGGTCTGCCTTTGCAATGCCAAGCCGCAAAGTTCCAACAGCGCAGCCTCGTGAGGCAGAATCACTGTCCCATCTAAATATCTCACGACGACTCGTTCAGCAGTGGCCCCAAAGTAACAACTGAGAATCGAGGCGCAAGGCTGAAGGGCGCGGCCATGCCTTGATTTTTGATTAGCTGAACAGTTGGCCGGACAAAGATGACTGGCCCAACTCTCCACCGAGCAACTTGCACGCTGGTGCGATCCCATGGCTGGCGTCCTGCTTGATTTCGCATATTCCACAGGTGCGTGTACTAGGTCAGCAAGAATGGGAGATATGATTGCACGCGCTTAGGTGTCCAGTTGGACAGAGTGCGTCGAGATGTTGGTCAAGAAGGGCCGTGCGGACGCAGAAGCTGAAGGTCCCTTACCAGCAGGCGTTCCGGATGGCTGTGTAAGCTACATTCGACATGGCGTGCCCCTCAAGCACTATTGAGTCCCCTCGGCTGGATTGGACATGGTGTGTAACCTGCGTCAGAGCGGTGCACATCTATCTTTTCATTGGGATCCTCCTCAGGTACCACCATTCTCCGGCGGAGTACTTAGCACCTATCTAGCACTCGTCTGTTGTGACTTGCGGTTGGCTGACCCTAATGCGCCAAGACTTGGTCCCACACGGATTTTTCGCTTATCGCTCAACTTGCCCATATCGGGAACTATAGCTTTACCCACAATGACGTTGATTTGTTGACATCCATTTCCCATCTGCTAGGTAGTCACCACGGTCGTCGTCGTTGGCGATGACGAGTCAATGTACACATGAGTTACAATTGAGGGCTCCTCAATTTACAGGTCAGGACGAGGCTGGGTTATCAATCAGGCGTGTCTTGTATTGAACGTGGCAGTCACATCTGAGGCACGGCGAGCGACACCAACCGAAACCTGCATCACAATAAGGAGAGGGAGGAACACAGGATCATGTTGATTTTGTTTGTATTGAAGCTCGTGTTGGCCCCTCAGGGCGGGTATCATCTACTCATACAGTAAGAACGGGTACCTAAAGTACCTTGGCCCTATTGGCCGAGACGGTGTTGTTAACACTGCTGCCGCAGCAGCCCCCTCCTCTTGCCTATGCCTCTCGTTGCAAGGCGGCCTCGGCCAGATGATGGTTCCTGACCGCCATGTCGAGGAAGAAGCAGAGCTCGGACGCCGGGATGTGGATGCCGGTGTCGTGGCCGAGGTAGGTGGGCGCGTTGAGGAGTGGCTTCACGTCCTCTGGGACCATGCGGGCGGGGCAGAAGTCGCGCAGGCTGAGGTAGATACCCTTGCTATCCTTGTTCACCGAGCCGTCTGCCTTCTGGAACTCCTAGATTTCAAGCACGTCAGTAAAGATGGGGCGAAAAGACAAGGAGATGAGGGAAGAGTCTTACCTCCTCAAGAACCAACTCAGCCTGGATCTCACCAACCAGAGCCTCCTTCTTCTTCCACATGTACATCTTGGCCTGCTTCGCGGCAGGATACTCGATTTCGAACGCGACGACAACTTGAATCTCTCCGTCTGACCCCTGGATGTACGTCTGTGCAATTTCCTCCAACGGCATCTTCTGCTCGGCGTAGCTCACCTCAAAGACAACACCGGGGTAGTAAGCGTCGACGTGGGCAAAGGCCACATCGGGAGAGCACCAGCTGCCGTTGTCGGCAAAGTCGACGGACGAGTCGGTGCGCTGCTTGATTTGGGCGGCGAAGTCGGCGATGAGGATCTCGGGATGGTATTTGCGGACACGCAGGTCGTTGGCGACATGGTCACCCACGTTCCAGGCGAAGATGGTGTGGAGGACAGTTCCCATTCTGATGGCGATTTTACGAGTGGCGGAAAAGTAGTCGTGTCTGGGGGGTGGATTTGAAAAACGAGCACAGGTCAGCCAGGACTTCATCTCGAAAGTCGGGAGATGGAATCAAGTTTTCATCATACCTCAAGCAGCCCAAGTCCCAGCGGTCTTGGAACTCTTTCAAGAAGGTCTTGTGCGCGTCGAGGGTGAGAGGAAACTCGAAGTAGGTTTTTGCAAAGGTGCTGCGTTTGCGGATGTCGGTGGGAATTTGGCTGATGGCGAATGTAGTTTTTGTGTCGTGGTCACTCTCGGCGCCTGGTGGAGCGTTCGTGGCAGAAGCGACATTACCGCTGTGGAGCGGAGCGACGGCGACGGCAGTGTTGGAATTATCGGAGACAGTGTTTGAGACTTCATTGTTGACGACCTCCATCTCCTGCACCAACTCTTGACTCTGGGCTTGTTGTTCTGTCGCGTCACCACCGACTGGGTCAGAGCCGCCCAAGATCAACGAGGCTAGTTCGTCGTCCATCCCGAGCACGAGGTTCAGTTTGAGGATGTTGGCTTCGTAAATCCAAGGCGATTTGCCAATCCGGTCCGCTCCTGGCTGATGAGAATCCATAAACAAAGGATGGAAAGGTGAGTGGAAAGACAGGTGTGATGGTGTTTGCGATGAAATTCACGAGATGGTGTCCGGTCCGATTCAAAATGACTATATTGAACGAAAGTGGGCCACTACGGTGAACTATACGGCAGCGAATTGGTATACAATCGGGTATACTACGGTCGAGCATTGGATGGCCGAAGCCTCTACGGCGAGACATTCGCTGTGATCAGCCATTGTCGTCCTGCGGTAGCTGCTTGCAACTCAGCTCGACACGAGACAACATGGTTTTGTCATTGTCTGCCCTGAAGCTCTTTGTGCAACAGAGCTACGACATCCACACGTCAGCCAGTGAGCTTGGAGAGATATAATTCTGCAGACGCTCCTCCAACAACACCAATTCCTTACCAAACCGAGGCGCGGGCCGTGAGAAGTTGCACCATGCCCGTCTGAAAGATCCTCCTTCGGATTTGTGATCAACGGGTCGGCCGCGCAGAGCAGAGCGTGATGGAGGAACATGCCATCAGAGTGCTTGTCGAAGAAACCCCCGCCCCCCTCCCCCTCCCCCTCCTTTTTTTGTTTCCTTATTATACCCTATCCTGGAGCCCTCGAGATCAAATAGGTAGGGGCCGATCAAGACAGCAACGTCCACTGCACTACAGATGGTATGTTCCCCCGGTCCCCTCGAAAGATCAACGATCAGAAGTCTGATGGGCTGGTAGTCTTCCGCAACCCAAACACCCCGTCTCCATCTCGTTACCCATACGACGGCCAACGACATAAGGCTCGTCCAACCTCTCAGCGGCCTTTGCCTGCAAGCAGCTTCCATCCGGCGTGCCCTGCTCCCTCAGCATCAAGAATTGCGAGTCGACGAGTCCTGACCGGCCGCCGGCGCTAACAAGCAGATCCATACTCTGGTCAAATCCCACAAGACGCGAACCGGGACACCATAAGGACAGCCTCCTCCAAAGAGGTCGACTCCTGGCCCCATCCGCCGAGCAACATCCGCCCACAGGACTCGGTGTGGTTATACCGCCGCACAACACCATCCGTGGGGCCCTTGCGCAGCAAAGCCCGGTGCATTTTCCGCCAAGTGTACACGCAGTGGTACGCCCGCTGCTCGCGGGAGACGTAGAGGGCGTTGAACTTTCCATCTTCAACCTCGGTCTGAGGGACGGCCTGCGTCCTGTTCTCGTCCAGAAACCAGCCCCAGGCCCGAAGAGAGCTGAACTCGGCCGACAATGCGCGGTCGTGGCATGCGGGCGCCACCCACGCGAAAGTCACAATGTCGAACGCGCAGGCTCGCGAGAGTGCCTCGTCGCGAGTCGAGCCGCAGTCCTGCGACGGCAGGGCGACCTCGTTGTTGTTGTTGTTGCTTCTTGCGCTCTCGGCGATGATGAAGCGCAGGCCCAAACTGACGAGTACGAGGACGCTCGCGATCACGGCGAGCATGGCTAGAATCTTGGCTCGATCCGATCGCCACGGCTTCTCTGCACTGGCGCTCCGGCCTGTGTCGCTGTCTTCGTCCTCTGCCTCCGCTAGGGTGGCCGTTGATGGCAGCAAGTCATACCTGAGCCGGGTGCTGATGTTGTCGAGGACCATTTCGATTGTGCAGTCACAGGAAAAGCAGGATAGGCCGGCACTTAACAAGTTGTCTGGACCTTATTCTCGCCGTCACCTGTGCTCAAATGAGGCGGTCAGGGCTAGTCAAAGTGCCGGGACTGCCTTTGTCCACCCTTCTGGGCGTCTGTTTCGTGGATTCCTGCGGCGTTGACGGCGGGTAACGCAATCAGTGTACGCGAAATCCAACCCTGATCCCAGCTGGCTGTCAAACACGATACCCATCGAGCGAGGACTCAAACATCGGACGCCCACTACCCCAGCGAGGCGCAACGTCGATACATCATCTTATCCTCATTCCCTACCCGACATTCACTGGCAAGCGACCAATCCCCTGCGCGGCGCTGATCGAGGCTCACGGGGCGTCGACCGGCAGCGTTGCCCCATCACAGACCAAAATATGACAGTATGACGAGGCGGGGGATCATACTCGCTTCGCTCTTACACGTCTAGCGAGGCCGCCAGGTCGAGAACCCGAGACCCGCGACGTTCTCTTCCTATGAGATACGCAGGTGCCACGCGGTGCGGCCAGGTTGGAATGCTTACCCTGGCGACTCACCGACTGACTGACCGACTAACTGACTGACTGTACCAATACCAGCTAGCTGTCCCCTCCAGTCCTTTGTCAAGGAACAGCGTGTGCAGCGAGGTTTGACAAGCATGGATACCGAGCGCTCATAATATCGTTGACGATCTTTCTTTCGCGTGGCCTTACCTCCCGGAGGAGGGTAGAAGGTAGGTAGGTACTCGGTACAGCACATTTCCAGTTTGCGGTCCTCGCAGTCATACCATGTTTCATTAGAGGCACTCTCCGTTGTCTTGCCTTGTCTTGCCTTGCTTTGCATTCCTGGCTGGCTGGCCTGTCAGCTTACCTTACTTTACCTTATCCTATACCGATCTAATAGGTATCTATCGTAGGTATCCACCTCCCTACACACCTCCCTACATGCATCATGCGTATACCCATACCTACAGCGGGTACGCATACGGAGAAACCCCATACCGACGCCGGTACTCCGTGAGTGTTATCTCCCGGAGGACCGCACGCAGCCTTGATCATCAACCAGAACTGGACACGAGGCTGGGCCATGCCAATCCCCCATCACCTCCGACAAGGAAGAACAGCCAGCCACAGCAAGGGTATAAACTCTGAGCAACCGAGGTCGGGGTTCCAGTGAGATAGCCGGGTCTCTTGTGGAGGATGACATTCTCCTTCCTCTTCGACGGAGACGTGCGTGCGCGTGTGCATGTGTGGGTAGATTGTCCGTTCAGTAATGACATTATTCCTCCGGAAGGCGTAGACTGGTGAGAGACGCGGGAGCTGAAGGGGCAGTCAGCGGACAAGCGCTCCAAGGGAATCTTCGAAGTAATCCCTGGTGACACGGGTGGAAGACGATATGATCTGGTCTGGTTCCCAGGCACGCACGGGCAGGCGGGTAGGGAGGCGGAGAGGCAGGCAGGTATGCGCGAAAGCATGGCTACTCGATGCCTGAGATTGGGAACACTCGGTGCGCGAGGCGCGGCACGCGATGTCAACAAGCAGGACAGACGAGAACAAGAATACTAGGCCGCAGGCGAAAGGAATACTGGAATTTCAAGATCATGCCTGCCATGCACCTCAGTGCATGGTAGGGACGGGGCGGTCTATCGTCATCTACATTGCTTGACGGGGAGTGTCGAACGCCCTTAGAGAAAGTCGTCAATCAGAAGCTGGCGGAACGAACGACGGACTCCCTACAGTCGAAAAAGATCGATTGCTCGAGCTTGATGAGGAGAAAACGAATTGCCTTGGCGAGTGCCTCAAGTTGTGTCAAAGACGAATACTCGCTGCGGGCGACGGTATCATTCCTGGGCTCAATTCCCTGTGGTACCTCTCGTTGCATGTATGCACTGCTGTGTTTCGTGGACACGACGACCTGTACGTGGTCCGGTGAGCACGATTGAAGGCATTCGGAGGTGCTGGACACAACGAGTCCATGATCGAGACGCTCTGTGTCTTCCTGGTCGAATGCTGCTTGTCAATTTAATCCACATGCCTTCCTCTTGACCGGGTAGAAGGTGGCCTGCCTGCGATGCACGACTTCGGAACGACTGCCCCAGCAAGGGAGTGCGCACTGCCCATGGACATGTCAAAATCTTTGGGAACCGCGAGGTAGTGAGGACTGCTCCATGGTTGCACGTCAAGGCAGAGCCACACTCTCAGACTCGACAACCTGAGTCTCAAAGGAAGTGCATTTCGGCTGTACTGGAGGGTGGGATCGCAAGTTGATTCTTCAGGTCTCACGGTTGTGCTGCAGGGAAGGAATGATCACGATCACAACCACGGTTGGCCGAACAAACATTGCAGCTAGACACATTCTCAACACCAAGCTGTCCTGGCAGAAGGGAAATCGAAGGACTCAGGGTCATGCTCTGGAAGGTCGCGTCGGGTTCGGATGCAGAATCATCAGAGTGCATGGCAGTTCAACAGACTGAGTTGTCGAAATGTTGCACATAGGCAGCGGGCGGTGTAACCCCAGAGCGGGGATGGGTAGTGACAGCTGCCTCGCAACGACGAGGTGGATGTCGTGTTGCACAGGAAGCCCGGTGCTGAGCATGATTCCAGAGGGTTGGCTTGATTGAGATTCTATTGCTAATTAGCATAATCGAACAGTATCAAACATGGGCGGTCTGATAAGCAGCTGCCGTCGCGCACACCGACATCAACGGGTATTCTGCAAGCCCCTCGCTCCTACACGCATTAGCGCCCTTGGCCACAACGAGGACAAGACGTTTGCCACGAGGAGGGGGAGCCGACCAAGCCAATTGCACGGTTGACGTGTCTCAAGCCATCGATGATGAGAGCTCTCGATGGCAGGGACGTGCGAGGGTTTGAAACATTGAGCAACCTGGAAGTTTCCAGATCTTCAAACATGTGTGCGCAACGAAACTCTCAAAGGCAAGTAGGTGCGATTGAGGTGAGAGGATCATCGAGTTAGCGGATGGTGCTCACGCGACGAGGATTGACCTGGCGGTTCGACCATCAAACGTGCTCGATCGCACGGACTGCTATGGGAAGGTATGGCTGTCGAGTAACCTTGACTTTGCTCAGGCGGAGCGCGCCGATCACAGTCCCAACAAGCTGAAACAGGTTGCGGCTCTCGTGTTCTTCAAGCCCAAGCGAGAACGCTGTCGACGCATTGCGACCTGGACCGTTCACAAGGTTCTAGGCTCAAAGTCGTAGTGGTAGGTTTGGCCGGTATGACATATTTGCATGTGTGAAGCTTTGGAGATGAACGAGGTCTGGGGATCCCCACGATCTCGAGAAGGATTCTGGAGATGGAAGTTCGTATACTTGTGCGGTCAGCAAGGCAGTGAGGATCTCCGATCCTGTGAACTGGTGAAGGTTGTTCGTGGAGTGTACAGAGTGAACCTGGAAGGACAGAAATTTTTCACATGTCAAACGCGGCTCGCATGGAAAATTTCCAAGCTGGACAAATCACGTAAGAGAAGAGCCTGTGAGCAGGAGACCTGGGGCGACTGCACCCCGCCATCAATGCAGAGATCAGCAAGGGATCTCGTCCCAACAAAATTTTGAGGCGCTTAGACGGATATGAGTGTGACATTTTCTGTCTCTGATGTGTGTTTGGGTGGCTCCATCGTTGGAAGGTCGTGCGCCATGCGCTCGACACGAAGCATGTGCAACATCAAAACGGCGAAGGATGAGGGGGGTTCCGGTGGCGGAGGCGTCGGGTACCAAAGGGTATGCCATTTCTGACCCACGGCCGGCAAATCCTGGCCGATATGAGCAGTAGTGGCAAGGCAAGTCAGCCAAATCCACCAGGGGGGAGTCATGGCGCCAGTGTGGCTTGCATAAGCCTTGGTATCAAAACTGACAGCAACTATCAACAGCCAGCATCTGGCAGTGCGACGGGTGGAGATGATAACGCGCCGAGTCTCGCTGGATTCATGCACCCAAACCTGGAGAAGAAGGAGACGAGATGATACCCACCGCTCTCGATTTGACTGTTCGGGACATTTGACACAGGCCAGTCGTTCGCAAAGATATGTTTGCGGAGTGCATATTCACACCGCCAACTCTCACAGATAGTGGAACCCAACGGTGCATCCAGCAGAGGTCGAGGCCTTCCCCCCAGGTGGAGATGTGCCATGGAGTCGCTTGCAACAGGATGCCGACTCTGGAGAATGGAGATTGGACATGTAAGGGATGGGGACGAGAACTCTTGATGCTGCAGAGAATGTTGGGGATATCGCCTGCCAGCTGGCCACAGTGTGGGACTGCGCATGGAGGTATTGTATAGGTAGGGCTTTTGTCAGAGCGTTGATGTGGCTTCCACTTGCAATTTGCCACCATAACGGTTGAGGAGGGCGCGATACGAATAGCTCCGCGCTGGAGAGTCCAGAGTGGTGCTTCGGTACGGAGGGCGGGAGTGTATATTGCGTCTTACTATGCTGTTCTCGCACAAGGCGGCATGAAAAAAATTTGATTGCAGACAACAACGCCGGCCCAAGGAATTTCCGCGGTGGGTTTGTGTGGCTGGTGTTTGCACCGTTTGCATGGTTTACTGGGTTTACTGGCCACCGCTGGGTATGGCCCTGGAGAACCTTCCCCGCTCGTGGCCGCTTGCGGTCGCTAGTATCGAGTTTTTCCAGCCGGGCCACTAACCCAGGCCACCCGGGCACGTGACCCGACACGGCTGAAAAGAACGCACATGCTTCGAAATTGCAATCCCAAACACTGACTGATAACAACTCATCCTCTTCATCTGCGGCTTGACTCTGTCCCGCCCTAGTGCCATTGACGCCATCTTTTATTCATGTATTAATAATGGTGATATCGATGTGTTGCCACGCCTACTGTCGCTATCGAATAAGCGACCACCCTCTATGCCGCCCTAGGCTGCCCGTCCTCCCATGTCTAGAAACCCCCCATCCACTCGAATCGAGAGGGTCCCTCCCAGGGATAAGAAGAAAAGATGGATACCGCTATGGATTGACCGGCAGCTAAAATATGGAGGGTGGTCAGGTCAAAGCAGTGCTCGCTCCCAGGGCGGTCCCTGCTGCTCCAAAGAGCCAATGTGGGAGCCCGACACGGGCTCGTCAAAGAGGGAGGGGGTCGCACCCCAGCGCGCAAGGGTTTTAATTATCCAGCATCCGAGGCCTCACCCGCCGCAGGGACCTTCTAGACTTGAAAAATTTCCCTGCGCTTAAGGGATTTGCAACTGGCAGAGTCGATCAGTAGGGTTTCTGGACACTGGGGAGTGAACAGGCGAGTTGCCCACCCCCTCCTTGACTTGCAAAGAGGAGGGGTCGCGGCCAGGCAAAAACTACTGTAACTGACATGCAGCTACAAGAAATCTCCATCTCTTTGCATAACAAGATTGCAGGTTGCCCGGGGGAGGCTCCAAGCGGGCAAGCACAGTGTCCTCAAGGACATCCTTCAAAACTTCTCCTGAAGAGGGTCTTGGAAGGCTTGTGGGGACAGCTGCAAACCGGCGGGCGGACTTTCACTTGAGGAGCAACACCATCTTCCCTTTCGAGACAGGAAGGAGATAGCAAGCGCTCAAGACGGGGAGGAGATATAACACGAGGAGGGACATTATCCACCTCGTACATGATAGCATGGGTAGGGATGTGCACGTCGGCAAGAAGTCAGTGTAAGCGCCTTGCCCAAGCACCTCCGAGACAACTGTCAAGAACTCAGTCCAGAGGGCCAGGAGCCTGGAAGGACTTCCATCCAGGCAGGCGTTCGTCTATCCGGCGCCAGTGTGAAGCCCCGCCAGCATGATCACAGGGAGATGTGTCCAATATTGCTGGCAACCATTCGGACGGTCATAGAGTGCCCTTAATACAGAACCCTCCAAACATCTCGTGCTCTGAAGAGTAGCGCTTATCGGAAAATGGAATCCCGCCCTCGTAGCTGACTATGCTTGCGTTGACCAGGAGGGAGCCATCATCCGTGTGGCATGTATGTAGTACCCTCAGTCAATTTGTGTATTGATGGGAGTAGGGGCACGGAGAGTCGCCCCCCGATAACCTCCACAGAGGTGTCTGTCAATCGCACCATTGACGGTATTGCAGACGTTTTGACGTTTCATGATTACTGTATGGTTCGATGATATTTCGGCTGTTCAATGTCGGAATCGATGACTGCTTTGGTCTAGGCATGATACCTGGGGTGAAGATTGCCTAACCCTGACTCCCACTATAGCCTCGGTCCACATTGATACAGACTCGATCCGTGTGGATGGAAAGGTGCAAACCTACGCCTTCTCGATACGAGGCAGACGTGCTCGAGAGGGGGCAACTGTTCAGGTTGACTCAAGTTGCGACAAGTAGGGTGACAGTTAGTGCGTGCATGAAGGTGGACAACTTCTCCCACAGATAAAGGTTGACTCCGCCACGCGTCGCATTGATTGGTCCTCGCGCCCTATACCGCCTTTTGGGCCGTGGGGGTTACATTCTTGTCGCACGCCCACCTCCGAGGGGACGCCCTGGGCTGGTTTCTCGTGTGTTGACATGTCCCAAGGCCTTGCTTGACATGTTCCCTATCTTTCCGTCACTCGGGTCCGCGTCACGACCGTGCGCCGTGGCAAGGGAGGGAGTCGGATACCATGATAGAAGCAGAGAGCAAGAAACCTGATTGCATTGTACGTCATCACTCGACGAGGCTTTGGCAGGCGTCGCGGTCAGTGGGCACTTTTTAGAGCATCATCTCCTGATGGGATTCTTGGAAGTGGCAGGAATGACAAAAGAGGTACGTACCTGAGGTCAATGGATCTATGTATATTTCCGTCACTGCCGCAAGATCCGGTACGAATTGCATGACGATGCATAGTTCGCACAGATGGGGAAGGTTCCCCCAGGATGCGCGAAGCCACAATCTCTGACGCGAGCAGCCCAAAAAAAAAAGTCACGGCTGGCCGCTCGTGTCGGGGAGGCTGGTTTGATTGGAGGAGATGCTATTCCTCACCGCCTTTGATTGAAATTTGACCCAGGTGCGCCGTCAGCCAGTCAAAGGCTGAGATGGAACTCACCGCCCTGCTAATTGGGCCGGGGGGGAGGGGGAGGTTGTAGGCATGTGGCGTTTTTGGAACAAAGTCAGCTTCCAACCAAAGGGTGTCTGCGGCGTCAATTCTCCAGGCGGTCGTCGCCAGGCTCGCTAACCAGTCGCCTGCTTAGATTCTCGCGGGGTAAGACGAAAAGGCATTCGAGCTTCTTGCGTTTCGCGAGGAGGTCGCCAATGGCGATCGCATCCACGATTATTGCAGCTGGCAGTTTGTTTCCTTTTCATTCCACCACTAACCAAGGTTTATCGACGCCTCACCGTATGGTGCCCGCATGCAAATGTTGGTCTCGTGATGAGGAAGGACATGTAGAAATGAGAGCCGCTAGATGCGTTTGCAAGAAGTCATGATGTCGCGATCTTGCGGCATGCGCAAAACCTTGGAAATGCGAAAACTATAGCCCACACCGCGTTCCATTCTGTGCTCCATAATCTCTGGAGTTGAGGTCGGATGTGAGATCCGGTGATACAAAACGACAATGGACATTTTCACTTCTCCATGCAACTATCCAGAGGGGGAAGTTGTGGCACCCGAGGTGATACGACCGGCTGCAGCATTAACACCTGCTCATGGTCCTGTTAGATGAAGACTGAGTTGACCTGGTGGTTCCTATGTACTTACTATGGACGGCCCTTTGCTCCCGCTGGGACGGTCGTAGGCTGGGTCGTGGGCTGGGTCTACATTTTGACAAGATCGTCGAGGCCAGGTTGTCCGCGGTGTTGGCTCTAGCCATAGCTGCTCTCTGAAAGTTCCGGGAGGGGGGAAATGGGCAACAGAATGGGCTTTCAAATGCATGTCCCAGGCCTAACTGACCCCGCTGGTAGCTAAGGCATTCGCCGTGATTTGAGGCCCGCATGGTGCTTGAGCCGCCTGGGGTAGGCCCCCCACTGCCCGCTTCTTGAACTGGAAAAATCTTGATTTTGATGCAAACGGATACCACTCCAAGACCGGTGCAGATCTGCCCTGCCACGCGAAGGATTGCCAGGTACACAAGAGCAGCGTCCGAAAAGATCCTCAGGGCCACCGTCGTCGGCCACCCTCCGCGCAAAGAGTGGTATGCCTGGGAATAAAATTGCCCCTACGCGGCACGGGAAGGAAGGTGTGACTGCATGTTGGGGGAGGGAGAAGCCCTCATTGGTGTCGCGAGTGCCCAAGTGCCTGGTCGACGGCTTGCTTTGAAGCGAAGAGTTGTTGCGTAGGAGGCGGTCCTCGAGAGCCAGTTTGCGTTGGCACGCGCAGGGAGATTGGTGCTTGGGACGGTAGGCTCCCTGATTAGCCCGGGTTAGGGGCCTGACGCGACTTCTCAGCAAGCAAGCCGGGACAGTCAGCTTGTGCCGCAACCTTGACAGCCAGTCAGTACTTTGTGCTGCACTCCAGGGATGGGATGGGGAAGGGATCATGGGTCTTGTTGTTTCATTTTGCTACAAGAACTCCGTCCTCCGGACATGGCGTTGGTGTACAATGTCGATCAATGGCACTGTGGGAAACCTTTCCCCGGGGATGATGATCTGGAGACATAGGTAGTAGGTACACGTAGGTAGGTAGGCTTTTGCTACGAGCACAATGAGCTGACTGATACCAAGCTTAGCAGGGCCAATGGAGGCAGGATTGCCTGACTGTGAGCGGGAGTGCTGACTGTGCTTGCTGTTTCCTTTTTTTCCTGCCTTTCATCTTGGTGGCAGCAAGGACCAAGGAGGGGGAGACGGGGGGCAGCGAGAATAGCTCCAAGGCTTATTCCCAAAGGCCCTGTTTGTGCGAGGGAGCCTGCGGGAGCCTGAGGGAGCTTGGGGGGGGGGGAGGGGGAGAGCAACGCGCCAAAGCGAGAACAGACGTGGGGCTTGGCCCTCACGCGGGTTGCGGATGTCATTGGCCGGAAGAGTAAGCCGTGCGCTCAGAACAGTCAGCCAATAGGAGATGGGTTTTCTGCCGGTTCCTTTGCTGGTGCCACCGTCTTTTCGCTTCTCGTCTTTTGAACTTTTTCGCTCTTTTCCTTTTCCATTTATTGCTTTTTTGGCGGGGAAAAGTTGAATGCCATTGTGGACAAAAGTCAGTTCCGTCAATAATTCTTCAGTCAGTTTGGCCCATTTGGTCACTGGGAAAACCTGCGCGCGGACCATGCAACCTGGGCACTGGCACTCAATCTTGGTCCCAGCCCAAGAATGAGGACCAAGCTCAGACCATGCTGTGATCCTGTCCCCCCTCTCGAGCCAGGTTTCTTCGCCTTCGAATACCCGCCGCCTCCCGTGAACGGCTCTTCCGTTCCCGGTGGAGAGCAGCAGAGGGGACTGGGAACTGCGTGCGTGCAATCATTTTCCCTGCTGAAGCCCACGGGCTTCTTATACAAGCAATCATTATTAATTACGCTGCAATCAGGTCATAGTTCGGCGAGCTCGGTGTGGGCATACGCTGAGAACATCATCGCATGATGTTGTATATGCTCAATGCGGTCTTGTGCGGCTTTTTCCATCGACCATTTCCTCCGAGCATTCCCGCCACCAATACTGTGCGCACATTGCTGGTATCTATTGCTTGAGGTCATTTCCGAGAGCGGACTCGGGGGCAGAAGAGGCGGAGGTCTTCATATTAGCTACGCAACACATAAGCGCTGCTCTTTGACTGTCTTGGGCGACTTCTTACAACATCAGACCACGGCGAAATACTGATACCATACCTTAATTTCTGGCGAGGGGGCTGTACCGTCTATTCGTACTCGTACACCACCGCCTCTATCTTCTCTCTGCTCGTATCTCTCTCTCTCTCTCTCTCTCTCTCTCGCTGGGTGTCTATCTTTTGCATATCACTGGAACCCACCCTTGTCGCCCGTCTTGATTTTTCCCGTCGTTACCTTGTATTCCGTATTTCCAACCACTTTCAGTTGGCAATAGTCACACCCATCTTCTCCTCACCCTTTCCCCCATGTCAACGACCGTGGCCACTCGCCATTAGCGTTTCAGACCAAATTCTTAGCCGCAGCAAGCACTCCCAGGTGGCCGTCGTGTCGAGCGAGCGTTGGGATCGCAGTGCCCAGGACAAGTTGCGCCACCCCAAGCCCTCAGTCCACCCACGCACTTTTAGCCTGCGCCCTAGGTTACCCACTACTGCATCTCATCGGACCAGGGTTATCCAGTCTTCGCCTCCTCGCTCTGAAATGGTCGCCAGCCAGCCATATCCACTCTCTAAAACAACTCTGAGCAGAAACTAGGGCCATTAGCCCTCGCAGCTCCCAGGTCTCCAGCGCCGCCCCTCCGTTCTCACCTCACTTGCCCATCCGATCCTCATCTACCGCCCATCCTCCCACCCTCCCACCCCCCCCCCAATCGCCCACTGTTCAGCGCAGATCCGAGCTTCCTACTTTGGGCCGCTCGAGACTCAACACCTTTTGGCTTTCTGGTCGGCCTGCCTTTCCCTCTGGCACACCACCTCTACCACCACCAACCCAAAATATTCCCTCTCCCTCCTTCTTTAATCCTCCACCACCAATCCTCTCCCATTCCCTCCCATTCTCTAGGCCTTCACCCAGCCTATCTTTTGACATCGATTCTAGAAGGCGTTGGGACTTCTTGAACACGACCACGGCCAGCGGCATCACCAACGGTCGAAACTACCTGATCCATTTTTGCCCTTTGTCGGTCACCGATTAGCACGCAGCCCGGATCTGCGTGGGTGGAAAGTCTCACCAACAAAGAAAGAGGAGGATAACAAGAGGACATTGTCACGCCATCTGACTTTGTCCGTGTGCCCCTGGGTACTTCCTGTCTCGTCTCGGGGCAGTGTAGAACAGCAGCAGAACTACAAGTCGTCGCTGTACGGTCGATCTCTGGTCCCGTGGCGATACTGTGTTTGGCTGCCGTTTTGCACCAGTAGAAGTGACGGGCCCTTTATTTTTTGCACCTCAACAGGCGATTGCAGCCCTTCGAACATTACCTCAGTAACTCCCCGTCGGATTTTGTGCTTGCTTTGTTCCTGCCTGGAGGCTCCCCCAAACCCTTCAATCGATACAGTAAGTACCTTCCCGCTCCCTTACCCCCGACTGACGCAGCCGTGGTGCGCATGGTCTGGCGTCAACCTCGAAAGTTGGCACGGCTTTGTCAACTCGACCGTGGCTGCGCTCATCACATTGCCGTTAACGCATCTCCTCGTTCGCTTGTTCTACCCCTACCACACACTGCTCCTACGATCGACTTTTATTGTTATTCACCATGATTTGACATGTATACTGACCTTTCTCCTCTCGCCCCAGATTGTCTTATCCCCCCCAACCATCACATTCGACCTGCTGCAGGTTGTACTTAATGAGCCCCATTGCGCGCTGAACACCTGCAGTCTCGGTTTGGGTCATTTCTCCCACACAAGCCGACCGAATGCCTTACACGCCGCCAACCCACCATACGCCCTCGAGCTCCAAACAGTCTAGTCCCACTCCGAGCAGGTCTCACTCGTATATCAAAGGACCTTCACTTTCCCCAGAGTCTGCCGATCGACCAAACCTCCCTCGTTCCAGCGGTTCCTCCTCATATCTCACCAAGCACCGACGGAGTCCTTCGCTGAATGATGCAGCAAAGATCGAGGTTCTTCACAATGGCGAGGCGTACGAGGTGAATGGGGATTTCGACCCCCATGGTAGTATACGCCAGTCGCCTCCGCCCGTGACAAATGCATTGATACCTGCAGGGATGACAATATCACCCCCGGACTCCTCCCAGAATTCGAGCGATGAGGAGGAACCTGAGCGAGGACGGTCGAGGGAATTGGAGGATCTCCAGGCCCTGCAAGAGGCTATCCGGTCAATAGAGCAAAGGAAGGTCACCGGATCGCCCACTCGTGGAGAGGACAGCTCCTCTACCACAAGGACAGACGCCTTTGTTTCTCGTCTTGACGGGACGCAATCGGCAGGTCCTGCAGTCCTGCGACTCCCCTTGTCGCAGGAGGCCCGGAAAATCGCCCACTCGAGGTCGTCGACCGATTCAAATATTGTCTTCGAATCACCCTCAAAGCAAACCCCCACTGTGGCCATTCGGCCAGACACTGATGACAGCGACAGCGACAATCCTCCCACTGAGCGACCGGCAATGGTACGCAAGAAGTCAGGTGAACTCGTTCGTCCAGCTCTGCGCCCCTCCTCTCGGCGGCGGCCCTCAAGCATGCCTGGGACACCTACCTATTCAAAGGCCGTCCACTTTGACTCTCACCTGGAACACGTCAGACATTTCCTACAAGTGGACCGTCCACTCGCCGTGAGTGCCGGTTCATCGCCCGTAGAGAACTACGAGAGCGAGACTGATTTCCCCTTTGGATCCGAGGAGACCACTGCTCGTTCTCGCACACCCTCATATGAATGGGAGATCCGCTTGAACAATTTCCCGAGTGACCTGGACGCTCGAAAGTCACAGCCTGTTTTCGTTGAAAGAGTATTCCTCTCCTCCGATAACAAGCACCTCATCGGGACTGTCGCGGTACGGAACCTTGCGTTCCACAAGCTAGTCGTTGCTCGATTCACATTCGACTACTGGAAGACCACCTCGGAAATCGTTGCAGACTACAACAACGATGTTCGCCGGAAGGGCAACCACGATGGCTTCGATCGCTTCAACTTCAGCATCAAGCTCGAAGACCAAGCAAACCTGGAAAGCAAGACATTGTTCTTCTGCATCCGCTACAATGTCAACGGTCAGGAATTCTGGGACAACAATGCCAATGCCAATTACCAAGTGGACTTCAGCAAGAAATCCAAGTCGCCACCAAGCAAGTCTGGGCCTGGCCTGGGTGAGAGACCCCTCAATGCCTTGCCTCGTAGTCGACCATCACCACCTGCCTCTTCTGGAAGGCCGGTCTCGATGCCTACCTCCTTTGATGACTTCTCGACTGGTTTTGACAGCTTTGGAAGCTTCATGCAGTCCCCCAGCTCACTGATGGGCGAGCCCAAGCTCAAGCTGAGGAGTCCCAAATCCAAAGCAGAACTTCTGCCCGATGCTCCCCAGCGCCGTAAGCAGGCTGGGCCGCAAGCATTTGGGAACCGATATGATTTCAAGACATCGTTGACGGCCGCAAAGAACAACGCGTATGCTGCCATGGGCGAGTGGTCTGGCTTGGGTCCAAGGACGTACACAAAGCAGTCTTCCCACGAGGTCTCTGCGACTACTCCTGTGCAGAGTGTTGCAAATGCTGCTCCCAAGCATGAAACTGGCGTCAACGGTGTCAAAGCCGGAGCCAATAAAACGGCTCCTGCTGCTGCTCCCTTGACATCCAAGCCGGCTGCTTTGCTCTCTGAGAAACCTTCTCTGAGCTCACAGAGCTACAAGGAGCTTGTAAGTCTCTTCTTCCCCGACTCTCTTCCGGCTCGGGCTAACAAGGTTGTGCAGGTGGACAAGTACTGCTTTGTAGGTACCCGGGGAAAGAGCGAGGAAGTCAAGACACATTGATGTGCTAATTCTTTGTTGCAGTTTGGGACTGTCAAGGTTGATGGTTCGGCGGACTCTACCTCCGCGTCGGAGAGCAATGGAGGTAGTTCGTCTGATTCGTCTGGCTCCACGACGCCCACACCACCTCGAAGCATGTCGCCCGTCCGGGATGCTCAATCATCGAAGTCATTTGCGCAGTATGTCGCGCGTTCTCCGTCACCTTTGTCAACGGGCGGGTTCTTTGGATCTCGCTCCGGGTCGCCGGCATCCTTCGGATATCCATACCACTCGGCGACCCAACATACCTTGATGTCCGAGTCACCTACACCGACAGCAATTCAAGGATAACATCCATTTCAACACCTGCAAGAGTTCTTGCAACAACCTGGCCAACACCGTCCGATGTTGGCCACGGCAGCACATAGAAAGACTGAACTAATCGATGCGGTCGGACAGTTTTCCATGTCCGACGTCCTCGACAGATCCCAGTACACCACTCCGGCAGATGGTTAATACGGGATATCCCGGTCGGAGACACCACGACGAGAGCATCTTTTCGTCCGGGGCGGATCAAAATCGTTTGCTTTGCTTGTCTGCTGTTCTTTTAGCGACCCAGACAAATTTCCTCACCTTCTCCAGCATTATCCGGATTACGGCACTTTCGTTTCTCGGGCGGCGTTCGCGAGGAATTCTCCCCACTATTGTTAATAGACGCTCCTCCTCAAATCCAAACTCGGCGGTAAACTGACAACGATCGCCAACAGAGTTTTTAGACTGGACATTATGAGGAAATGGCCCAATGGGCCAATGCCGCCGAGGAGCCACTGGAATCCGGCAGATCACAAAAGTTCGATGGGGTTGAAGGCGTTGAACTTGCTTTCTTGTAAACACTTTTTGGGACGTGTTTGGGTGTTGCGGCACAGTTGTGGGATTTTTGGGCCGAGGTCAACGGGATTTGAAAGGTCAAGGTCGCTCGCAGATGTCCCTGGATGAAGATCACGTCTTTAGTGGGCTTGGTCGCTCGGATTGTATTGTGGCCTGTATAGGAAGGGTCCTTTTTGTACTATGGCCTGGCAATTTCGGAGCGACTAGTGATTCGAGGAAACGATTTGGACGTGATACGGCTCAGGATCGGTTCTGATTTTTGGGAGTGGGCACCAGGGTAGAGCGACTTTCGTATCCTTTCTTTTGAACCAAATCAATCATAGTTCTCTTGGTTGCGTCTGTCGTTAATGCCATCATGAGGTACATACGATAGCGAATGCAAGATTTGATGACATGACTGTTCGGTGCTCGGTTGCTGTTGTATGTTGCGAGGCCACAATGTTGCTCATTCTCCCTGTGGGTCTTGAGTTGGCCTCGTTCCAGATCCTTTGCCTGTGTCCCTCTTTTTTGGTCTTGATTGTGGAAATGTCGGTGGCCTTGCATCACCTCATACAACGGGAAGCAATTGGGGTGGCTGAGGCTGAGGTAAAGGTGGCAAGCCTATAGTAGGGTCCGGTTGCTGGCCAGGTCATCGGTATGGCCGGTAGAGACGATGATGGTGATATGGAGGGAGAGGGAAAGGGAAAGGGAAAGGGACGATAGTAACGACGGCGACGTCGACAGCGACAGCGACAGTTGTAATAATGTGACTAGTGGTGGAGGCAGGCCATCGTGCGTGCACGTATGAACTTGATAGGTGTAAGGTGGTCGGCCTGGATCTTCTGCTGTACCATGTGCCGCAAGGCACCATCATTGACCCGTGAAAAATGTTACCACGGATCTAGAACCATGGGTTGTAGAGGTAACGTGCGTCTTGTATGCTTGTGCGTCGGTGTGCCATGGATTGGACTTGGTAGACTTTAAAAGGAACGGCGAGGGGATGATGAGGACGGTGGTGGACATCAAACCGTCGTGCGGTGATCAGGAGTGGCCTCTGGTGTGGCGATGTGATGCGTTACTTGATGCCGCCGAAAGCTGGCGCGCAACGGCAGATCGGGACACGCGTGATATGGAGATAGTGTCGCAACGATGGCCACGGGGACGGCGGAGGTGGTCTTTGTGCTCAGCGTCGTGCTCGCGGCGACTGGATCCTCTTGGCCACTGGCATCGGCGTGCTCTTGCCAGCCATCGCATGTCAACTGCCTGCCTTGTGAGATGAGACAGATACTGCATTGGGTCGGCCTCATTGGCGGACGAGGAGTTGAACTCAGAAGTCGCCGTCGATTGACTGACTTCTTGCTTGTGTCCGTGTCTCCCAGGTGCGTCTTGTTTATGCCTGCAGGCTTGCTCCCTCGTCGAGCGGTCCGAACCTCCAGATGAACCTGTTGTCGATGCATCGGATGAACTTACCATGACAGCGGCGAAGAGGGTGTGACGGTGACGATGTGGCTGCTCGGGGTCGAATAACGTCTTCGACAATGGCGTTCTCGTTGTTATGGAGGACACCACATGTGCCTCGACACATTATGGAGATGTCACTCCCGCGTTCATCGTGGGGAACATAGTAGTCATCCTCGGTGAAAGCCTTGTTGGGTGCACATGAATGTGTGACTTCAAAGTTGACACTGGCCTAGGACTCCGATGCTAAAAGACATTGCCCGAGGCATGGAGGGAGGAATGTCTGGGAGTGATGGTGGCGGCGACAACGGTGGCGGCGACAACGGTATCGGCGGCGACATTCTGGATCAACTGACGCACTCAAGAACCATGAAGACGACATGCATCATCATTGCAAGATGTGGCCCCCAGGAGAGGTATCCAAAAGAATCTCAGACTTTTTCTGGACTGTTCAAGCCATCTTGGCCCGTCGCAAGGGATCACGATCGAGCATGGCTGCGGTACGGAGCGACGCGGGTCCCAGCCTCAGCTTCCTCGGTATGCGGTGGCTCCAGCGGCAGCAGTAGGAGTGCGGGTAGCTAGCCTTGCACCACGGGTTGTGAAAGAGGTAAAACCTCATGCGAACAACGGGCGGGACGTTGGTTGTTGGTGTATGCGCGCTTTGGATTGCAGTTCAGCACTGTGCGACAACAGTCTCACAACTAGTTGCCTTCCAGCCATCCCAGTCAGGTGCATGGGCGACACTAGAGCAGATAGGGAGTGTGTGGAAGGAGAAGGGCCAGACACACACCCACGTTAAGAATAGCCTGGGCAGGCCGGAGCTGAATGGGTTGAATCGACAATACTCTCCTGATGTGGGCGACCGTCATTGAGGTAAATGGGAGGAAGAGAGTGACAATGGTAGAGAGGGAGGGGGGAGGAAGAAATACCATCCGACCCAAGGGGTCGTGAGAAAACAAGGCCACAACACACGATGGCCATGATATAAAGTACTCAGACTCCCTACCCTCCCTCGACCGCCGTACCGAATGTGATGAGACCTTGGGCCCTGGTCTCGAGCGAGGAAGAATGTCGGATGTCAGAATCCACGATAGCGTTGTATTTGTTGGCTTGCTTGTTTGTGTCCGTGCCTGGGGCTGGACCCTCCCTCCTTCAGATGGGTTTGTTTCGGGACTTCAGGGTCCAATCCCTGGAGGACAGACAAGCCAGGTCCCAGGGGGGATCAAGGGTTTTGCCCACGTCAATCATGCTGAGTGGTCGGGGAATGCGAGCTGAGGCTGCTAGGGCCCGAGAAGTGCCCAAAAGAGTGGATGATAGGCAGGGGCACCGCCCAGGCTAGGGACCACTACGCCTGAATCGACCGGATCGCCCAAGGGTGCCCGACGTGGCCTTGCTTTGCCTGCTCAACCAGCGGCGGCGGCGGTCCGGATCTCTCCTTTGTTGGCTCTGTTCGCTAACTTTGGATGAAATCCTGGAATGGAGGGCGAAAGGAAAAAAGGGACCACCTGGCCATTTGCCTCGTGCCATTTGGCGTGTTGTGACTTGGCTCCTTTCTTTCTGAGGGTGGTGTGGATGATAATATGTGTCTGTCCGTGCATGATTGAGCTGTTGGAGGGATTCTGAGAGGGGCCAGATCACCAGGCTGAAAGCTAGTTGGTCCGGTTTGATGAGTCAACAGGTGGGCAGAGGGTTCAATGGACATTGTATGCCTTGTAGAGAGGTGCTCCGTACTTCGTATCGTGGATGGAAGGCCATAAGTACCCCAGATGGGTGCGAAGGGAAATGGAGGGCAAAAAGAGGGAGGGGAAGAGAGAGACCAATCTCTCTCCTAGAGGAATATGGGGGGCTCTGGGTGAGGTATATACTCAGTAGAGCAGAGAGTGTGTGAGGAGCCGAAGGGAGCAGCCCAGACTGGGGCAAGTAGTTCTGCTCTGCTAGTGGAAGAAAGGTAGAGAAGGCAGATCGGATGGATCCCTTGTCCCGCCGGTCCAACAGGTTCTCGCACTTGCAGTCGTGGTCAGCCGTAGCCGAATGGATAGAGTCGTGTCTCTCTTGATCCTCCCCATCCTGCACCGTTCCCTTTTCGAGTCAGCAGGGCCATGTCCGTGCCCGAGCCTGGGGCTGGCAGATGGGCTGGGTCTTTGCAGATATATTAACCAGCGAGGCTAAATGGTGTGTGGCCAGTGGCAACTGGTCAGCACAGACCGATCCGAGATGAAAAGCCACAGCCGCCGCGCCCATGGATTGCGCGTGACCAGACTTTCCCGCAGATATAGAATCGCAGGCTAGGTGGAGGTGGAGGTGGAGGGGGAGAGGGCGGACGAGGCGTTCGAGGCGTTGGTGGAAGGCGATGGGTCCGTGTTCCCTCTCTTTCTCGCTGTGTATGTGTCTCCCTCTTGGTCCCCCTCTTTCTGTGTCTTTGCTGCTCCTCTCTCCCTTGCTTGCTGCTGGATCGTGAGCTTCGTGGCGGATCGTGGTTCGGGCTGGATTGGACAGGATGGGACAGGGTCGTGGGTGAGCCATCAGGGTCTGTAGACCAGTCAGCTGGCTTTGGGCCTCCATGTTCTGGAACAAAACCTCCAGAGACTCCAGATCCGCCTTGTACCTGTCGATCCACAGGCCCTGCATTCCAAGTGCCGAGCCCAAAGCCTCGCCCTGTCCAAGCATGCACCCATGTACCTTTCAGCGGTGGCATTGGTGAGAAGGTACCTAGCGATACCTAGGTACCTAGGTACTTGGGGACTTTGCTCCCGTCCTTGTCCGACACTCCGCCATTCTGCCACTCCCTTTGTTGCACGCGTGACCATGTAGCGCAGATTAGCTGGCGGCCACTGGCCAACCACCAGCCAACCACCAGCCTGGCTTTTTTTTTTCATTCTGCTTCGAGCTTCACGAACTCGGATTGAAATTTGCTCTGCCTCCTCAGATTTTCCACGGCTCCGTTTCTGTTCCTGGCCTGCGACACCGACCTTTAGCCGTCCCTTCACCACCCGACGATACCTACGACTCACCTTGCTTCTCGTCCGACTCTCCGCTAGTTTGATTGGATCTTCCTTTTTGATCTTTTCCTTCTCATCGTGTGCACGTTTCCCAGCTGCCTGCGTGGGCTGTTCGATTTTCCTTCCTCTCTGCATCCTGTTACATAGCCACATGTCTCTGCCGTGTAGCCGGTAGGACGACCGGAATTTCCCACCTTCCCTACCCACTACATCGAGATCGGGTTGGCTCGAGGACTCGCAGTTAGTCCATTCCTCAATCCCCCATGCGCGTGGTCATGTGGGGAGTATTTCCTCCAGCTTCTCGATCGCTGCAATCGGTTTTAGAGAGACCAGGCGGTGGGATCACAGGTCCTCCGCACCACCAGGAATCTCGCCGGTCGGGTCAGCTGGCAAGAGTTATGGGGACCACAGCTTGAAGCCCGTTGTTTTGCGCCATTGATATTGCGATTCGACCTCCGCAAATCATTTCCGAGATCCTTTCGGTCTATGCACAGCCGAGGTGCATTTCTTTGCTTACCACCGTTGTGTCTCGCAGTTGGAGAAGGTCCAGACTCGAGGAGTTACACAGTAGAACACTGGAGATGAGGAGGATAGCAGCAGCTGAAAATGTCGTTGCCCCATGAAATCATACCTGTCCATATCGCTAATGACTGTTCCGGATCATGCACACCATACGTTTGATGAGGACTGGTCCACTCATCCGTCTTGATCACAGAAATATGGACATGTTTCACGAGAGATGATCATGTGGTTGCAGCAATGCCTTCCACCATACTTCCAACCTAGATGCTGCGGAAATTGGGGGGAAGGGGGTTGACATGAGCTCATGACAGGGACTAGGACAGTCCTTGAGACCAACAGAGGTGTCAGAATCGGTGCTCGGTCGCAGGTATTCAGGGTAGAGATCCTCTTTTTGGTTACCTACTGTTCGTTGCTAGATGTATAGTGGCATAGACCTCTTGGAACCCATTCGCTATCCCAGACGTGTTACTAATTCAAAGCATAGCAATGTGTCGCTTCTAATATTGGGAAATGCCCGCAAGCTACCGAGTACACTAAAAGAGAAGCCTCGGACGTGTCCAGCTCTACTTCCCACCGCCTCCATCCCATAGTCCTCTCATACCTTTCCAATGCTTCCTCTATTCGCTCCAGAGAATGTGAGCTCTTTGAATAGCAGAGAAAGTGACAGCTAGGGGATAGATTGACTGCATAGCATGGAGAACGGACAGGAAATAGCTTCAACGGGGTATAGGAGCGGCAGATTTTTGAGAGTGTGACGGAGAAGAATGTTCGTGCGTGGGCCGATTTATAACAGCATCCAAAGAGCGAAACCATGCTGGCTGGCGACGGGGATCCTCATATCAAAAGCAGCAACCGGGAGAACCAGCAGGACACCAACTGCCTATAACTGCGCCATGGCAATTCTACTCCTCCGTATCCGCCAAGAACCACTTTACGCGAAAGATTCGCGTCGCCGTGTTCCTGGCCCACGCGTCTGGATTTCACAACCCTCTGCCCCCCCTTTCTGTCCATCTTGATGTAGACAACTGTCACTACCTACACCGCCAGAATCACCCGTCGTCGTCATGTCGTCGACGCCGTCCTCACGCCGCCGAGGGCATTCTTCTCGAAATTCTCAGTCCTCCACTCCGGCTCAACAATCCCAATCCACTCCAAGGAGTACGAGACGAGCACCCAATGGAGCATCTGCAGTTGCATCCTCCTCGCCTTTTTCCTTCCGTTCTTCCCCTGCTCGAGCGACCCCCGCGCCTCCGTCGCAAATGGCAAACGATGACATGCTGATAAGTTCTCCCCCCGGACACTCGTCTGAGGTAGGCGACCGAGAGACAACTCCGCGCGCGTCAACCCGACTGGTGGCAGGTCCGTGAATCCCGTTCTCACTGGTCCTGCGGTGTGCTGACATTCTCCAGATTCATCCCCCGTTAGATACGATCCTAGTTCGAGCCCGGCGAGAAGTTCACAGCAACCCCGTTCCGATATTGGCAGCAGCAGTAGTGCCCTTTTTGTCCGCCAGGACCATCAGCCAAGAATATCCTCCCGGAGAGGTGACATCCATTCTGATGCATTTGCACCCTCGTCCGCTCCTCGTCACCGAATCTATATTGGCGAAGATGGCATGCCCATTCGAGACGGAAACGATCCCACTTCCGAGGCTACTTTCTCAAACCTCAATCCCGACACGTCCGAGGCCGATGCCATGGGAGGCGACTCGACCAGAGTCATCTGGGGCACCAATATATCTGTGGTAGATTCCATGGCCTCATTCAAGAATTTCCTCTACAACTATGCTAAGAAGTATCGCATGTGGGCCGACGGGGCCACGGAAGAGGAAACGCGTGCTCTAGGGGCAGTTGCAGACGAAAAGGAATATCTGCCAATGCTTCAGAATATGAGAAGGATGGGCGTCCACCCCCTTAACCTGGACGCCCGCAACCTCAAAGCGTATCCCGCGACCTTGAAACTGTGGCATCAACTCCAGGCCTATCCTCAGGAAATCATTCCCTTGATGGACCAAGCCGTAAAAGATGTCATGGTGGAATTAGCTCAGAAGGAAATGCAAGAGTTACGCCGAGCTCATACCAACGCCCCTGCTTTGCGCGCAATCAATGGGAGCTCAATGCCTCCACTTCCCTCTTCTGATCTGGGACGCGGGACACCTGGAACAGGCCCTGCTGCCGATGAAATCCCTGACCTGGTAGAGGAAGCAGAGATGCAACCTTGGAAGGTCATGCCATTTGGGCTGGACAAGACGATCAACATGCGGGAGCTCGATCCAGCCGATATCGACAAGCTGATTTCGGTCAAAGGACTTGTCATTCGAACTACCCCAGTCATTCCTGACATGAAAGAGGCCTTCTTCAAATGCACCGTCTGCCAACATACGCTGTACGTGTCAATCGATCGCGGAAAGATCGCAGAGCCGATCGAGTGCCCGCGCCCAGCTTGCAAATCCAAGGACAGCATGGAGATCATTCACAATCGCTGTATATTTGCGGACAAGCAGGTGATCAAGTTGCAAGAGACGCCGGATTCAGTGCCGGACGGACAGACGCCTCATAGCGTGTCTCTCTGCGTGTATGATGATCTGGTCGACGTCTGCAAGGCTGGTGACCGAATTGAGGTCACTGGCATTTTCCGAAGCAATCCAGTCCGTGTCAATCCCCGCCAACGCACAGTCAGAGCGCTCTTCAAGACTTACGTGGATGTCCTTCACGTGCAAAAGGTCGATAAACGCAAGTTGGGCATTGACATGTCGACGATAGAGCAAGAGCTCTCTGAGCAGGTTGCGGGCGAGGTCGAGCAGACTCGAAAAGTGACAGCCGAGGAAGAAGCCAAAATCAAGGAAACGGCCGCCCGCGAAGACATCTACGAGCTTCTGTCGAGGAGTCTGGCTCCAAGCATCTACGAGCTGGATGACGTCAAGAAAGGCATCCTCTTGCAACTGTTCGGCGGTACGAACAAGACATTTGCAAAGGGTGGCAGCCCCAGGTACAGAGGCGACATCAATGTCTTGTTGTGTGGTGATCCATCCACTTCCAAGTCCCAGCTCCTGCAATATGTCCACAAGATCGCCCCGCGAGGAGTCTATACATCTGGAAAAGGTTCCTCGGCGGTCGGACTGACAGCGTACGTGACCCGAGATCCAGAATCCAAACAACTCGTGCTCGAGTCCGGAGCTCTAGTCCTTTCCGACGGGGGTGTCTGCTGCATTGACGAATTCGACAAGATGAACGAGTCTACCCGCTCGGTGCTGCACGAAGTCATGGAACAGCAAACCGTCTCCATTGCGAAAGCGGGCATCATCACCACCTTGAACGCAAGGACAAGTATCCTCGCTTCAGCAAATCCGATCGGGAGCAAGTACAACCCGAATCTCCCGGTGCCCCAGAACATTGATCTGCCGCCGACGCTACTGTCGAGGTTTGACCTTGTGTACCTTGTGCTGGACCGAATTGATGAAGTGAATGATCGGAGACTTGCGAAGCATTTGGTCGGCATGTACCTCGAAGACACGCCTGATAATGCGTCGAGGGAGGAAATCTTGGTAGGTGCATATCGACTGGCCATGAGCTTGTCGTTTCTCTGTGTTCAGGTGCAGATGGCTAACAACCACTTTAGCCCATTGAGTTCCTCACCTCTTATATTTCCTACGCCCGCAACAACGTCCACCCAAGTATCACACCCCCGGCTGCCAACGCCCTGACGAACGCCTACGTTGCCATGCGCAATCTCGGTTCCAACATCCAATCCTCCGAAAAACGCATTACAGCCACTACTCGCCAGCTGGAATCCATGATTCGTCTGTCTGAAGCCCACGCGAAAATGAGACTGTCGCCTATCGTGGAAGAGACAGATGTGAATGAAGCTGTGAGACTGATCAAGTCGGCGATCAAGGCCAGCGCCACGGACTTGAGAACGGGCTTGATTGATATGGGCTTGTTGAGTGAGGGTGGAGGTGTCAGCGAACGGCGGAGGAGAGAGGATCTAAAACGAGCAGTGCTGGAAGTATTGGATACGGACGGTGCTATCCGCAGCGGAGGAGCTCTGAGGTACACGGATGTCTATCGAAAGGTTTCCGAGGGCAGCAGCGTGGAAGTTGAAGGCACCGAGTTCAACGATGTCATTAGAGCGCTGGAAGTCGAAGGGAAAATCACCCTGACTGGCGAGGGAGCCAGGAGATCCGTGAGGCGGATTACGGGTGTCTGAATGTGCCCACAGACAGGCGTACCGCGTGCAAAGAATCCTGGGAGCGAATGGATGGACGAATACGACATGGTCGGGGACGTGACCGTGGACTATTGACTATTATACCTTGCCCTGGAGGTTCTCTTCTCAGTGACTTCCTCTCCGTCCCCTGCCTGCCATTGTTGGTTTTGGTGTTTGGGTATTTGGGATCATATGTGGAGTCGGTGTTTTATCCAATGGTTGGGTTTCTTCCGCTACGATGATGAGGGACGACCGTGTTGAGACAGGCTACAGATGAGCGCAGGGGTGCGTTGGCCGCGTGGCCGCGTGGTCGGGTGGTCGGGCAGGTATCTATGTGGTCATGATGATAAGTAAATGAAGGACTGGGACGAGGATGAGAACAATACACCGTATATTGAGTAAGAAGGACCCGAGGTGACTGCGATGTAACCTTCTCGACGACAGTGTGCAACGGGGACGAGGCTGAGACCTAGGAACCCTATCTATAGAGTGAGAATGAGAGGACTGAGTATATACCGAACTGGATACCTGTGTACTAGGAAGGTATTGGTATATGTATCGGTATACAGTCTAGGCTAACTTCATGACTAACCTATACTCGGTACTGCTAGACTAGTGCGAGGCCCCTCCGCCCTTTTTCGCTGGGGGCCTTCATATAAGGTGAGGCACCATCTCCGTCTTTCTAGACCGAAGCCTTCGCTTATATACCCCGGACGCCAAGATCGTGTTACTGCGACCACCAGGTCCCACGGAAGGCTCGGTAGGCTAGGCCGGAACATATGACTTCTTCAGACAGAAAAGCAAATTGGTATCATGGCGGGAACCTCTCCAAAGCATCCAAAACGCCCCAGGCCGGAAACCATCAACGTCGCATCCAGGAGATGATGGCTCTGGAGCCCTTTTTTTGTCGCACAGCATACATCCCTTGTCGCCGCTTGTAAACCCGCCAGTACGTTGTCCCTGAGGACGCCCCATGTAATGCCGGTGTTTCAATGGACCACAAACACACCGGACGCCATGCTTTTACTATTTCGCTTTCCCAAAGGGTTCCAACCACAACCTCCAGTAAAGACAGAACCCATATACTCAGAAGAGAATATCCATGAGACTCCCAATCCCCAGATCCACCTGCTAATCTCCCAGAAACACGTCAATCAGCCCGTGAAATTGTAGACCCTCACCTCCCCGTCTTCGCCGCCACTACACATTCTCGAATCACTCAACCCGATGCACGTCACTGGCCCAGCATGTCCGGTAAAGGTCCTCTCGCACTTACCCGTCCGAGGATCCCATACCTTCACCATCCGGTCTTCGGCCCCGGACACAATCCTTAGAGTATCCGCCGCCACGGCCCACACTCCCTCAACATGCCCAAAGAATTTCCGGATGCAGCGACCGGAGTGCACATCCCACAGACGGATGGTGGAATCCAGGGCCGAGGTCAACATGTAGTGGGGCGGACGGGTACGATCAGGCTGAGAGGTGAACAGGCTGTTGATACCCATGTCCTTGGAGGAGACGATGGGAAACCCGCCGTTCTCGTCGAGGATCGTGGTAGAGCTGTCGGGGGTTCCGGGGTCCGAGACCTGCTCGTCGTCGTCTTCCTGCACATCGGTGCCAGGTTCGAACTCGGTAGGAAGGGGTAAGACCTGCTGGACTTGGCCCACGTGGCCTTCGAAAGTGTGGATGCACTTCTTTGTATCCAGGTCCCAAAGTTTGACCGTGCAGTCATCGGACGCTGTAAAAATGGTGCGGGATGCCGAGTCAATCTTGACCGAGTTGACCCAATCTGTATGCCCGCGGAGGGTGAAGACTGACCGATCCTGGAAATTCCACACACGGGCCGTATGGTCGACAGAGCCAGACACCAGGATATTCGAGTCGAAGTGCAGCGCAATCACTCCTTCAGTGTGGCCGTTGTATGTAGAGATGCACTCACCAGTGCGCCAGTTCCAGACCTTGAGGGTCTTGTCGAGACTGCCACTGATGAGTTTGTTGTCATCGAACTGTAGACAACGGATGCCCATGGTGTGACCGCTCAGCGTCCTCAGCTCTTTACCCGTGTCCAAGTCCCAGATTTTGATGGTTGCATCATACGACCCGGTTGCGAGGATGTTGTCATAAAATTGAAGCGCCATGACTCCGTTCGTGTGGCCCTTGAGGATTTTGATACTGCATCGACCATACTTCCAATTCGTACCGACCTTGAATCGGTCCTTATACACGTCCTTCCAAGGTCTGGTTTTCCGCAAGTAATCACTGTCACTCGTACCTAGCGGCGGCCGTCGGGTCGCAACGGGCGAGAGTCGGCCATCTGACGAGGAATCGTGGTGGCTTTCGGTATCTGACATCTCGACACTTTGCGACGAAGCGGGTGGTTCAGAATCAAGCGGCAGGTTGCTTGCCGCACGCAATTCAATCTGCCTCTTCGTGGCACGCAACATTTTCCTCTCCAGCAAAGGCAACCCCCATCCACATTTAGTACACTTTCGATCAATGTGTTGCTCGCACATCCGATGCCAGACAACGTCGTCGTCCGCTAGCTGTCTCCACCTCCTCGATACCTGTGCGGCCTTACAAAGAGACGTGGTGTCTAGGAAAGAAAGGATGCGAAAGGCGACCTCGGACGGCAGGGCGGAAATGAAGTCGATTCGAATGAGTTCTCGGACATTGGCCGAGAGAAAAGAGAGTTGAGGGAAGCAGCACTGCGCGAGGATGCCCTGAAGCATGAGATTTCGATGTTTGGAGGGGGCGGCAGAAAACAGGGACCACATCTGGACGATGCCCTGTCGGTCTTCTTGTGACAGTGTATCCAATTCTTTCTGCAGCTTGTCCATTGACGGCTCGTCTGCTTGCCGCCGGCACAGCATATCGGGTCGGTGTCGATAGCAGAACTTGGAATTCGGGTCCTTCATGGGGTCGAAGTGGTGAGTGGCCAGTTTGCCGGCCCTGCCCAAGGGCGCATATTGAGAAGGGATGTGCTTCGCCAGAAAGGGAGCGACATTCTGATCGGCGTGTTTGGCGGTCGAGGCAATCGTGATGCTTTTGTCTTTTGTGGCTGCATGTCTTTCCTCGTCTTCAGATGGGTTCATTCGAAGTCTCTTTCTGGCGGGTTCCTCCCATTCCGTGTCCACCAAACCCTGCCTTCGGTGCTTGTCGATGAGATCAAACGGCATGACGAAGTTTCTTCAAAGATTGACCAAGGTCATTTCACATCTCGTCTGCTAGCTGATCTGGAGTCTCTCTGCTTGCGCGACACGAGACAAGGAATTTGCAGGTAAGAACCCCGAGATCCGAACGGTGCGGGGGATGCCAGCGAGTAAAGTAGACTGCGCTCATGGGAGGACTGACAAAGGAGAAGAGGGCACAGGGAGTCGTAAGTGATAGGATTGCTCGTCAGAAGGGTCAGAATGGTGCAAGATGGCGAAATGCGGTGCTTGGGCCTCGCAAATGCTCCGAACCTGAAGAGGTCGAGAGAATCTGGTGAATGGCGAATATCATCACCGACACCCGATTTTTTCGACAACCGACATGCGGGATGGAGGCGATGGTGATGGTGATGGATCGAAACCAGCAGCGAGAAGACGCCACCGAGCGAGAAGAAGCAACAAGAGGCTGATTAGCGGGCCCGAGTTGGTCAAGTGCGTGCAATTTGGGGCTCATTCGGGGGCTTCTGGGCGCCCAGATTGGCGCACAGCAGGGCCTAGTGGCCTAAACTCCCGGGGGTGGCGGTAGTTACCGCACGCCTGGAGCCCCCGTGGCCCTTAAGCCAGCCGAGCCACACAGGCGCTTCCCTGAGTCAGCCAAGTCTCAAACCTGAGATGCACTCACAATTGCCTGCGATGGCGTTATCGCGCACGCCATTTCCACCATCGAAAACACCATCACAACAATCTCAACCACCAGCCTGTGTTCCTGCATCGCTCATCGGCTCAGCTGCGAGTTTCCATTCCCAGCTGGTCTTTTCGCTTCGCCGGGGTCTTTCTGAGCGCCCAACGGCAGTCTACGATCCGAAGTGAGGACCTTCTGCAGCTGCCGTGCCATGGCCTTCAGGCTCCAGGTTCCTTACTTTTACCCCACAGTGACCAGGGGGCCTCCTTCGCCAGGGATGTGAATAAAGTCTTTTCCAGGATATACGGCACACACGCACACGGTCCAGCACAACAACCGTGCCGTTCAATGCATTCTACAACTGCTGTTGGCTATTTGTAATACTCGACGCTGTCCTCACCGCTCTTCCGAGAGACAGACAGAGCTAACTCCTGACTTTCTTCGTGAACTAAAGATGAAATAAGCAATGTCCTCACTTGACCCTGTCATGGCGCAATCCCCTCATCCTGCGGTCTCAGCTCGATCCTCTCCCTCGCAGTCCGCGCACGCCTCCAGTCCTCCGCCGGCTTCTGTTGAGACCCTCGTGTCATACCTGGTTGCCGCTAAACGCTCTCTGGGCAGTATTCATCTCGTCCACCGGGCCACCACCATCCTCACTGAAGCACGTGCGTCGATCGAGGCTATCACTGCCCTCCTCGCGAAAGCCACCTACCTTCGCCGCTCCTTGGCATCTCAATTGAAGATTCTACGTGGGGTCCAGCTTGAACTCGAGACTGCTGCCCAGAGCATCCAGCACGAGTTTCAGGCTGTGATCAAAGAGCTGGACGAGACCGGTGCCAGGTTGCTACAGTCTATAGATCTGTTGAAGCAGACCAGAATTGAAGATGCTTTCAAACCGGCGACTGAGGGAGAACTGGACGCTGGCCCAGGTAAGGAGACGTTGCACGATTTTGTGGACGACAACGGCGTCGAAACGATCAAACAAGCCATGGAAATTGCCATAGACAATGTACAAAACGCGCAAAATGAAATGGGGCACTCTATCCAAACCTTGGAAGATGACCTACAATCCGTCAACGAAGTGCTCAATGGCAGAGGCGAGCTCTCTGGCACTGACAGTGAATTGCAGCAGCCCACCACCATCGCTGGCACCCTCACATTGCTAGAGGACCACGCCCGCATAATGGCCGAGGAGCTGGAAAGTCTGGTCAAACATTTTGATCTCTGCGTCACCGCCATCAAACACACTGAAGGAGGCGGCGAAGCTTTATTTCAGACCATGAATGCTGGGGAAGGTGTCGACCTCCCGGATGCGGTTAGCTTGGGCATGGACGAGCTCCGCGCCCCAGCGCAACCTATGAACGAAGAGGAACGCTTGGAAATGCTCCAGGTGCTTGAGAACGACGCTCAGGAGGTTGACGAAGTGGTCATGGAACTCCAAGATCGCCACGCCGAGATGGAAGCCCAGCTCGACAAGATCCATCAATGGTGCGAACGGCAGGAGAATGCCTATGCAGATGTAGCCACGGCATTCAAACTCCTGGAAAAGGTTTCGGGGCGCTTGTCTGGTTATGTAGCTGAGATAGCGCGGCAAGCGCTGAAATGGAACGAGGAAAAGGCCAAGATTGAAGACGGCATCGGCGGGATGGAGGAACTGTGCGAGTACTACGCCAACTTTCTCCACGCCTACGATGGCCTGATAGTCGAAGTCGCCCGACGAAGGACTGTCAAGAAGCAGATGGAGAGAGTGGTGGCGGAGGCGCATGCCCAACTGGAGCAAATGTACGACTCGGATCGGGAGTTGAGGCTGGAGTTCAAGAACGACCTGGGCGAATATCTGCCGAGCGACATTTGGAGTGGCGTGAATACTTTACCGCCCAGATATTCTATTGTGCGGGCCGACGAGGAGGATGTTGGTAGTGTGCCTGAGCTACCGAGACGGACGGTGGAAGAGGCGTTGAGGAGGCTGAAGGTCGGCAGAGGTGGGCGAAGCACAAGATGACCAGGCACGCCGTTGGATGCCGATGGTTTTCTATCACGACGGTAAGAAGCCTCGTCTTGTCTACCAACTCATCTCCTGACTGCACAAAACAACATGACGACACTAGGAAAACACAACACTTGATATGAATCATTATGGACAGGACCGAGCATGACATGATGGCTGTGTTGGGTTTCCCTCACCAGCCTCTCACTGCCCGACCTGGCTGGATTATGATATACAAAGAGAGCACTGAATGCTTGTTCTACCTCGGATCCTATATCATCTACTATTCTATGGGGGACTGGAGAGCTGATGTTTCTGTGTTTAGGATCTAGCTATCGTCGCTATAGCGTTGGGTCGATTTGGCTGCCTACGCCTACAATATGCTTGCAAGGAGGATGGCGTGTCCCAACTACGCTCACCCTGGACATCGGAAAGTGTGGTCCGACAAGCAGATCTGGGACACGGGTATCACGACCATTTGCAGAGCTGCAAGGACCTTAAGCAGAGATTTCTCCTCCAAGAGCAGAACATGCAAAGGCTGAGAGACTGATCCTAGTACAAGTGGAAGGGATCCTTGGACATTTTGTACATCAGAAGGCTTATACTACCAGTCCTGGCCCTACTGCTTTTTCAGGCCCTCCCTCTTTTCCTGGTCCCTCTCACTCTTGACGACAGGATAGTATCGCCAGAAGTAGAGCACGCCCGCGGTCCCGGCCAACGTGAGAAGCAAGCCTCTTTGCGATCTCCTGGTTGGGGTTTGGTCCATGGGTTAGATGCTGCGTCATTGACTGGGGCATAGAGGGGGAGAGACAAACAAGTCTCGGGAAGATTGAGAAAGACTCTGGGTATTGACCAGAAGGATGGGGGAGGGAGGGATCTATCTCACCATGGTCCCCGGCTTCCGTGCGGCGAGAACATGTTCTGCCTTTTGGGTGCTGTGGGATGCATGATCGACGGGTTGATTGATTCTAGGGTCAATCGGTGTGTTAATATGGTATGATAGGACACGAGAGGATTCTGGCGATATCCAGGTCGATCGAGTCGCCAATCTTGGATCAAGCAAAGGTCCGCCAGGACAAGATGAGGATTTGAGTTGACACGTCCTTGGGACAGATACGTTGCGAGATAGATGAGTTTCTTCCGACTGAGAGAGCAGAGGTCTTAAATGATGACAGGAAGCTGTGGTGTGATTCCTCGACGCATATGATTTGGTGGATGGAATAAACTCCGTGTATCATAATTGCTTCATGGCACGTGCCTGGATCGAGCGGGATGATATCAGGGCGCAGTGCATTAGACTTCAATATGTATCTAGGGACTCGTAGGTGACTGCCTAGTAATGAAAATATAAATGGCACAGTCTGATGAGAAGAGCGTTCTCTGGTGTTTATTCCGACTTACCTATCTGCGCCGAGATCCTAGTCATTATACAGATATGTACCTTGTACGGAGTACAGTGTTATACAGGAGTACCCCTCTCCTTATTCGACGATATCCGCCATATTTGATCTGGCGGCTGCCTCGCCGCCATCTCGAGAGTACGGGCTTCGGAGGCCTCGTCCTCCACATCAGCCTCGGGATACGGAAAAGGAAGAGGCGACATCATACATCTGGGAACTGGTTCTTGACGCGACGTTCCCTGCGCCAGGACACTGACGACCATTCAAAACGCGGCTTGGAAGCAAGGGATCGAAGATTACGACAGTCTTGAATCCAGTCTCTTTGCACCCACGTCAGATATTCCAGCTTTCCTTTCCATGCGATTTTCCAAGGCTGTTGTCCTTGAGAAAGGCGACTTCCAAGCCGACTTGTAAAATGCAAACATAGCAGGCTGCTATACAATGACAATCACGCCGCAGTGCATTGGTATCTTTTCTACCGTTCTATGCATCTACCTATCCACCCATCTGTCACCGCTTGCTCCGCCGCGCCGAGTCCTTGACCAGCTTCTTCTTGGTCGCCTTGGGCATCTTCTGGCTCCTCTTCTCCCGCTTCTCCTCCTTGACCTTCTGCTTGTGCTGCCGCTTGGCGTCCTTGTCCTGGAACCGCTTGCCGCGCGGCCGGCCCGGCGAGGAGGAGGACGAGGAGGCATCCGAATCTTCGTCGTTGGATGCGGCAGACGCGTCGGACGCGTCGGAGCGGAGGGGCGCGCCGCCTTCTTCGTCCAGATCGTTTTGTCTTTGACCGTCGCCTAGGCCACTGTCGACAAAGCCTCGGTCATGGTCATCGCTCCGCAGGGTGACTGGTGTCGACTCCACGGCTGCGGGTGCGTCTTCGCTTCGCAGCGGCGCCAGCAGGTCCTTGTACACCAGCGCCTCTCGTCCCTGCGTCTGGAGCGTCTCTGCGTCTTTCTCCGCGTCGTACACTTCATCCAGCGTCTGCGGGATATACTGCTGGCGGAAGACTTCGTTGTCGACCTCGTCCTCTTCCTTGTCATCTTCCGTCCGCTCCGCCATCAGCCTGTCAAGTTCTTGCCGCAGCTCCTCGATGTCCAAGCTCTGCGCGCCGGCGGCCGCGGCTTTCGTGACGAACTCGTACACCTTGCGCTCCGCCAGCACGTTGACGCCCTTCCGTCGGAAGAAGTCGCTCACGTTCTTGATGTCCATGCGCAGAAAGTCCAGGCTGCGCGGGTGGTCTCCCTCCACGCTCTGGCTCACGTCGATGATGTACGGCCTGTTGTCGTGGTACAGGATGTTGTACTCGCTCAAGTCGGCGTGGACGAGTTTGCAGACCTGTAGCATGATGCGCATGTAGCACACCACGTCAATGTAGATGGCCCGCCACCTCGCACTTTCGTCTTCGTCCTCAAACCCCAGGTCCTTCAGCCGAGGTGCCGCTTTGCCCTTTTTGCCGTTCCCAATAAAACTCATGCCCAGGACGTGCCGTCGGAGGTAGAGCGGTTCGGGACAAGGGATCCTCGCGGCGTGAATCCTCTTGAGGTTTCGCATTTCCTTCTCCGCCCACATCTTCACCATCGCCCGGTTGTCCCTGGTTTTGTATCCCTTGCGGAATCGGAATTCGCCCGTCACGTACTTTTCGCGGTCTTTGAACACCAGGATGGACGTTTTGTACACCTTGATGGCGACGTGAGTGTCTTCTTGCGAGTCGTCCTCCGACGCGGCGACGGCGTGGTAGACGTTGGCTTCCTTGCCCGTCGAGATGGTCCCGTGGATCTCAGAGACGATGCCCTTCTGGATCATCGAGAAGAGGATCAGGCGCGTTTTGGGGTCCAGGACTTGCTCGGCCGTCGCGCGCTCGCTCTTGTCTTTGTCCTTGGTGCGACGGCCGTCCTCGTCCTCGCCCCAGCCGGAAAATTTGAGTTCCTTCATGTCGCGGTGCAAGTTGGCGGCCGCTGATCCTTGAGAAGACTTTTGCTGCGGATTTGCCTTGGGATACTGCCAAGAGGGAACGCTGGGGTCTGAAGTTGCTTCATCGAGACGTCTTCGTCTGTTATACGATTTTGTCAGGTCCGCGGGGTTGGAGGTGGCAAGGTCCTCAGGGTCGAGGACCTGGTCATCACGGCCCGCTGCTTCGTCATAGAGGTCTTCTTGCCCATCGCCGTTCCCCTCTGTATCTGCACCTTCCTCATCTTCCACGTCGTCGTCTTCGTCATCTTCTTGGATAAATTGGCCCAGCGTTATTCTTCTCCGGGGCGGCACCACATCAGCATTCACATAGCCATGATTTGGCACGTATGTGTGTGAGGGAGCGAGGCCGTCCGCGATGCCTCCGATGTGTTCACTTGACATTGTGGTAGAGAACTTAGGAAAGGATTGTAGACGGGAGGTTTATAGTGCTTGATGGCGCTAGAATGAATTATGCGAGTGATTGTTGCCACGAGCGAAAATCACAGTGGCACTTGAAATGCGTCATTTGAACGAACGAATTTTGATGCCAAGAATACTTGACCGGATTTATACGGCGGATCATTAGAGTGGCTAAGGCAGTCCGTGTTCTTTGGTTCTTTGCTCTTTGCTCTTTGCGTCTCATTATGCACCGCCACTGCATTTGTATTGCTCGTTGTATGGTTTTTGCCTACTACACGATCAAGCTCAGCAAAGGCGGAGGTCATGCACCGCCAAATTCCTGCTCTTCTTTGGCTGGAGGAATAAACCAGTCCGAGTCGACCACCAGCTTGACCCGGTGTAGGTCTTTGATCATGATTTTCTCCTTGTCTGCCACATACGCCTCGACCTTTCTGGAGCAGTCAATATACCTCCCTGACATGAAGTCCAACTGTCCGCTGGCCAGCAAGACCACATAGCCTGCCGGCATCTGCGGTGTATCCCATGTGACATCTCTGAAGAAGTTGACTGCGATGTTCGCTGACTTTTCTTCTCCCGGCAGGGTCTTGGAGACATAGCTGCCTTCCTTGACATTGCCCTCTGACGCCTCCTTGAAGTCGGTGAAGAATCGAGTCGGAATGGCTCCGGGGTGGATGGCGAATGTCTTGATGCCGTGGTCTTTGTTCTCGTGGTGCAGGATCTCGGCCAGACGCACCAGACCCAATTTGCCCAGTGCGTAACTGCCCATGCCGTTGCTCACATGGGCGCCGGCACTTGACGTGAAGACGATCCTTCCGCTCTTCTCACGTCGCATGATCGGGAGTGCTGCTCGAGCGAAGTTGAAGCCTCCTTGCAGCGACACCGCCAGGGTATCCCACCACACCGTGGGATCGGACTCCCAGGTCGCCAGCCATTGTGGTGGACGGCCAGCATTTGCGAAGACCACGTCGATTCGCCCAAATTCCTGATCAACCTCGTCGATGAACTGCTCCACTTTGTTATAGTCCTTGACATCGAATGCGGCCGTCTTGGTCAAAAGCTGCGGGTTGATCTTCTTGCACAGACTGGCTGTCTCGTCTACCTCTTGCAGCTCTAGTGCCATCAAACTCAGCGACTTGGCTGCGGTGTGCGCAAAGAACTCAGCGGTCGCTCTTCCGATGCCACGACCAGCACCAGCAATTACAACATTTTTGCCTTTGAATGCGGCCGCCAGCTCTTGGTTCTGTCTCGGGTCGGTCGCGGGTTGGGAGTCATGTTGGTCTCCGAGAAATCTTTCTACCATAGGTTCACTTGGTTCACCCATGGTTGCTGTTGGACTGTGCTATTGCTAACACAAACCCCAAGAATATGAATCGCGAAGAAAGACATTATCATATGGCGACGCCGGATGTTCCCCACATGTTTCCAGGCTTGCTACTGACACAAGTGGAGTAGGTGCATTTGCCGTTCCCATCTGATCAGCAGAAGCCTTGGAAGCCTTCGTCAATCGACCACCTACGCTCGTCCAAGTGGATGGCCCTTTGAATGGTCGGCAACAGGCGATGGTGGGGAAAGAGGTTTGTGGGGTTCTTTGGAGAAGTTTCGAAAGATCGCGTGGAGGTGGGTTCACCGGCAAGGGATCATACAACATATTGCCAAAACCATGGTTCCAACTCTGTTTGGAATCTCATCTTCCCCAGCTCGAATACTTCACATTCCAAAAATGGGTTCAATCGGCCCTTCCAAGGCCGAGCATCATCGGGTCATTATTGTTGGTGCAGGCCCAGTCGGATTAACAACCGCCACCAATTTAGCAAGGCTTGGGGTCCCCGTCTTGGTCCTCGAGAGGAACCATCAAGTCGATCAATCTCCTCGCGCCGCGTCGTATCAGCCTTGCGCACAAGCAGAGCTGCTAGAAACAGGCACCTTGGATGACGTCAGGAGGGAGTCTGTCGTTAACGATGTGGTTTCATTCTGGATCAAAGGCAAAAAGGTGGCCTATGTGGAGAAAAGAGAAGGAGGCAGCCTGTTCCCGTCGGGCATCAATTGTCCTCAGCCAAGACTGGCCGCTATACTCTTGCGCCATCTCACAACAAAATATAACTCGGAAGTGCGGTTCAATCAGAAAGTGATTGAAATCTCTCAGGACGAGAAACAAAGCCTGGTGTCCTTAACCGCCGTGGACCCAACCACCAACCAAGAAACTCGGTATACCTGCGACTGGCTGGTAGGAGCAGACGGCGCCGGGTCTAGCGTTCGCAAACTGTCCAACATTCCCTTTGAAGGATTCTCCTGGCCCAAGGAAGACTTTGTGGCCACCAATGTGCGGTTTGATTTCTTTAAACACGGGTTTAACACGGCAAATCTGATCCTGGATCCTGTGCATTGGGCCGTAGTCACCATTCTTGACGACACGGGCCTTTGGCGGGTAGCGTTTGGTGTTAGAGCGGGCTTGACGAACGAGGAAATACGCGCCGAACTTGACGAGCACTACCAACATATCTTCCCTGTGTGGCCTGTGGAGTATGAGTTGGTGCAGTTGAACAAGTACAAGCCGCATCAGAGATGTGCACAGGCATTCAGACTGGGGCGGATATTGTTAGCTGGTGATGCTGCACATGTGAGATTTCTATTCCCGCCCTTGTTCTAGATGCTGCTGACACAAACCCCAGAGTAACAATCCCATTGGAGGTCTAGGCCTAACAACAGGCCTGTTAGACGCAGGCCCCCTTGGCCGCGCTCTGGGTGCTGTCATCAACGGCAAAGCCCCCGACTCATTGCTTGACACGTGGGCCAAAGCTCGTCGGGACAAGTGGCTGAACTTTACCAATGAGTTTTCCATCGAGAACAAGCGCATGTGCCAGCTGGGAGGATACAGCGACGATCCCCTCGGGATATGGGAGATTGACGATGTGGCCAGAGAGCACAAGATGGAGCAATGGCTGGCTATGGCGACGCCGGAGAAGAAGGAGGCGGATGCCAGGATGTACAAGGCGCTGGAGGACCCGCAGGCGCAGCTGGTCAGTCGGATGAAGCAGTGGGAGATCACGATGGATCCCATGTGGATGGCGCAGTACGAGGATCCGGAGCTGGTCAAGTACAGGGTATCACTGAGGCCGGCAGTGCTTTCGGCGCCGGAAGCCGCGACGTGAGGAGTTGAAGGGAGAACCGAGTTTGCGTGGTTGTGCGATCGCGAGGTAGCGGTTGGTGACTGAGGTGAGTAGACGAGCTTGATATTGATACCTTGCAGACATCTACGTTCTGCACAGGAATATACAACACCCCCTGCCATCGAACTCCTTTATTATTGAAACAAGACCGCTTTCCATCGCCAATCATTCATACGCCCCGAGCTCATGAATCAAAAGGACCGGTATCCGAGCTACATCTTCACGGGAGTATCAGCATTTGTAGTAGTATCAGCCGTCGAACTTGCCGCCGCGTCGTCTCCGGGATCGACGAACGGCTGCGCATCCATCATCTTCCACATCTGCGCCGCGTGCAGGGCGTCGCCGGGCATGTCTTTCGCGAAGGACATGTTCTGCCGGCCATCGCTGATGAACATGACGCTTTTGCCCTGTGTCCAGCCGACGAGGCGGGAGAGGTGTTAGCCCTGTTCAAATGGTTGGAGCGGGGAGACGTATATGCTAACCCCCAGCGTGAAGGGGGAGGGACAGGAAGAGAAAGTGAGTAAAGGGGATGCAATAGGGGAAGAAGAGAAGGAAAAGGAGAAAGGAGAGCAAAGCTGTAAGAGATACATTGGTGGCTGCCGGGTTGTGCCTTGAGGTGATTTGACTTGAATTGACTTACCAGGCCCAGCGTCAATTCGATGGACGAATCAACCATTGAAGGCTTGTATTTCTTCAACGCCGTCCCCGTCGTATTTGTGTTTGTGCCTGCTTTCTCTTTCGCCCCTTTTTTGTCCGCTCGAACAGCCCGCACAATGTTCTCCGCGACCAGGAACCCTTGCATCGTGGCGGCGCGCCCCATCTTGGGCCCGGGCAGGTCGACCACGTCGCCCAGCGCGAAGATGTTGCGGGACGGCGCGTCGCGGACTCGCAGGGTCTTGTCCACGAGGATGGCGCCCGACGAGCCGGACACGGAGGACGGGGAGAAGGACTTTAGCAGCTCGGAGTTGGGGGATTGGCCTGTGCATTGAATCTGGGGGGACCTTGGGTGAGCGAGGGCATTATATGTCATGCAGCTCAGCGCTGAGGATTGGAGAACAGAGTAGGGCAGGGTAGGGTAAGGTAGAGATAGGAGGGGGTATGAGGAGATAAGATAGGGTACAGTGAGTGGCTTGAACAGAGAACAATGCTTACCACCATATCACATTCGACGACTCGGCCGCTGCGAAGCCTGATCTGCTTGGAATCCTCCCCATCCAGGCCCGAGACCACACGCTCACCCAGGTACAGCGTGACGCCCAGCTCCTCGAGCGCTTTCCTCGCGAGATCGTGAAGTGCCTCGCCGAAGCTGTTGAGCAATCTCTGGCGGGAATGCACCAGCGTGACGCTTTTCTGCGGATACTTGCTCTTGATGTCCGCGGCGACTTCGACGCCCGCGGCACCGCCGCCGACGACCACGATGTCCTTGGCCGCCACGATGCGCTGCTGCTCCTCGTGAAAGAATCTCACGCAGGCCGCTTTCTCGTCGCCGCCCCCCTCGCCGGACCCCTCGAGCTTCGCCGGGTACCGCGACCGAGACCCCGTCGCGACGGCGAGATACTCGTACGCAATCGCCGATCCGTCCTGTAGGATGACCTGGGTCGGCTGGATCGCGACGACGCAGCCTTGCTTGAACACGTATGCTCCCTCCGGAGCACCTCGTGGCCCATTGCCCGGGTATGGGATGATGGCGTTGGACTCCTGGCCCGTGAGGACGGTGGCGCGAGGGAAGTTCCACGTGAAGTGGAAATGGGAATGCTTCTCGATCAAGATCACCCTGTAACCGGTGGGCAGGGACTCGGCGAGGCGCTTCGCCAGGAAATACCCGGCGAACGAGCCGCCGATGACCACCACATTGCGCGGGTCGGGGACGGATCTGTACCTCAATCGATGGATGTTTGTGGATAGATAAATGCACAGTCTTTGCAGCGAGAGGGAGAACGTGAAGCCGAGCAGTCTGAGACAAAGAAGGAATTTTGCAAACATTTTGCAATGAGAGAACCGGGCAGTGGGGGATAATACGACAAGGCGGAGAGGGAAAAGGGGACCAACTGATGATCTTATCAGATAAAAACAAAAAAACCCAAGATGCTATCCCCCTCCCCAGCTCTGACTCCTCGGATGCGCGGTGCTTCCGTGGAGGTGGGCGAGAGGAGGCGCCGATGTCGGCATCAACACTGCTTGAGGAATAGTGCTTTTTCGGGGATTGACAAGGGCTATCTGTTTGCCAAGTATCGAGCACAGGCCCAGGGACACGCTCGCAAGTATTAAAAATGCCCCGGCCGGCGTCGCCCAGGCTGCCCGGGTCTAGGACTCGAGAAGTCCCTTGTTCGACGTCACTGGCGGCTTCGCGGCCTTCATGTACCGGATATTCTCTCTCGTCTGTTGGAAGTGCAGGGTCCCATAACGGAGGAGCTCGCCAAACGTCCCTGACTCGTGGTCCTTGTCTTCGTTGCCGGGCTCTTCCCAGAGAACCCCAGCCGCAGGCGTCGTGGTCAGGTTCTTGCCGTGGGTGATTTTCTGCAAGCTCGACTCGGTCAAAAGACGCCAGACCAGCTTGTACGCCGTCTTGTACCCCTCTGAGTCCCTTGGTGCGTCCAGTCTTGTGGCCAGTGCATTGAATAGGACTGGACCGCCGAACCCAATCGTGGCTTCGGCGCCCCAGTCTTCTTGCAACGCGTCGAAGATGAGGACCTTGTGCAACCAGTACTCGGTCGCGTTGAAGCCATCTCGGGCATTCTCCAGCATGCAAAGTCTTTGCCAGGACAGCACCTGGCTGATGTATTCCATCACCGTCTGGGGCGCCACCTTGAAGTCCCAGCCGAAATTTGCCTGCTCTGCTGCTTCGAACGTGTGAGTCAAGGCGAAAGAGACCAGGGGGTGATTGATCAAGCCGTCGTGATTTTGGCGGTCCTTCCAGAGATAGACGAACAGATCGTGCCTGCGAGAGTGGCCGTTAGCGTGTTCCCGGTCGGTCGCGCGTGACACATACCAGCATTTGATAAAGGGGTCGCCCTTGCGACTCGCGACGAAATGGTTGGCCATGGTCGTTCCATACATGATGGGGGCACACACTTCAAAAGGCGAACTTGGGTCCGCTAACTGATTCCAGCATATCCTGTCAATATCACGGATCAAGATGTTTCCGGTATCCATATACACTCCACCATGAGAATACAAGCATGCTCCTCGCAGAAAGTCGGAGCTGTGGGGGCCAGTGTATATTCCGGTCATCGTGCCATCAACGAATGATTGCGGAAGGAGGTCGGCGGAAACATATCTGAGGGCATTAGTTGGCGAGTCCGGTACCGAGTTCAAGATGCGGACTGTCCACGAAGGTCCACACAGTCGGACCCAATGGACAACGTTACGTTGGCACCAGCCCGGCATCGCGCGAATGCCCTTGTCCCAGAAGGCCCAGATGTTCTTTTCGGAAGTGACGGGTTTGTACTCTTCCAAGGAGGCCAAAATCTCTTCATCGGAGCGCTGATCAATAACCTCGACATAGTGCAGTCGGGCCTCGAATTCTTGAGGAATAGTAAACTTTGGCGTAGATCCCATGGTTTGATGATTGACAGGCGAGATGGAATTGGGATATTCAGAAGTGAGGCTATCACTCAGTGGCGAGTCTGCCATTCCATTTATACAGAATTCGAGCCACAGGTGCAGTCCGACATGTGGACTCATTGGTCCGTGTGGATGAGACTAGTCGTGAGATGCTACCTGGCCGGATGCGCAGCACCCCTTTGGGCATCCATTGGGGGCCTAAGAATTGCAAGGTCTCAAGGATGAAAGCGGCTGAAACTCCAGTCGGTCCAATTTTCCATCCTGGTGTTCCGGAAGACTCGAGCTGCTATAGACAGCACCGACTTGTTCCCGGTTGGATGTAGATCTGCCGTGGCATTGTCTCCCACGGATTCGGGTTGGAGTCGCGCCAGACTTGTCCAAAAATAGCGCTGAGAGTACAATGAAGCGTGATAGATGGGACGGAGCCCTTCTAATAGATGATCCCCCTGGTGTCCAGTTCCAAGGGAGAGAAGAGGGATATGAGAAGGGCAGCGCTTCGTCTTCCAACTACTCGCTAGTTAACATGGCAAGACAGTATGAGCGAGAGAGGAAGTTGAGCTTAAAGGGGCAAGCGGGCCGTCACGTGGATCACTAGCGCATGATTATATAACGATATACACTAGCTCTCTTTGGGATTAGCCCCAATTTACGATTGAGGAGTTCGCGAGGCGCGTGCCATCAACTGCAGCCTCGCGTCGCTTTGGCGATCCAACAATCTTTCACAAATCCCCAACTTCCTGGCGCTGTCGCGCGCACGCCTTCGAACACCCTTTTCGCGACGACGCTTTCATCTGTGCATCATGCATATCAAGGAGATCACCATCCAAGGGTTCAAGAGGTAAGAACTACCTAAGCGCAGACCCAGAAATCGGGCCTGACCGATATCTGCAGCTACAAAAACCAGACCGTGGTCAACCCGTTCTCCCCCAAACTCAACGTCGTCGTCGGGCGCAATGGCTCCGGCAAGAGCAACTTTTTCGCCGCCATCCGATTCGTACTTAGCGATGCCTACTCACAGATGGGACGCGAAGAGCGACAGGCCCTCATCCACGAGGGGTCGGGCTCTGCAGTCATGTCCGCCTACGTCGAGATAGTGTTTGATAACTCGGATGGGCGGTTCCCCACCGGAAATGACGAGCTCATCCTGCGCCGCACGATCGGGCTCAAGAAAGACGAATACTCTCTCGACCGCAAGAATGCGACGAAACAAGATGTCATGCAGCTACTTGAAAACGCCGGGTTTTCGCGTGCCAACCCATATTATATTGTTCCTCAGGGTCGCATCACCAGACTGACAAACATGAAAGACTCCGAACGGCTGGACGTGCTGAAAAGCGTCGCAGGGACACAGCAGTTTGTCGCCAAAAAAGATGAGTCACAGAAGATCATGAACGACACCAGTAACAAACTAGCTGCAATCGATCAGACTTTCGAGCAGATCGAAGACCGTCTCAAGGAACTCGAAGAGGAGCAAGCAGAACTCCGGGATTTCCAGGAGAAGGACCGGGAAAAGCGTGCATTGGAATACACTCTGTTCCATCGCGAGCAAGATGAGCTTAATAGGGCGTTGGCAGAGCTGGAAGATCGAAGAGTAGGTGGGATTGACGAGGTCGATGAGAATCGGGAACGCTACGCACAAGGCGAGGACGAGCTGGCCAGAATTTCTCAGCAAATCCAGCAACTCAACCATCAAATCCAGGCCGCACGGCTCGAGAAGAGACAATATGAAGACGAAAAGCGAGAAAAGGCAAGGGCGCGAGCCCAAGTCGAGTTGGAGGAGAAGAATCTAGTCCACGGACAGGCGGCGGCTCAACGTGCCAAGCAAGATCGCGACCGAAATCTGAAACAAATTCGAGCGCAGATACGGGAGATCGAACAAGAACTGAGCACTGTCATTCCACAATTTCAGGCGGAGAGGGCAAAAGAACTGGCCGCCAAAACTCGACTAGAGGAAGCGACCGCTACGCAGCAGCGACTCTATGCAAAACAAGGGAGGAATGCTCGATTCAAGTCGAAGAAAGATCGGGACAACTGGCTTCAAACACAGATTGACGAGACATTCCAATCTCTGTCCCGTTTCAAAGCCACTCGCATGCAGACCACCGAGGGCATCGCAGACGATGAAAAGGAGATTGCTAGTCTGGAGGAGGAGATACAAGGCCTTCAGCAGCGAATCGGCGCACAGGGCCATTCCATTGACCAGGATATCCAAGCAGCCAACGAGAAAAAGGACGCGTTGATGGACGAGCGACGAACGTTGTGGCGCAGGGAAGCGCAGTTGGACTCGGAATACGCGGGGGCCCTCGACGACCTTAGGAAGGCTGAACGCAATCTGTCGCACATGATGGATGCCAACACCAGCCGCGGCCTGGACGCTGTTCGGCGCATAAAACAACAGTACAATCTGGAAGGTTGCTATGGGCCGCTTGCGGAGCTGATTGATGTTCCTCAACACCACACGGCTGTGGAAGTCACCGCGGGAGGTTCTCTCTTCCATTACGTCGTCGACAACGACGACACGGCTAGCAAGGTCATGGAAATCTTGAACAGAGAGCGCGCCGGGCGTATTACCTTCATGCCGTTGAATCGACTGAAGCCCAAAACGGCAAACTTCCCTAATGCGCAAGATGCAAGACCGCTCATGTCGCTCATCAACTACGACGAGAGGTTCGAGAAAGCCGTCCAACAAGTTTTCGGCAAAGCCATCATTGCACAGAACCTCAGTGTCGCAGCGCAATATGCTAGAACTCATGGCTTAACCGCGGTGACCCCAGAGGGCGACCGGTCCGACAAGAAAGGTGCATTGACCGGTGGTTTCCACGATGTCCGTTCTTCGAGGCTCAAAGCAACGAAGGCGGTCATGGCAGCCCGGGAGAAATTCGAGGCAGTCAAGGCGGAGGGCATCGCCAATAAGAGGAAGGTCGAAAAGATTGACCAGACGATCACCAAGGCCATGAGCGAAGTACAGAGACTCGAGCAACAAAAGAACCAGTCTCAAAGCACCCAAGTCTTACTCAAGCAAGAGCTCAGAAGCAAGATGGACATGCTCCAACGCAAGAAGGAAGAACTCGAAGCGAAACACAAGCAAGAGGCGTCGATCGCGGCAAATGTCAAGATACTGACTGACCAACTATCTGCTTACCAGGCCGAGTTGGGCTCAGACTTTAAGAAGGCGCTGAGTGCAGCCGAAGAGAAACAGCTAGAGAGTCTGGCAGTCAGCATCCAAAAACTGAGGCGCGAGTACAACGAACTCTCTGCGGCGAGGGCGGAGACTGAAACCACAAAGGCTGACTTGGAAGCTCGATTGAACTCCAGCCTGAAACCCCAGCTCGAAGCGCTCGAGACCGATGAAGTAGACGAAGAGACTAGCAGCTCTTCCTACCTACGTGGCAAGAGAACGGAGTTGGCACGTCTGACTAAAGAGCTCAACTCTGTCCAGGGTTATCTCGATGAGCTTGAGGACCGGCTGGAGACTTCGGCGATCCAGATTGGAGAGCTTGAGGCGGAAGCGGCCGAGATCGGACGCCAACAAGAAGGATTGGCCAAGGCGATCGAACGACACCAGCGCCGTCTGGAGAAAGCCGTCCAAAAGAAGGCTGCTCTCTTGGCCTCGAAGCAGGAAAATGTGGAGAGCATCCGCGAACTCGGCGCCATACCTGATGACTTGCGGAAGAAGTACCAGAATACTGACTCGAATGCTATTGTCAAGAGGCTCCAAAAAGCAAAGGAAGCCCTGAAGAAATACAACTCTGTCAACAAGCATGCCTTTGAGCATTATCGAAAATCGCTGAAGCAGCGGGAAGAGCTCACTGCAAGGCGAGAGGAGCTGCAGGCTGGAAGGTCGTCGATCGAGAACCTAATCACCGTTCTTGATCAGAGGAAGGACGAAGCCATCGAGCGCACTTTCAAGCAGGTTAGCAAAGCGTTTGCCGAGGTGTTTCAAAAGCTTGTCCCTGCCGGTCGAGGTCGATTGATCATTCAACGGAAAACCGACAAGAGGCAAGCTGAGGACGAAGACGAAGAATCGGATGCTGAGACTGTCTACAAGCGCGGTGTTGAGAACTATACGGGTGTGGGCATCAGTGTCAGCTTCAATAGCAAACATGACGACCAGCAGCGCATTCAACAGTTGAGTGGTGGCCAGAAGAGTAAGTCCGCTACTATCCCTGGAGATGACTTTTGGCTAACTTTGTTGTCTAGGTCTATGCAGTCTTGCACTCATCTTTGCCATCCAAGCCACTGACCCGGCACCGTTCTACATCTTCGACGAGATTGACGCAAATCTCGACGCACAGTACCGGACCGCCGTGGCTGACCACCTTCTGTACCTTGCCAACAGAGCGGAGGACGAACCCGCGAATGGCGACGAGAGACCCTTAGGGGGACAGTTCATCTGTACAACGTTCAGACCTGAAATGCTGAGGGTGGCGGACAAGTGTTTCGGCGTGCGCTTCGCCAATAATGTGAGCAGCATTCGGGAAGAGTCGAAGGAAAACGCGCTGGACTTTATTGAGAGCCAAACGCAATGATTGGGACGTGGAGGTATTGTATCTTTGCTGGCCGTGGAAGCGCCGTATCTTGGGTTTCAGGGATAGATGATGATGACGACGGATGACGATCGAGGTCTTAACGATATCGTCGGCACTGGTGGCAGGGGTTAATTGTAGAGTACTCCGTTTGCAGACAGGGGCCATGAACACAAGGATCTCGAGGCGGCATGGCTCTGGCTCTGTCTCCATCACTCGATGTGCTGCCTGCGGTTGCCTGCGGTTGTCTCGTGTGACGGGCGAGCGCGTAAAGAGCAACGCGTCCGTGTCAACAACGCCAAGCCATTGACGTGCCTGTGGATCCCGGGCCAGTTTTTGACTGCAACAATTTTGCATCCATTTTCCCTTTCTTCCCGCCTGGCGGCAGCCAGCGACGGACCCCTGCGTTTGACTCTTCAAGTCGTTTGTCTTCAGTATCAAGCACGACACCAGTCCCAAAGTCTCTATTTTGTTTGAACACACTTCTGGACCTGAGCGGGAGTCATACCTCGACTTGCTCAGAGGCATCTCGCTTCGAACTCGACAAATAGTTCTACTGCCATACGACTCGCCATATCTTTCGAATATACTTATTCAAGATGAAGTACGTTCTTGTGAGCGGTGGTGTGATCAGTGGGATTGGCAAGGGTATCATTGCGTCGTCGACCGGCCTTCTACTCAAGACGGTGGGCTTGAAGGTCACAGCCATCAAGATTGACCCATACCTGAACGTGGATGCTGGAACAATGGCCCCAACTGAGTATGCAGGCTTTGGTTATGCCTTCACTCGTCTGTCTAACTCTCTTGCAGGCATGGGGAGTGCTTTGTCCTCGACGATGGCGGCGAAGTCGACCTTGATCTCGGAAACTACGAGCGATATCTCAACGTTACCTTGACCTTCGAGAATAGCATCACGACCGGGAAAGTGTATCAGCAGGTCATTGAGCGTGAGAGAAGAGGAGATTATCTTGGCAAGACTGTCCAGGTGGTTCCGCACATAACAAATGCGATCCAGGACTGGATTGAAAGAGTCGCAAGAATTCCCGTCGATGATACAAAGGAACAGCCGGATGTCTGCATAATCGAGTTGGGTGGGACGGTAGGTGACATCGAGAGTGCACCCTTTATTGAGGCCATGCGGCAACTGCGAAGAAGAGCAGGTCGTGACAATTTCATCCACATCCATGTTTCGCTTGTGCCGGTCATTGGCAGTGAGCAAAAGACGAAGCCTACACAGCAAGCCATACGGGACGTACGCTCAGCCGGTCTGGCACCTGACTTGGTAATCCAGATTTTCCTGTGCTCTCTTATTGTTAGGGACTAATTATGGCCAGATTGCATGCCGATGCCAGGAACAACTTGTCGAGGCTACAACGAACAAGATCGCCATGTTCTGTCAAGTCGAGCCTTCGCAGGTTCTGGCCGTCCACGACGTCAAGTCGACATACCACGTGCCGATGCTCCTTGAAGAACAAGGTCTGCCCGATCAGCTCCGCGAGCTCTTCCGTCTGGACGCATACAAGATTGCCCCTTCATTGGTCACTAAAGGCCAGCAGATCTGGCAGGAATGGAAGCGTTTGACGACGCCACAAGATCGCTTTTTGGACTCTGAAAAGGTCAATATTGCTTTGGTTGGCAAATATACAAACCTTCACGACTCTTATCTCTCCGTCATCAAGGCTCTGGAACACAGTGCCATGGCTTGTCGACGCAAACTCAACCTCGTTTGGGTTGACGCAAGCAATCTCGAAAAACCCACACTAGATTCAAATCCAGAGAAATACCACAAGGCCTGGCACGAACTATGCACGGCCGATGGTGTTCTAGTCCCCGGTGGATTCGGACACCGCGGTACTGAAGGGATGATTGCGGCAGCCAACTGGGCTCGAACAAAACCCAAACCATATCTCGGAATTTGTCTGGGCATGCAAGTCGCTGTTGTTGAGTTTGCCCGCAACGTATGTGGCCTGAAATCGGCGCACTCGGTCGAATTAGACGGACAGACGCCTGACCCTGTGGTCATTTTCATGCCGGAAATCGACAAGACGACCATGGGCGGCAACATGCGACTGGGCCTGCGTCCTACCATCTTTCAGGAGAACACTCAGTGGTCGCGGTTGCGGAAACTGTACAACAACGAGCCTAGCATCAATGAGCGGCACCGTCATCGCTATGAAGTGAATCCCGACTATATCGCTCGCCTATCCGACGCCGGCTTGACATTCATCGGCAAAGATGACAAAGGCGAGCGCATGGAAGTCATGGAGCTGAAGGAACATCCATTCTTTGTGGGTGTCCAGTTCCATCCCGAGTACCTTAGTCGGGTGCTCCGGCCCAGTCCGCCATATCTGGGCTTTGTGGCTGCGAGCGCCGGCATGCTCGAGCAGGCATTCTCTGCCGTAGCGGCGCGAAACGAGTCACTGGTCGGCGAAGTGGTTCACCCACCCCATGAAAACGGCGTCAAGGGCGCCTTGACCAACGGAATGAGCCAGGTGTCGCTTTCGTCATCCTCGGGTTTCTGAGGCTCAATGGATGGAGGCAACATGGGCACCTCTCGGATATCAAGTTGGAGGACCTGGGGTCTCAGAAGAGGGCGACGTGCGCAATGTTGAATATGCCGGGTCTTGTCTAAGCAAAGCGACAAGCCTCTCCTTCTTTCCCCATGCAACCATCCATGCTAAGGCATCACGAATCATTTGCTATGAAAGGGTATTATCGCGTGCTTTGGACTGCATCTGTCGGATATGGGACTTAGGAACACACTATTACGGCACCCCACGAGATTGGATAGAATTGGTTCTCAAGGACCGCTCAGGACGGCGTATCATCTATATCATGTGCTAGTGATCAGGCCTTCATGTCTCCAGTGCCTTTTATATGAAATCATGAATCTTGGATTGTCTTTGGAGCCGACTCTTTTTTTCCCTCGTGCGCTAGTTCTGTACGGCGCTTCGTGTAAACTCTTTTGACGGCCCATTGTGGAAGACCGTTATACAGTCCAGCTCGATAACCACGTCACGTTGAATCCCGGTATTGATGATGCCGACCTCCTCTACTGCCACTCGATCCTGCATTCGCAGTTGCTGGCGCGCCAGAAGAGCTAGTGTCGAACGGCTTGCCGCCCGCTCTCTCCCTGTGGATGTGCGTGGTCTTTCCGTCCGTCCGAACCAGCTCCTCTTCGCGGACGAAGACGGCGCCCTGCTCGAGATCGTCCCGTTCGCATCCTTGGGAACCATGCGTCGCATCCTCCACACACCTCGCGATGCCGTCGTTGCCATTGTCATCGTTATCGGCGCCAACGTCACCATCGCCCGGGCTGTTGGCAACTCTCAGCCTGGCCCTCTCCCGGTCCACCCACCTCCTCCAGGGCTTGTAGCAGAGCACGCTGATGCCGCCGACGACGACGAAGCTGCCGCAGATGGCGCCGCCGATGACCTCGTACAGGTCGCCGGCCCTGGCGACGCCGTCCCAGAACGCGCCCTTGGGAGAGGCGACGTTGAGGATCAGCGAGAGGAGCTGCAACATGCCGATGATGATGGCGCACAGCACGGTCAACGAGGTCAGGACAATCGAGTAGTATAGAAACGTCAGGGGATCTTTGACGCGTGCTGCTGGTGGATGGGGGGTGGGGGGCGCCGCTTGTTGGTGCTGTGGCGGTTCTGTCGTCGCTGGATGTATAGCTGCTTGTTCGACGTCTTCTAGGACCAGCGGATCGTCTGGGGTCGTGAGGATCTGCTCGGGAATCCCGTGACTCTGGGCCTCTTCGCCTGGGAAGGCCTTCTTGCTCGTGCCCATGCCCATTGGAGCAACGTACAGACTCATCATGAGCGCGCCATCTATCGTGTCGACGAGGCACATCCCTGCAGTAAACAGCACGGGGAAGATCAAGATCAGCCAGATGCTGGTTCCTTTGGCGCCCTGAATGCTGCTGATCCCCAGTAGGGCGATCTCGGAGCTCGTGTCAAAGCCCATGCCGAAGAGGACTCCGAGGGGATACATCTTCCACGGGCGGTCGATGAGCTTGAACATTTTCTTCAGCACGCGGAAGAGGCATCCGCCCCCTTCGATCTTCCAGGCCTCCTCGGCCTCTTGGTCCGGCTGCAGGCGGATGACCTTTTTGATCTGCACGACCAGCTTGTACAGGATGTAGGCGTTCATGATACCAAGCAGGATCAAGAACGCCGCCGAGACAGAAGTCCCGATGATACCTCCGACAGTGCCAAAGCTGTCAAACCGCCCGGCTATGCCTGCTGCGGTGGCTGCGACCACAATCGACGTTATGACGACGATGGTGCTGTGGCCGAGGCTGAAGAAGGTCCCCACAGTCACTGGTCTCTGACCCGTCGCTATCAATCGGCGGGTCATCAGGTCGATGGCAGAAATGTGGTCGGCGTCCAGGGCATGGCGAAGACCCAGGGTGTACGCTAACGCCGCGGTGGAGAGAAGATGAGTGTGCGACGACAGAATCAGGCCGCATATCGCCCAGACCACGAGGTTGACCAGGATCAGCAAGGTGACGATCAAGATGACCGGAAGGGGAAGCCTTCGGAGATATGGGATGCCATCGTGAAGGGCAGAGAGGCGGCCATGTATGTTCCGTCGCCGTCTCTGAAGCCGTGACTTCCACGAGCTGGAGCTTCGTGGAGGAGCTGTCGAGGACGAATCCCGCTCCTCCACTGAGCCCGAGCCTGAGGTTGCCATAGATTCCTGTCTCCAGGAAAATTCCTGTCCACTCTTGGCTTCTTTTTCCCAGTCCGCTTTTAAGTCTCTCCTCCTGTGTCTCCTCCTACACCTACCTCAACAGCAGCTGCAGTAACAGCTGCAGGACAGACGAGTCTCGGAGAGCGTCTAGACGAGGTTGGGCGAAGGAAGGAGGGAGGGTGTTCGGGACGACCAAATTCTGGAGAGAGGATGCCCTTGGTGATGTATTATAGCGGGCAAGCCACTAAGTATCGCGGGGTCAATTGGGAGAAAATGCCCGTGCTCCTGGCAAGCGGTTAGTCATGCTGGTAATCGAGCTTGCAAATGTGTAGTAGTCATTGGAGAGAGTCATTGGTGCGGGGTGCTCGATAAGGTCAGAATGCCCATTCTGCTATTGTCCATTACCCCTCGCCTCCAAATGCCCCCCTAAAGGACGCCGAGAGAAGCCGGAGCCTCGCCAGATCCAGTATGCGAGACATTCTTGTTTGGGCAGGTATACAAGTTCCTAGACTGATAGGATATAAGTATGTCGACATGGCTTGCACTGCTCTCCAGGAGCACATGTTACTGCAGTCGCTGCAAGGCGGGGTGGCGACGGCAAGGCTGTGCCAAGGAGTTGTCAGCCTTGTACGCCACGCAAGGCTGAGGCGGGTGAGTCACGGGGGGGGGGGGGAACGAGGCTGAGGCCAAGAAACCCCCCCGGCCCTCGGCAAGCTGACCCAACAATATGTATTTCAATGACCAAGTTCCCTTTCTCCTTCTCTTCCCCCTCTCTGCCTCCTTGAATTATATCACATTCAACGGCCCCAAGTTGACGGAAAACTCCAGTTGTGCTTCAAGATGCCCTGGCCGCCGCTCCAAGAACGTCTGCTCAGCCTCCTTGAACCGGGCTATTTGCTATATGCCAGCGCTGTTTGTATGTTCTGTCCTTCTGTGGCTCTGACAGTCCCAAGAATGTCTATCACCTGGGCTCTGACGAAAATCTGGTAGCCTTCATCACCACTGCTCTCCAGTTCTATATCCTCCAATTCAACCTCCCTTCCAAGTCCAACTTCAAGAAAGTCCGGGACGATGCTTTCTCAAAGTTCTGGACCAAAGCCACTGGTAAGTTGGCCTCCCAGCCATCACCTTCTTCTGGGAATGAGAAACAAGGGGAAACAAGGTCATGGTATTTATGCAGTCTCCAGCGCCTGTCGACCCGGCCCCTCCTCCGAAGGGCTCCGCGACATTAGTTCCGCCCTTACTATCCCGCACTCACGGGGTTGTTCTGGATATCGGGCCCGGATCAGGGTCTTACGTGTCGTTGTTCTCCGATAACCCCAATATTAGCGCCGTATATGGGGCGGAGCCGACGCCTGGTCTTCACGCCCCATTGCAGCTTCGGATCAATGAAGCCAAACTCACTGGCAAATATCATATCCTCAGCAGCACCGCCGACAAGGCCGAGTTGTTGGCCGCTCTGGCACAGAAAGGCGTCAAGCCCTCCCCCAATGGCATCTTCGACACCATCGTATGCGTCCGGGTGCTTTGCTCGGTTCCTGACCTGGAACAAACCGCCAAGGAATTGTATTCCCTCTTGCGACCCGGGGGAGAATTGATGATTGTTGAGCATTTCCGGAACCCGTGGACGAAGAATGGCAGCATTCTGGGCCGCTTGATGCAACTCCTCTACCACCTGCTCGGCTGGCAGTTCTTCCTCGCTGGCTGCAACATGGATCGCGATACGCCAAACGTGTTGAGGAAAGCGGCCCCTTGGGAAGCCGTCGACTTGAAGACAAATTTCGAATGGAGTGCCCTGCCATATGTCGCAGGCACGTTGACAAAGAAGCGCTAGTCAGGCAGCCAGAAAAACTCTGGATCAGTGGATGAGTACAGGCGCGGAGTTTGAAACCGAAGCCTGAGTCCCATCAACTGGGTTTCTCAGCGTGGTATTGAAAATGGTGTGCATGCGTGCTGTCTCTTTTGTCTGCAGGTGGTCGGTGTGGCTCCCGTCCGTTCAAAGCTCCTCGCTCAAGAGCGGCGATCAAACATGCGATGCGATGTGTTGTTGCTGCGCATGAGGCCTGCATTTGCGGCCGCTGTCCATCAAAGCTGTGCGTTCCAGGATGTGATGTGTGTGCATGTACGTATTTGTCACCTGCTTGTCTCTTTTGCGTCTTTCTTTCAACAAGCCGAGCTGCGTATCGAATCAAATACTTGTTGTCAACTCGACGATTTCCTGAAAATTTATCGCTGTGCGCAAACCGGTTGTGCAATCATATCTACCCTATTACTTTCTCCTCTTTCTTGTCAGTGGAATTGAATGCAGCTGGGTGTATGCGGAGCTTACCTGTCGCCCTCTCCGTTGTTGAAGTGGGCACTGCACCACGCCGGCACAAAGAAATGTTTGCTGTCGCGTCTCTTAAGTTGTTGTTTGCCTTCTCTTTTTGGTCCACCCTTGCAAGGCAAGGTGAAGGATATATTGCCAAAATATCTTTCTCGTTTAGCTTGAACTCTTGCCTTTGCAACACTTCATTTCCCATCGTCTCCAGAATGGACCGCGACAACGGTTCTCAAAGCCCTGGATCATCTCATCCCAGTCAAAGCAGCAGTTACGACAGCCCCGACGAAGAGACAGCCAGACACCTGACCTTATTCGCTTCAGAACATGACACCAAGAACAGCGGCCATGGACTCTCTTCCACCCTTCTCCGCGAGCTGGAGGCAGCGCCCCTGTTCTCAAGCCAGGTCAAGCAATGTCTCAACGCGGGGACAGACGACGAGCACCCGAAACTTCCAGCTTACGGTCTCTTGGGACTACGAACGCGGGCATTCAACGGGTCTGACACGCCGCAGCAGGATCTGCCCAGGGAGGACAATCTAATCTACGCCAACATGCAGCATCCGTGGTCAACCTTCATCTGCGGCCAACAAGGCGCCGGCAAGAGCCACACCATGTCCTGCTTGCTCGAAAACGCCCTCATCAGCGACAGCAGCATGGGCCCCAACCCGAAGCCCATGTCCGGCCTGGTCTTCCACTACGACAAATTCACCTCCGCCAGCGCGACCCAGGTTTGCGAAGCCGCCTACCTCAGCTCGCAGGGCATCAAGGTGCAAGTGCTCGTCTCCCCCTCGAATCTGCCGGGCATGACAAACCTCTACCGCAACCTGCCGAACTGGCCGCCCGGCGCCCCGAGGCCGGAAGTCCTCCCATTCCTGTTCAGCGAGAGGCATCTCAACGTGGCGAACCTCAAGGCGCTCATGGCCGTGGACAGCGAGGACAGGAGCCCGCCCCTGTACATGGCCATCGTCAACAAGGTGCTCAAGCAGCTCTCGCTCATCGACACCACGGCGGGGGTCAAGTACCGCGCGATGAAACAGGCGGTCGGCGGGGAAGGGTTGACGCCCTCACAAATGTCCTTCCTCGAGATGCGGTACAGCCTGATCGAGTGGTTCTTGAAGGAGACGGCGGCGCCGACCATCCGCGAGCGAGCCGGCAAGATCAAGTTCCGGCCGCAAACCATCTTGATCGTCGACCTGAGTTGCCCCTTCATCACCGAGTCCGACGCGTGCACGCTCTTCTCCATCTTCCTCCAGGTCTTCCTCGGCAAGCGAGACAAGAGCCCCCTGATCATCGCCCTGGACGAAGCGCACAAGGTAAATAAAAATTGTGACACCTACCTCCCGTGCAAAAAGATCAATAGACTGACACACATCCTCGACAGTTCTTGACCGAGACTCCGGCCGCGAAAGCCTTCTCTGAGGACCTGGTGCAGATCATCCGCCAACAACGCCACCTGGCCACGCGCGTGGTGATCGCGACGCAGGAACCGACCATCTCGCCCAAGCTGCTCGACCTGTGCAACGTGGCCGTCGTGCACCAGTTCCAGTCGCCCGAGTGGTACAAGGCCCTCCAGAAGCACGTGGCGGCGCTGGCGCGGTCGAAGAGTGGAAGCGATGGCGGCAGCAGCGGCGGCCATGACGACGTCTTCAAGATCATTGTCCGGTTGGGTCAGGGGGAGGCCCTGGTGTTCTGTCCAAAGGCGTACTTTGACATTGACGACGGCGGGGAGAGTCCCGGTTTCAGACCGCTGGAGGATGGGTACGCGAAGGTCAAGATCAGAGGCAGGCTCACGGCGGATGGAGGGAGGAGCATCCTGGCGTCTGACGCGATGGGCAAGGGGGAGTGAAAAGTGCAGAAGAATGCATGATTCTCGGGGGTGGAAAGGGTTGTTCGAAAGGACGTTGGACACGAGAGCACGTTAGTCGGGCTTCGTCTTCCTGGAGGTCGACGGCATGTGTATCGCGTTTCTTTGCGCTGAGGACATGCGATATGGGTTTGCGCCCTTTTTCAATCTCGACTCGTCCAACGTATCGTTCTGAATAAAGGACACGAATTTGCAAGCCTGACTACATGTTTTCTACAGTCCCCGTCTGTGTTCGCTGCTGAGAGCACCTAGGGGTCGCCCAGGAAGCAGCATCCGAGCCGAAGAGTGAGGAAAGTCGTGAGTGGTCCGTTACTATGGATCGATGGGCCAGAGGCTGTTGCGCACGAGAGTAGCTACACAGTCCACAGGAGTGTAATGTGCAGGAAATGGTTGAACGAGGCAATTTGCCAGAACAGCTCGTGCAAACTGGCGTGGTGTGATGTTTGTTGGTCCAGCCTCGGCATCGGCGCAAGGCTGCGGCGAATCGGGGAAAAAAGGGGCTTGGCAAGGCTGTGAAGATTTGAGGGGGCATGTGCTTGCATGTGCACCCATCATCCCAACAACGTCGGGCTCAGAAACACATCAGGGACCGTCGAAAGAGGCTCGCTACCACGAACTGGTGCTACTGGTATGGGTGGTCGACTGCTTTCCCCGAAAAGAATGCACCACCGCCGCAAACGCAACGTCAGTGGCATGTTTCGTGCTGATCTTCGGTGGCGTGAGAAGCATGTCATGCGTCCCACTCTGCCTTACCACGCCCATTTCCCTCGTCTATTCGTCAGGAATCATCACAGAGACGCGAGGAAATCATCTTCCTCGAATCTTCCAGGACTCTGGAACCAATCCAATGGCTCTCCGGTAAGCAAGCTGTTTTGTTAAGTTAAGTTCGAGGGACAGCGTACGATCACGCCGTTGTCCCTGTTGCAGGTGTTTTGAAAATACCTCGTGACTCTCGGCCTCTCCCCTCTCCGTCTGCCTGGGTAGTTTCAATGCGCGAATTCCCGCCCATTCCCGGTCAGGAGAAAGATCAAAAGGTATTTGTACACCTGGACATAATCTCGTGGGGTCATTTGGGTCTGCAGCTTGTTAAAGACATTCAAGATACAATACAAACAACAATTACCACCACCACCATTGAAGACAACTACTTCGACCATATCATCATCAATTGATTTCTTCACCAACAAAGACCTCGAGAATCTCTATCAAGCGATACCAAACAACACACCCGTACAAAAAATCAACCACCAAACCAAAACCAAACCGACATGGGAGTCCTCCAACAAACCCTCCCCCTCTCGCTCATCTACTTCTCCCTCGTCTTCCTCTCGGGCCTGATCCTCGGGTCCATCCGCGTGCCCTACCTGCAACCGCTGCTGGGCGCGCGGTACGCCGAGCTGTTCGAGATGCCCATCATGCTGATCGTCATCTGGCAAGCCGCGCAGGTGACGGTGTGGAACCTGGACTCGGCCTCCGCAGCCCCCGCGGGCTCCAAACGGCCCTTGGCGTCGATGAGCACCAGCAAATGGTCCCTCCTGAAGTTCCTGACCTCGCCGCCCCCGACACCGCTGATGATCGGCGCGCTGGCCCTCGTGTGGCTGCTGGCCGTCGAGCTGGCCGTCAGCGTCGTGGCGCAGATGTCGCTGCACGGCGGGTCCTGGTGGGATGGCGTCTACCTGTACGTGGCCGGGCGGGACGTCGTCGCCGGCCCCGTGTACGCGACGGCCCTGCTGGCGTACGCGGTCATGCCGTGGGTCGCGTGGCTGTCCCAGACCCAAGAGGACACGGACAAGCTGCTGTGGGACTTTGACGAGACCCAGGCCGAGCAGGAGGATTACTGCTCGCGGTGAAAAAGGGGAAAAAAAAGGAGCCGGGACCGAACACCGGGACCGGCGAGAACTTCATATCAAAAACACGCTGCACCATCACGACGACGCCGACGACGCCATGGTAGTGCTGGGCGGCGTCGACGGAGGCGGGATTAGAACTAGACGAGATTGAATTGTTGTACTACATGTCAAAGCACACAGGAGGCCCGGGGGGGGGGTGTCAGTACAGGGAAAGAATGTATGAATATGTGCACTAGCGGCCATACAGGCCATAGTAATGAGCATTTGATGTAACGGTTTCCGTCGAAATTGAAATCTTTCTGATCAAAATCGTTGGTGCCATGTGCGCGCGGGGAATAAGGAATGGATTCGTCGCTCCATCGAATCCCGACTCAAGCCAGAAGAGCGACAAGGTGCCGCCGGGGTCCCTTGTTCGGCGTTGTTCCCCTCAAGAGAAATATCTACTACGACGCCACATCGAGCTGGAGAGAGCCACTCACTCTCCCAAGCAGGAAATCGGCGAAGAGGAAGTTCAAAAAATCCATACCCTTGACCACCACCCAAGATCGCCTCGCCCAGCACAGCACAGAAAAAAACAATTGTAGCTACTAACCCCCTTCGCCCGTGCCCAACCAACCACCCACCAAGCCAAACCACGCCGCAGGGCGAAGAAATGCGACGACAGCGTTGCCCTCACAAAGCCGCGTCTCAATCTCAATTCCCCGGCCCCTTGACCGGGATCTTCTTGACCCACACCTTGAACGTCTCCTCGACCCGCCTCTGCGCTGCACCGTTGCCGTTGCTCTTGTCGGCCTCGACGCGCTCAAAGCTCTCTTCGCGCGCGAACAGGCCCCAACTCCCCAGCGTCTCGAGGTACTCCTCCATCGACTCGTCCTCGAGCCGTCGGTAGCCCTCGTTCCGCCAGCCGGGCAGGAAAGTGTTGTGCCACGCGAGGTACACGTCCTTGGCGTGCCGGTTTGCCAGGATCGGCGTCGTGAAGAGCTCCACGTCGTCGTGTGGGATGGATGTCGTCACCGGCGCCGCGGCGGCTGCGGCGGCGGCGGCGGCCTTGGCTATGTCCTCTGCAGACTCTTCAAACAGGTCGTCGAGCCCGTCGCTTTCGGCGGTCGCGGTCGCGGTCGCAGTCTTGATCTCTTCAACAGCGCTGTCCATGATTGGAGTGGTTGTCTTTTCCCAGCGGACCGCAAACGTCGCGGCTTGTTTCACGGCTCGCTGGCGCTTTGCAGCACGGAACACTTTCTTTTTTAGGTCCACCAGATCTCGCTCGATCCATACCCGCGCCTCGATCGTGGCATCTTCGCCAACAACAAGGTGCTGCTCTATCAGCTCGTAGTGCAGCTTCGTGTTCACGTTCACTTGGCTCGGTTCGATGTCTTTCTCCGACCTGGCATAGCCGTTAATACCCTCGATGATCTCTAGGACTTTCTTCTGCGCCTGTTTGGCGTTGTATGTCTTCATGAAGTAGTAGTGGTCGGCGTCCTTGTAAATCTCAACACCTACGAAGACGCCCCAGACGGTGTACCTGAAAACCTGCCGATCTTCGTCTTCTTCTTCTTCGTCGTCGTCTTCTTCGTCTTCGTCAGAATTGTTCTCATGCATCGTCTCGGACTCACTGTCTGACTCGCCTGCTGTCGCGCGATCAATAACCGTAGAGTCTGTCGCTGCCTCCAACTGCTGCTGTTTCCTGAGCTGCATCTGTCGTAAAAGCTCGGGATCGAAACCTTGGCTCTGTGTTGGCTGGCTCTTTTTAAGGCGCATCTGCTTGAGCAGTTCGGGATCAACCTTTTGCTGGCTAGTTGCTGGTATATGCATGCCTGTGTCTCTCTGGCACCCATCTTCGATATCCTGCTCATTCCACATATTTGATCCCTGAAAAGTTTGGCTGTCCGCTACGCGGGATGTCCTCGGCATCGATGTGGCGTTCTGTCCGGCTCCAAAGACAAATTCAGCGCCATCGTCTTCTTCACTTTCATCGTCGTCATCGTGTTGAGTCGCGCGCTCAAGCTCTGCTTCGATCTCGGCAACTCGGCTTTGGAGATCCGCTACTTCTTCCTGTTCGGCCGTCTCAAAGAGCTTCAGTTGAGCCCTAAGCTTTTCGATAAGCTTCTCTTGGAGTTCGGATTGCGACTGTCGGTTCTCGATTGTCTTCGCCTTACTCTTGGGCCGCTTCTTCTGGGCAACCTTTGTCTCGTGCTCTGCAAATCGGACTTGTTTGTTCCTGCCCTTCTCTTCCGTGCGCTCTTTCGGCCATTCATTTCTCCTGGTTTCTTTCGGCCGAGCGACATGCCGCTTGGATTTGCGTTCACTCCGTAGCACACCCCAACGGTCGATTTCCTCTTGGACTTTGGGCGTTTCATCGTTTATAAAGTCGATATGCTTTCGGCTGAAGGTCCGTCTCATTTCGGTCATGATCGCAACGTCGCTAGGCTCTTTTTCGTTCTCTGCTGCCTTTTGCACGCGTCTTCGGATGTTGTCGCGGATGTCTTGTACTCGTGTCCTTCGCATCTTGCCCGGCTTTCCCTGCTCAATCACGAGAGCAATAAACTTCCCAATGTCGTAAAGCTCATTTGTCTCTATCTGCATGGTTCTCTCGGTTATTTCACGGTCTGCAAAGCAGCGTAACTGTGCGAATGTCCAGAACACACTCCCAAGAGCGTCCAAGTCTCTCTTTCTTTCCTTTGCGATCTCGTGCTGGACAACCACTTCTTTCTGTTCTTCTGAGAATTGGTCAAAGTTTTTGGGAAGGGTCAAGCCTCTATTGGAACCGGGCACAATGGACGATGATAGACGTGCGAACCTTTCCTGACTCGGCTGAGATTCTGTGTCTCGAGACTCTGTATGTGATGCACCGCGTTTTGCTGCTAGCGTCTCGAGGCCGAAAAGAGGTCGATCAAGGTGGTTCGATTCTGACATTTGTCCCCTAGCAACTTCCCGTTTAGCTGCAAGCATCTCCAGCCCCGAAAGAGGTCGATCCAGGGAATTCGAACCGTCATTCTGTTTGATTGCAGCTTCTCGCTTCGCTGCGAGCATCTCAAGACCAGACAGGGGCCGGGTGGATGGACTGTTGTTGGCCTCATTCTCAGCACTAGCACTGACTTGTGCCTTCGGCTGTTCCATGGCGGATCCCAAGTAGCTCGCGCGATCATTGGATTCCTCACGAAGATGATTGCGTCGAGCTCTAGGGTTAATCTCGTCATCCCTGGGGAACTTATTGTCTTGGGGAGGGTTGCTCACCCTTCCCCTAGCCGCATGCCCAGTCAAAACAGCTTTTTGGGCCTCACGCAAGCGCTCCTCCTTTTCTTGTAGACTCAGCTCCTCAGATATCGAGCCAAGATCATGACTCTCTCTTGACTGCGAGGTCTGTGATCCAATGTCTTCAATTTGGGGGTTACGGTCACCACCCAAATGTCGGCTTTGCGTCCGAAATTGCTCAGCGGCTGCACGCGAAGCGGGATTTTGCGCCGTGGGTCTCTTTACGTGCCGATCTATCCTGTTGTCGCTCTTGGTTAGCTTGTACCCTGCCTTGAACTGCTTGCTTTTGACCTACTTCGCTTTGTCGCGTACCTCTGTCTGGGTGGGATTTGAGTTCTTTGTGACATGCTCTTGTGCAATGTCCAAGAGGTCCTCCATACACTGTGACTGACCGTCATCGTCAGAAAACAGGTCGTTTCTTGAGCTGTTATCCCCCTCAGTGTCTGATACTGTCTTACTTTGTTCCGACATCGAGCCGCTTTCAATAGTCGGTAGAAGTCCGCGGCGCCGCAAGGCATTCTCTCGGAGCTGTCTGCTCCGCTCGACGCCGGCCTCTTGATAGATGTGCATGTATTCACGAGCCAGTTGCATGAGTTGCTCCTCTTCGTCCAATTCTGCCTTGGATGTTGTTGCAGATGATTTAGATGTTATCGGTTTGTGTCCGTGGAATCTCGATAACAGATTGCTAAGGCGTTCTTGTTGTTCTTCTGGACTTTCCCCATCACCAGAATTTGCCGGACTGACCACGTTCGACCAATATCCCTCGTCTTCATGGTCAGAGTCTTGGTAGAGACATGACCCAGGATGAGGGTCTGGACGCAACCAACCTTCGTCGTCAGAGAGAGGGAAGCCATGGGGGAACGGATTGACGAATCCAAACTTTTCCTGATTGTACGTCTCAGTGTAGGGCCGGGGTGCCATGGGTTGGCTCTGGAGGTAGTCGCTCATGCCACCGAACTTCTCGAATTTCTGATTAGCAATTTCGATAGCCCGTTTCGTCGGGACGAGACGCCGTTTCTTCCTTGGCTCTGGCGAGGAAGACAAGGAGCGTTTATTCAGAGACTTTTTGAGGTTGGCTCGTGGAGGATCTAGATCAATTGGAGAAAGAAATGAACCAGCCTTTTCATGATGTGACGGAGCGGCTGCCTCGTATATGGCCAAGGCTTCATTGATTTCTGCCAATGAAGGCTTTATGTCCAGATCAGAGAAGCTGATATTCGTACAGGTATCTGACGGCGGGGAGGGAGGACAACCCGAGTTTTCGATCTCAACAGACTCATAGATCTCGTCCGAGTTATCGACGGCCCGCCAGTTGGTGATCTGGAAAGCTTGTGATCTGACTGTCTCCCGGCTTTCCACTGGAGGCAGACGCTTGGGCGGGATTGAAGCCTTGGATGAAATGTCACCTGGTGAGAAGGAAGTCATACCGTTTTGGCTGCGGCTTGATGAAATAGCGGCCGTCTGGCTCGACTCTCGATCTGTTGGGACTGTAGAGGTTTGCAGATGGAGAGGTCTGATGGTGATGTTTGGAAATTGCTCGGCGAATAAAGGGATGTCGGGATTGATCGTTGAGTTGCTAGCGCCCATTGTTATAAGGTCTTAACCGCGACTCGGGTTGTGGCGGAAAGCGTTCTGCAGAGATCCTGGCAAAGTGAAGAAAGGAGCGACTGAGCGGGCAAGTCCCAAGCAGAATGTGATCGAGACAGAGATAAGTCAAGTTGGTGGCGAGGTAGGATTGAGGGTGTGCGGAATACGAGAGGAGTGGGAAATTCTCTTGCTTGCTTTGAAGTTGAATGCGAAGTTTGGTACCGGAGATGAGACCAAAGTCGTGACAGAAGCTTCCAAGAGTAGTTGAGATAACAGAAGAGCTCCACACCAAAGATCTGATGCCGCGTGAGGCAGGATAAGCAAATGGGGCATGACAAGAGTTGGAGACACAGGGGAATAATAGAGAGTGACTGAAATGTGAAAAGGTGAGGCAAATCAGTAGCTGTCACGCCGATCTGAGTAGACAAATCTATCTCAAACCTGTTCACAGTACTGGGAAACAATGAACAGGAAAGTAACAGAAAAAAGTTGTCTGCGAGGGATCCGAAGTGTTTAGTGAAAAAGCAGTCTCTTGTATCGGAGGACTCATCCTTCCAAGGCAAGAGAAGAAAAGAAGAAACTGCCAAGCCGACCATGTGAAAGATCTGACGAGTCCATCACCGGCCAGAGACGGATAGTCGCGTGCATCTGCGAGCTGGACTTTTGAGGTCGTTGGGTGGACTTTTGGGGAGGGAAGATCGCAGCTGTAGACCTGACTGAATGAGGGCGAGGCAGAAGAATGTGTTTCTCGTGTCTCTGAATGGACTCAATGGCAGACAAACAAATCAAGAGCCCGGCCTTCCAGAAACAACGCGGTTTGGGTGTGTCAAAGTCGACACATGATTAATTTCCGCTTCGTGTGGTGGCGCGGACGCCACTGACGCCCCTTCTTGCGCCGCGCACATGGCCGCCGCGCCGCCCAGGGGTCAAGAACGACGGATGGTATTCCAATGATTCAAGGATTGACTGTTCCCATTCATGATATCAACGGCATGGGATATTCAAGAGGTTTACAAAGATGGACTGAGGTTGAGATTGAAATGCCAAGACATGGAATTAGCGCGAGGCTGACGGTCCAGGGGACAAAGCGGCACCACGACACAACTAGCCGGACAGATGCGACACTCGAGATTCCAGAAGCAAGTGGGATATTAGACTTGCTCTTGAAACTTCAAGCGCAACGAGGGATTCTTTGCCGGATTCTTTCAAAGTCCATAGCTGCCTCCTCAGCACATTATCCCGGGATAGAGTCACCCTCATTCATGGTTCATACACTATGTCGGAACCAACGCAGCGGTTGCAGACAAACAGGCTGTTAGGATCCCTGGCCATTTTGATCTTTAGCAAGCGGTCATAGTTAGACCCCCAGAATACTCTCTGCCAGTTAGGCTCGAAACTATGGGTAGATTAGCCACCGCGAACGCATGGTGAGGCACATGGCGTATCAAGCTTACGGATTGGCTTCATTCGCATACGTCCCTGCGTCCGGCCCAGCAATCGCAGTCCACCTTTTGCTCATCTCAACAAGCTGGAGCTTCTTCTGGTGCTTTTCGGCTTCGGGTGCATCGTTTTCCCAGTTTGTGCCAAAGCTCATTACCGCTCGGCCATCCCGCCACGAAGGGTGGACGGAAGTGTTGTCTCGCATTGTCGAGTTGACATGTCCAACTGGGGAACGGTATTAGCAAGTGCCACTTGTCAAATGAGTGAGACTGACTGAAGTTGAACGACGGATAGTGCTCCGGACCGAACTCTAACATCATGTCGATGATTTCACCTGCCTTGTTGAACGCCATGTCTGGAGTAAGGAGTCGGGATGAATCCATGACGTTCAAAGCGATGTTTGGATCCTGAAGAAATGCGTTGCAATAGTCTATCCAGCGAGGAAAAGTGAAGTTGAACATGGCAAAGCTTGATCCGTTGATATGCCCCAGTCGTTGAAAGGCGGCAGAGCCTTGTGATAATTCTGCTTCGGTACCTCCAGGTCGGATGAACAGGCCAGAAAAGCCATTGCTGAGGTACGCGTAGCCCGTATATCCGGCGTCCGTCATGTTCACTAAAGCACCTAGAGATCCTTCTAACACCGGACGGAGGCTTGAGTTGGTTGTAGCATTAATCTGTATCGCGGCGACCTGAATATGGGTTGGTTCAGGGTGAGTCCGATAGGTCACCGAGGTTATGACCTATTTCAAGTCAGCTTGAGTGAGCGCTATGCCTTTTATCCGATGTATACGAACACCCCATGCGCTTCCTCCTCCGCCGCGCAAGGCGTAGAAGTAGTCTGGGTCAGTATGCTGATTGACTGTCACTAGCTTTCCTTGCGCGTTGACCAGCTTGACCTCCAAGACGTCTGTCACTGTTCGTCAGTGCTGTGCAATGTTCGATGGGGTCGCATGGCCTACTGTCAACCCCCAAGCCATAGAGGTTCGACCAGGCTGAGTGACCGCCCCCAGTCAACCATCCTCCGGCAGCCCCGACTGTTCTTGCGTGACCACCAACGACGATAACACGCTGTTCAGAAGCAGCGCGATACACATCTAGGATCGTTAGTTTGCAAAAACACCAACCAATAGCCGCAAAACGTATATACCTAGCCACTGCTCCCCTGCTTGCAGTGTGACAGCCGGCACACCTTGACTCCCCGCAGGCGCTCCCTCGACAACGAAATTCTCTGTCCATTGTCTTCCTTTCAGATTGTGAGTCCAGATGGAGAAAGATCCTCGGCCGCTCGATCGACCGAGACTGTGCAGGAGATTAGACATCAGGAGATTTGTTCTCGAGGCAGACGCTTACTGATCATGGCCAGTGTTCTTCACCACAAGGTAGAGGTGCTTTTCATTGGCAAATTTGACCGCAGCCTGGATGTCTGTCGCTGATTTTGCTGTCACAGAATAATGTGGAACTATTGTCGAGGTCAGCAGCAGTTCTTGAGACCTGAGCGTTGGCTTCAGCCCGTATTACCAAGGCCTGGCTGGCAGGGTGCAATCCTTGACGAATTAATGAAGCACTGTTGGTTCCCCAGCTCCCATACAATCGCAGTATATGCTCCAGACTGGTTGGTTCTCCAGAAACTGTTGTCCCATTCCTGCTTTGCCTGGCTGCACCCATCACTGTCAAAGTGTTCTCCGTGGCAAACAGCAGCAGAGGGAAAGGTCCGCACTAGACGGCCTGAAATACTGCTGTTGAAGGCTTGCCATATTTTTTCATCAGGCCAACAAGGGTCTCCGTATCTGCAACGTGGACGGCATGCATGCCCAGAAGTCCAACAGATATACGGAAGAAGGAGAAGTAGGATGTTTTTGAACATTTCGGCAAGCATACAAATGGTACCAGGTCGAATCTAGTCATACGTTGGGAGACGAGACTGGGAGAAAAGGAGTAAAGTTATATACTTCCACATACCTCCTTTTGGCGATACTCTCGATCTGGGAATGGTTACAACCCACATCGAGATGCGAATACGAGCACCTCCATTATGAAGTCTCCCCCGGGGGGGGGGGGGGGCGGACAGGAGCAAGTTGAATACCCACATAGACCGCATGGGTTGCATATCCCCAGGTATCATTTTCAAATGCAGTATCTTTCGTATTCAAGAAAATGCCAATATGATGATCGCCGTCGAGATTCCCAGTTGCCTGGAGTCAGCCTTGCCAGCCAAGTGTATGACGTGATGTCGGCCATGGCACCAAGACCCTCGGATACGAATACGACGAGATAGGAACTTCCAGAACAGTTCAAGAGGAAGCCAAGCGATACTGGGCCTGCTCGGCTAATGAGGAGGTATTGCAAACAGGCCGAAGAAAGCAGTGAGTCGTGGGAGGAAAAGAGAACGAGTCCAAGGCGAAAGGCACTGCAAAAGTGAAGCTTGCCGAAAAGGGTTTAGCTTTTCCCTTCAGATACGACGCGCCGCCATTCGACGCGTTCGTCCGCCTCGAGCCTCGAGCCTCAGGCCTCAAGCAAGTATTCATTCGTGACACCCATCCAAGCCCGCCCCAGATACTCAGGGCCCTTGCGCTATGGCGCCCGCACAATTCGAGCCGCAGCCGCTCACAACGCCCCTCAACGACGAGGCCCTCAGGGCCCTCAGCGAGCTGCAACAGCAGCGGGACCGCGAAAAGAAGGCCCGAGAACACCTGAAAAAGGCGGCCGAAATCCTGACCGACATCACGGGAGAACTCAATGACCGGGCCTACCTCCGCAGGGCCAGACATTTGAAAGAGAAGGCTCGGCGCAGGGAAGCGAAGGGCACTGAGGATGCAGCGGAAGAGAACGAAGACCCCGCAGTTGCTGAGGCGGATGCGAGATACGAGGAGTTCCAGCAGAAGGTCGAAGCTTTGACAAAGAGGATGGACTCGAGCATTCGCGGCGTAATCGACGACGTGGCCTGGCTGACCGAGTATCCCGCAACGCTGAAGGCGGTGGTGGAGAAGGCGCAGGAAACAACGGAGGAGCAGCGGAGGGATTTCGAGACGAGAAGTCCGACGAGAAGAGCGAGGCAGAAAAGACGCGTCGTGGACGACGATGACAACGGCGATGGGGATGACGAGCAAAACCAGAACCAAGAGGAGGATGAAGACGATACAGAAGCCGGACCGTCATCCCGCCTCAGACATCAAACAACGATGCTCCCGACGATTCACCCGGCCGACACCCCCCACGTCCACCTCTCCACAGCGCTGACGCAGCAATCGCGAACATGGACGTCCAAGACCCTCACCGAGAGGTACGCGCGCAACAACGACTACAGGGGGTGGTACCGCGTGCTCTACGACGCCAAAAACCCCGGGGAATCCGCGCCGCCCATGCCCGACGAGAGCCTATGGTTCGCCGCCGAGGAAGGACGGCTCAGTTTTTCGTCCAGCCAACGACGCCGCCTGCACCGCCATCACGCACGGCGAGAAGACTCCAACGCCGAGACTAGCATGACCGAAGCAGGCTCGGCGTCCCCGTCCCCATCGTCTACCTCTGACAACGAGCTCGAAATCGCCGCCGAGAAAACCCGGCTCAAGTGCCCGATCACACTGCTCCCCTACGTCGACCCGGTGACCTCGAAGAACTGCAACCACAGCTACGAGCGCGAAGCCATCCTCTCGATGCTGGGCACCTCGAGCAGCTTCGCGCCCTTCACGCCGACCCAGCTGGAGGAGCTCAGCCAGCTGGGCGACAAGCAGCGCTCGAGGCGCGAGCGCGAGATGCGCATCAAACAAGTCAAGTGCCCCGAGTGCAATGTGCCGCTCGTGGAGGAGGATCTGGTCGAGAACCCGGCCCTGAGGAGACGCGTCGCGAGACTGCTCGCCAAGGAGAGGCGGGACAACATCGCCACGAGCGACGTGGAAGGCGACAGCGATGACGGCGCGGACGGGGCCCACGACGGCAGCATCGTCAGAGGCACGCAGAGACAGCCCGTCGGTCTCGGCTCGAGCAGTCCCCTCCCTCCCTCGAGCGTGCGCAAGACCGCCAAGCAGATCAAAGCGGAGCGCGTGTCCGGGATGAGTGTGGGTGTGGGAGTCGGTGTGGACGTGGACGTGATCCCCCAGACGCAGCTGGCAGACGACCGCCGTGCAGCCAGCGCGCAGCGGAACCAGAGTAGCCAGGCTTCTGGCGCCAGGCCACCTCATCAACGCCGAGAGAGGGGGCGAGGCATGCAGATCCTGGACCTGAGTGGTGATGACGATAAGTAAACGAGCTTGGCTTCCACTTGTACCGAGCACTTGTTAGAGATAACATGTGTGATCTGCTTTGGGAGTGGTACATGGAGGACGTTAAAGACGTGACCTGTTACGAAAAGATCCCCGGAGAGACCATTGACCCGCATGAGATGTACTTAGGGCAAAGTCCTGCAATGCTTACAACGCTCTGTACTCATAAAGGGACATGCGTAAAGTGATTGGCCAGTCCAACGAATGCATTTTCTATCAGAGGCTGTGCTGGCTGTCTTCTATCCAACTCTTGTTATTCGTCCTCTGAATCATAGTAATCGTCGTCCGGCAGCAGACTCCGGTATCGTCGACTAGCGAGATCCTCTTCCAGCCCGCCCTCGCTCTCGGGATCAATGTACCCTGTCAATAGATGTCAGCTCAATTCTCTTTGATCTCACGACGAGAGAGACCTACCATCACCGCCCAAGAAACTCAAAGCCACAGGCAAAAACACCAGCGCATGGCTACTTGCAAGTATCACCAGCGCCAGCCAAATGCGGAAGTAGTAGACCTCGAAGATTTTGCTCCTGGTGAATGCCAACACAACGACGCCCACGAACTTTGTAATGGTGATGCCGCTGAAGACGCTCCCGCCCACGTTGACCAATGCCGCCCAGGCCCGGATGTCTCGGGCTCGGAACTTGTGCCTTGCCCGCTCCATAATCGATTTGCTGGGGAACATGAATGCTCTGGCGATGTGTGCACAAAACTCCACGCCAATGCCCACACAGATAACCAAGTTCACCAGCGACACGGCATTGAGAGAAACGCCAGCACATGCCATGACACCGATAATGTCCACCACGATCATGACGACTGTTGCTGCCACAACAACTCCTGTCAAAAGGGATCCCAACAACAGCGAAGAAATGACAAAGATGATCGCAACGGCCACACACAGAAGTGTGGCAGTCAGGCGAATGATGCTGCTATACTGATCGAAGAAAATATAATGTTTGCTGTAAGGGAACACGTCGATATTGTGGCGTGCAGAAATATCGTCTGAGATTCGCCTGGCTGCGGCGTAGGAGTTGATGAGGTCGTCTTGACTCTGTAGCGGTGTATGGAACGTTCGGAAATGACTTGCCGGAATATCGGTATGGTCCTTGTCGACGACCACGGCGTTTGAGTAGGCGGCCTGTCCTCCGTTGGGACATTCCTCATCAGTAGGGGCATGAATCCACTTCTGAGCATAATAGACGAACTCTTCCCCTTCAGGCATGCCGGAGAGAGTGATGTTCCATTTATCTTCGCCGAAGCAAGTCCCGCCGTTTTCGTTCGTACAACAGTCTGATATGGGGTTGAGCCAGTAGAAAAAGTCATCGATCCAGCTGGCAGTGGCAGAGTTGATATAGCTGACATTCGGACGTTTTGACTCCTGCTCCAGAATGTACGCCAGTGAGTACTCGTCGCAGGTGGTGAATCTGCCGCAGAGTTCCTGTTGATGCTCCCTCGCCGTCACGTTGAGGTGTCGGGTGACAAAATATACGGGTGGCCCAGATCCGAAATAGTCGTACAAGTCGTTGAAATACTGGATCATGTAGGAATCCTCAGGAAGCGCGATACGCTGGTCGAGTCCAAGTTGCACCCGCGGAATGAGCGCCACCCCAGCTGCGAAAAGGGTGACGAAGAAGGCAACGACAAACGTTTTGACCTTCTTGTCTAACAAACTTGGTGCATAGACCTTGCGGATGAACCGTTGCAACCAGCCTTCCTCGTCGCTGCCAAAGAAATGGCCACCAGGCATACCCGTCGAGTTGGCTCCCCTGACTGTCACACACGGGAAACAATCTGCCCGCAGACTTTCGACCCGTCTTTGATTGAGCGCTAATACGGACACAAACATGGTGATTTGCAATACGGCGTTGATGAATACAGCGCCTGCGGCGTACGCTGCGAAGTTCTTGACTGCAGGCATTCCCACAAACGCGCCCATGGCGAACGCAATCGTCTCGGTTGACGCAGACAGCAGAATGCTGGGCCCCATCCTCCCCAGGGCTTTTGCAACACGCACATCGATTTCTTCGTCCGGATGGCTGACGTTGACACGTTCAAACTCGTGCACAATCAGAAAGATATTGTCTACACCAACGGCAAGAACCAAGAATGGAATGACTTCGGCAATGATCAGCGTAACTTTTACTCCGGCCGCAGAAAAGAGGCCGACCGAGCCAGAGACTGACATCAGCACTATCAGAATGCCCGCGACGCCCAGAGTGAATTTCGACTGCACGAGAACATTTGCGGGGTTACTGAGAAACGATCTCAATGACAGAGTTGTCGAGCCCAGGGAGAGCGAGGCGTATATGAACATGACGACGTAGCTGATGGCCACAATTTTGGCATCGGTGTTGGTCGACTTATTGAGCTCCTCCTCGAGACTGATCTCGGTGTTGAAGGAGAGCCGCAGGCCGCGTGCTTTGGCGGATTCTTGGTAGATGAGCAACTCATGTTTGAGAGCCCGCTCCCATTCTTCAGCCCTAGCCTCTCCCTCTGTGCCGGGTTGATCATTATTCACCACCCACGTGGTGATCAGGGCTTTTGCATCGGCGACGTCATCAATGCTCGCATAGCCACCAAGAACTCGTCCCGGCTGGAGAGGATCCATGAATTCCGGTAGGCAAAGCTGGTCACCAGGATGAGCTGCACAACGCTCAATTTGGGTCTTCCAGTCATCCGTCAAGCCGGCGCCGAACCACCCGCTGACGGACTGGACCACACAGGCGGAGCTTGTTGGCTTGAAACAGATATCGTCCAGCTTGATGCCGTTCTCAGGTGACATCATGCGTGAAATGCGTTCTTCGATGTCGAACCACCAGTCGAGATTTTGGTAGCTCAGGACTGAGCTGTCAGGAGACGAGTCGTTGACGAGGAACGCTTGCTCGGTCCTGTAGAAGGGGCCAAAGTTCTTGTCGAAGAAGGCCTTCTCCTGCGCAGCATCCGAGCTCGGGCTGACCCATAAACGGACCGGATCCCTCTCGACCTCAAATCTGAGCCACCCCAGACTGAGGAGTCCAATCACGACAATGTTTGTACCAATGGTCAAGGCAGGGTAACGAGCGCAAAATCCGCCCAGCGCATGGAACGCTCGGTCCAGTATCTGATTGAGATAATAGTTTCTCTGCGGCCGGTCGAGGACCCCTGCATTGTTGACCAGTTCTCCCTCATCTTCGTCGTCGCTCGGTGCGGAATCCTGTAGCAGTTGGAGCCTCTCACTCTTCCACTTTTTGTGTCTTTGATAGGCCACATGCCCGGAAATAGCCGCAACGAGAAGCAACAGGCAGATCGAGTAGATGATGATGACAGCGAAAGAGAGACAGGGAAGCTTTCCGACATGGCAATAATCAACTGAACTGACCGGCTCCAAAGTTGGGCAAACCTCCGGGCAGTCGACACAGCTGCATCGAAATTTGGGGTTGGTATCGTTACAGGCGTAGACACGAGGGTCAGAGGCTTCCATGCCCTGGCTGTCTCCAGACCGAGGCTCCTCGAGAAAGTTGATCTGGAACGGGCTACCCAGTAACTTCTTGTCGCCCAAAAACTTGAGAAACTCGGTGTAGTTGGTGGCGCCGCCTCCGATGAAACTCATCGCCTTGCCACCACTTGCGCCATTCTTGACCTCTTTACAGCTGTCATAAAACCCGCTCTGGTAATCTTTTGACCATAAGTTATCCAGCTCCGTGACCACATCCTTGCCATTGGAAGCTTTACCGATGTCGGTGACATTGACGAACAATGACTGATCGGGAGAACAGGTGAAGGTGCAGAAGATGTTGAAGAAATTCTCCTTGCAAGCGGGACATGATGCGATTATCCTTTCGGCCAGTTTCAGGTTCTTTTGGAGAGCATCCACTTGATCCTCGTCGCAACAGACGTCGGTATCTTGCCATTTCACTCCGCAGAGACCGACCAGCTTCTCGCGCACCACGTCGGAAGGAGCCGCGGCCTTTCCATTGTCAGGACAAGGTAAATCAGAGCCGAAAAACCCTTGTTTCCCACAGTGGCCACGGATGGCGCATCGGCCTGCTTCATGAAGGGGCGTAGGGGGCGAGCCCAAGACAAGCGGGACAGAGGAGGAGGCAGCAAGAGCTGCGAGGGCAGCAGAAGGAAAGCGCATCGAGCTTGCTTTCGGTATGAGGATTGGGTGGGAGGATTGAGGACTCGTCGGTTGTCGTCGGTTAGAATTGTGGCTGGGAATCGCAGACTAAGTCATCCTGGAGAGGAGAAGGAAGATGGCGAAGGTCAAGGCACACGGACGAGGACGATGCGATCTGGCGAAGAGGAAATTGAAGGAGAAGCAGAAGACTCAAGGAGGAGAGTACGACTGTAGAGAAGATGCAGGTCGTTTGTTTTGCAAAATGCCTAAGCAGGTAAAGGGCAACCCGACTGATACTCGGTGACAACTTGCCGCAGCCTGCGATGACGAGCCAATTCCGCTCCTCCCACGTCACCACTTTTTGTTGCCTCCCTGTGCGACTCCCGCTCCCTCTTCTCCATCTCACACGACGGCATGAAGGTCCCCATCCACCATCATCCGCTCCCTATCGACTGCATCTGCCATCTGCTATTTGCCTGCCGCCAGCCAACGAATTGGCTCCCACCCCCGTGCCGCCCTCCATCCGCACCAAGTCCCCATGGGACATCAAGGGCCACACGGACTTTCCCACTCCTACAGTAGACCGTCGAACTATGAGGACGATCCTCTAAAACTTCCCAGGCATAGTCTCAGGCACCAGGAACGTACATTGTAGCCATGGCGAGTCCTGGCACCGACGCCTGGGAACATCTCGATAGAAACACACACGACTGCAGTCAAGAGAATGAATAGAGCGCAACAACCTCATCAACTGGCATTGGGTATCTGTGCACTGCCATCTCCCTTCGAACCCTTTGAGCTCTCTCCTCTCGCACACCCCATACCATCCGCCTTCACAACTCCTTTCCTGTTTTCTTTTTTGGTTTCTAGCAAGGCTAAAATACATATGTTGGAAGAGAAAGAAGCGCTCAGAAACCCCGGAAGCTCCCCCTATCCTTCCCAGGTATCAAGTGCCAACCGGGGCCTCAGCCTCAAGAATTGATCTGTTCAAACTCCAGCTCAAGCAGTTCCCTCGACATCCCATCCTTTGGCGCCGAGCCCATAATGCACATTGTTCTTTCCCTGTCGCTGTAAAAAGGGATCGACTGTGAAGAATTTCTTTCACCTGCCGGAGAAATTCACCGACTGCTCTTCGAACACGAAAAAATCACTTCAGCTCTCGCCCGCAGTGGCAGCTGGCTTCACCTCACTGGGCTTTGAATCTGCGGGTTTGCTGTCGGATGCTCCATCGGTAGGCTTGTTCTGGTAAGTGCCTCTTCCACCGCCTCGACCACCCCGTCCACCTCGATCGTCTCCACGACCACGCCCACGTCCGCGGAATCCGCCTCGGCCTCGACCGCCTTCGCTGTCACTTGCTCCTCCGCTCTGGTACCCTCCGCGCGTTGGAGCATTGGCCGATCCAGCCGCACCCCGGTTACTGGGTTGCCACGTCCCAACTCCGCCCTGGCTGTGGTTATCACGTTGATGAAGACCTGGGACTCGGTCCGTGCGCTCCTCGAACCATGTGAACTTTGGGACTTTCCCGGAGGAATTCTTGTGGTTTTGCGCCTCGCCTTGCACTTTGGCCAAAGCAGCCTCGGCAACTTCGTGTGACTCGAACTGCACCTTCCAGTTGGGGAATTTGCCCATCCTGCTAATGACCTTAATTTTTTCGCGGTCCTCGTCACCAAAACAGTCTCGGATATGCTGTTCGCTGTCGGCCTGGGACACATAAAGGGCGCTTGGGGGTCTGCGTTCGGCAGGAGGCGTTGCAGCCTTGGCTTTTGCGGCTTCGCCTTCACTGAGCTTGTCTCCACTCGTGCCGTTGGTGGCTGTAATGGCAGAGGTTGTTGGAACCCCAGAAGATGATGGTTGAGGTGTCAATGGCTTGGCTTGGGCAACAGGGGGAGCTGGAGACCCTGCTGTAGGGGGAGTTCCCGTTTTGGCAGCAGACGTTGGTGCAGGCTGAGGCTGACCGGGTCTGGTCTGTTGCTGATGTTGTGGTGGTGGTGGTTGCTGTAGAGGCTTCTGTTGCTGTGGGAATGGCTGTGCCGGCGCAGAGAAGGCAGGAGTGCGATTCTGAGTCGGACCAGCTGAAGCAGGGGCGGGAGGCGCGGGACCCGAGATCACGGATCCTGGACCTGTCGGCGGTTGTTGAGGAACCGTCCCAGGGAGTGTGGGTTTTCCACGATGAGCAAAGTTGAAGCCCTGGGCCCGCATTTCCGTACCGATACGACCACCTTCAATTTCCAAAACAAGGTAGCCGAATGCAGCGTCTGCGAGGTTGAAGTTCCACATGTTCTTGAAAGCACTTTCGTCCACCTGGCCTGCCCCAGGTCCACCGCCCACAGGCCCGCCAAAAGGATTGCCTCCATTAGCAGTGCTAGGCATCTTCTCGACAATTTCCAGTGCACTGTGAAGAAGAGCCTTGTGATTGGTATTGTTTTCGATCGCCTGCTCCACGTCCATCTTGACTGTCTCCCACACATCCTGGAAGGATGCTTTGGACGCCGCCAACTTTCCGCGGTAGTGGTCGAGCGATGGATTGACGGAAAACTCATTGTAAGAGCTGCCATATCGGAAATGTAGACCTGCCGAAATGGAGAAATCGGCCTTCAGAGTAACGGAGAGTTGGTTGAGGATGCCGTCTCTGGCAGGTGACGCGTGTGTCAGAAAGATCCGGGTTTCCGAGGGATCGTAAACGCGGTTCGCAGTGTCGATTAGGGCGCCAATCTGAAGTAACGTTGTCCACATCGTGCCTTGACCGCCTGCAATATATGTCTTGCCTTCTCCGTTGTCAAACAGTTTGTGGATAACAACTGCGCCACCGAGACCGAGGAGTCTCAGTTTTACTCCGCCAATATCAAGTAATCTTGAATTAACCTCGTCGATAATGTGCAGATTGTCCACCTTGTACTCGCCCGACCGAAACCGTTCCAAAACTCTCACATCTTCACAAGCTCCCCATACCGTGTAAACGGGCACATCCAGGGTGATTTGCTTGTTGAGCAGGAGTGGTAATTCTGAAAGGGGTAGTTGGTCCGGTGCGAACATTTGCTTGATCGGCCGCTGAGGCTGAGGCTGAGCGATTTGGCGCTTGACATTTTCACTGAGGAGTGGAGAATATTGAGCAACATGTTTCAGTGTCCTAAAGTTGGTGTAAGCCATCGTGCTCAGATGCCGGACCTGGAGTGTTCCTTACTTCTCAGCTATTCTCTCCAGAGAGGTATTGTCATAGAACCCGAAGTCGCCGGTGTGTAAAATATAGTCGGCCTTCGCAGTCTTTGCTAATTCATTCAGAGATCGGAGATTTCCTAGAGTTTTTTGCATCAGACCTGCTTTGTGGCGGCCGGTGAAGCACGGCGGACTGACCTCTGACATCTGCAATACAAAGAACTCGAATAGGACCGGACTGAATGATACGGCCGTTGTTTGGCAGGAGCGCCTGAGCCCCAGGAGTCGGCCCTGAGGCTGTACCGTTCGGGAGGTATCCTGGATTTGGGAACTGAGGTCGTGGCTGTTTACAGAGTTGGATCAGCGGAAGTGCTACGGGGGTCATGATTCCGGGCGCCATGATCGCGCAAGTGGAGAGGTGAGGGAAGAAGTTCAAGTCTGGCGTCTGATAAAACAGAGGAATGGGGGACTCACTGAAGCCATGAGGAAATGGCAAGCTGGAGGGCGCGGGACAAGGTAGTGGTTGCAAATAAGGCCGCAGGCAAAGTGAAGCGTGCGCCGAGTCGAGAGGTTAGGAAGACCGGAGGTGAAAATAAGTATTAGATACCTGTCTGGGCTGTGACGGGATCAGGGCGCGTTCAACTCAGAGATGTTGGAGAGTAAGACGAGAAGAACAATGGTCGAAAGGCGATGGAGAATGGGTAGAGGCTCGACTGTTCAGACTCTTCAGGTCGTCGGGATAAATTCATGGGCGAAACCCCAGGAAAGCAAAATACAAGCGGCGAGAGCTGCGCTTGCCTGTCTGGGACTAGCCTCTTGGCACTCCGCCCCTTTTACTTGCGATGCATTTTTCACCAGACCACCTGGGCAAGTTCACAGTATGGAGTCCTTTGTACCAGAGGTAGGTGGTGACATTGTTGCTGCTGCTACATCTTCCGCACAGCTGGTGCGGAAGGCTTGTGAATGAAGGGTCCCCGCCAACATCACAATAAGATGACGGGCAGACGTTGTTACATGTAAATGAGTCAAACCTTGACCTCAACAACCACAACTCCAAATCGCATCATCTCCTTGATATCTTCATAGCACACATGCGGGCCAGGTATATCCCAAAGTCATCCATTTTTTGATGGTATAATATACCCTCCTGCAATCCATCCAGAATAAGCCCGACCGATCGTACCTGAGTACATCCCAAGACCTTATGTCGAGCACTTTTATCGTGTCTAGACAGCGCCCAAGATCTTGTCGACGTCCTTCTTGTCGACAACGGCGCCGCCTTCGGAGCATTTGGCCTTTGCTCGGAGCTCACTACACAGGTTATCGATATCAATCTCGCCATTTCGGAATTTCTCCATCGACTGCAGTCGATCCCTGTGACTCATGTTAGCATCTTTGACTCAAATCTAAAGGGGGGAGTCACCAACCAAATCTTATTGCAGGTCATGGGCTTCTCATTGTCGGGGACAACTTCCTCATTCTTGGCCTCTTCAACCTGCTTTAGAAGGTCTGTCTTTGGCGCCGGTTCTGGCGCCACGTCGTTGTAGTTGTGGAGAGGGCTGCCTAGATCCGGAAGTGGATAGGCGTCGTTAAAGAATGCACCAAAATCTTGGGACAGGATATTGTCTTGTGTCTCGCGATAATCGCCGAACAAAATCGGGTCAAAGGAGTTGTTGTTTTGTTGAGCGAGCCAGTTGATACCGTTGACGTCGAAGCCAGGGTCGTTAACGTAGCCTAACGGATTTTCGTTAGACATTTTCAAGATTGGAGGCATTGGATCCTCCGCACAGCCACAGGCCAGCTGGAGTTGATCGCAGAGATAGTCCTTACCACCAAATGGAGCCTGATGTTCTTCACTGATAGGATTGAGATTGTACTCCGTAAGCTTGTTCGCGGGAGAGTTCAAGCTTGGCTCAGGAGACGTGCCAATAGAGGATATGGCATTATGCGATTCGGTGGATGAACTCGGGGAGTCAGAGTTGGAAATACTCGAATTCGAGTACAGGCCGGGCATGTTACTCAAGACTCCGTTGTCGAGGCTGCCGCGGTTACTCTGAGTGGCGGCATTGTAGGCAGAGACGGCAGATTTTGGGAAGTAACCTCCCAAACTGGCGTGGCGGCTGGCTTCAAGAATGGATGGGCTAAACAGCCCAGACAAGCTGTCAACACTTCCATGCTGATCTTGTTGCTGGTTCTGAGGCTGGGGAGAGGCAGTAAATGTGTTGCCAATTGGCGACTGGCTCATAGATCCATATCTTGTGGGTTGATTCTGCGAAGACGAGGTGGAACGTCGGCTGGCAGCATTTTGGGTGCTTGGGGTCGCACCAGGAGTGGGAACAGAAGGGGATCTGCCAACGCTGCTGCCCTGTGGCTTCTGCATATTTGAATTGCCAAACAACTTTGTGGCAGGCATTGGTGGGAGATCACCAAACTTCGGAAACTCGAACTGGAAGTCGTTGCCATTGGGATTGCGATTTTGGTTGGGTGCGACTGGCTGCGATCTATTCAAGCCATTACTGCTGATCCACGAGAGGCGTTTGCGGTATTCTTTCAACTCGACTTGCAAGCGCTCCACCTGGGCGCGGAGGAGGCCATTTTCATGATTGGCTGACTCTGAGGCCTTTTCTAGGTCTTCCACTTTGGTTTCCAGATCCTTGAGGTGCTTCTCTTTGCGTTCCCTAAAGGCTCGCTGCGCAGCCCGATTCTGGGCCTTGCGCTTTGAGGTAGGCTCCGAAGTCAATGGTTTCCTCCCAGGCTTTTTGGCAGTCTTGTCCTCGCCTTCTCTTCTTTTACCCCCTCCTTCGTCGTCGTCTTCTTTTCCGTCGACGCTCTTTCGCTTATCATGTAGATCGGCGGATGCCGAATCTCCAGGTATGTCACCGATCATGCGACTGTTCTCGTCGAAGTCGAATGACTCATCCCCGAAGTCGGCATCGGGATCGAAGTCTAGAAACGGGCTATCATCACTGAACTCGAGGTTTCCCGACCCAGGAGCGCTAGACATGTTTGGCGTAAAGTTGAAGTTCTGTGGAGTATTCCTTTGGGTAGTCGACGTCGATTGTTTAGGCGAGTGGTTCGCATTCAATGCTGCCATAAGAAGCTCTTGTTGCTCTAGGGACAGGTAAAGGCCGTCTGTGGAAGGTCGCGACATGGATTTGGTGAAAGTCGCTGGATCTCTGGAAGGACGATTTGTTCGAGTCCCTGAACGCCAGGCCAAGGTCGTGAGCACGGCGGCGGAGACAAGATCAATTGCAAAAGGTACCAGACGTTGCCCCTTTCTACTGCGTCAATAGGCAGTATCGAGAGGCGGCTCCAATGTCGCAGCTTGCATACAAAAGGTATGGAGGAGGAGGAAAATGGACGGAGGGATGAAAGCAGGGTGGGATGGAGGGTAAAGGTCGCGGGAGCGAATAATAGGCGGGGCGGCGACTGCACGAGGGCGTGCGCCTCCCAAAGAAAAGTAAGTTTGACTCGGTAGAAAGCCCTCAATGATGGCAACGGCGGATGTTGATATGAGAAGGCCCTTAGAACACTTTGAAACGGACAAATGGGATGCAAGTGGCTAGGGGAAGGGGAAAGGCGAGATGCGAAAGGAAAAGGAAGGGAAAGGAAGGGGATTGTGAGTTGCGATGAGATCAATCCGGAGTGCTGGGTGGTAGAAGAGAGGAAGTTTGTGTGGAATGTAAGGCGCAGACCCCGTAGCGTCCAGGTCTGCAGTGGTTAGAGGGACGCAAGTGAGCGAGGAACCCTGCCAAGGCGCCCCGACACCACCTATAGGGTCTCCCTTCAGGTACCCCCCCTTAATGATGCTCTTTACCCGGAAGCCCCCAAACCGCTAAATTCTTCTCGCTAACTGCCTCTGGACGGTGTAGACTGCCTAGCTAGAGGTGGCATCCCGGGGGGTGTGCATGCCTGGATCCCGCCCAAGGAATGCCATGATATCGAGTGTCCCATTGACTGTGGTATACCGATACGGGTATGTATTCCCCTCTTGGATTGCCTCCTTGCCTCTCCACCATAGCCTCGCGCACAGAGCCGTCTTCTTCATCATCTCTCGGTCGTGGATGGAGGAAAACCACGCGTTGAGTCAGGGAGTCAGATGTGGCGAATGGTCGGGAGATGCCAGCAGGAATAGGCAAAGCAGACAGCGTGTGAGTGGTCCTCAAGTTGATTTCTAAGCGGCAAAGAGTCGCGACCGATCCATGCCCATCCACGGCGGTCCATACCAATACCGATTCGAACCATGTCGGCGAATCAGCGACCCTGCCTGCTCACTGCCACTCTACCACAAGCAGCCCTCCCAGCCGTCATCCAGCCAGTCCACCAATTGTCGCAGCGCCTCGAGCGCAAATTTACTTCGTCGGGATACGAGTTCAATGGGTCCGGCGCGGTACCTTTTGCGCCATCATATTGTCGCATTCGCTGGGCCAGTTTAAGTTCTCACTCTGGTGTCTGGTGGTGTTTTCTTCAGATCGACGTCATCATCCCAACCTATCCGTGGTCTCCGTGGGTAGTCACCTGAGGCTGTGGGAGACGGGCACTTTGGCAGGGGACTTGACGTGTTTGGACTTTCGACTGGATTGAAAGAGCCGCGGCATAACGACTAAAAGGGCATCCTCTTGAGGGGTGGATTTGGCTCAGACTGGGTTCGAGAAGACAGATTGAATGCCAGGTCCAACGTTCCCGCCTGCGCAGGTAAAAAAGGCTTGGCGAATCGCGGGCGGTGCTCCTCATCTCCTGCCGTTATCAAACTGCAAATGCTTCATGAAATCCATTCCAACCACCCTCTAACTGATTGTCTTTCTCTTGAGTGCCTCTAGCCTACAGTCTCAAACTTTTTGTCTCTCCTTCGTATCCCCATTGTACACCGTCGTCTAGAGACCCTCGACCATGAGCAGTGCGGAAGTTGCTGCTCTCGAAGGCGAAGTGAAGGAATACAAACTACAACTGGAAACGGTCCAGCTGAGTCTGCAGAATGACCCGGATAACAGCGAATTGCAGAGTCTCAGACAAGAACTTGAAGAAGTCATTTCCCTTACCGAATCTGCCATTGCAGAACTAAAGCCTCCATCAGCACCCGCTCCGCCTGCGCAGCCTGCGACGCCGCCAGTGAAAGAAAAATGGTCTAAAGAGAACCACCCTGCGTACCAGGCGGGTTACCGAAAGCCAGAGGTCGAGTCGGAAGAAACAAGCAGTCCCACGGCTTTCGCTGTCAACGACACGGTCTCGGCCAGATGGAAATCCGGCGATGGTGGATACTATACAGCGCGCATCACATCCATCACAGGCTCATCCAGTGACCCAGTCTACCTCGTAACATTCAAAAACTACGGCAATACAGAAACACTCAAAGCGAAGGACATCAAGCCGTTGACCAATGAAGCCAGGAAGCGCAAGGCTGATGGAATGTCAGGATCATCCACCCCAGTCTCTCCGCCATCGAATCCGAATGTCATCTCGGCTGCCGCCAGCGTCGATCCCGCTCTCGCGCAACAGGCCCGCCGTGAACCAAGCAAAGTCAGCGACGGGCCCATTCGACCAGCGAAGATACCTCGCAAAGTCAAGGCAAACAAGGAGCTGGAAGCCGGTAAATCAAAATGGCAAGATTTTGCGGCCAAGAGCAAGGCTGGGAAGATGACCAAGAAGGATAGCATGTTCCGCACAGGCGAAAGTGTTAAAGCTAGAGGTAAGTGCTCTGGTTCTTCCCTGCTTAGGTGAGAAGAAACCCTACTGACTTGTGTCTAGTGGGCTTTACCGGCAGTGGCCATGAGATGCGCAAAGATCCTGCGAGAACACGACACATTTACCAGCAAGGGACCCAAGATGAATGAAGATGACTTTGGGAGGCCATCTTGAATCTGTCTTTGCCCAGTATCTATCTTGCTTGCTTTCAGCGTTCATGGGTTTTATGAGGCAAACGCTGACGGGAAGGCAAATTGCAGATTCAGCCATCACCTCCACGGGCGATGTACGGGACGGGCCTGGCGTAGATTTATCACGAGACAAGTATCTTCCTTGTTGGTATTATGACAGTCTCTGACCTATGGATTTCTCCTTTGCAGGATAGCAACTCGGCATTGACGCTGAGTTCTACTGATGACTGCCACAGCTAACGGAATTGTCACATACCGTCAGCTGTCCTTGATTCTCACCGAGATTGCGCATCCTGCATAAATACCCATTACATTAGCCATGCTAGGCGTCGCGGGAATCCAGAATTGGCCTTTCTCGTGTGCTGGGGCATTATATCGCACTCTGCCATGCACTGTTCTTGAGGGATGCTTTGGTAAACGCAAGCCTAGCTGCTGGTTCTCGCTTCATGAGCCAGAGGTTCATGTTAGCTTGCATATGGTTTTCCAAAGGCCGCGCCCTCTTCGTATCTGCAGGCCCGTTCTCTTGCGCAGGAGATGTTTGCTGCCTACAGGTTCACGGGCTGTGCATATCATGTCTTATGTTTGAGGCACAGTCGGTCCGGTCGTCCAGCATATGCGCTCCTGATCTGAGTAGATGTGGGCGTAAACAGTATCCTCTTGTTCATAATCCACCCTGAATTCTAAAGCTGCTCACGACCAACACAAGCATATTGATCACTCCCCACAGCAACGGCGTCCAAGTACTCATCCCAAAATAACCCGCATTGTAAACCGCCCCCAACACCAGTCCCACCAAGCTGCCGGCCAGCAACGCCTCGCTTGCCCCGATGACAATGTATACGATGGGCACGATCCAGGTCCAACCCAGCGTCTCGCCGATCGGATTGTCCCCCAGCAACTTCCTGTTCTTCGCACTGAGTGCCCGGCCCTGCGGCGAGTTGAGGTACTTGCGGCGCTGGTCGGCCGACGCAAACTGCATGAGTACGGCCCAGGTGGCGACGCACCCGTGCGCGGCGACCATGGTGATGAGCGTCCAGTACAGCGTGTACAGGTAGATGTCGGAGAGGAAGTAGAGGTACTGCGGCTCGCCCGGGTTGGCGTGGACGGGCCAGTACAGGGCTGGGAACTCGGGGGTCTCGTAGGAGAGAGGGACGCCGCCGCCGTAGGTGGTCATTTTTTTTTTCGTGTCGAGGGGTGAGTGGATGAGAGGCAGGATCCTAGGTTGTCTCAAGGAGCCCCCCGTCGTGTGAAAAATTCATGGTCGCGGCCACATGGTGGTGGTGGTGGTGGTGGTGGTGGTGTTAAGTGTTGATTCAAAGAGATGTGGATTGACGGTTGACAATGTTCTGGTCTGCATTACGGACCGACGTTGATCCGAATATGCGAGACATGATTGGCTCGCTTCGACTCCGGCCTTCCCCACGTTTTGCTCCGCTCAACTCAAGGCTGCAAAAAGACAACGACATTTACAGAGTACTTCCACCAACAACTTGAAAACCGGGGGGAAAGAACCCGGCGAGTCGCAAACATGGTAGGCTCACGCAAAGAAAGAGGAAGCCAGCTCTCTCCAAGGAACAGCTCACGGAGCAGACTTTCTTTTGCATGTAGGTACTGATGGAAAGCATGGGTCGGCATTCATTACCCATCCCTCCAACCGTTTGATGGGTGCCATGTCATTTTTCCTTTTTTTCCCCCTTGCTAAACAGCCCACAGAACAACAGACAGCTATGTAGACAGCTGTGAATTGGGTTATTACATTTGATTCCTCGTCATCGCTGCGATCATCTTCATTACCATATGATAGGCGTAGTGGGAAGATTCATACGATGATCGCTGAAGAAGATGGCATTCGCAAGTCGGATACCTCCGAGCGGCATGCTTAGCAGACACACCTCTCGAATACTGAGAAGAGCAGGGCTAACACGACAGTCCATGGGTCAGAACACCTTTCCTCGAAGGACCCAACCGGCCTCTGCCTAGTCTGCTTGTTCGCCCAAGGCCCACGGCGCTTGGATTTGGACTTCCATCGACCTCGTCTCCCCTGTGACCTTGTGCTCTTTTTCCTGCGAACGATACCATAGTCCGAACTGTTTGCCGTGGGTACGATCGACGTGTGCGAAAGCAGCTTGCCGAGCCTTGTCCGAGAACTCGCAAGTTGCACAATGCAACGGCAACCAGTAGGGGCAGATGAAGTTGGTGCTGAGAAATTCCTCCGCCCGATGGCGCAGGAAGGCCAGAATCTCTCTCAGCACACGATACTCTGCACGATAGGACCCTTGACGAACACCAATCATGCTGGTCAGTTCCCGGACGTAATCTCGCTTGAAGGACGGGTGGCACATCATGAAAAGCCAGAGCAGCACGGGCCACAGGACGAACTGGGTTTTGTCGGCGGCGACTCGGAAAACGCGCCTGCACCTCTTGCGGTCGGCCACAATCTCGCCCAACACCTGCTCCAGCGCGGTTTTGTGGGCCACGGGCACAGACTCTTGTTGCGCAACCGTGTACATGGTGTTCGGGTTGATCTGACTTCGAGAGACCAAGGTCGATATGGCTTCAGCCAGCTCCGTCTCCTGGCTGAATTGGTAGATGCTCGGGACTATGAGCTCTCGACCTCCATAGAGAGCTTGGAGGAACGGGTGGACTTCTAACAGCCCGTACCATTCGATCACACATTCGATGAAGGGCCACAAGACCGACGCACGAAGGGGCTCAGGCTGCTTTTCCAGCTCTGCGCGGAAGCGTCGTACTTGATCGGTACGGCTTTGCTCCAAAGGAAGCGTGCCTCCCTGGGATATTTCGTTGAAAAGGTGATAGCCGGCCAGGTTCAGGAATCTCCCACGGTCAAAGATGCACAATTTCCTCGGCAGCTTCTCCACCTTTGACAGAAGCTGTACCAGGGGCTGGGCTGAGCCGGGCAGGGAGCGTGTGGTGCACCCAGCCAACAGGGTCCACGCACGCTCATGTTGAATCCGACGCGTCTTCCACACATTATCTTGTAAACGATCAGTACAGGGGGGACCTTACTGTGGAATTAGCTTACAATTTAGCTTTGCGGACGCGAGGGCTGTGTTCTCCTCGATTTCGGGAATGAAGACGTCCATTCTAGCGCGCATCTCTGGATGTTGATACGCAGTCTTCGGTCGCTGGAGCTGAGCTGCAGACTGTCGTGGTTTTACCGGTCTCTCTGGAAGTGGCGGCGGGTCTACGGTCAGAGGTGCCGAGATGAGTCTGGCTCCTGCCCTGCGGAGTGATGTCGTTCTGGCGGAGGGGCTATTCACACGACTTGTCGAACAGGGTGTTTGAGGAGCTTGCGAGCTCTCCGCCCGTCTTGTCCCTTCAAAGGCGTATCTTTGTTGGGATACGGACACTTTAGAACACAGCGCGGGGGGGTTGGACGGCGTGTGTGTATCGTGCAATTCTTCTGCAAAAATGTATATAGGTAAATAGGGTCCCGAAACCTCTGTGGGCGCACAACCTTCTGATGACGGTGGAAATGGCTGGGACGCAACCGCTCGACTTCCAGTCAGTTCCAAGCCTCCTTGGGCCACTGATAAATATATAGGCTGGATTGGAGTCTCTGCAGAACCGGCGGGTGCTTGACCTAGAGGCTGAGGCACCGTTGCACCGCGTTGGAATAAGATCGCCTCTTTGAAGGTGTCTCCCCAGTCTGCCGAATCGCGTCCTAGGTGTGATGTATTTTTTAGATCTGCTATGCTTTCTTCTGTAGGAGCATATGTGTGGGATTGAGAGCCTGGGATTGTTGTATAGTTGTGCGGGCTGGAGGTTACTCTCTTTGCAATGAGCTTGTCTTCCCACTGATCTAGGACGAGTCGTGAATGTTGTGATCTTTCCGAGCCAGCGAAACGTCCTTGGTCGTGGGTTTTCGGGGTTCTTGCAAAGACCCCGTGTCCATTTCCACCTGCGATATCCCTTGTCTGTTGGCTGTAGCGCAGATGGGAGTACATCGGAGTGTTCTGAGTTTTGCACCCTGATGCGATAGAAGCTAAGCGAGAGGGCAGGCCGTCTGCTTGTTTAAGAACAAAGACAAGACTCTTACACCCCTTAGAATTCGTTCTCCAGACGACGGAAGGGGGTTAACAGCATCGTCAGCATCGTCAAGAAGTGAAAGAGGATGGGGTTCTACTGGCCGACAGCCAGGCCTAGGCTTGCTGGCTGAACACCGCCCTGGTCGCCGTCTCCTTTCAAGCCGTATCCAGCCGTATCCAGCCGTGTCTAGGATTCACGAACTCATGGGAGGGCTGTCGTAGAGCCCTAATTTCCGGAGCCAACAGCAATTCGCTGCGGACTTGCGTACACGACATGAAGGTGGTCGATTGAAGCAGCTGGTCCAATGGGCGCTCGCGAATGCCAACCCTCTGCAGACGTGGTTCCTGATACTTCCGGCATCGATCGATCAACGAGATAATCGGAATATGGAAGAAATCGCGACTATCGATACATGTCGAGCTGCTTCTTGCCCTTTTCTCCAGGCAATATCACAATATCCCGTGGTTGACGGTCTTGATCGTTTGGACCCTAAAGTCTCGAATTAAGGCTAAAACTGCTAGATTTAGGCTAGTAGAGCAATGCTAAAGAAAGTAGTGATATTGTTAGTAGTATAACTTCACCTTTACCCATCACTTGTCGACAACTACTATAGTATTGGAAACAGCTACGTCCAACTCGTACGGCGCATGCTTCAGCTCCTGCTACAAGCTATCACACATACTTTGTTGTGATCGTAGCTCGAGGTCACCGGACAAGTCGAGCCCAATGAATGCGAGGCATTCGTACGTGGACGGAGCAGCGCAACGACGTAGCTAATCAGAGTAAGCCAAGATGGAGGAGCTCGGAAAGCCGATCCGGGCAGTGCTCGCATCTTACATATCTCTGCACACTGTGGTCGACCCTCCCGAGGGCTACTGTTCTGAGTTACGATATCATATGCCTGAGGGCTCACATGATACCGTCGCAATAATTGGGGCCAGAGAATCCGGTCCTCGCGCTGCCCTCCCCGGAGCAGGAACGACTCCCTTAGCATCTTGCAACATGGAGGGGGTGCTGCTCATGACTCCATTTCACTCAGTCAACAGAATTTGTGCAATCGGTGTCATCATGGCCTCAGACTCCAGGTTTCGAATTGCCCATAACGAAAGCTGCAATGAAATGTGACGTATCCGAAATCCTAGCGAATGCGGCATGTGAATGCGGACACCGTATCGTTGCGGAATAGCTGTTGGGGGAGGTGCGGCAACATCCCCAAGAAAGCTGCGGGTGGAACGTCTGAACAATAAACCCCGAGTAGGCTGGTAGCCTCAGCCTTGCGGTCTGCGACTCCACATGCCCCCTTTTCCATTGGGCAAGGAAACTCAAACTGGAAGCTCAATACCAATCTCCATACACTAACGGCGACGACGCCAATCCAACGCTCTGGGTAAGAGGCACCTGCGCGTCCTCAAGCCCAAGAGAGAAGACCTTATGAGAACATTGTACCGGTGATGTGCCCGGCTGCAAGTCATTTTCCAGACCCAGTGATTCGAGCTGTCTTGACCGAGAAAGGCTTTGTCGGCCACTTTCGCTTGTCAGTGTCCTTAGCCTGATCGTCCTCGTCCAGCGCAGTTTGGAAGGTGTTTGTATCAAGGCGTGACGCGACGATTGGGTTTGAATGTTGGGAATTCTCGAATGCGTTGTCCGGGCGAGGCAGCATCTTTGGCGTCAAAAACCCGTCACCTGGAACACCTCGTCATAGAGGCAAACTTTGGTTCCTTCCTCCGAATACTTCCCTGAGCTCGACCGCTGATGTTGATTTGACAAATTGTATGATGTTTCTCTGAGACTCTGGCCCGTTTGTTAACAACTCGGCGGATTCGGAATACAATTCGTACAGTCTTATGCAGTGCAGACTTCGTAGGATCTGGGTTTCGTTTGCTCCAATATCATCATTATAGAATTCCTTTGACGCATATTTGGTTCCCGTGCCAACATTGATAGTTTTTCGAACCAAATCCTCGGGCGCCATCCCTTGAAATTGCTCGGCCTTTAGGAGAGAGGATTTTCGCTTGGAACAAGAGGAGTTTCACCCCGTCGAACGCGAGGCGGTCTAACGAGGGAAGAGTGTCCGTCATGCTTATGGTAAAAGTACTGGTATAATCCTCAAATTTGGCCTGATCTTCGTGGTCAAAGCCCTCTCCGACCGAAGTTGAAGCCACTGGTGTTTTGGCGCTTTCAATTTGATATTTGTCACGGTGGTAAAAGTGATAAGAGTGTACTTGCTGGTCTCCGGTTTTGTCGTCATAGACAACCATTATATCGTTCGTAGAGACATCCTAGGCGACGACTCCCTTCACCCAATCGAAGCCGAAAGAAATGGACTTTGCCGATCAGGCCTCTGTCTTTATGTACACCGCTTGGAACGATGAGAACGTCGCAAGAGGCAGACTCTCTACCACAAGTGATACATTCCCTGTGCCTGACAGACTGGTCGCTGGTCCTGACCCAACAAGAAACCATCAGCTATGGGGAATGTATTCCTCAATATCACCGGCTTCTCAGCGCTGAATGTATGCCTTGAGCTGGTCAATCCCATTAGAGCGCACATCTGCCAAGCTAAGTGGCGGCTGCTAAAACCCAGTACAGAATTTAGTCAGTGTCAAGAGGTTTCATAAATCTATCACGCTAGGCAGTGGGCCGAAACCTTCGTTAACCGCATCTCAAATCATTTAGCGTCTGTTGTTATACCTAATCAAGTAGGTAATTCGATCTTACGAGGTTATACCTAAAAGGAGCAAGATGGCGCTGAGCATCCCATGGGACAAAGAGTTATATTGGTGCCTGGGTTGGAATGAGGCTACTATGAGTGTTGCATGTGGATTGTGTTCCTCCTCAAGGCTTCAACTTATTACCGCTGTCCGCTCTACTTAAAGTCTCAGCGCCCCCACAAATTCCGACTGCTCTTTCTCATATATCATGCAAGCTTTTCAAACCCTAAACTTGTGCCTCGATCAGAAATGAAAGAGTTTCGACTTCTTCTCACAATTTTCCAAGCGGCTTGTCTTTTCTCAACAAGATCTCAAGCAGTCCCTACCAAGGCCAAAGATGGAAAGACCCAACCGTCGTCCTCGATCAACACCACAAGCGGGCGGTATATCGGCTCTCCCAGCAAGACCCACCCAGATGTGCTCGAATACATCGGCATTCGCTACGCACTGCCCCCAGTAAAAGATTTGAGATTCGCTCCGCCTGTGGCATTTGTTTCTAATCAAGTCTTCAATGCTTCGACACAGCCGCCAGACTGCCCGTATGTGGTACATAACTGGGGGGCGGTCCCGGGCGAATTGTACTCCCACGCGGGGCGGATCATGAGCGAAGAGTCTGCCGATGCATACAATATCATGAGCGAAGACTGTCTGTACCTGAACCTTTGGACGAAATCGTCGGGAAACTCGAAGAAGAAGCCTGTGCTGGTATTCGTCTACGGAGGTGGTAGGTCGCCCAGAGTCCTATTGCGGTCAGAGTTCACGGGAAAACACCACTAATTCGGATCGACCGTTCAGGATTTGAACGTGGTTCAGTGAATAACCCAACTTATAACGGAGTGTATTTCGCCGAGCAGGAAGACCTTGTTGTCGTTTCGTTCAAGTGAGTTGTCAACCGTTCTGAAGACCAAGGTCCAACCATCGCTGACCATCGCTGTAAGCTACCGCGTCAACATATTCGGCTTCTCTGGTGCACCTGGAGCGGGCACCAACTTGGCTTTACGTGACTGCAGACTGGCACTGGAATGGGTCCGAGACAACATCGAGGCATTTGGAGGAGACCCCACGCGAATCACGATGTTCGGTCAGTCACAGGGAGCGTGGATCATTTCTTGGTACGCTTATGCTTTCCCGAACGACCCGATCGCGCAGGCCTTCATCCAAGAATCTGGATCAGCCTTTGCGGACCTCAGTTCTACGGAAGAGGAACGCGCGGCAATTTGGAGGAATGCCTCGGCTTCGATCGGCTGTGATCAGGCGTCAGACCCGGTGCGTCTCGAGTGCATGAGGAATCAGAGCGTCTCCACCGTCCTCGGGGCTATGCTTTCGATCCCCCAGCAAGGGGTAGCGCCGACGTTTGGGCCGCTGATTGACGAAGAGCTCGTCTTCTCTAATTACACGGCAAGGACGCTCTCGCGGGACTTTGCTCAAAAGGTTCGTTTTCTGCTCTCGAAAGAAGGCTCCGAATATCATCCAGCCCATTTTCTTTCTCCTTTCTGCTCGTTCGTCACTGACACCAATCTGGCAGCCTTTTCTGATGGGCAGCAATGACAACGAAGCCGGATTCTACGTCATGAGATACGCAGGCAACAACCAAATCACCCTGAGCGCGACCCAACAAGAGACCATCAGCTACGGGGAATTCGTCTGCCCCATTGCCGCCGACGCGGCGGTGAAACGAGCTATCGCGTCGGAGTCGGTGCCGGTGTGGCGGTACGAGTACTTCGGCAACTGGCCCAACCTGCGTCTGTACCCTGGCAGCGGGGCCTACCATACCAGCGAAGTCTCGATGGTTTTCGGCACGTCGGCGGACCTCACAGGGGAGCCGAATACGCCACTCCAAGAAATCGTCTCGCGATACATGAGACACGCGTGGGCGACTTTTGCCAGAGATCCCATGAATGGCCTGCGTGAGCAGCTGGGCTGGCCGGTGTATAACAATACAGGTAAGCTAGACGAGGTTTGAAGTCTTGTCCTCCGGTTTTGTTGTGGAACAGCCAACTGACGAGTGGGGTTCTAGGTGATACGCTTGTTCGACTGGGTTATGGCAATGAGACGAAGGCGTCATTTGTGAGCCCGGCGGAATATGATGCGCCATGCTCGGCCTTGGTATAAGCTCCGACCCTGAAAAAGTCTCAGCATTAACGGCAGCCTTTCTCTTGCGGCCTTGGTCAGGCAGAAGAGGGAACCTGGACAAAAAGGAAGGGGCCAGTTTGCTATATAGCTCAATTGAGGGACATCATAGAATTATACCACCTCTGTACAAATGTCACAATAAACAGTGTCGATCCTTCATCGCTCTAGAATCCCGTTCCGGTCTCAGGTCTGGAGAGGAAGGGCATTGGCAGTTAATTTAAAATGACCTGAGAGCGAGATCTTGTCAGGTCGTTGACGTGACCTCCCATGGGGCCGTTTTGTGCCTATTGTCCTTTCCATGCTGCGTCTGTATTGGGATTATCGATCGAGAATCCGAACTAGTCGTGCACCTCTGGCGGTTCCTTCGGCACGCTTCCATTTCATTTCGGCTGCTTGCATCCCTGCAACTGCAATCCTTTGCTGGAAGCCCAGCATGCCCTGCCTTGGACCGGCGCAATGGCTCATCTGCCTCAATGGCGTCGGCGAGTCCCCTCTCTATTGCCTTCATCACATTGATGTCCGACATTAGCTATGTTGGAGGGGGAGAAATTATGTCTGCATGTTCAGCCGCCTGAAGTAGCTAGCTGTGCTGCTTGCGGCAATGGCGATTTTGTCTCCTCTACTTTCAAACCCTCTTTGCCATCATCGCCTCGAGGTCTATGCATCTGGGATTCCTTTGTATTCCTTACCGAGTCCGGGTCGGTTTCTGTAGGCGCATACCGAGATCGCCTAACAAACCACCGCCCAAAGGTCAGCCTCTACAATGGCGGAACCCACATGCACGATATGATTAGTCCAATTTTACCCGATCACACGGCCCGACCTCAATATTCCGGTGCAACTTGGTGGAGTACGGAAACGATGATGCGCAACGGCAAATCGTGGCACTAGATGTAGAAACCGAAGGACCAAGGCCGGGAATCGTGTTTGCTTCAGCCTTCTACGTAACACTGCGTAAGTCTTGTCGAGATAAGTCCACTCGTGAGCTTAAAACCACATACGCCCGACATGTACGCCATGGTCTGGCTCTAGCGTACCAGCAAAACTTGTGGCGAAATTGCTTAGGGGTCGAAAAGAAGAGAAAGCCTTCTCTATCGTTGGCAGGGCCCGCTGTGGACCTGGCTTCCAGAGGACCTCGCAATCATAGATCGAAGCCACGTCTATGATCCCGCATTTTGGCACCAAGCCTCGAAGTGGTGCCGTTGATGTCAACGAAAGCGGTCTCGGAACGAGGTGTCCAAGCGCCGAGAAAATGCCACTGCCCTACCCATAACAGTTCAAAGACCTGTGGAGCAGTGATGATGGACCATGCACGGGACGCAGACATGTAGATGCACTCTCTGCCTTGCTCGGAATTGGGCCCATGGGGATCCCCACGGGCCAAATCTAGAACGGAGAGTTGTTTCACCGATATATGAACGGCTGACCTGTCCGTCTAGTCGTCTTTCCTCCTCCGTCTTTGCTCCCAAAAAAGGTCTCATTTATCGATCCATAGCAAAAACAAAAGATCAAGTGAGCACAATGTCCTTGATGACTACCGACACCAAGCCCGTTGGAGGGGACAAGGAAGAAGTGGAAGTTCAGCCACTGCAGGGAATGTCAGGCCAAGAGCGCCAGGTGCGGAAGAGCCTTCTCAAGAAGCTTGATCTTCTTGTTTTGCCACTGCTCGCGCTGTCGTACTTGATGGCGTACCTGGTGAGTTCCCCCCTCGTCGATGTCATGGTTGACCAAGCTCACGACCGGGAGGGCGGGCAGGATCGTAACAATATCGGCTATGCCAGGTTGATGGGCCTCCAAGAGGGCCTGGAGATTTCGGACCAGCACTTCTACAATATCATCATGGTGTTTTGTGAGTAGAAACCAGATTGGGCGGTATCGGGGTGAACCTGACCCGATCTCGTCTCTTAGACTCGGGGTATCTTGTGTGTGTCTTCGCTGGCAATCTCTTGATCAGAAAAGTCGGGCCTAAAGTGATGCTGGGTTCCGCTGTCGTCGTCTTTGGGCTCATCGTCTGCTGCATGACCGAGGCCCGGGGCTACGGCGACTTGATCGGACTTCGTTTTGGCGTTGGCTGTGCCGAAGCCTTGCTTCAAAGTACACCACTTTACATGGCCATCTGGTACGGGAGGGATGAGATCGGTAAGAGAGTTGGTAAGAGCACCGCTGGACCGGACGCGGCATATAAGCTCCGGCATGCTGATGATTTGGTAGCCATTTTCTACTCCGCCACCACCATTTCGGGCGTCTTTTCTGGCCTCATCTCCTACGGCGTACAGAAGGACCTGGAAGGTGTCGACGGGCTTCGCTCGTGGTAATGGTTATTTCTGATCGAGGGTGTCATCGCCGTCGGAATCGGTTTGTTAAACGCGACCCTTCTGCCCACATTCCCCGACCGCATCAAGTCTTCAAGATACTTCAGCGACAGAGAAATCCAGGTGGCATTGGAAAGAAGTCTAGGCATGTGTTTCCCATTCTCCCCCCGTTTCTCTGCACCGTACTGATACGTCTCTAGAATACAATGCACAGACGGCCCGATTCGAGCCGAAACAAATTGTGAAGAGCCTCCTGGACCCGAAGACGTACCTCCTCGCGATCCTTTCAGGTACCAATGCGACCCTGCTCGCATGCACGGGCGCGTTTCTCCCAACCATCGTCAATGAATTTGGCTACAGCAAGGTCGACGCCCAGCTTTTCACTATCATCCCATACGCGTGCGCCTTCTTCAGTATGCTCGCCATAGGATTTTTGTCGGACTACTATCGAAACAAATCGTGGTTCATTCTCGGATCTTTGGCGTCCTGCGTCCTGGGTCTGGTCATTCTGATCAGCACAGCCGGAAAGGAGGTCGGCATGTTGGGCGCGTGTCTCCTGGTCGCCGGGACGTACCCATCCTCCGTCCTGCAAATCGCCTGGATTCAGATGAACTCCTGCGGCAACACCAAACGCGCCATCTCCTGGGGCTTCGCCATGATCGTCGCCCAGGGCATGAGCATGAGCGGAGCCCAGATCTACACCCGGCCCCCTCGCTATTTTGAAGGTCACGGCATTCTTCTAGGCTTTGTGGTCCTGGCCATGACGTGCACGATCGCAGCTAGAGCCCTGATGGCGCGTGCAAACACAAGGAAAGACCGGGAGGTCAGTGATTATGAGAGGAGAGGAGAGGGACATCCCGGTGTAGGTCTGTCTTTCGAGGAGACCTGCGATGACCACATCAACTTCCGCTACATCTTGTGATCCTTCTCCGGAGTCGTAAGTCGCTCTAAGCCGGGGAAGGGGGGTGGGGGGTTGGTTATCCAGCTACGATGGTTAACCGCTATTCGAGCTTCATTTTTGGATTACTTATGAACCGAGACCCTTGTCTTGAGGAAGGAAGGCGGAGATGTCACAACGAACCGTCAACCTCGAAGTGTGTCTTTTTCGAGAGTTGTTCAAGGCTCTCTGATTCATATATACAAGAGCCCGTGGCTGTTTGGTGGAACTGTGAGAGAAACAACAGTGCTTGCAACCCATTCATTCCTCCCACGACACAACGTGGTCCGCCGAAACTCCCACCGTAGGACCCAAATCAAATGAGCATCTCACTGTCTCAAAGAGTGAAGGTGGTGCACATCACTTTCCGACCAATTTTTCTTAAAGGCCCAATAATGGCAGAATTTATTTTGTTTTGTGAATTTTCATCGGCAATGTCTAATCCGACGGATTAGCCACGAGCCGGTCGAATTCTATCAATTTCTGCATGCCACAGGCGTCAAAAAGTCGATGCGGCGAGGCATCAGGACCATATCTCTCACAATCTCCCTGCTCCTTCAACGTCCTTAAAGCCTTTGAGACAGCCAAAAAGGTCGGGGCGAGACAAAGGGACGCGAACACAATGATCTTGAAACCCATGTTCTTAGCCTCGACGGGGCTCAATTTGTACGCCTTGCTCTCCTGCACCATTCCGTACATGATGGGCACGCTCTGTGGGTTGAAGACTCGACAAACCGCTTCGGCTTCCTCGCGGGTCGAGATCGCCTCCAGGAAGGCGACATCGGCTCCAGCTGCGACTGCGGCTTCGAGTCGGCTGATTGCCTCCTCCAAGCCCAGAGACTGAAGGGCATCCGTGCGGGCGATAATGACGATATCGGACTGCAGGAGACTCTCGTTTCCACCGCCGCGCGTATGCGCGTGAGGTATTCGTCCTTGGAGACGAGCTGCTTCCCGGCTAGATGTCCACATCGTTTGTTGACGACTTGGTCCTCGAGGTGGAAGGCGGCGACGCCGGCTCTGATGTATGCGGCCACCGTCCTACCGACGTTGATGGGCGCGCCGTATCCGGTGTCTGCGTCGGCGATGACAGGCACAGATGGATCGAGGTTGGATATCATCTCCACGTTGTTCTTCATATCCGTCATCGTCGCCAGAACCAGATCCGCCTCACCAAGACGAGACATGCTCGTGCCCGCACCGGTCATATATAGAGTGTCGAAGCCCTCATTTAGTGCTAAGCGGGCGCTGATGCCGTCGTAGACTCCGGGGCAGACCACGATCTTGTTGGGGTCTGCGAGCATTTCGCGTAGTCGTGTAGAAGAAGGGACCATCATTTTTTCTATATTTATTTTCAGTTTTCGGTCCTGCTGTTCGGGAGGAAGTCTGGATTGTGGTTGATAACAGTTTGGGAGAAACCTGTTCGGTCTGTGTTGCAACATGAAATTTTGAGAAGAGCGACGGATTCGCCGGGACTTTTTGTTGGTTCATTTCGTTCTGGGAATTGGTACAATTCGCGAGGAAACGACGAACGGTGAGCATTACCGATTCTCGTCTCACAAGGGGCTGCCTGCGGTCAGAAGCGCCGGTCATGTTGTGGATTCCCGAGCAAGAGTTCCGCATAATGCGCAAGGCACGCTTGCGTAACTTCAACCTTGCCGCTCACGGCCCGACGACGGCTTTCGGGCCTTCGGTCACTTTTTCGTACTTCGATGTCGTCGAGCCCGGTGGCTGGTACCGGTTGCGAATTGAAACTTTGATAGAATGTTTCGGATGCCTGTGTAAAGCCGTATTCTGGATGTCGTACTTATCTCAGGCAGTGAAGCAAGATATTCTGGTCCAAGCGTAGACCACAAAATTGTCATTGTCCACAAACAAAACGTGAACATGACCCGACGATCAAGTATCACCGTCGCCATACCTGACCGAGAAACTCGCCGGTCAGAGCTGAAGTGCATCTCGCTGATCGAACAAGCATCGGGCGCGACGATCTCCATCACTAGAGACAACCGCATTCCACCAAATCAAGGGAATTTATTGACATTCCTGCGTCGTGTCTCAAAGGGCCTGCAGGATATCGACGTCGCTGACGTTGTCGGAGCTCTAGAAGAGGTGGTACAACGCTGCGTTACTGAGCCTGATTTTGGAGGGTATGGGCTGATCGAACAACAAAGCCTACAACCGTCTCAGGAAGCAGACGTCCTCTTTCTGTGTTCAGCTCTCCTGGAAGCCCTTAAGAGCGCTGCTCGAGCACGCGCGAGGCCGCCGTTGTTCTCCGAGAGGCCCAAAGGAAGACGGGGAATGACTATAGCGGAGAAAATCTTTGCCATGCACGACGTGTCCCGCCGTGGCTTTGTCATGTCGGGAGACATCATCCAAGTCGATGTGGACTGGGTCTTAGCATCTGAGCTCTCCTGGCAGGTGAGTCGTGCAGAGAGCTAGCGGCAAGCCCAGTTTTGACTGACGAAACTTATACTGAAAGGGTATGGAAACAGTGTACGATTCTGTAGGAAGACCCGGCATCCATTTGGACTCGTGCAGCCGGGAACGACGGCCAGGAAAGTTCGTATGTATGGGAGTGAGTTAGTTGATATATCCAGATATCAAGAGCCGGAGCAATATCTTGTCAACGTATTCCTTTTAAACAGCTTCCTCATTGAAGTGGCCATGGCTCCAGAAGCATGTGGTGCGCCATGAAGTTTGGTACTTCGGCGCCGCCTCCGGCCTTTTTGCCAAGGTGCTGCTGGAAGACGGTACGGCATGAATTCTAATCGGTCATGGGCTCTGTTTCTGTCCACGCTCCTGCGTCGGAACGAGACCGCTAAGACCTCTCTCTGGCTGGCGCACTTCTCCTTTGGTCGGGATCCCAGACCGACTGGGGGAGAGTTCATGTCTGTGGGGGAAGCATGGAGCGCCCGCAGTAGCACGGGTACAGAGGTCCAGTGAAAAGTCTTCATATCACTTCTCCACTGACGCCCAGCTCACAGCGTCCGTTATCGGCCTGCGACCGGCCCTGAGTGCCGTGGTTGAACTTGGTCGACAATAGACTCTCGTCCTCGCGGACGTGCCTGTGTGTGATAAACAAATGCACCAAGAGCGGCAGGATGACGGATATACCTCCACAGAGACTCTGGTAAGAGTCTGCACAAGTCGCAGAGTCCGAGCCGAAGATTCCAACATGAAGGAAGGTACTGGGATTTCTATCAGGTTAGCTTGCCTGGAGCGAGCGCTTATCAAGCAACGAATTCCGATTTTTCATTTTATGGTTTGTCATTCGTTAGTTGTTGTCATTCCTCTCAGGTACAACAGCTGCCACAGCTGACGTCGGATTGGAATGGCGTCGGCAATATCTTAATATTCCATAAAAAGACCGGTTCGTGAGCGCTGACTGTCCTCTACATCCTCACTCATCTACTTCGAACGTCCTTTCATTCCACCCGTACACTTTCCGCAAGCGCTTTGCGTACAGAATGGCACGATAACCCTCAATCTCTGATTTGTGCGGCCGATGGAGTGTCAACGACTTGCTGACGTGCATATTCTCCGGAGGGAGGAACGCGTACACAGAGCCGGTCTTAGGCAGCACGGAGAACCCCAAGTCGGTCATGGCCGATACGAATGCCGTCCAGCTCACACTGCCACGCGACTCTGCTTTGGCAAACAAGGTGGAAAAGACCTCGGCTGTGGATGCTCGAACTTTGAAGATTGTGGGTTGCTCTTCCTCAAGAGGCTCTTCCTCCTCAGGGGTTGCGACAATTTCGAAGACAGAAGAATGAGAGGGCCGGGTCTTCTCTTTCTGTTTGCGTTGCTCAAGACGCTTCTCTCGCGGTTCTGGCACAGGTGGCGGAGTGGGTTCTACCTCGGCTGGTCTTTTCTGCTCCGTTCGGTCCTTTGCTAGCTTGTACTGCCTCTCAATCTCGGCGAGGCATTCCTCAATCAGATCTTGATAGAGAAATCCCATTTTGGTGCCAGCATTTTCGATGATGAAGTGATCCAGGAGAGTGAGTGTTTTCGATGCCACCCGGGGTTCAAGAAGGTTATCGATTGGGACAACGAAGTCTCGTAGATCAATCTTAGACTTGAGTTCGTTCATTTCCGCGTCGAGCTCTTGGGACCGAGCTACAAACATCTGGTTTTTCTTGCGAGAGAGTGAGGGCATAGATATTGATGGCGACAGGACTTGCACGAAGGATGTGATGACGGCCAAGTCGCCGAGTGAGTCCGCTTCTCTCTCTTCGAGCTTCTCCCGCTCGGAAGGATGAGCATTATGAAGGTCGCTCAACTTCTTCATCCATTCCGTGGCCTTCAAGGCGTCACTCTCAGGCTGACAAAGGCGGAGCATGTAGTGGAGCTGCGGATCAGTCCGCGTCAAACTTTCGGGGTCACCCTTCATGGTCACGCGTGCGTTGCCGGCTTTGTCGTATACGTTAGACATCCTCTTGAACCACTTGACTCCAGTGGCTGTTTGGACGTTACGTTTGAAGAGAGCTTGGGCGCGGCTGAATTCCAGGTGACACACATTGGAGATTTCTTGAAGAATTATGGCTCTGAATGTTTTGTCCGTGGCGGGCTGGGAGACCAAGAGGTCGAGGAGGCGACCAATATAGCTCCAGATGGCAACTGCTTTGATGGCGTTGTACACTGCCTCCAACACTGCACCACTGATGTACTTGTCGGTATGGACCGGCAAAATACGGCCCTTCTCATCAGGAAGCAGCTCAGGGCGGCTAAAGAAGCAGAGGTTGACAGCGTGGGTAAGTACGACAGGCTCCGTGGAGAGCAAAGTCAAGAACTCTTCAAGCGTAGCTTTCTGGTCCGCAGCGCTGGTGATAAGATCTGGGATCGAGAGGCTTTTGGCTGGCTCTTGAATGCTGAGTTTCGAAAGGGCAGTGGTCGCGGCTTTATCAGACTTCTTGGATGGTTTCTTCCGATCCCTCGTTCTCGAGCCGATGTCTAAGATGTCCTCGATGACAATGTTGAGACTCTGGAGCACATACAGTTGTCGTTGCAGTATCAGTTCGCCGAGCTCTTGAGGAACGCAAAGATTAGCCCTGATGGCAGGTGCAAGCCCAGCCCGAACTTGGGATGCTTCACGCATGATCGTCATAGTCTGACCATACCGGTCTTCGTCCAGGAAAAGGGTGAAGCCATTCGGGTCAGGATCATCGAGGTGGAGATTTCTGGTGTCCATCATCTGTTTTATGAAGGCGTGATCACCAGGGCCGCCATTGAGACCGGTCATGTATTGATCGAGGAGGGTAGTTGTGGCACGGTGTTTGAGGAGATCCAAGAGAATATCAGATTCGGGATTCGTGATATCGCGCAGATTGATTTCGGGGATGATTTTGTAAACATTTCCCAGGGACCGATCCAGAGGATGCTTGAGAACGACGCCTCCCGCTGCACCGGCTTTGATGCATTGTGTTCGTCGACCCTGATCAAAGCTCCGCCAGTACTGCTCCACCGCAGCTGCGTGTTTGTTGTATTTCCCCACCAGATCTCTGTGCAGGTCCTTGACCATATCGCCGGTCGAAGAATCGCTCATATTGGCGGTAGTCTTCGACAGCAGGTGTCAGTCAAGGTTCTCTCAGCTGAGGCGATGAGACCGTGTCAAGACGGACAGCGAAATACTGCCTGTAATATGACTGCCAGCAAGGGAAGGGAAATTGTTGTAGTGACAGAAGTGACGGTACGGTGAGAGTTGTTCCGCAGTCGAGACTGTTCGGTGGGGACAATTGACCAGTGGGCTATTCCTGTCCAGTACTAGTCGTTATTTACTTCAGTCACAAAAGGCGGGGCGCAACGGGTCACGTGAAAGACTACATGTCTTGGCATCATCTGGTTGCTCGGCACACTTGCCTTTTTTACGCACGTCTTTTTCTCTGCGCGTAGCGGGTCAGCTCCATTCGCAAATTATCATCCATCATCTTCGGCCTATGGCAAGTGTGTTATGCTTTTCGGCCCGGTAGGCTGGGATGATTTCACCTATAGCTAATACTCGATGACTATCTCGAGGATACCGTCAGTAGCAACGTGAATAAAACTGAACACATCCACGCCTCGCCCATGCATCGATACGTGTGATTCGTTCTCGCCACTTTGAGCTCAGGTTGAAGCGACATTGATTCAGACCTATCACTGAGACTGGACCTGAGAAAAGAATTTCGTGTCTCCGACTATGGAGCCAACTTTCAGCAGTCCCCATAAAAGATACTGGTGGCAGTTGCACCACCTGCGCCAAAAACACACTCGCCCAGAGGCAAAGACCCAAGCGTGCCGAATCCAAAGTTTTCCCCAGTACACCCTTGTCCTGAGAAGAGCTGGATGCAGTTACCCCCGACCTTGGACCCGCGGGAAACTAGTTCGAAGCCAGTGAAAGAGCTGACGGTGTGGCAGGAGTTCAGTGTGCCGATGTTGATCTGGCCCTTATTTGCACAACTCCCTGAACTTCCATAGGCCAGCATGAAAGTAAAGTCGCTCCTCTTTGTGAGGGTGTTATGGTTTTCCGAAACTGGTGTTGTGAGAGTCGGAGCGGCAAGAGTGGAAGCGAAGGCAGCCATGGACAAGGCTTTCATGGTTGCGGTATAAGTCGGGAAGAACGAGTGTATCCGTCGAGCCGAGTGAAAAGAAAGGAGTCAAGCCGCCGAAGCCAATGGTGGACAGGTGTATCAATCAGGTTGGTGGAGGTCAACTGGAATCTTGTGCAAGGAGAAGGACTGTAGAGAAAGTGAAGACCATGAGCGGGATCTCAACAGTATTTATATTGCTCAGCGGCACTTTGTACTTATGGATGCTTGAACCTATGGATGCTTGAACCTCTGTCACTCTTCCTCCTTGTCTTACCAACACAAGTGAGCAGGAGCCTGCTGCTTCCTCTGGTCAGGTACAATACCCTCTCACATAAGCACTAAGGGAAACGCCAAAGTGCGAGTCGTAGTTATCGTTAAAGAAGGCATTGTCAATGTGAAACCAAAGAAGGAATAATAACGCCAGTTGAAACTCCAGCGATGTCGGGTCGCTCTGTACATGCATATATCCGAACATTGAGCGTAGATCGGATGAAACTCTTTTTCCAGTGACAAGGTACTGGCTCGACAATTCTTGCCGCCATATTTGTTTGGGCTGGTCACAAAAGACAAAGGGCCAAGAGTATCGTAACGAGAGATCCAAGATGCAAATCATGAAATCGCAGGATCTTGTACATTCTGGGCTATCCCGGTTCCTTCGATCCTACATGACAAGGAGACCACAGAGGCTAGGCCGTCAGCATCCAGCATCGAATTTCATATTATCGACTTCCACCTCCACACTGTTCCATAACTTACCAGCCCGTATCAGTTATGGAAAGCACGCGACTAGGCTTCACGTTCTTCAACTTAGCTTCATCACTTCTTTCAGACCAAGGCATTTACTGGGTATGGGCTGTCAGGGATTTGCTCGCGGAAAAAATCTGCCTAATTAGGTAAGGGCATCGATACAAAGATTCCATTCCTTCGATCCCGACTTAAATCGATTTCTGCCCTAACCGGCTGGGCAGCCTAAGTAGGCAATACCTGCATCCCTCAGTGTATTCACACGGTCCTATATCTGACAATAGCTGCTGACCTAAAACGGGCAAGTGTTATTCCCAATTAGGATATGGGTACGTGCCGGGGAAGGATCGATTTTGGTGGAACTAGGATGAGACGAACTTTGACTGCTACTTCAAGTCATTTTCTCTTCGTAGTTCCCTCTGCCACCTCTTCGTTCTGGTCTTAGGGGTACTGGCCCTTTGAATTCTGCTTGGTCCCGTCCATTTATCTCTTCGTCTCCAGGTCGTCTCTCTTTTTGCGGTCATTACGTTCTTTCTTCCAGTATTTTGTGCGCTTTGACGTTAGGATGTGAAAGTGAATTTGTTCTTGGTGAACTCTGGAGTACTTCTGCAAGATGGAAATTTATCTTCCAATATGAAGGGATGAAAAATCGAGACTCAATTATACTCCCCCGCTGCATACCCGTCGTGATCATTCCGTGTCGTTCTATAATGCTGACTGCATTAGGGGCTTCTTTCCACGTCGGTCGGTTTGCCAGAACGCCTTAGAACATTCTCAGATACCGAAATTCTTCTTGGACTAATACTCCCCTTTCTTCCTTTTATACTGGCTTCGGTGCCCTCTATGAGTCTATATCTTTCCTAACTTCGCCTCCGTCTTCGCTTGTTGTGCTGTTAGCCTTCGTGGCTCCAGCAGAGCTCTGCATAAAGAGGTGGCGTGGCAAGTATAGCATTGCTAACCACACGAGCCCGCTGGTGACGAGCAAAGTCGCAAGCTCGGCAACAACTATGAAGCATCAGTTTCCACAGAATCATATACATACTCGAGGGCAATTTGCTCACAAAACGACCATGTAATGAATCCAGAAGAGTAGACACCTTCATCTCCGGACGTCCTTTTGTACTTCGCCAGCTCCTCGATTGGCAGAGCCAGAAGGCTGGTCATGAATGCTATCGGAGCGAAAAGGATGGTGATAATAGTGAACCTGATGACTGCCATGCTTGGCAGTAAGCTAATTCGAGCGTCCCTCATGCTGGCACGCGCATCGTTAACTGCTGGCATATGTTCGTTTGAGGTTCAGTTGATCTTGAATCGTTTTGTCAACTCGCTCGGCGTCTCTGTCGACTTTCTGCACTCTTTCGCGGTAGTCTTTGACCTGCATTTTTGCCTTTGCCAATTTTCCGCTTTCTTCAGGTGGTAGGACATAATCAATCTCTTGCACCATCTTCTCCAAGAGTACTTCCTGCTGACGGAGAATATCATCCACCATGCCAACTCATCTCTTACGTCGGCAATATCTGTCACAAACTCGGTCTCTCTAGTGATCCGAGGTCTCCAAAATCCTGGTTTCGCACGTACTCGGTCACAGTGGACAGGACTCGGACCACACTACGTTCGAAGATGTCGAGAGGCGAAGGGAAGTGTTTTCTCTGAACTGCTCCAAATTGGTTGATCTGTGCGACAAGGACGCGCACAGTGTATTGCTCAGCAGACATAGAGCTTTCCCAATTTTCACCCTCGAGGCTTTTTCTTGCCCACTCTTCTCGTTCATACCTCGAAGGAGCATATGGATGTCTTGAAAGGTCTTTCCAGGAGGTGAAAATGCCGACACAACATAATTCTCTAGTTTCCAGATCCAGTACTGCGGAACTACGAGAATAGGTCGCTCAACTTCAGGTATTGCCGATCCATCTGTCAGATTTTTACATTCTCTCGTAACGACCTGGTTCTGGTTCCTGTGGCTAAGTACTGCATGTGAGAGTGATGGATAGTATGTTTCGTCCAGGGTTCGCTCAACTTGAATGTATTTCTCAGCTCTCCGCGAACCAATCGAGTGTCTCAGTTCTTGGGCTTTTTTTCTCGATCTGGTGAAAGTAAACATGTCCCGCAATACAAGACACGGAAACTGATATTGTTAGCTCGAAATGACAGACTCATCATTCAACTTACTGTAATGGCATAAGGTTTTTCGTCCAAGATATCATAAGAACAGACCCTATAGTTGATATATGGATCACCCGGAACAGCGGGAGGTTCGTGGAAGCACCAACTGAAATATTGGAGGCAGTTTTGTTGATCGAAAACAGACTGGCCCGACATGCAGCTCAAAATACCCAGGCATTTGTTAGTTTGAGCCGGAATCGCTGAGCAGATCATACGAATATTAGGAGACTCTAGATAGCATCAGCACTCTTTCTTTTCAAGCTAGCAGATTTGCTCAAGTTGGTCCATGGAACATGCATCCGGAACGAATTCTCAGTACTCGAAATCCACCTCTTTTGCTCCTCTCTTTTCAAAAGTCTGGTTCTCAACCTCCTTAGTGTTGTGGTATAGCTCTCGGTATCGTGGCCCCGAATTTCAAATCTCACATATAAGGGAAAATCAAAACATTGATTACCTGAAACCGATCCATACAAGGCAAAAAGAAGATGGAACCAGTCATGCCGAAATCCACGAACAAGGCGGACGCGATCCCGAGCAGAATTATCGTAGTTGCCTCGAGTATCTGGATTAGCACCATATGCAAGACAGAATTCGGTAGCAAGATACGATGGTAGCGCTCCCCATCCGAATGCATAGCCCAGAGGTGTCTTGCTGCCCGCGTCTTGATGGCGTAGTTCGCTTTGAACATATTAATCGTCGTCCAAGGCTTGGATAAGACAATTGAGCACGTTTTGATGGCGTAGTTCGCTTTGAATATATTTATCATCATCCAAGGATTGAACAAGATCACTGAGCGGGCCTGCTGTACCCAGCTTGGCTGCATAGAACACAGCCGATCTTCCCATGATGTGTCTCGCGACCTTAGATTTGCCCCTTCGTCGTCGACGAGGTACCTTGCGACTTAAATTAAATTATAGTGGATTGCGTAACGAGCGATCCGATCGATATCAACATTCACATGTGAGCGGCAGGCCTTTAACAGGGGTTTGAACTCAGACAGCCGCATCTTTTCGTCTTTTTGGAGATCACAAATAACCTTGACAAGGCTCTTCACTGTGTATACCGATGTTTAAGCTTTCAAGTTACGTTCAAGCCACGTTTGAACTTGGATGAATGGACGGACAGACCTTCAGATGCCACTGAATCTTGATTGGTGTTTCCCACGTCTTCTGATTTCGCCTGCGCTTCCGGTCTGTTTGCATTACTGGCACTGGAGGCTGTCTCCGGGCAATCCTCGAACGTTCGGAGGGTTAAATCTGCTTGTCTTAGCTTGTCGCACGGCAAGCAGGCGTTGAAGATCTCGAATTGAGGATCTACCGCGAGAAGGGGCCATTGTTACGTTGGTGGTCGGAGTAAGTATCTCTGTGTCTCAGAGAGCCTTGGTGCCGGGATGGAAGGAATTATGACTCTTTCTCTGCTCCAGATAGCCAGCTGGGAGATGAAATATGTGCTCTGGGTTTAGAACGAGTGTCACCCATCTGCTGTGGCCAGAGCAAATTGAATTGCACCACGCGTTCCAACATCTCTGGTGTGGTGGTAGTACAGAGCCCGGATTCGTCACTAGCAAGCGACTCGTGAGAAATCCCTCCTTACCGTCGCTTGTGAGTTGCTCAGATTGAGTGTTTGCGAGTGTGCTAATCAGACCCCGCACCCAGCCCTACAAATGCCAGTTGCCAATGGACAACCCCAGAGGAGGACTGAAGGCAGTGCAGGGAGCTTCACAGCTGAATATTTGCTCTCGACCATGAGGACAAGCACGAAACCTATTCCCTCTGCGGATGCCGCATTCTGTAGTGCCTAGAATCTGCTGCAGAACGACCACCAAGAAGATCAGCTACGTCTGCATGAGAGGGAGCAGGTCGAGCAGTGAGCCTGATCAGCCTGAGCAGCTCACACTGAGGCGCAGCTGAAACTGAGCCTCACCATCCTGGTCACTCGTTTGCCTTCTTGCTTGGTAGTCAAGGAGTGAGCGCTGTCCAAAATGGCTGCCAAGTTGCTGAATACTCGACTCTTTAGCTCGCAGCTAGTGAAGTCTAATCCTACCTTCCTGTGCCGTCCCTTCAAAATATTTGGTCATACAGGTGCGTTATTGCAAATTCTCGTCAAGAAGCTAGTGGTCATCCATGAGGGTGGAGCCGTGGACAAAATTGAACTTCCAGTATACTTTGATAGCCTGAGGGTGGGTATGTTGGTCAAAGCGTGGGGATTATCGACTAGAGTATTCGTTTCTCCAGTTTTTGCCCCACGGGATTGGACGATGTTGACCGGTAGAGGGTCTGACAAGTGTTCTAGGGCGGTATATTGTATTATAGTGTCTATGAAGGAGAGTGTCTGACTACTATCTATCTATGTTCTGGGTGCTAAGGCGCTAAGGCCTAACAACGACTGTCATCGGACATGGCAGGCACTCGGGCTCCTTTCTCATGCGGCGGTGTTGTCAGCGAGAGACGGCCGTGAGGCTCACGATGTATGTTTTCCTTCCGTTTTCGTCAACGAAGTACCACTAGTGATCGTGCCGATTCCTTGACTTAGATAACTTCGCCAAAATCCAGGGGTCTCACACTATTCTCCTAGGCAAAGCTCACATCTATCACAATGTATGGAACCGGTCGTTCAGCTCGGTTTTGAATCCTGTCCTTTGTGTTTAGGCATCGAGACTAGCGAGAGGAGTCCTTGGATCCCCCCCCCCCCCCCCAACACAAAAAGCTCGGTGTCTGAAATACAAGATACTGTATGCTCAGCGACCGTTCAACGTTGTAGATAACGAGTGAACGGAAATGAGCATCCAGAAGTGAATACCCGTACCTGGCACAACGCCGTTGACACGATCGACGAGCCAACCTCACTAACATACATGTCCCAACCCTTCCCAATGACTTCGGTCATCCGAAGTTGTTTTGGATAAACAGTTCACTTTCATCAAACACGTTGCCAGAATTCGACCAAGGAATCTGAGCGGGCATAGCACTCCGAATAGTGGATACGCTGCTAGTCGTGTACGAGAACTCGTCCTGTTCCAAAGTGCCCGGAAATCCATGCATACCTTGGAACCAACAATCAATGCCATCGACATGGTCCAGGAAGAAGTGGAGAGACGGGTCAACTGTAGCAACCCAATTTTCATCTACGAAATTGGCCGCGATTGTCCCATCAGGGGAGACATTTGATGCCACTAGTGGCGCATTCAGAGCCGAGAATGGATTCCCGTCAGACATTGCCGACCTGCTGTGGCTAAAATTGGGCGACGATGAATCGTCCCGGACGCCGGCCTGGATCGAAGATGAGGGAAGCATGGACCGTGATGAAGTCGGGGCCGTCTCATGGGCTGCCGAAGTTGGCGGAGGCGCTGATGTACCCTGTAATGTGTTACGCAGCCGATCCAGAATCTGGAGAGTCCGGACGGCGGCTTTGTTCGAACCCCCAAGGTTCTCGAGGCAGCCGGCGGCTTTCGCCAAAGCGACATCGCAGGCTGGAATCGTCCTTTTTGACTCGCCTTCCGTTAATAGAGACGCTCGTCTCGCCTCGGAAACGCCCATAGCCAGAATCCCCTGGAGTAGGAAGTAGACAACGTACCAGCTCAGTCCAGTGTGGACAGCCTCGGGATGTCTCTGGCAGAAAGTGGCTATATCGACAATAGCTTCGGCGGCCACGCGTTGAAGCTCTGCCGCCAGTTCCACCCGATGTTGCAGGTCATCATATCGACGCTGCTTTGCCATCAAGATCAGAATGCGCAGGTTTGCTTCCTTCCAGAGCACAATTTGACGGGGCCCGAGAAACCACGTGGGTACGTTAGGGGTCCGAAAGTAAGCGGGAAGAGAGTCTCGCCAATGCTGAAGTTTCCGCTCCTCAGCGATCGCCGAACTGTGTGGCTCCGGGTTTCTCCTTCCGCACAAGATTTCGCAATATGCGCCGTTCGCTATGACTGCCAGACGAGCTTGTGCATTTAGGGCGGAATATACTGTAGGGTGGTCGACTTCTCGAGGCAGAGTAGAGGAGGCGTCACAATCTGCGTCCACAATGTTCTTAGGTTTTTCTGCGTCAATGAAAATGTCGGCAACCGTGATGGGGCGTCCAGTAGTGAGACTAAAGCCACTATCGAAACAATACAGCGTCCAGAACAGCGCTCTCCGGTGCTGTTGTGCGAGGCTGCGTTTGGACTTGTCGGGGAGGATCTCTCGGTGCAATCCCAGACCCAGTGCGACTCGATAGGCGATGCCGATGAAGTTGTAACCGGTGTTGGGGCGATCTCTCTTTTGCAGATAGTTTCCCAGGAGCAACAGAGCTTGCACTGTCATGGTATTTCCCGACTCCAGTATTTCAGTACGCAATCGGGCTCGCCCAGCTTCGTAATACAGCGACGGTTCGTCCGTGCAATACCCACTGACCCATTCACCAATGGCAAGCACCATGAAGGATACAATGTGCCAAGGAGATTGTGATGGTATTCGATGCTTTTGGCTATGCTGTTGACGAAACGTTCGTTCGTGGACGATGGGATAAGACGAATTATACGCCACGAAGTAAGCCTCAATCAGAAGGTCCTGTGCCAATCCTCTTGCCATCCTCGCCGAGAAAAAGAAGTCTTGAGACCGTGCGGTTGAGTCAACCGATTTACATGTTTGGGTAGGTGGCCCGGCGGAGTTAGGGCTTACAGGTGGCAGAAATGATGAGATCGACTTCAACAAACTTGAGCCAGCCGTGATTCCTAAGACAGTTAGAAGCTCATCTTTGGTGTATGAAGCAACTTCGAGCCACTCACCAAGGTAGCCCGAAGAATCAAGAGACATCATCCCATCTTTCGAGGGTCCGTTATCTGGGTGGTTTTGATCGTCGTCATCACCAAAATGGGAGATCTCGTGCCATTCGAGCTCGGAAGCCAAGGGTGCTTTCCCAGGATTTAGTGTAGAGTCTGTCGTATCCGGTGCGGCTGGAGGGCTTGGAGGGGTTGGAGACTCCAGATCGTCATCTGAGCGGCCAAGCTCGTCTTCGAGTCTTATGTCAGGACGAACACGACGGAGGATAGCCTCGAGTCGTCTGCAGCGTATTTCAGCGGCTTGGAGGTTTTTTCGAGTGAGCGACGTCCGTGGCGGTGGCCCTGCAATAACGCATTCTTTCCCGGTCTTTGCGCAGTATACGCAAGGAGCCCCTTCGACCCCGAGAGCGCAGCGGGTCTTTCTGCGTTGGCATTCTGTACATGCCCGGTCCGACAGACGAGGAGCTCCTCTCCGGTTCCTGTTCATGTTGGAGACAAAGCAGTCATCATGTCGAATTACAGTGTGCGAGCTTCTCGCGCTGGTGCTCGCAGCTCGGCGTAGATTTATCACACGACTGCTCGCTGCCACAGAGGGGAGGTTGAAGAAAACAAACCAAGATGTGGCGACAGTGCGGCGTTTGCTCAGGAAGTTGAAAGATTCTTGCGGGGTTGACGGCTATTGCAGCCGTGGCGCATCACGTGTAAGAGACCTATGCTGCTTTTATTGCAGCCAATGGTATCGCGAGAGGCGACGGCGGATCCAAGGCACGAGGTGGGAAAGGGGGGCATCTAAGATATGTTCTCGATCCCAGGAGCATATGCACACTCCTCTGGGTCTAGTCGCCAACTTCTCAAAAGAAGCACGCTGCGATGAGAAAGTCGCCGCAGTTGGCAAAGACAGGCATCAAGTCAGGGTACGAACGAAGTGCTTTGGGCAACAATAGCATTCCAGATTAGTCTACAGGATGCTTATAGGTGCATATAGCTAGTACTAAGGCTGAAAAGGCAGCTGGAGAGCAAAAGGGAGTTGATAAAGTGCTCCGTACGACTTCGTTGCATTGTATTGGCAGCACGAGAGCATTCTTCGAGTTTGCATACGATTCCTTCCAAAGGTTCTTGACAAACTTCATTGCTCAGTCGTCCCATTCCAGACGCATAAATTCACAAGTGCCTGAGGTCGGACAATTTCCTTACACCGTTCCGGTATTCTTCAACGCTGCGGATGGTGATCCTGGGTTGGATCAGCTTCGCGCGCGCCAGTTCTCCATTGGGCAAATCATTGTACTCTGCCCGTTTCACGGCAGCGTCCCAGTTGTTCTCAATCCCACTTTGGATGTGTCGTTGCGCTATCCGGTGTCGAGCAAGTTCGGGCAATACGTCCACAAACCAAGTATCGTCCACCATGGCGCTAATGGTAGACCAGGGACTTTCATCCAAAAGCAACCAATTCCCTTCCAATATGACTGTCGAGGTATCTGGAGACACAATGATGGCGTCGACAACCGGATCTTTGGCGACATGATCAAATGCAGGCGCTAGGACGCTTCTCGACAGCCATGAGCCGTCTCGTCTCGATTGGTCCAACAGCTTCACCAGATTCACCACTCCCTGCGCGTCAAACGTCCACGGGGCACCCCTCCGAGCGTGTAATTCACCACTGTTGGGCAACAAATCAAGGGCTACACGTGGAAGGTGAAAGCCATCCATAGGTAGAACGGTCGCATATGCAGTGCCCGCCAGCTTATTCAGTCTGTTGACAACTTCTCTGGCAACTGTTGACTTCCCAGCACCGGGAACACCAGCGAGCGCTATCAGGGTTCTCGACGGAGCATGTTGATTTGTCTTGACCTCGTTTTCCACCTCGAGAGTACGGGCGACAAGAAATTCGTAGACTAAGTCCATATTTCGACTTTGAATATGTTGGGAGAATGCTTGGTTGCAGAAGGGAGGATTTTGAGAGCGGTTCAGGTATATGAGAGGATATCGACCACGGGGCGCAAGGGCGCGTTCAGAGCAACGGGTGGGCAGTTTGATCTAGTATGTGACCTGGTAGACGCGACATCCCTGTCCTAGGGGGAATGGCACTTTATGAAGATTGATTAAAGCTCGAGGTGGTAAATGTGGTGTCTAAACCAGGACTGCTAGAGAGGAACAGAAACGCTGGCATCTGGGGCAGCGCTGTTCCACGCTGCCACCCACCAGACACGCATGGCAGATTCCCCGACACTGGCCATCTGAGAGGCAATCACGAGAATACTAAGATCTGTTACCAGGCAAAATCCATTAAAGGTTAAATTACCTAGTGCGCAAAGAATGTACCACGAGAACAGGGGCTTCGGAGAGGCGGTTGGTGTTCGGAGCACTGTGAGCCGAAGGCTCTCACTTGTCGGAAGTCTTAGATTACCTGGACGCTCGCTTGAATTAGTTTGTGCGGATCAAACCCTTGTAAGACAATCCTCTATACGGAGCACAGCAAGCCGATGCCGTGGACAATTAACCATGGTTCTTTGGGGCGAGGTTCCAAGCCTGTTGCCAAAAAACTCCTCTTCCTAGCATTCCAGATTCTCTAATTTTAATTTTCTTATACATATTGAGCTTTATTGAGCTTAGATCATTATTTTCCGGTTTCTTGCTGGCATCTCTCTGTCCATCGTGGAAGAGCCATAATGGGTGAACTCCAACCGGCAACGAGTGTCCCCGTTGAAGACGCAAGGGAGATGCTCGCGTCGCGTATCATTCCAACCATGACCCTATCGTCGTCCTCCAACCCGCTGACAGCGCCGTGCATATCTTCGACTTCTTCTCTCAGTCATACCGCCACAGCTACAGAACGGTTCAAAGTGGAAGGGGGCGCGATCCTGACAGGAGGCGCAGGTTCTCTCGGCTTGGTAGCTGCGAGAGCACTCATCGAACATGGACTCTCTGTAGTTTGCCTATTCGACTTACCGGGAACTTTAAAGTCCTCTGAAGCTCAGGTCGACACATTACGGAAGGACTTCCCACACCAGGTGTACACCTACGCGGTCGACGTCACATGTCCTCAAGCCGTCGAGGAAGCAGTTCAGCAAGCAGTGGCCACCGCACAAAGCATCGACATCCTCTGTTGTTTCGCGGGAATTGTTGACTGCGTCCACTCCATTGCAGCATCCTCCCAACAATTTCGCAAGGTCATCGATGTGAACTTGGTGGGCTCCTTCCATTGCGCTCGCGCTGTCGCAAAGCACATGATCGAACAAAAACGGGGTGGAAGCATCGTCTTGACCTCCTCGATCTCTGCACATCCTACCAACTTCCCGCAGCCCCAGCTGGCATATAATGTCAGTAAAGCTGCCGTCAGTCATATGACACGCAATTTAGCAGCAGAATGGGCGGTTCACGGGATCCGAGTCAATTCGATCAGCCCCGGGTATATGGATACTGTCCTAAATGCCGGTGATAGTCTCAAGCCAATCCGCGATATCTGGGCTTCACACTGTCCTTTTGGCAGAATGGGTGATATTGAGGAGATCACAGGGCCGATCATTCTGTTGAGTAGTCGGCGGGCGGGAGGATACATCACGGGAGCAGATCTCTTGGTAGACGGAGGTGCGATGTGTTTTTGATTGATAGAACCAAATTCTAACGTACAAAGGGCGGAAATAGATGATAGGGAAATAGAGGAAACCCACTGTGTACTTGATGCCAATCCCTCGTGTTTGGGTCGGCTCACCTTGCTCCGATGCCTGCCACCCGGCACATAGATCATGCTCAGGTGGTGTTAGTTCTGGGTCATTTAACACGAGTTGCCTTCCACACCTCCAGCTCGTAGTTCGTCAGGCCAACCCACTTGGTCTGTGCGCCGGCTGTCACGACTCGATTCCCAGCCCAGTGAATCGCATTCGGCAACAACTAACCACCTAGGTACCCATTAAAAGGACGATGGGATGGCCGAACTCACCAATATCCCATCGTCGACCAAAGACCCTCACCCTTCAGAGTTTGTGGAATTTGCGTCTGGCAATCATACTCTGGTCGAGTCTTCTGTGGCGGCTGTCGACACCCAGTTTGGAGGGGTGTGCGACGAACAGACAAACTAGACGCAGGAGAGAGACAGCCTCGCCAAGAATGATGTGTTGCGAGATTTCTTCGCCACCGTGCCTGAACCCCTTGGGCCCTCAAGGGATGCGACTGCAGCAGCTTCCATGGAACGAAAGATGACATTTTCCACCGGCTGTCGTCTCTACCCTAAAGCCATCGCCCGGTCATTCCTCCTCTCCTGCACGATCATCATGGAAGGCTACGACACCACGCTGATAAACGGCTTTTACGCCTTCCGGGCCTTTCGAGCGGCTTATGGATCTGCAGTTCACGGGCCAGACTCGGCTACGACGGTCACATACCAGATTAACCCGAGATGGCAAGCAGCTTTGACAAATTCTGGCGAGATCGTGGGTCTCTTCCTCAACGGCCTTTGGACCGATCGATTTGGTCATCGATGGACGATGATAGGGACGCTGATCCTCATGCTGTTATTTGTGTTTCCCGCGTTCTTTGCCGTGAACATCGAAATGATATTGGTATCTCAGATTTTATGTGGTACACCTTTGCCTATGGGAGAGATGCGGGATCCAGATGCCGACGAGAAAAGGTGTTCCATGGGGCGCCTTTCAATCTCTGTCGACAACATATGCTGGCGAAGTCATGCCAGTGCAAATGCGAGCTTATCTATTAAGCAATGTGAATATGTGCTGACTGATCAGGCAGTTATTGGGAGTGGCTGTGATGCGAGGGCTGGTCAACAATGCATCCCAGTGGTCATATCGAATCCCGTTCGGCCTTCAATGGTTGTTTGCCGCTGTGATCCTGTCTGGCGTTATTTTTGCTCCTGAGAGCCCATGTGAGTTGACTTCCGGGGGATATAGCGAGTTGAACAACTCTGATACACTGCAGGGTGGCTTGTAAGACATGGAAAATTGCGCCAAGCGAAACGATCCTTGTTGCGTCTTGTCACCATGAGACTTAACGGCTTCACGGTTGACGGGATTCTTGCCATGATGAAACAGACGAATGATATCGGAAAGTTATCTCCACGGCGAGACCGCCTCCATCCTGGACTGTTTCAAGGGGACCAACCTCCGCCGAACGGAGATCTGCTGCATGGTCTATTGCGCACAGGCGATGAGCGGTTCAACACTAACTGGGTTCGAAGCCTACTTCTTTGAACAGGCCGGAGTTGGGGTCCAAGCCTCTTTTACCCTCGCAGTGGGAATGTATGCTCTGGCGATCCTAGGAGGAGTTATCGTGGTTCCTGCTCCCCAGAATCGGAAGACGAAGGCTATATCTGACGGGGTCAGTTGTTTCGTTCTGTATCCTTGTCTCGGCCGGAATCGTTGGAACGCTCAGGCCATCGACATCCACATCGTGGGCAACAGCCAGTCTCCTCATCCTTCTGACCTTTGTGTACGACATGACCCTCGGACCGGTTTGCTACGTCCTAGTAGCCGAGGTGCCTTCTACCTGCCTCCGGGTCAAGTCAGTTGTCCTTGCGCGTGCGGCGTATAACGCCATCAGTATCGCAATGAACAATGGCACGTCGCATATGCTCAACCCAGCGGCGCTGAACTCGCGGGGCAAGACGTGCTTTTTCTATGCCGTGACGACTGCTTTGAGTTTTGCGTGGTGTTACATCCGACTACCGGAGCCCAAGGGTCCCACTTACCTGGAGCTCGACATACTGTGTGAAAAGAAGGCCCGTGCAACAAGGTTCAAAGAGTTTCAAGCAGTTCTGGAAAGCTCTGGTTACTTCTCTCTCGCAAGGGGCGGATCTTTTGAAAATAGCTGGCGTGGATACTGAGTCAAGTCTTTATCTCGACGTCACGGAACCACCTGATAACTCATGGTAGTGTGTAGTGAGACAACATCTCGAGGGAGGAATGGCCAGGTGGAGCGCCATTCCCATTCTGTCGCTCTAACCGAATATGTACTTTCTCCGCTGTGCCAAGCCATCAGCATCCGGAGGATGAAGTGATTGCCATATGCGCACCCCCGCATGTTGGCTATCACATTTGCGGCACGTATAACATAGATTTATCCTTCCTCAGATGGCATCAGAGTCGGATCTTTTGCGGTCATTGACATCTACGACAGCGATTGAGACAGTCCGGTCATGGGTAAGACACTCTTGATTAGATTCCCCGTCTGGGAAAGAGTTGTCTAAGGTGGAATTTGTGTCCCGACGAATAGATTTGACCAAAGCACCATATGCGTTCATGGTAAAGTATAGCCTCCGTCAATGAGAACATCGCTTCCAGTCTGAAAGCTCGACGCATCACTCGCCAGATACAGATAGAGACCCTTGATTTCCCGCACGTGCCCTTGACGCCCAAGCACTGCCATCCGGTGCCCCTCGTTCTCGCACAACGGTGAGGCTCCCATCTTTGTCTGGAAGAACCCGGGACTGACGATGTTGACGCGTGCAAAATCCCGCCACTCTCGCGCCAAGCTCTTGCCTAGATGGGTCACAGCGGCCTTGGTGGCATTGTAGACCGGCTGGTCCACGGGAACGTTGACAATGTGAGCCGACATGCTAGACGTGATGATCAAGTTCCCCCGGCCTTGTTGCTTGAAGACCTCTCCTGCGTACTTGGCACAGAAAAAGACACCATCCACGTTGACTGACATCTGCTTTCGATATTCGTCCACCGTTTGCTCGAGGATTGGCTTGGAAATGGCCATCCCGGCGTTTGCAACGAAGACATCCAGACGGCCGAAGTCCTTGGCCACCTCCCCGACAGCTTGTTGCACTCGCGACGGGTCTGAAACTTCGACTTGATAAGCTTTGACCGTGATACCGTGTTTAGACGCCAATTGTGCCCCCTTGGATTTGGCTGCGTCGTTCGTGTTGTACCAGAGGGCCAGATTGGCTCCGGCCTCTGCCATGGCTTCGGCAACCGCCCATCCAATGCCATCTGAAGCACCTGTAATGCACACCACTCGATCTTTCATGGAGAGCTGGTCAAAGACATTTTCGGGCGTTGGCGGGGTTGGCTTTGGGGGCCGGGGAGTTGCGCATTCCTCAATGGACATCGACATGCTGGGCTGATTCGAAAAAACAGAATAGGATCGATCCAAAAAAAGCCGAACTTGTTGCAAAGAGTTTTATCGCTCAACCTGCAAGGTCGTAGAATGCAACAACGTTGCAAGGGCTTTCGTTAAATGCGGGATTCCCTGGCTAGTTGTCCTCTCGGGACATTGTCTTCCGATGGCGATCGACCGGGTTTTTTCCTGTCACAATCGTCCATCGGACGACCGACCCTCGTTGTCTGCGCCAATGAACTCTGATTTAGAACTGGAGGTGCTGCCGATGCGGATCAGATAGAGCCTATGACGGACTAGTCTTTGGTTCGTCCCCTATCGACATCGAGCGCCCACCATACGTCGGCTCACAGTGAGCCGACCATTTCAAGGCATGAAACTCAACGAGCTGTAGATGTCTACAACAGCAGCAGACGACTATCCATTGTTCGCGTATGCAGCCGAACAGATTCGAAACAGCATGCGGTGGCAACATACTGCAAATTGGGATGGCGAGGGGATTTTTAGACCTCACCATTCTGGCCTTATGCACTCTTGAACGGCTTTAGTTCCCATCCCAACTTCGGCTCAAACATACTATATTCGAAATTTATAAAGAGACCATGACTATCAATGACGTGCGGATAATGCCAATACACTTGATTGTTCTACTTGGAGTACCAAGTGCCAGACCTAGCCTACAGCAAATTTGCAGATCTAGCACCATGCCCAGCCTTTCGCGTGGCTTCGCCTGTCAATGCTCCTCTCACTCGCCGAGCGGCCTAGATCTCGTATTTACACTTGGCCACTCGACCATCGTCGGACCACTGCCGCCCGACGACTTGATGCAGCATTCCGCACCGGCAAACCAGGACACATTCGTATCCAAATGTCGCCACGGTCGAGGAACTCTACCTTCCTTCAGCCTGCTTCCGCCGCCCCTCCCCCGCGTTTGCGAGAGTCTTGCCTAAGATCATCACCGTCGCACCGGAGATGGACACGTCCCGGACGACAAATCCTGAGGTGACTTGCCCCGTGAATAGTTTCTCCGCGAGTGTGGAGAACAAGTAGGTTCAGCATGGGTGGACTAGTCTTCATGATTGGAATAAAGCCATCTTCTGCACTGGGGCAGGCGGGCCTACCACAGAAACTCGGTGGATCACACAAGAGTGAAGTATATATAAGTCTCTCAATCTCAAGTTGTTCTCTCTCGGCATCTCTCTGTCTCACGCAGTCTCTGTCTATAGCGACATACGCTCGGCATCTTGCTCTTCACACCTCAAGTCACGCCCTCGATATGGAATATAAAGAGCCAATGCAACAGGTTGGTGAGAATGTGGAAAACGTGGATGGAGAAGTCTTGGAGACCAAATATGCTGGTGAGTTTCACAGCTACATCGAGCCTCCCAAATGCTCATGGGCTAACTTGTCAGTTCTCGGACGATGGACTGTGGTCAAGACCTTCTGGAAGGCCATCATCTTCTGTATGATCCTCAATTGGGCGGCGCTCAATGATGGCGTGAGTAGACCTCAACTCGAACAAGGCCAAGCTGACCGATCCTGCAGTTCCAGCAGCAAATCCCTGGAAATGTAATCCCCATGCAGGCTTTCATCAGCCAAATGGCGGACACCAGGATCGACGGTGCACCCGCCATTAGCGCCAAGGTCGTTTCGTACTGGCAAGGCTTCGCTGAAATGTCCAAGACATTGGGTATGTTCACTGGGGGCTACTTTGCCAATCGCTTCGGTCGCAAGTAAGTCTCTAACTCAACGCGCATGATGGCGGTCTTAGCTTAGCGCCTCTGCTGACCTATAACTACCAGGCCGGCTATGCTGGGCGCCATCGTCGTCCTCCTTGGTGGCTCGATTGCTGAAGTCACAGCTTCTGGCTGGAGGAGCTGGCTCGGGGCTGCGGTCCTTGTTCGCACAGGAGTTGGCCTGGCCCAGTCAATCCTCATTACCTACGTTTCGGAGCTTTCTCCCTTCCAAATTCGAGGTCTCATGATCGGCGCGTACCAGCTCTTCATCGCTATCGGGCAATTGATCAGTGCGGTCGCTACCCAACTCGTTGTCATCAACCAGCCAACGAAATGGAAGCCCTTGATCGCTACCGAGTTTCTATTCACTGGTGTATGTTTGCGCCTATCATCTCCAAATCAAAGTCTTGTCAAGCTGATTTATTTAGATTCTCATCATCATGATCTGGTTCGTTCCGGAATCACACCTTCACCACGCTCGAAAGGGCGAGCATGAAAAAGCGAAGAGCTCCATGCTCAAGTTGTACGGCACTGCACCAAACTACGATGTGGTACGTCTTTGCGCAAAAAACAAGACATGTAGTAGTTTGCTGATGAGCTTGCCTACAGGAATACGAGTACCGCGTCATTCAACACGGTATTGAAAACGAACGAGTTTTCAGCCAGAGGTCCAAAGACGCATCCTGGCTGGAGATCTTCCAGGGCCTCAACTGGCGCAGAACGCTGGCTGGCTGCATAGGCATTTGCAGCCAGTGGACCGCTGGCGCCCCCATCGTTTTCGGATACTCTACAGTAAGCATTTTCTGGGCGATTCCCAGCTTTGTTGTTCCTGATAACTGATCCTGTCATAGTACTTCTTCAAAACGGCTGGCATCAAAGATCCATTCATTGTGACCATTATCACGTAAGCGCTTATGTCCCTATACACACTTGAAGCCGGCTCACTGACTTTGGCTCAGTTTCGTCTTGCTCATTGTCTCGATCTTCTCGTCCCTGATTGCCTGCGAGTATATTGGCCGGAGACCTCTCCTCGTGGGGTAAGTTGCCTCTACCATATTCGTTTCACCGTCACTGACCAGGCCATCAGTGGGTGCTTCCTCATGTGCATCTTCAACATCGGCCTCGGAACCGCAGGGTTCTTCAAATCGGACTCTGCGGACAAGGCAGCACTGGCTTTTCTGTTGCTTTGGGTTATCTGCTATGGCTGCTCGGCGGGACCAATTGGCTACGTGGCGTCCGGGGAAACTTCCACTCCCCGCCTAAGAGCTCCAACAACCTCGTTCAACTTGGGCTGCTATGGCCTCGGTTTGTGAGTCAACACCTTGTGCAGTTGTCTTCCAACCACTAATTCGTTCTCAGTGTCGTGTTCCAGTGGAGCGTTTCGTACATGATCAGCCCCGACGCAGGGGACATGGGTGTCAAGGCAGTCTACGTATGGGCCGGTCTCTTGATCCCCACGACCATCCTCCTCTGGCTCTACTACCCTGAGGTAAGTCGCTTCTTCTATCACCGCAAATCCAACATTGCTGACACCAATAAGACCTTCGGCCGAACCTACTGGGAGCTGAATGAGCTCTACGAGCGGAAGATTCCTGCCTGGAAGTTCAAGAACACTCCGACTCTGTCCGACCAGAGCGGCCACAAGAACAAGACCCTCATGTCTGGCGTCACCCGAAGACTTTCCATCACCGCCGCTTAGATCTGAGGAGTCTCGGAAGATCCTCGACAACTTGGCGGGAGATGGTAGCGACGATTGGGACACTTGCTGACCCTAGCAAGAAAGTGAAGGTGACTACGGTCGCAGTGGCCTGCGCCTTGGCCTAGGCTCTGTGCTCTTGGATGATTCAATGTCAAGGACCTGTATAGCACTAAAGGTCGACGAGCAGTAACTTGAAGGTTACCCTCCTGGATATTGCTTATCCACCACTCTCTCGCTTACCCTCTATCTCTATGTCCTGTTGTTATGAACATCCCGATTCAGCATTTGTTGGTGTAAGAATGATTACACATCCCATTGAGCTTGTCTCGTATAAGAGCTTCTCGACGTACAAGTTATGCTCTGGAAAGGGATAAGCCGCTAGTCGCACTAACACAGTCCCTATAAAAGCGACCATTGGCTAAGACTGATTTAGCTACTCCCAATCCACTTGTACATCGTCAAACTGCTGCCTGGCGTAAAGCCGCCTATATTACTCGAATATGTTTGCAAGCATCCGTGACCCCCTCTACATCCCAACCCCAAAAATCTTGCAAGTCGTTGATCTGGAAAAGTCGGAACGCTTTGCTTCTCCTCCCCGCGAATCAAGAGTTCATCAGCCTAAACAGACAGGCACATCATGGCAGCCCAGACCGAACCCGAGATCATCCTCTACGACCTTGCCTGCACCAAGAACGTCTGCTTTTCCCCTGTTGTTTGGCGCATCCGCCTCATGCTTAACTACAAGCAAGTCCCTTACAGGACCATCTTCCTCGAGTTTCCCGACATCGAGCCCACGCTGAAGGGGTTGTAAGTTGTTCAATGTCGCCCTTTTTTTTTGGCGTTCTGGCTATTCCATCCTTCAAACCCCTTTTCGCTCGCAGGCATCGATGCACGTCTGCATAGCCCTTAATGCAAGCTTCGGGGAGATTTTCCTGACATGACAACCTCTTAGGGGCCTGGTTCCGGGCGAATCCAGTTCGGCATCCAAGATCAAGTATACCGTCCCGGCCATCCACCACGTGCCGACCGGCTCGTACATGATGGAGTCAGGCCCGATCTCCCAGTTCCTCGAGTCGACCTACCCAGACCCGCCAGTGCCCTTGACGTCGGAGCTGGGCCGGGAGATCGAAGCCCAAGCGCGCCGTGTGCTCGGCGCGGTCTTCCAGGCGTCGACGATGCCGCGCGAGGTCAACATCCTTTCACCCCGCGCACAGGAGTACTTCCGACGCACCCGCGAGGCCATGCTGGGCCACCGCCTCGAGGACCTGCTGGACCCCGACAGGGAGGACGAGAGCTGGGCCGCGGCGGGCGACGGCATGCGCGCCGTCGGCCAGCTGATGCAGACGCACCAGGCCGAGGGCCCGTTTGTGCTGGGCGCCCGGCCCAGCTACACCGACTTCTTCATCGCCGGGTCCCTCCAGTCGGCGAGGGTGGTGGATGAGGGTGTTTTCCGCCGGAATATCAAGGACCCTGGTTTCAAAGGGATCTATGAGGCGTGTGTCCCTTATATGGAGAAGAAGGATTGAGCACCGAATTATGGGGTTGGAACCAGCGTTTGATGCCTCATTCCCTTATAGATCATAAGAAGGTTTGCTCAATAGAAGAGATAGACCACCCTCACGCTCGGGGGAATAGTTACAGACACACATTGTTGAGCATTGCCTTGTAGAATATCAGACAAGTAAATGTCCCAGTGTATGAGTATCTAGTCATGATTGCTCTTCTGGGAAAGATCCAGTGCAAAGACAACCTGCTTTACTCCTGTCCCTCTGGCTTACTCACAGCAAAGGATTCTGCCTAAATACAATTGTGGGCGGGCCGAAATGTTATACGAGGTGTCTGACGATATTTCTCCCCTTGTTTCCGGCGAGGTTTGGTGTCTGACAGCATCAATCAAGCCCAACCTCCGGATTTTGTCCTGTATCGGCCACCACGACTTCGACGAAGCTTGGGAGGTCTCTTGAAGCCATGCATCGGAAGTTACTAACTATTAATGTCATGGCCGGAAGGCATTGCCGCATCTCTCTAGCAGAGTGTCTCTGCGTCGATCCGTACTAACCGACGGGCAATATTTGTAAATACTTCAAAAGGCTTGTCTTCGCGGTAACTTGCGTGGTTCGGCTACACATTTGGCACCTCTTGCGTTTCCGGGCACTGGTGGTGGTCTCGAGAGTTAGCATCGCCCAACATGAAGTTCACAGAGGGCATGTGGCGGACGAGGTCGGGCATCTCTTTCAACTGGATGGGCAACGTGGAGCGGCTCCACGTCACCGACGACAACGCCGTCGACCTGCTGCTCACGAAGCCGCAGAGAAGCCGGGGCGACACGCTCAACGTCGGCACCGTTTCTGCGCGGATTCGCACTCCGCTCGAGGGTGTCATCGCGGCGAGCTTCTCACATTGGACCGGCGAGGAGGATCGAGGTCCGCATTTCCCTCTGTTCGAGGCGCCGCCGACCCCCGAGATCAACCACTCCAAGGGGCGGTCGTTGGACTACGCGAGCGGACCGCTGGGCTTGTCGATCAACGCCACCCCCAACGAGCTGGCGTTCTCCTACTCCTGCAACTCCAAGAGACTCACCGGCCACGCGTTCCGGTCCATCGCCGTGGTGTCGTCCTCGGACACGCCCGGATACAGGATCGACGAGGGCATGTACGCGCAGCAGGACAACTACATGCTGCTCGAGCTCGACCTGTCGGTGCACGAGAAGATCTACGGCCTGGGCGAGCGGTTCGGCGCGTTCGTGAAGAATGGCCAGACGGTCGACGTGTGGAACGAGGACGGCGGGACCAGCTCCGAGTTGACGTACAAGAACGTGCCCTTCTACCTGTCCAGCCGCGGGTACGGCGTCTTCATCAACCACCCGGGCAAGGTCATGCTGGAGATCCAGTCAGAGCGGACCACGCGGGTCAACATCGCCGTGCAGGGCGAGAGCCTCGAGTACATGGTCATCGCGGGCCCGTCGCCCAAGGCCGTCCTGGACCGCTACACCGCCTTGACCGGCCGTCCGGGGCTGCCTCCGGCCTGGTCCTACGGGCTCTGGCTGACGACCTCTTTCACGACCTCGTACGACGAGCGGACGGTCACGGCGTTCCTGGACGGGTTCAAGGCGCGCGACATCCCACTGAGCGTCTTCCATTTCGACTGTTTCTGGATGAAATCCTGTACGTGTTCCTGGTCCAAGTCAAGACATCTCTTGTCCCAGCGGCATCTGTGTAACTTTAAGACATTGGTGGACATCGATCAGTACACTGACCGCGAGATGATATAGTTCAATGGTGCGACTTCCAATTCGACGACGACAACTTCCCAGATGCAACGGGCTACCTGCGCCGCCTGAAGGAGCGCGGGGTGAAGATCTGCGTCTGGATCAACCCGTACATCGCGCAGGCGTCCCCGTTATTCCTCGAGGGGAAGAAGAAGGGCTACTTCGTCATGCGCGCGGGCACGCCGCGGCCGACGGTCTGGCAATGGGACAACTGGCAGGCGGGCATGGCGGTGGTGGACTTCACCAACCCGGGTGCGCGGGAGTGGTACGCCGCGCACCTGTCGCGGCTGATGGACCTGGGCGTCGACGGCTTCAAGACCGACTTTGGCGAGCGCATCCCCTTCCTCCCGCACCAGGTCACGTACCACGATGGCAGCGACGCGGTGCGCATGCACAACTTCTACGCCCACCTGTACAACAAGACGGTGTACGAGGCGATGCAGGCCAGGGGCAGGGACCCGTGTCTCTTCGCGCGCGCCGCCACGGCCGGCGGGCAGCAGTTCCCCGTCCACTGGGGGGGCGACTGCGAGAGCACGTTCGAGGCTATGGCCGAGACGCTGCGCGGCGGGCTCTCGCTCGCGCTCGCGGGCTTTGCCTTCTGGGCCCACGACATCGGCGGCTTCGAGGGCCTGCCCGACCCCGCACTGTACAAGCGCTGGGTGCAGTTCGGGCTGCTGGGCAGCCACTCGAGGCTGCACGGCAGCTCGAGCTACCGCGTGCCCTGGATCTACGACCCCGGGAGGTACCCGGGCGAGGACGAGGCGTGCAGCAGAGTCCTCAGGGACAGCGTGGCGCGCAAACTGGCGCTGATGCCGTACCTCTTGCGCACCGCGCTCGAGGGCCGTCTCAAGGGCACCCCCGTCATGCGGGCCATGTTCCTCGAGTTCGGAGAGTGCGACATGAACGTGTGGTCTCTGGACACGCAGTACATGCTCGGGAGCGAGCTCTTGGTCGCGCCGGTGTTTGACAAGGGAGGAGAGGTGACTTTCTACGTTCCGTTGTCTAGGAAGGATAACGAGACAGCCGCGGGGCAATCCAGGTGGAGAAGTTTCTTTGACCACGGTAAAACTTACGAGGAAGGCCGCTGGTATACAGAGGTACACGGGTTCGACACGTTGCCTCTGCTGGTCAGACCGGGAGCTGTTGTGCCATTCAACCCGACTTTGAAGGCACCGGACGGAGACGTCTTGAAGGGCTTGCAGGCCCTAGTCAACGGGCCACTGGACGGCGAGAGAGTGGTCGAGCTCGTCGAAGCACGGGATGTGGCCAAGGTGGCCAAGACGTTTACAATAGACCAGCGCATGGCTATCAAAGGGGTGGAAGGCGTCGAGGTTGTGGATTTGTCAAAAGCGTAGACATAGACAACGTTGGGCTGATCGCCGGTAAAACGAGGTGGGATTTTGGACATAGAGGGGATTGAGAGATCAGGGCAGAAAGAAACCCTCGGAGTATTCGCAACCATATGTTAGCCAGGCGAGATATATCTCATGGACTAGGACCACGGTGAGGAACTCTGCCGCTACAGACCTACGTCTGCGGTGGAGCTGAGAGCTCGTCTACAGCCACAATACCAGAGTTTCTATGTTCCCAGTAGACACTTATGAACGATAAGATGCTCCAATTCGCGGTCAGTCTGGACAATCTCCTGGAACCTTGCCGTACACAGCCCACTGCCACAGATCGCATATAAATATAGGCACGCGAACTGAGTGTATTAGAATTCCATGGCCAAGTCCATGTAAGCTATATTGCAGAAGCGAGACCATATGGAACGGGAGGCGGTGCTGGACGCGGTCGATAAAGCCCACTAGAGGTTGGCAAACCGTATGTATGCTTGGTGGCTACAAGGCGAGTCGCATCGCGAGGCGCTATGGCTCTCAACGGCGGCTCATTACCTCGTCTAACACCGTATCATTCAGGCTATTGTCCCCTAGATGACCCTCCAGGACCTACAGTACCGCTCGATGCCTGATTCGTATCATGATATAGATCTTGGTGCGCAGGGGCTTATGCACAGACCCGTGTCATCCTTTTTAGTATACCTCTCACTCCACCACGAAGCCAAGCCTGTCCTCGGCCAGAACTCGACCGATATTGAAATGCGGAGGAGGACAGCACCGTACCAGAAGCAGGATAGAACGGGGATCAAAGACGTAGCCGTGGTATCTGTCCCATTCAACAATCCTTCCATACGGAAGTGGTAGCCTTGAAAGATACGACGCGACTCCTCCCGATGTCCTATCGAGATCCTCCATGTATGTTTTGGGTCATGTTCCGGCGGGAACCTCGGGTCGAGGGCGGCTCCCCAGATCTGACTCCAAGCTGTGCCCTGGACCAAAGATGCAGCTAGATCCTGTCACTCCCGACCGAAGATGAACCGTTCGATGGGGAGGCCGGGGAGTTCCTTTGGAGAGTGATTGGCCATGACTTTAGCCTAGATATAGGAGGACTGTCGCGTCAGGGAATATTGCAAGTTGGCTTTGTCTCGTTGCGTCTCTAGTCCCGGCTAATCACTGGTTGCCACTCTCCTAGAATCCTCCAGTGCGGGCGAACCAACTTCATGGCTTCTGGTGCAGCGTGAGGTTCCACAACAAAAAGCCGGGGCCCCATGGTTTGGCCCAGAGGCCCCCAGACAAATCATTCTAATCAGCCGAGTTTCCGCCTCTTTTTATCTTGCCTTTTGACGATGAGAGGATCACCTTGTCGATTCGAAAGGCCAAGATCTGAGACAACGTCGCATTTGCCATGGTCTTTTCTTTCGCTACCAAGTCTGGTTTCGGAAAGAGCCCGGTGGATTGCACGATGATGCGCTTCTTCATCCCAGATATCCAAGCGACAGGATGCAGGCTTTTCCTCAGAGTAGGATGGAAAGATTTACCCGTCAAAGTCGTCTCGCATGTCGGTTCGCCGAGGGCGAGTCTGGCTCGGTCGAAGGAGTTGTCTGGACCTGAAAGCAAATGCGACTCCATCTCCCGCCGTTTGGTTACCCCTGCTATGGTATGAAAGGTCGACTCCCGACTAGTCTAGGTGATCCTGCTTGGCCAGTCCAGAGTGTATATATAGGAGCAACACTCTCCACTTTTGTTCAGCCTGTTGCAAGCTCTCTGTCTCTTTTTCCGACTTTAACAGTAAGGTGACAGCCACTCTCTTCACCACCGTGGCTAGAGATGGCGACCGAACAGAAGGCGGGAGATACAATCCACTTCGAAACTTCGGAAGACGGACTCGGATACCTCAAAGATGTTGGACTCCATGATGCCGGCCTCGCCAGTGGTGCCCTCGAGGGCACGGCGCAGGAGCACAGCATGAGCGTCTTCCAGGCCTTGAAGACGTACAAACGCGCGGCATTCTGGTCGATCCGTACGTTTGGCCCCTGAGCTCAGAGGAGCACGTCCAGCCAGCCAGCTTGATAGCTGGAGGGCTAGATGGCACCTTTGAAGTTTGCAGACTAACACCGTGAGCAGTCATCTCCACCACCGTCGTCATGGAGGGCTACGACGTCACGTTGTTGGGGTCCTTCTATGGCTACCCGAGCTTTCGACGCAAATACGGCGCATTCCTGAACGAGGAGAGCGGCTACCAGATTTCGGCGAACTGGCAACAACGCTTCAATTGCCTAGGTGCCTTTGCCAACATCATCGGCGCCCTGCTCAACGGGTGGGCCACCGCCAGATGGGGCCACCGCAAAGTGCTCATGTTCAACCTGTTCTCGCTGGCCGGGCTCATTTTCATTGTCTTCTTCGCCCCCACGATCGAAGTCATGCTTGTCGGCCAGTTCCTCTGCAACATCCCTTGGGGGGTGTTTGCCACCACCGGTCCTTCGTACGCGGCCGAGGTCACGCCCTTGGCCATCCGCGGGTATCTCACCGCGTACGTCAACCTGTGCTGGTGTATTGGGCAGTTCATTTCCGCTGGCGTCCTCAAGGGCCTCGTGAACAACACCACCGAGTGGAGCTACCGCATCCCTTTCGCGGTCCAGTGGATATGGCCGATCCCACTGTTCCTGGCAGCTTGGTTTGCCCCCGAGTCGCCGTGGTTCTTTGTTCGGACGGACCGAATCGAAGCTGCCAGGAAGTCCCTGGAGAGGCTGACCCAGCCGGAACATCACGGTGAAATCGACGCCACCATCGCCATGATGGTGCACACCAATAAGCTCGAGCTCCAGGAGCGAGCGGGAGTGTCTCTCTGGGATGCATTCCGTGGCACAAATCGACGCCGTACTGAGATCGCCTGCATGGGCTTCCTATCTCAGATCACCAACGGCGGCGCCCTCTGCTACAGCGGGTCCTTCTTTTTCCAACAGACGGGCATCAGCGCCAATGCCGCGTACGCCATCTCGTTGGCCGGCACCGGCATCGCCTTTCTGGGCACCATCATCTCCTGGCTGTACATCTATCGCTGGGGCCGGCGCACCATCTGGCTGGTCGGGTTTGCCTTCCTGGTCGTGATCCTGTGGACCATTGGTTTCCTGGCGCTGCCTTCGCAGACCAAGAGTCTGGCGTGGGCACAGTCGATCCTGTGTCTTGTCTGGCTGGGCGCGTACTCCATGTCCGTGGGACCCATCATCTACACTCTCGTCGCCGAGATCGGCTCGACTCGACTCCGCACGCAGACGGTCGTGCTGGCGCGCAGCACGTACTATGTTGGCAACATCATCTGCGGTGGACTGCTTCAGCCCGAGCTGATTTCTCCGGGCGCGTGGAATGCCAAGGGCAAGACTGTATGTTCCCTGACTTCCTTTCTCTGTCTCTTCCCAATTGCGTTGCATGTCCCACTCAGTATGGTCCTTGCTAATTGCCGGCGACTCGCCAGGCATTCTTCTGGGCCGGCCTCGCGACGTTGACATTGCTGTGGGGCTACTTCCGCCTGTTCGAGACCAAGGACAGGACATTTGGCGAGCTGGACTTCATGGTAAGCGACCACATACCTTTTTCCTGCTCGGTCATCCGAAGACCATCGCCATTTGCTGACTGCGATGTGGGTTTGCAGTTCCAAAATAGCGTTCCAGCCCGAAAGTCTGCCAAGTATCAGATCAGAGAAGAGGAGCTTTATGCCGCAGACGGCGAGGAGAAGAAAGCGTGAAGCTCGATGCTCGAGGAAGGGTGTCTTGTATTCGCCAGCCATAGAGAGGAGAGGGGAACGCGACAATTTGAATTGTGCAGAGCAGTCGGACCGTAATAGAGGAGCCTATGTTGTGACTTGATACCTGTAGCCGGATGAAAGCATCCCAACCCATCCGCGCAGTAGATACGTGCCGTAGACCACGCTGCTCAGGCAGTTTGTTGGTCTCATGGTACCGGTATTCTTTGTAACCTCACTTTGGCGACCTGGCGGCGGTATTGCACCGGCCTGAGAGTTTTCTTCCTCTTTCGACGTAGGGTGCTATTGCGTCTTCCTCTGCGCCGAGTGTCTTGGACTGTGCATGTGTTGAGGTGGAGTGAGCTGGGAACACGCAAGTCAGGTTACAAAGGGAATTTCTGCTTGTACGGCGGACGATGTGGACAACTGGTGCAAGGATCCAACGTACCAGAAGTGATATTGAGGCGGAAACGAGATCCGCGACCTCGTTGGTTCCCATTTCATCATCAGAGCGTCATGGCCTTGACGTGGGACACCAGCCCGGCCATTTGAATTGCTTCAGGGCGGAGAAAGGTGAGTGATGAATGAGCAGTAAGAGGCCATCATACCAAGTGTATCATGTGTAATATGTGACGATGTAAGTCCTTTATAAACATACCCCACGTTTGCTGACCATCATACTACTCAACCTCGACCTCAATGCCGCCCAAGCCTCACCACATCACCCTCCAAACCCATCTCAAGCCAACCTCAGTTCGACTTACTGCCCACCGACCTCGCCTTCTTATATCCCCTCTGTGCCAACCGCACCTCTCATCCATCACAACGGCTCAGCCTCGTCTCCAGAGCCTGCAACGCCACTTCTCATCCACGCCGCCGCCCGCCATGTCGTCGGATCTCAACTCGCGCAACCAGACCTTCAAGCTCGACAAGCTGTTTGATGTCTCCAACAAAGTCGCCCTCGTCACCGGCGGCGGCAGCGGGATAGGCTTGATGATCACCCAGGCGCTGGCGACCAACGGCGCCAAGGTCTACATCTGCGGGCGCACCGAGGAGAAGCTGGAGCGCGTGGCCGAGCTGTACGGCAAGGACATCCCGGGCCAGATCATCCCCATGACGACCGACGTGAGCCAGAAGGACGAGATCAAGAAGCTGGTGGCCGAGATCTCGTCCCGGGAGAAGTGCCTGTGCATCCTGGTCAACAACGCGGGCATCGCGCTCAACACGCAGCAGACCGAGGCGTCGTCCGCCGAGGAGATGTCCAGGAATCTGTTCGACGACGCCGATGAGACGTTCGACATGTGGACCGCCACGTACCGGACCAACGTGCCGCAGCTGTTCTTCATGACAACGGCGTTCCTGCCCCTGCTGCAGGCCGCGCACCAGCACAACGACAACTTCTCGGGCACCGTCATCAACATCTCGAGCATCTCGGGCATCGTCAAGACCGCCCAGCACCATTTCGCATACAATGCCTCGAAGGCGGCCGCTATACACCTTACCACGATGCTAGCTAACGAGGTCGCGCAGAACGGGCTGAAGGTTCGTATCAACAGCATCGCCCCCGGCGTGTTCCCCAGCGAGATGACCGCGCAAGACAGCGGCGACGACCAGAAATCCCACATCCCCCGCGAAAAGTACGAGAGCAAGGTCCCCGCCCGCCGGCCCGGCGAGGACCGCGACATGGCCAACGCCATCCTCTTCGCCGCCACGAACCAGTACCTTAACGGCCAGACCGTGGCGGTGGATGGCGGCTACATCTTGAGCGCTGGAAGCGGGCCGTGAAGTTGGAACATGTCAACGCTGGCTTCCTTCCACGGAGACGCTGAGCGCGGGTCGGTGTGTGTTCTACGTTGGTCGACTGTCCGTGGCAGAATACCCCCCCCCCCCCCCCCAAACCAGCGACAGGGGGGAACAGTGTACCACGGTATTATCTCGTTCCATCCAAAGGCTGATCAGTTGCTCAACATGGTCTCCTATCTGTATCACCACAATGGCAACGAGGAAGGATATTAAGGCACACAACTGCGCCCAGTATAAAGCCACTTACAGAATGAATGATCCAAGAATGAGTAGCACAACTTTTTCGTCTTCTATGTACGTGATTTCCGAGCGGAGACTCATCCTTCCCTGAGTATAGTTTAATCCTACTTGTGAACCTATATTCTCGTGCAATGTAGGAAATCAAAAAACAAACCTGTATTATCTAACAGCCGTGCATAATCAGGAGGCCTGGCATTGCAAGTGCAACTAGACTTCTTCGGCGGCATTCTTCTCATCAACGATCTCATGCTTCGTCTGTTCATCGCCCCCCTTTGTCTCTGTGTCTGTACCATCAGCTGAACCAGGCTTACTATCATCCTTCTGGCTTGCGGCAGCCTCTCTCGCAGCCTTGGCCGCTGCCTGCTGCGCAGCAGCAACTTTTTTCAGATTCTTCCACTCCATGGCCAAGGCCCCGAGGATGGTGGTTGCAGACACGGCCACACCGACGTAAAAGGCATTCCTCAGCGCGTCGTTGTATGCCACAAGCACAGAGTGCAGGAACTGTGGGGGCACAATGCCGCGGAGGTCTGTGGCTCCAACGTGCGTGACCACGTTTGCATTGACGCCGGGGATGTTCTTCAGGTCTGAGGCGAGAGTGTTGTCGAAGATGTTGTTCGCGACGCTGACGAAGATGGAGCCGCCCAGCGTTTGCGCAAAGAACATCATTGATGCGCCCGTGGGCACGTCCTTGCGAGCCAGTGCAACTTGTGCAGCTACACTGGGCTGTTGCATCCCCAAGCCCAAGCCCAAGCCATAAATGGCCTGATATCCGATCCACTTTGGGTGAGCTGTAGTGGTCGTAAAAGTGGAGATGAGTCCCGAGCCAATAGACGTCAGCATACATGAAAGGTACATCCATTGCGTGAAATATCCGATCTTGCGGGTTGCGAAGCCGGCGAGCATGGAGGAGACTGTGATACCCAACACAGCTGGAAGATTCATGATTCCTGAGTGGACAGCCGAGGCGCCTTTGATGGCTTGGAACCAGATGGGGAGGAAGTAGACTATGGTCATCATCCCTGAGCCGCTGAAGAAGGCATACAACACGCCTGCGGAGACGGAGCGAGTCTTGATGATTCGCGGAGGAATGGTGGCGCCCTCCTGGAAGACATGTTGGAGATAGACGAAGATGCTGAAGAGAATTCCTGAAAGTATCAATAGAACGATGATGCGGGCGTCGGACCAGTTGTATGTGGTACCTCCCCACTGCAGGGCCAAAAGGAGGCAGACGATGGAAGGAATGAAGACCGCTGTTCCGATGGGATCGAGTTTTCGGAGCTTTTCCTTGAAGGGGACTTTGGCTCTCTCCGTGGCGGCAGCTGGGAGTTGGAGCACGAAGAAGAGCACCACCATCATAACTCCACCGACGGGCAGGTTGATATAGAAACACCACCTCCAAGAGACCTTGTCGGTAAATACGCCGCCCAACAAGGGTCCGGCAACCGAAGCGACTGCAAACACGGCACCAAAAATGCCGCTCCAGGCGGGCCGCTTCTGTAGCGGGACGAGGTAGACAATCATTATGATGGCCCCAGAGAAGATGCCTGCGCTGCCGACACCTGCAATAGCACGACCGATAATAAGTGCGGTGGAGTTCGGGGCAGCGCCGCAGACCAAAGAGCCCAACTCGAATATACCCACACAGGCAATGTATACCGTTTTGGGGTTGTAGAAGGTGTAGATTCGGCCGATGAAGAGTTGGAATGCGGACATTGTGAGGAGGTAGGCCGATGCATACCAACCTACGTCTGCCAGGGAGTTGAAATGGTTGGTGATGACAGGGATGGCTGTTGCGATGATCAGACGATCCTGGCCAGTTTGTTAGTCCTTGAAAAGGAGGGGAATGAGTGTTTGGATGTCATTACCAATGCAACCAGGAAAGCCGTACACATCATTGCAGCCACAATGACAATAACCTTTGAGAGGGGAGGGTATTCCTCCTGTTCGACGGGTTCAGCTGGTTTGGAAGCATCTCCGCTGGAGCGGCTCTGCAAGTCTGTAGACAGCTCCTTCTGCGCCATTTTGTTGAAGAGTATAAGAGATCTGGTTGTACCAAAGCAATTCCAAGTGGTGAAGTTGCAGACCAAATATGCGTGCTAACATGGGAACGGCGAAGAGGATATTAATGTTTGAGATGGATCTCATGTTTTCCTCCATGCTGAACCTACCGTGGTTGCAATCGCGAATAGGCTCCAGGCAAATGGACCAGTATACTCTCTCGGGCGCGAGAAAAAGATTGGATGAAGCGGCCATACTGAAAACGGCCATGTGGTAGAACCATCTCTTTCGATCTAAGGCACCAATCAACGGACACTGGAGGACCGGCGACAACTTGTGGGTGTCGACGTTCGGGCCCGAGGACTAAAACTGCGTCCGAGTCCCAGCAAAGAGGCGGACGAGGGGAAACCGCAGGTCTCCAGCTGGAGATGAAACTGCTCGATCATGATAACATTGCGATCCTCGAGATTAAGATGCTGTATGCAACAAAGTTATCATCGGGGAGAGACGTTGCTGTGAAGAGGGAAGTGAGGTCGCAGGATGAGAAGGAGACGAGCGAGAAGATGTGCTGGCGATAAATCTTATGCCAGACGAGACCTTTTTCCTCATTGGCTGGGAATTCCTTCTCTTCTCTTGCTTGACTTTTCACTTCAACTTCCACTTCGTCTTCGCCTCCAGGATCTCTTTTGCGTTCCTAACGCTCCACTGATTAAGTCCATTGCAGAATATAATATAATTCCCACCTGTGAGCCAAGTCGAAAGATGGAAGAAAATTCATCTGGCGCTGCCGGGTATGTCTTCCGCCTCACGCACGCATTTCGGCCTCCCACGTGAGATGCTTCTGTGACATCAGCATCTAGATGACGTTGATCTCGAGAAATCCTTTTGTAGGAATCAACAGTGAATATCACGACTACAATGCCTCATCTCACCCGCTCCACGTCTTCTCATTCGAACCTCCTTGACTTACACATACAGCCGAGTTCCAGTTAAATCATGGAGACGATCAAAAGCACAGTCAAAGAAGCCACCGGTGGCAAGGGCCAATTCGAGCAGGGTTTCCTACCGCCGGTCTCTCACCAAGACCCTCCCGGAAAAGAAGGTGACTTGCCTGTCGAGCCTATCCATGACAAGCTCCCAGCCGCAGACGGTGGATGGCAGCCATACAAGGCGGCAGGGAAATTGGAAGGCAAGAAAGCCCTCATCTCTGGGGGGGACAGCGGAATTGGACGCGCCATAGCGATCTTGTATGCAATGGAAGGTGCCGACAGCTTCATCGTCTACTTGCCAGAAGAAGAAGAGGATGCACAGGAGACTAAACGCCGGGTCGAAAAGCTCGGGCGGACATGTCATCTCTTTGCCACCGACCTCAGGAGACCGGAGAACTGTCAGAAGGTTATAGACGCCGCGCTGCAGGCCATGGGCAGGATCAACATCTTGGTATGACAAATAGATGGCGAGTATTGCATGAGCCTGATAGGCTGACACCAAGACGTAGGTCAACAACGCAGCGTACCAGATGATGCAGATGGACATTACAGACATTTCGATTGAGCAATGGCACAAGACATTCGAGACCAACATCCACCCATATTTCTATCTGGCTAAGTTCCTTATTCCGCATATGAAGCGCGGCGACGCCATAATCAACAACGCCTCAATCAATGCTTACATCGGTCGACCCGATCTGCTTGACTATACATCTAGCAAAGGAGGCAAGTGTTTCCCGTGTCCATTCGAGTGAACATGACTGTTTCTGACTGATTTGCAGCAATCGTCTCATTTACGCGCGGCCTGGCAAACCAGCAAATGAGCAAGGGCATACGCGTCAACGCCGTCTGTCCTGGCCCAGTATGGACACCTCTCATCCCGAGCACCATGAACGAAGACGCGCAGAAGCAGTTCACCTCGCCCTTGGGCCGGCCCGCTCAACCCAGTGAGATTGCCACGTGCTTTGTGTTCTTGGCAAGCCCGGACAGCAGCATGATCAGCGGGCAGAGCCTACATCCGAACGGCGGGGTGATTGTAAATGGTTAAAGCATATGCAGGTGGATGAGATGTTGTTGGGGACAATGTAACATTCTCGAATTCAACCACTGGAAGGGGAAGGGGGACGGTGGTCAACTCTGCGTGAATGCTTGATGGAAGGAGAATGCTCAAGAAACCTCGAATGACTATGAGAGTGTCAAGCAATTTGCATTAAAGAGATGCACTGTGTGCTATTTTCCTAGCTGGCCGCGTTGTGGATACTCCAGAAACCAAGCTCCTTATGAGAAAACCACTGTGAGAAGACGAGTCATTTCCAATTAGGTAGACAAGAGAATGTTATCTCTGCAAGCAGCCCTACACGGCCACAGCACCTGCCCAGTATTACGCCCCTCAAACTCCCAGTCCAAATAGCGGATATCCTCTTGTAATGCGCATATGAAGCTCTGCAATTCAAGGCGATGGAGCCAGAGCAACGAACCCGAAGGGTAGTGAAATGAACAACTGGTCTACAAAACACCCCTCTACCAAACTATTGCGCCCCAGTGGCAGTATATCATCGTGTTCGGGTCGTGAAGGGTCCCCAAAGCTCGGCTATGTGCACGCCGACACGACCGTCAAGCTGTACCGCTTCTCAAGCTGAGCCAGTAGCGACAACGCCTCTGCAGGAGCAGCAACATGCACCGCGGCAGCGGGATACGAGGGCGTGAAATCCCCGATCGAATCCTCATAGACGGACGAGGGCGGGGACGGCAACGACGACGGCGCCGAGAAGATCGGACACGGCGAGTCCACCTCGGACGAGGACAGCGCCAGAGACATGGACGACCACGACGACGACGTCGAGTGTTGCGCCGACGGGAACAGTCCCGTCGTTGCCGCTGTGTGCGCTGCGGGAGTCGTGGGCCCTGCGATCGCCCGGAAGGAGAGGGCCTGGCTCTGGCGCTGGGACCGCGTGCGGAGCACGTACTGGTAGGATTTCCGGGCGGACGATCTGCGCGGGAGAGGAGGCGGAGAGGTCGAAAAGGTGTCTGTGATGGCGGCGGCGGCGGCGGCTGCGGCTTCTGCTGCTTCTTCGGGCGACGCGGCGAGGAGGATGGTCAGGTCTCGAATGGAGATTCCTGCGGACTTCGCGTCGCCGAGAGGAGCTGGCAGGGCCACGACCATGGATGTAGAAATGGCGGTGGTCTCTGTCAGAGGAGCGGCATCGGGGTTTTCTTCCGAAGCGGCAGGCGAAGTCTCGACTCGTGTGCTGGAGTTCGCAGAGTCGCTACCGTCCTCAGCACTCGTTGCACTCGAAGACACCTCCTCAGACTCCGATGGGCTCTTGTTTGACTCGCCACCGTCGTGATCGGCGGGAGAAGGGATCTCGTCTGTCGACTTCGCCCGTCTCCAGAACCTTGCCTTCTTGAACAGGAGGTTGGAGGTCTGCCGCTTGAGGCTGTCGCAGAGTCTCTCGAGTGAGGACACCGTCTTGCTCAGCATTTCGCTCATGTCGGTGAGCGCACCGGAGGCACACTGCGAGATGCCCCTCCTGACATCCAGTTTCTCCAGGGCGCGCAAGAACTCGGCCATGACGCCCGTGTTCTCGTCAACCGAGGTCCTCAGATGCGCTACGGAGGCGGATTGCTTCTTGACTTCCTTGCGCAGCTGGTCCAGGTACTTCCTGTCGGTCTTGGTCGTGCAGTTCCTCCGCTGTTCGGCGAGTTGGGCGAGCAGGTGATCCAGCTTTTCCGATGTGGCTTCCAGTTGCGACTTGATGGCTTCGGTTTCGCTCTGGCTGTCGGTGATCTTCCGGGCGAGGTCGGCCATGCTTCCGTCCATGAGGTTGTTCAGCGACTCGAGATCTTGCCTGTTGGACCGGATCGTGTACAGCACTTCTTGGACGTCTTTGCGGTACGTCGACACACATTCGCCGTAGCTCTCAATCTTGTCAACCATGGTGTCCAGCCTCGGCAGTACGAGGCCAAACCTGTCGCTGGAGGCGCCATTGTCAGGAACATTGCCAGACGCGAAGTGGTTGAAGAATAACCTACCATATCTCAAGCAGGATGAGTCTGTCGACGTCGTCCAAGACATCCCTGGCTGTTAGCCTGATCTCTTCGATTTTTCCAGAGAGCTCATCCCAAGTCCAAGCGAGGTCGTCCTTCACGCCGTCGAGGTTGGGGCTCCCAGGCAGGAGCGCTTGCCGGCTGATGAGATAGTCTTCGAACTTGTGCCAGGCCTGTTCCAGAGCGGTCAGATCAGCCTCCCACTCTGCCTTGCGCGGATAGTCGTCGCTCTCCTCAATGTCTTTGACATAGCCCCCAATCAGACGAAGTTTTGGAAGCAGGTAGTGTCGTAAATACTGCAATTGCTCTCTGTGTTTCCGTTTGGCACCTTTGCGCGGCTCCACGTTCTTTAGCAGAGTGTGAATCGCCCTTGCAGCGTCACTGATGTCGTCTGCATTCCACCCAGGGTATGTGACAGACATGGTGGCAACCGTGCAGAAGCTGTCAATCAACAGCTCACCCAAATTCTCAAGATCCAGCCAGCGAAGAGCTCGAAAGATATTGGAAGGAGGGAATACAACAGAGCATTTTCAAGACATTATACCCGCCCGCCGCAACGGATGACGGTGGGCCTGTCCAATGGCAACAGATCGACCACCACCAAGAATCTGGGGGATGGCTTTGCTGACGGGGCCAGCTACTAAGCAGGCCACACAAACATAACAACCGACAAGGCTGGGGACGATGGTGGTGTTGGGCATTGGTTCGGCCATTTGCTTCCGATTGTTGTGCTCTTGGTGCCCCGTCATCGTGAGATTGGGGCCGGAAAGAAGGCACAACAAGCGACCCCAAAAGGCCATAAGGCGAGTCGAGGACAAAAAAGCCTTGCTCCAGGAATGTGGTTTTCACAGATTAGAGCGGGCCACTCTTAAAAGATAGATAAGTTAAGCCCTACCGCGCGGAATTGGGCGGCATTGAAAACAAACCCACCAAATAAGCCCGTCTTTTGGGGAGGATCAACAAACATGAGACCCTAAGAACCCTAAAGAACCAGCGTTTCCGGCGCTTGCTGGCCCAAGCGTTGTTGGCTTGGGCACAGCCTACCCACAGTAGGTAGTCCTCAGTAAGAGTGGTGGTAGAGCATTGCGTGTCTCAAGGGGGCCTAAGTCAACCTAGGGAACTTCTTCCCCCCCATGCAAAGGGCTAATAATATCCTAGGTGTGACCAAATCAACAGCAACTTCTCTTCCATCGAGGGCCTTGTATCACCACTGTTTTTGACGCTGAAACTCGGTCCGAAATGAACTCACATCCCCACGCAAACAGGCGAGGGCGGAAATGTGGAAGATCTTCGTCCTCGCCCACTCCCCAAGTGGTGCAAAACGTGGCGCAATTTGCGGAGGCCGGTCGACTATTGGAGTTTCGCTATGGCCTAGCGAATAACTAGTCGCCACCGATTGCAGATCCACGACAGCGATGCTGGCTTATAAAATTGAACTGGACTTGGTCAGCTGTGCATGATGATGAGAATAATAACAAAGAGGTAGAAGAATCGAGGGCCGGACGGAGTTAACCGTGTCTACTGAACTTGCTGTTCGTAGGTCAAAGTTGAGGCCAAGCTTGGTGTGTCTGCATTCATTCCTGTCGTCGAGACCATCATCGTCGTCAACGTGGCCGTTTCTCAAGCCGAAATCTCTTTGATTTGCAGGAGGATCTGAATGCTGGTAGGACGAGAGGCGGAAATTGATGAGAGAACGCAAATACCTGTTCGATGTACCGGACGGCAACGACAATGCCATCCTCGTCATTAATGTCGCCCTCTTCTCCCAAACCCGAGGCTCCCTTGTCGAGGCACGTTAGACAAGCGAGGACAGTATTGGTATACCTTCTCCCCATCCTGTTTGGTGATCGCCCTTCTATTATCATACGTATCAAGGCCTTCCTCAACTCCAAACAGTCATCGATGCCGAGAACTGGGCTGAGGGTAGACTTATCGCCGTCATCTCTGCAGGACGGAAGATGCCCACATGCCTATCTCCAGGACTATAAGGCTATGGATGAAGCCATGCACATCTCAAAAAACCAAATCAGCAGAAACCAACACTGGTGCGTGGACAGCCACGTCGCATCCTCCTTTTTCTAGGGCAGAGAAGAAAGAAAGGCTCATTTGTCCGCCATATGAAGAAAGAGGGAAGGATCATTCTCAAGCTCCAGTCTACGGACACTCTATCCAGAGATGAGAGAGCAACTCACCAGGAGAGATAGAGGGGGCCAGCGTCAGGAATGGTACTTCGATCCCTCGGTTTTCAGCAAGACGGAATATCGCGGCAGTCGTGGCCGGTGGTTCGGCACTATAGTAGATACGGATACCTGTCAGGGACAGATTCCTGACGTCTAGGCGATCCAGGCTGACTTTGTAGTGGAAGTGGTGTATGGCGTTGTATATGGATTGAAGCCCACAACGGCGAAGGGGAGCTGCTTAGGGCGGCGTCGTTCTCGTCCCAATCCGGAACTAAGCTTGGCATCTTGGCACCTCGTCGGGCTTCGTATCTTGTTCGTATCCTGCATCGCTTGACTCCGAAACCATCACTGCCGCCATTTGTCTTCCTGGCTGCCTGATTTTTCATCTGCAGCTGAAGCTTCAACCAGCCAATGATCATCCTTCATGACTCCGACGGTTGATATTGACCAGCTTCATCCTCCAGGCTGAAAGCAATCTATATCTCCTCCCTCCCTACCTGGCTTGTCGCTTGTTTCGGGACTGACATGACACGTCTCAACCTACTGGCGTCCACCTGTGACAAGAGATAGCAATCCGCCCTGATCAGGCACTTTGCAGGCACTGTTTTACACCTGAGCTCGACCCGAACGTTGAGCAGAAGTCATGAGCGCCGCTGGGCCGCCGCCCGCAAAGGCATTCTCCTGCATTCGGTGCTTTGAGCGCAAAGTCAAATGTGATAAGCAGAGCCCCTGCTCGAATTGCGTCAAGTCCAAAGTCGAATGTATCTTCCGCATTCCACCAGCTCCTCGCCGCAGGAAGAAGCGCACTCAAGAGGACCTGCTGCTGGCCCGACTCAAGAAATGCGAAGAACTCCTCAAGAGCAAGGGCATCGACATCGACACCGAAGTCACTCCCACGGTGCCCTCCGTATCGACAACCTTTGAGAGTCCTTCCGGTTCGCAACCTATAGGCTCCCCACAGCAACTGAGCCCGGACGCAGAAAGCGTGCTCGCAAAGCAGCGCGAAATCTTTGCGGCATACCCGCCCGAGCTCCAAAAATCCGGGCAGTTGATTGTGGACCAGGGAAAATCCCGCTTTATTGAAAACCCTCTCTGGGCAAGTCTCTCTGAGGAGGTAAGATTCCCTAAATAACCTCCCCCCCCCCCCAAGTCGAACTATTTCCAACTACCAGAACATGTTCCATGTGGAGACGCAGGCCTGCCGTCGGGGTCTGCTCTCCATGTTGGTGTCCCTGAATACTGATGTTACTTCCCTAGTTTCGAGAACCAAACGAAGCAATCGCCGAGTATTCCGAGGACGAAGATGAAATCGGTTCTCCTATCGAGGAGAACACCGATTTCATTCTCGGATATACCCCCTCTAGCAATCCAGTCCAACAATTGCACCCCTCGCCGAACAACATCCTTATCCTATGGCAAATATTCCTGGACAACATCAATCCTATGACCAAACTGGTCCACCAACCAACCCTTCAGAAGACATTCGTCCAAGCCTCCTCGCAGCTCGATAACCTACCGCGGGGTCTCGAGGCACTGATGTTCGCAATTTATAGTTCAGCTGTCTATTCGATCGACGATGACGAGTGCGAAATGAAGCTCGGCGAGCCTCGCAAAATTGTTCTCGCGAGATATCGGCATGCGACCCGTAAAGCCCTTGCCCGAGCGAGATTCATGGCAACATCGGAGCTGGTGGTTCTCCAGGCCTTCTTCCTCTACCTTTTGACGATGCGCGAAGACTACGATGCGCGAACCACTTGGACGTTGGCCGGCGTGGCGAGCCGTATCGGGCAGGGTATGGGACTTCATCGAGACGGGACAAGTCTTGGAGTTTCGCCATTTGAGACCGAAATGCGCCGGCGTCTGTGGTGGCAGATCACCACTTTGGATTTTCGGTCAGCAGAACTCAGTGGCTCTGGCCGATCCGGCGATTTCTCCATGTCTGATACTCTGGTACCAAGCAACGTCAACGATGAAGACATCTACCCAGATATGAAGGAGCCGCCGGTCCCTCACACTCGACCTACGGAAATGATATCCTGCCTTCTGCGCTGCGAGTTGGGCAACTATTGGAAGGAGAAGTTCAAGCAGAGGTCGAATGTTGCCCTTGAGCATCTTCGCATTGACTCGCCTTTTACAAGTTACCTAGAGGAGAGAGATGCTTTTATCAACGAGCTAGAGCAGCGTCTAGAGGAGAAGTTTTTGAGATACTGCGACCCATCCAATCCCATACAATTCATGGCTATCATAATCGGGAGAGGGGCAATCAACAGCATGAGGCTTATGGCCCACCATCCCCGCAAATGGGCCAAAGAGACAGACGTTCCCCCTGCAGAAAAAGAGTACCTCTGGAACGTCTCAATGAACCTTCTCGAAGGCATCAATTTGGCACATTCATCCAAACAATTGCGGAGGTTCATGTGGCACACCAGAGTCTTCTTTATATGGCAAGCTTTCATCTACATTCTCAACGAACTCAAAGAACGCACACTTGGCGATGAAGTCGACAAGGCATGGCAAGAGATCGACGAGATCTACCGACATCATCCTCACTTTGTGTCGGACTATAAGAAGCCGCTGCATGTCGCAGTAGGAAGTCTTTGTCTCAAAGCCTACAGTGCAAGAGAGGCCGCGCTTCGCGAGACTACCAATGGTGTTTTCCCAAAAGTAACACCGGAGTACATCAAGCTGCTCCGTGAGCAGCGCGAAAGTGGACCGCTCATGCGCGCAACGACGACTGCCGCCACCTCGTCAAACAAGGCACCCAAGACTGTCGATAACGCGGCTGTTTCTGCGGCCAGGAGTGAACAATATTCGACGATGCCGGGGTGGGAAAACCAGCCCTTGCCAGAACAGTCGACCAGCAACTACATGGCTCCTCAATTCCCTGCGAGTGGGTTTCCTAGCGGCGCGGGCGTCCCGCATCAGCTCCCACTCCCAGCGTTCCAGCCCATCCCGACGCCCCTTGCGGGAGACGGTGTCATGCTCGCATCAGAGCCCAATTTTGCTCAGGATCTGGACGTTGGAGACATGCCCATGGATTGGGCACAGTGGGATATGATGATGCAGGACTTTGACGGCCAGATGGCGTATCGCGGCTAGGTCAGGTGGAGATTTTCATCTCTTTGCGGTTTTGTACGATCATTTAGGAACGGGGAGAGGCATGGGCTGGGCTATACACGACCCGATGTACGAGCTGAAGGCAGATATGTATGACTAGGGACGATGATGATAAACTTCGCTCAACAACCTTGCGAGAAGGGAGGAATGGAACACGTGAATTTCTGTATACTTGGACGAATGAAAATACCTCAGCTCCAACCGCCTTCTGTTCTCCTTTTTGTGCATTCCCTTAATTTTGTCTTCAAATGCACTGCTTAAGACACTTGGGCACAGCAGTTCCTTCGCCAGCCGAGTCGTCTTCCTCCTGGCCGGGCGATTATATAGCAAGGAGGCTGGGTGTCAAGAACAACCATTTCATGCGTTGGCAGCTCTGCGAGGGGCTAATCATCTGCACAGATTGTGCATCGCGGTGGTGGCGCAGTACAGAACAGCACATCCCGATCCGCTCAAGGCGGTCTGGGCTGTGTATAAACCCTTCAGCTTCAGAGACAAAAAGCCTGTCTCAATCCACCTCTTTGTTCGAAGATTTCATTTCACTTCTCCGTCATCCTCCGATCCTAGAGGTACCATGAATCAAGACAGCTGGGGGAAAGAATTGAGCAAGGTGAACATGCTCTATGGACCAGGCACAATTCTGGGCTGGTACCTGACGCTCGCGACCTGTCTGGTATCATGGACCTTGCATCCACGTCGGAGACATCAGGATGCCAATAACGCCGACTTGATCATCGGGCTTACCTTGCCTGTCGTCGCTGTTGCCCATCTCATCTCGCAGATATACCAATCCGTTGGTGACCGGGCAAACTCTGCGACGGCGGCGGTGGTGGTGACAGATCCATCGCAGACCGCGCAGGCCATCGAGGCGCCTTTCATCGTTACCGACGTCTTCATGATTCTGAGTACGGTGATGTTCTTTGTTGCTGTCATTAATATCACCCTCAGACGAGCCGTGGCTGTCGCAATCGCAGGTCTTCTATGCTTTGCGGCCGAATGCTTTGCTTATTTCTCCGGCTTTACAAGGGGAGAAATCGGCAGGTTACTTTCCAGGCCGTTTCTTGCCGACTCCAAGATCCTGATCTATTCCCTGATTTTAATGCTGTCTATCCTGATCTTCGCGACCGTTTTGTTGGTTTATATCTTTTGGAACTACGAGCGAACGGCGAGAGGCCGCAGAGCTGCCGTCACGGCGGTGGAACCACATGAGACCGGAATAGCTCTTCCAGACGTGGAGCCTGGTCCAAGTGCAGAACTCGTGCGGAATGAAATCGAGGAGCTCCGGGAGCGTGGGAGAAACCTTGAAGCATATTTACGTCGGGACTACCTTCGACAGCGCGAACAGCGAGCGGAGCGCCGCCGGCTGGACCAGACGCTTGGGATCGCGCGGTCTGATATACAACAAAGCAGGAGCATGCGCATGGTCAGCGCATTGACCTGTATCTACCTGCCTATGACTTTGATATCCAGCCTCTCCTCAATCGACCTGTTCTTTTTCCACAGCATCCAGAGCGAGACGACCGAGCAACCACCCCGTCCAAGCACGAATCGTGCCACAGTTGCTTCATACTTCTTTCCCCAGACACCATCAGGCTGGGGCGATCTAGATCAGGTCGTCGCCATGCTTGGCGGTGGCACTGTACTCGGCTTCAGCCTGTACTCCGCCGTCCGTACAAGATACAGCGTGAGACGCGAAGAAATCCTTCGGGCCGAAGAGTTACACCGCCAAAACAACATCCGTCTGAGGCGCATTCTACTGCAATGGGACCAGGACGGGCGCTCGGACTGAGTACACCCGGTCTCATTAGCCAAAAATCTTCTGGCATGGTGTCTTTTCTCCACCTGTCCATTTGAATATGATACTGCGGTAGATGCTAGCCCTCAGACTGGAGGACCAGATTTTGCGCCAAACCCCTCTTTGAACCCATTCAGTGATGAGCAGCACCACGGCGACCTTCTCATATACTGTGATGAAATTACGTTTAGGTCTCTGCAGTGGCTCTCGCCACTCAATATATGCGCCAGCTTTGATCCGCAGACAGTCTTTCACAGATCGCTATCTTTCCACGGGTGGCTGCGTCAGGGTCTTCGAGGAGAGTGGACAGTTCTGTAAACGCGATCGTTTTCTGTACCATTTTCGAGACAAACGCTCGAGCTTCGAACCGTGCTCGAATGGTCGCCCCGTCTCGGCGCGCCTCGGAGACTAGAGCGCAGACGAGTGTGGTGCCCGAGTCGGCGTCGGCCAGTGTCCGCGGTGTCACTATCGCCAGGGCAGGCAAAGCCGACAAGGTCTCCCAGTCTGGCTCGTCATCGCACTCAGGGTACACGTGCCGTGCGGATTCGAACTTGTACCATGCACTCTCCGCCCGGTCGGCCATGTAGAAGACGCTTTCCAAACGCTCGCTGCTGTGTTTTATGGTGAAGCCGGGAAACTCGACGCGCAAGCCCGCAGGGGTGCAAGGCACGGAAGACCCAGCGGCGAGGGCGTACGTATCTGTCGACGTGTTCCGGTCCAAGAAGCTGGCAGGCGCCCACCGGTATCCGTCGTCTCGCAGTTTCCTACCTGCCATGAACATGATGTGGCGCGGCACCTGTGGTATGTGTGAGAGGAGATACGGCATCCTCCGGTCTGGAGGCAAGTCGTAGACCTTGTCGGTGTAAAATCCCAGAAACGTCGCGATGCAGATCGCCTCATCGCCTGCTCTGCTGGTGGATCGATAGCGAAGAGCGTTGGATATGTGCATCAACTTTGTGACTTCAAAGTCTGAGCCTTCAATCGCAATGTTGAGTATCTCGATGTCATAGTAGAGCTGTCGGGAATCTGCTCCGATGTTGTCAGATATCGACACTTTCCCTTCGTGCCGTTCGCGTTCCTTGGCCAGGTCGACCACTCCGTCGAGGAATTGGAGATGGAGGTTCCGCGCAAGCACGCCCTCCTTCAGCGTCCAGAGCCGGCGCATCCAATCTGAGCAGCCCAGCCTCATTCTGATCTCCTCCGTGGTAGTCGGGACCGGGCAGCGTTGAAGATCCTGGTCAAGGACGAGAACGATCTCGGCCTCGCGGTAGGTTTCGGTCAGTCTGGCTATGGCTGCCTTTCTTGCCTCATCGTTGGCCAGCGGAACGCAAAGGGTGTCCAGCCAGAAGAACCTCTGCGACTCAGCTGAATGAGGCTCCTTCTTGTGGAGATTTTGGAAATATCCCCATAGCCGTACCATTTGACATTTCCGGATGGCGTTCACTCGGACGTTTCCAAGACCGTGCGACCAGACATGAGACATCGCGATGTATGGCGTAGAACTGGAAGACGTGACGATAGATAGCGGTTCACCCCTGTTAATCCCGGCTAACGAGAAGCCGACGACCGGTATCCCGCCACTCTCCAGAATCGAGACGACTTGATCTTGGTTTGATCCAATGAGTTCACAATCGCATCTAGCTTCCGTGTGCTGCGTTTGATAGGCTTCAGGGTCAACGTAATTGCCTACGCACCTGAAGCTGGTGCATTTCGAGTGATCAGCTGCCTTTATAATTCCCAGTGATGTGATGTAGTGAATTGATTCAGCTGAGAACAAGTCTTGAAGCATTGTGATATCCCTGATGCACCAGCCTTGTTCCATCAATCGAGCTGTTGATAGGCTACTGAAGCCCCAATATCTGGGAAATTGGTTAGAGTCTTTCTTGCAGTGCTCCGCCGACGGCAGATAGAAACCTCAACTGAGAACCTGTCTCTTATGGAGACATACACTGTTCATCCTGTCCTGGGTTTTGAGTGCAAGAAGAACTTACGGTTCAGCCCAAGTACTTATGTCTTCTTCATCTTCCCTCGCCTCTGGAAACTCCTCGGTATCCAGTATATTGTTGGCGTAGTGAGCCCCTAGGCCTTTCAAACAGATCTTGGATGCGGCACGAAAGAGAGTAGACCCCAAGACCAGAATGGATAGTGTAATTTCCTCTGATATTCCAGTCAAATGCGGCTGGGGCGCTCTTGTCAAGATGCTGTTAGTGTATAGAGACGCTTTCTCCAGCACCTGCCTGACACGTTTGCCTTGCGCTCTGCGCTCATCAGATGTAAGGGACTCTGCCGCCTTTTGCCACGCTGAAAGGTGTTCAAGCAGCGGAAGAGAAGTCACGACCTTTTCTCCGGATGGGAGCCGAACAACATATTCGCTCTGATCAAATTGCAAGTCAATAACGGCCAAGACGTCAGCGAGGACCCCGAAGTAGAGCCAAGTCTGAATGAACGGGCCCAGTTCATCCACTGAGTGCGTTCCAAGGTCCGCGTCAAGGAGCTTCAGAATATCCCAGCCCTGTCGACGCGGATACTTCTCAAATCCCAACCCATCATATATCTCCTTGCAAGTGTATGGTACCTGAATAGTATAGCATGGTCTATCGGGGGATGGAAGATGATCCATGGTAGTGGAACAAGCAGTGTATGTTGTTGGCTCTCGCTTCTTGCTAATCAAGGCACCGACACTCCAGGAATCCAAGGTTTTGGCAAACAGGTATAGACAACGTTCAGGCTGGTAAGGCTGAACGAGGCTGACGATATCCGATATGAGGCTCTTCCTTGCTGCCGTAGATGGAATGTTTGCCGACAATGCAGTCACGTGATGTGCCAAGACCATAACTTTACCTCGTGGTGTGCCCCTTTTCTCAGCTTCAACTCCTCGCACCTCGTGTTGCTTCAGCTACGCTGTCCGCATGATCATCGTAGAACACCAACTTGTCCGACATACGACGCTTCTCGCTTCCGTGCCCTATTCGGCTAGCTACAGCTAGACAAACTCTCTTCACCGGTTACAAAGCCTCTAGATGAGGAGCTCGCAAAGCCAATCGTCGTCATTCAGTTGAGAAGACCCCTGTGTCCACGGGTCACGACCTGCTGCAGACATCCAAATGCCTTGTCTCTGCATCTAGCTCCGGATGAAGCAGCCTATTTGCTCTCACCATCTCTTTCTGCATGTCATGCGTTACCTGAATCAAGCAAACGCAAATTGCGGCTGAGGCGGTGGTGCATCAATGTAACAGTGAAACACACCTCGTGGTAGGTCCTTGTTGAATATTAAAATCTCTCTGGCGCTACTGAATCAACCATCCTGTGGCCTAACCTACGTTCAAAGACAAAGAAAAAGAACCACTTTGCCCTTACTAAGCATATAGCACATCCTGCCACTCAACTCTCCTGAGAGCAGATTCGAATTACAGAGCAAAATGGCTCCAGCATCCCGTCCAACTCCAACAAATCCCAAACCCGCCGACTTTGGGCCCAATGTGCACATCTTCGATCCGTCCATGCCAATGGCGGACATCACCTCGACCATAGCACCCATATTCCAGAGTCAAGACACGAACCAATTTGGTACGGGACGCCATGCATATCTCTTCAAGCCAGGATCCTACAATCTGAGTGTGGACGTGGGCTACTATATGACTGTTCACGGGCTGGGCCATTCGCCAAACGATGTGACCATCACCGGTGCTGTGCAGTCGCTGGCGACCAGCACCCAAGGCCTGGCTCTCAACAGTTTCTGGCGTGGCGTCGAGAATCTCTCCATCGTGCCCACTACCAATGGGGATATCAGCGGCTGGGCTGTCTCTCAGGCCACCTTCCTGCGCCGTGTGCACATTGTCCACGGCCAGCTTTTTCTCTTTGACTGGCGCTATCCATCGAACTTTTCCAGCGGCGGCTTCATAGCAGACTCACTTATTGACAGGCAGATCATTTCCGGTTCCCAGCAGCAATTCTTGACCCGCAACACGACTCTCACAAAGTAAGTCTTCCCATTACCTCTGCTGATGTTTAACACCTTCGAACACCTGGTGCGGAGATAAGACGGATTATCTGGGCAAAGTCTTCAGGGACAATGAGGATAATCTCTTTCGGAAGCCAAATCCCATGAAGAATAACTAATATGAGATTGTGCACATTTAGTTGGAATGGGGGTGTCTGGAACATGGTCTTCGTTGGCGATGACCAACCTCCGTCGGGATCATGGCCCGATCAACCATTCACCGTGGTAGAAAAGACCCCTGTCATCCGCGAGAAACCCTATCTTACCTTCGAAAACGACTACGCGGTACAAGTTCCCAACTTAAAGAGGGACAGCCAGGGTACAAGCTGGACCAATCCCCTGGACTCTGCCACAACGCTACCAATCAGTCAATTCTACATCGCCAAAGCAGCTACTGACACTGCCGATTCTATCAATGATGCCCTCCGCCAGGGCTACCACTTGATTCTTACGCCAGGTGTCTATCACCTCTCCAGAAGCTTGGAGGTCAAATACTCCAGCACCGTGATCTTGGGTCTCGGAATGGCTACATTGGTCCCCGACAACGGCACGCCGGCCATGGTTATCGACGACGTGGACGGCGTCTCAATCAGTGGGATCATCTTTGATGCAGGTCCGGCTCGATCCCCCCAACTTCTGGTAATTGGAGGTGCCAGCAGTACAAGTGACCACAGCGCAAATCCCACGGCTCTGTTCGATCTCTCTTGCCGCGTTGGAGGCGCAGCAGCAGGCTCTACACTTAACTGTATCACCATTAACTCCAACAACGTAATCCTTGACAACATCTGGATCTGGCGTGCAGACCACGGCAACCCTGGAGCTGTTGGCTGGACCGTCAATCCGGCCGACAACGGGCTGACGGTTCAGGGCCAGAACGTGGTCGCCTACGGCTTGTTCGTCGAGCACTTTCAAAAGGTCCAGACCGCATGGAACGGCAATGGTGGACAAGTTTATATGTACCAGTCGGAGATCCCGTATGATCCCCCTGACCAGGCCTCGTGGCAACAGCCGACAGGAAGCAAGGGCTATGCATCGTACAAAGTAGGTGATCAAGTCAGCTCCCACACTGCCAAGGGTCTTGGGATCTACTGCAATTTCGACAACCAGGTCGAGCTCGATAACGCCATCGAGACACCGACAGGAACGGGCATTCAACTCAACCACTTGACTACGCAGTGGCTTAATGGGAAGCCGTTCAGCGCAATTAACCACATCATTAACGGCACTGGTGATCGCGTGTACGATAATGGACGAAACTTGAATGCAAAATCGGCTACTTGAGTTCGGTCGTCAATTTGGCCGCTACTCGTGCCTGTGTGGAAGCTTGACCGACCTGGTTCAGAGATGCCATCATTCCAGTATGTCATATGGTCAAATCACGCTTCTACAAGGGATTCAGCCCAAACCCTGAACACTCGGCGAACCACCATTATGTATTTCGGAGAACCATATGATAGCCCGCGGGATGGAGGTCAGAAACATGGGGGGTGAAGACAAAGCGTTCTACTTACAACGGTATATTCTTTCTCTCCACCATGACACAGCAGCCTTTCGATGCAACGCACATTATGCCCACAAAGTATGAACAAAATAAGCTTCATTGGCAAAGACTATGCTTAATTCTAATCCGAGGAACAGTGAAGCCTTGGGCATTTCGAAATATAGAATAAGAGGTTCACAACACGTTGCTGTAGCTCTCACCAGCCATCCCCGGCGAGTGTGCGGCCTATCTCCACAAACTACATTTTGCGCACTTCTGGGATATATAGCGAGTATCCTGCCCATCGATCAGCTTCCAACGCCAGGCAATTTGTCTTCAGGATAAGCTCAAACCTTCAGCTCCCCGCCCCTTACGAATATGTCTTCCCGCTAGATAGACCACGCTTGCAATCTCGCTTGACCCCATTTTCTCCCTTCTCTTCAGGGCGGTTTAGCCCAAATTAGCCTACGCATTGAATAGTCCGGCCAAGAAGGGCAATTTCTGCCCAGTTTAACGGCAAGCCAGCAAAGAGGCTGAAAGTTCTACAACCACCACCACCACCACCACTACTGATGCCTGCCCAACAGCAGGCCCTACCGTGGCTCCGGAAAGCGGCTGCACGTACGACATCCTGTGCAACACATTCATACTGGGTACCCCCGTCCTGGGGGTGAGCGGCGCAAGCAACGTCGCGACGTGCGACCAGGACGGCCAATGCAGTGCCTTCGACTTCGACGCCCGCTTCTGCACGCTCTACATGGCCGTCGGCATCGAGCTGGTCGAGGAAGAGAGCTCGTCCCACGCCAGGGGCATGCTGGTGTCTGTCCCGGCGCCGCGCCGACGGATTAAGTCCAACTGAACTAAACCGGGGCCCTGGAAAAAGGGGGGGGGGGGGGGGGGCAAGAGCCGATGCGCCGTGATCAAGGATGTGTTCTCAAGCCATGGCCCATTGTAGACGGACTGCGTGAGATGCGTCACTTCCACTCGAGTCGAGCGCGTTGCACAGTGTGTGTACACACACACACACACACGAAATGATTCAGAGCATCAGCAATATTTTTTTCTATCGAAATTTCTCTTTCTGGCTGGCATCCCTCGAGGATGTAAAAGCACCGGCACTGTCTATCTGTGTCGCGAAAAGGGGGCCTCGTTTCAAGAGCCCGTGGTTGGCATGCATACTCCGATCAGTGGTCCGCAACCCCGGTACAACTCCTGCCTGGACCCGTCCCTCGCCGGCGTGGCGCCTCCAGTACAACTCAGAGTCCCTCTAGAAATGCCACGCGCGCGTCCGATCTCAGCCCAACCAAGTGTCCCTCCGCTGGTTGCTTCTTCGACCTAATATCCATACAGTCTGCCTTATGTCTTTTGTCTTTTGTTCAATGCCACCGATCTTTCTCACTCCTGATCAGACTGGGCCCTGCTGCGCTCAAGCTGAATCAATTCTCCGTTGAGTGACTTTGTGGCGGGTGGCTGAAACCATGCTTCTCAGATATCTTTGTCACCGTCTTTTTTTTTCTTTCGAGAACGAAAACAAGGAATCCGGGGGCGCTTGCTCTGCAGGGTTGGCAAGCATTATCCAATTCAGCATTTGATGATACCATAGACGCCTCTCTGAGTAAACGCGACCAAGGTATTGGCGCTGCCTTTCTCGCCTTTGAAGATACCCACGATTCTCACCACTACCTCCGGAAGCACTAGGCCTTCGGGAGTAGGATTTTGACGAATTTCCAAATAGCCCACCATACCGCCGGAACATCCTGCGAATCCAGGGATGTTGTGGTACCGCAAAACGGTGGCAGCATGCTGATCCGGAGCATTCCAACCACCAAGCCCTGCGAGATGCCCAAAAGCAATAGATCGGATATTGGGATGAAAGACTTCTTCGAAGATTGGTGGTTGAATTTTGTTGCAGTCGTCGTCAGCCTCTTGGCCTACACGCAACCGTTCTTTGACCATCATCTCAAACTTCGTGACACAGTTCTCTTGCTTTGCCCTCTGAAGCCGCAACAAATCATTCATGTCATCGACTCTCGAGTCCCCACATGAGTAATAGGCGGAGAAGCTCTTATCAAAGACTTTGCAATCGATCGTGCTCGGATTGTCAGCGGCTGCAGAGCTGAGTTGGCTGTTCTTGATCCATGTTTTTGGTCGTCTTGTTTCATGCAATGCTGGTTTGAAGATGGCTATGTCGGCGAATTCATCTAATTCCACGAGCCGAACATCATAGATTGCCGGTTCGTGCTCGGAGATCCGCATAGTCTCGTAGTCGTGTTTGTCGTCAGAGTGCAATTCGCATGAAACGCGGGCCCTCATTGCGCTAGGAGAGGGAAGCTGTGGTGCCGGCGAAATGTATTTGAGGAAGTCTATCGTATCTTTCTTCTCTTCTGGGCTCAAGGATTTGTTGAGATTAAGAAAGTGAGCCGCTGTGACGAATTTGTAGCCTTCTAGCCAGAAGCCCGAACATTCCACCCCATCGTGACAATCATTGTCGTGGGAAAGCAGAACGTCGTTGTGAGAAGGTGGAGCTCTGCGGCTTGGGTGTCGGCAACGACAGATGGTGATGTAAATCTTCCCAGCTGCTGGAGTGATGGTCCCCAGTGCTTTGAGAACCTGAACCATTTAGTGGGGCGCTGAGCAGTTAGGAGAACGCATACCTGTCTTCCCCCGTCGTGTTTGTAATCTCCAAGTGCAAAGATGGCGTTTTCTTTCTTGGTTCCAACGATGGACCCGTCGTCGAGAACCATGTATGACCTCAGCCAGCTGTGTGACGTCGGATCATACGTTGGGCCTCCAAAATCCATGATTTCGATTGGCGGGAGGGAACGCGACGGAGCCAAGTTTTCCTGAGTTCTCGTATGTTGGTAGGCTGATTGAAGGATGGCGAGGCCTGTGGGAGATGTTGGGAGATCAACAGGAAGGGATCTCCTATATAAATACCCTATTTAAAGCATGAAAACTTCTGTTAGACACTTCACAAAAAAGCAGAGATCGAGTGACAGTACCGCTGCCTGAGGAGTTCGTGTCGCTGGGGGGCTCGCGTTTGATTGGCCGATCGCCCAAGCCCTGCACGGGAGACCCGTCCATGGTGTGACACTTAGAGTGTTCCGGAACCAAGATCGTAAAAAAGGTGAATCTGTCGTGGGTGAGGAGAAAGATGAAGATGGATGGAGCGCCTGGAGCACAAAACATCGCAAGGTTATATAGGCGCGAAGCACGCTAATTCGCAACAGGAAAGGCGCCCTTCGTGTCCGGACATAGTGTCACCTGTGGCGTGACAGGAGATTATATCCGAGGCCAACCATTCCTAACCTACAAATTAAGCTTAAGTTGGACGCAACGGACTAACCATATTCTCACCCTTCCCGATTTGACCTTTTGTCCTGCACAATGGTGCCGAATTACAACAGACGTGAACAAACGTGAACACAGCAGACTCCCAAAATCAAGGGGACTCGGCATACGTATCACACTTTGGCGTTCTGGGAGAGTACCTCTGCCGGATGCATTAACGAAGCTGTGCAGTCAAACTGCACGACAAGACGAGCATCAAGAGACAACTAGAATATGTGTCTAATAATGTGCGTTTCTCATGCAGGAATGAATACGAACAATTTCCTCAAGTACAGATTCACATCTCCTTGCGTTGCCTTGATTTGGGAGGCACCCCTGTGACCTGGGTGCACATTCACCCTCTCATCAACAGAGACCATGTTGGCCGGACGAAAGACAATTTACGACAGATTCACGGGAGCGAAACTGGCAATTGGTATCTAGACTGATGAACCCTTTGAAGAAGTCCAGGATATTGTCAAAGGGAGCAAACACACTGATAATCAATCATCTCTCCTGGTCAAATTCGCAATCATCGGGCCAGGGAAGTTCATTGAACTTGGCAGACATGAATTATTGTATTGCCAGTCAACAATGTCTAGAGCCAACTCGGAGCCGAGACTCGAGGAAGTGTGCGTATCTAGCACGATCTCCACACCTAGGCGAATTGATGATAACACCGTGCCAACGCCCTATTACCTCCGGTAGTCGTCGCAGAGTAATGATCTGCTTGCCCTGTTCGTTGAGAGAGATGGAATCTGTCGTGTCTACTGGGATACCCGTGATAACCTGAGACAAGGCTGCGGCGCGCCGTGGGCTCTTTCCTTCATCTGGCACAGTGTGGCCGTTATTGACAGCGTAGAGTTCTTTGTGCTTGCCCCAGCCCATGCGCGCAGGAAACTCAAGAAAGGCTCCGTTGTCGTTGATGTACGGGTGCGACTCGTCGCTCAAACAGGGGACCTCAGAACTAATCTGGTTCGACAGATTCGTGGGAATTATGTTCACGGTGGTTCTCTCTGAATTCTATTCAATTGCGATCTGCAAAGACAGTGAGGTGGGCGCAAGCGCATCGGGCAAGATCGAGTACTGAAAGCTCCAGGAAGCGTTCAACGGTATCGCAAGCACTTTGTCTTGTCGACCGGCTATCGAAGTCTGCGGCCTCAGATCAATGTCGGTGCTCACCGATATATTTACACTAATGACTGGGGTACGTTTTCGACTCTCCACAAGTAGATATTCGATTTATTGAAGGCTCTAGGATGTAGGATGCAAGGCTCAATGACTTTCTAAAGGTCAGAAAATGAAGTCTATCGATATGACCTTGATTCTTAGGGAGTTAACGCCAAGACGCCAGCGAGTAATCGTACAAGGCTCTCTATCCCTTCTTATAGGGATATAGAAGTGGTTCTCCGGCAAGATACCCAGATTAGGCTGTTGCCAATACCAAGCACATTTTTGCAATCCCTACACACGCCCGTTGTATACGTGCGTAAGTACGTGGGACATCAGGAAGTGGAATGGAGTACTAGACCCTTCTCGCACGTTTCAGAGCTGATATTGCCACCATGCAGTATCCGCGACAAGGGTGGAGCGGGAACTGTCCAGTTGCTCGACTCGGTGGAAGGAAGAAGTGGATGATACAGAAACCTAGAGTTGTTCCTCATTCCAGGTCATCCTTCTCAATAGGGCGTTACGTAGCCCAACGTAGAAATATACAGAGATCATGCTCATCCTTGTCCAAACAGAGAGGAAATGGAGGGATCAATAATTGCCCTCCCCTCAACCCTACCTGACTTTTCTTAAACTCAGCTTCCCAAATCTATAGGCTTCGGATCCTCCGTCCTATACCACTCCCCATTGAATGCATTAACCAGCCAGTTCGCCAACTTATCGTACACGATATGATTCGCATTGTGAAATAGTATCGAATGGTCGCTATCAGGGAAGAAGTGCACGTCGTAATTTTCAATCCCTGCAAGATCGAATTTGTCTAGTAAAGTCAGAGTGTTTTGCATGTGAACATTGTCATCTGCGACGCCGTGCATGATCAAGAATCGTACGTTCTGCGATATCGCTGTGACGTTGCTGATGGCCGATTTTGAGTAGCCGAGGGGGTTGTTTTGAGGCGTGCGCATATACCTTTCGGTGTAGATGGAGTCGTAAAATCGCCAGTCCGTCACAGGCGCGACCGCCATGCCGTATTTAAATGTCTCGCCTGCATCAGTCTCGAGAACTTTCAATGTCATGAAGCCACCGTAGGACCATCCCCAAATAGCAATGCGGTCGGCGTCGATGTAAGATCTTTTGGCCCACATCTTTGCAGTGGCAATCTGATCGTGGGCTTCATATGTGCCGAGCTCATTGCGGATGATGGTGCGAGCTTTACGGCCTATAAACCCAGTTCCACGCCCGTCAACGGTTACCACGATGTATCCGAGTGAGCTCGCGATATATGATTGAAAGTCGACGTGGAAGCGGCGGTTGACCATTTGGGAGCCGGGTCCGCCGTAGAGGTAAAAGAGGACCGGGTATTGCTTCTTAGGATCAAAATGAGGAGGTCGTCGTTCGACCACTTGCAGTATAGAGCCATCAATGGTGACATTCTGGAATACTTGATGTGGGAGTTCATGGGAGGAGGCCATCTTGGCCAGATCCTGGTTGTCTTCAAGCATTTCCTCAACTTTGTCAGGATTGGCTGGGGTAGAGACGACTTTCTGATAAGGGATGCCAGGTCCAGTGTATTTCAGGCTCACATAGCCTGCACCTGCAGAGAAGCTTGATTCCCAGTAAGCAGCTTCATCGGTGGGCACGAGTGAGGCAAAGTCTGTCCCGTCCAGTTTGACGCTGTACAAGTGGCGCTGGGTTGGCGCTTCTTTGGCAGCAATAAAATACACCAAGTTGTTCTTCAAGTCAATAGCTGCCGGTCCGCCGTCCACTTCCCAACTACCTCTGGTCAGCATGACCGGAATTGAGCTGTTGAGAGGTGAGAAATAAGCCAGGTGGTTACCATTGTCAGAGATGACGATGTCGACATAGCCGTCCTCAGGTCGACCATTGGCAGGGTCGGCGGGTATGTATTTGGTTTGCTGGCTGGGTTCAATCCAACCACCATCGACGTCTTTAAGGTCCACAATCCTCACGGTATGGCCTGTGTGAGAAGGGACGTCCACCAGAACAATCCTGACACGATCGCTTTCCCGGTTCGACTCAGACACTAGTGCTTTTCCATCGTCTGCCCATACAATGTTGAAAATGATCCGGTCTGCGTCCGGGAAGCCGCCCTCAATGTCAACGGAGAACACCTCGCCTTTTGAAATGTCGTAAAACAGCATATCAACCACAGGATTTGGTGCTCCAGCCTTCGGATACTTGATCTCTTTTACCTCCGGGTAGTTCTCGAGGCCTTCAATGGGTTTCTTTCCGCTCGGGCGCGAGAGGAAATACTGAACGGGATATTCCGGGACGGTAGTCTCGTTCGTGCGTAGGAACGCCAGATATTGACCATCGCGTGCCCACCAAGTGGCCGTGTTGGTCCCGAAGACTTCTTCCTCGTAGGCCCAGTCGGGAATGCCATAGAAGTATTCGGGACCTCCGTCGGTGGTGACGGTCGTCACTTGGGGCGACGAGAGATGCCTGAGAAAGAGATTGTTATCCCTTGTAAACACAACCGAGTCACTCCTGGGCGACCACTGAGCCAGCTGTATCTTGGTCTCCGGGAACGCTGGATCTAGCGGCTGGACGTTCTGTGTCTCGACGTCGAGGATGAAATACAGCCCGAGAAAAGAGTGTCGAAAAACCTTTTCTGGGTTCGCCATAAGAAGCACATGTTTCATATCTGGGCTCACCCAGAATTCTGACGTCCAAAGCTGCTGCCCTCCGTATTTGATCCAGGCGCTTTTCACCAGCGTTGTGCGTTTGAAAGCATTTGCTTCTGAAGATGTGCCAGTTCGGATGTCTTCGACCACCAAGTAGTCCTGGTTCGGCTGGTTGATTTCTAACAATAACCCATCTTCTCCATTCGGACCAGGAGTCCACTCAATATTGGCATATCTAGGTGACCATTGCCCCGTCTGTATTTGTCCGAGGGTGACTTTCTTTGCCGAGCTCTTTATTGGCGTATCGTGGTCGTAATCCAAAGTCGACGCATGTTTATATCGGCCACCTGCCACAAAGACAACTACAGCCAAGCCCCATCCAATAATCCCAACGACCGCGACTATCCATATTGCTCGACGGAGGCCTTTGGACATGCGCTGCCCCCCAATGGTGTAATTCTTGTCATTGAATCTGGGTAATTCGGGATCGCTCTCGTCGTCGCGGTACCTTGAGGGTGGTTGTAGGGGCTCCTTTACGGGGATTGACGAGTTTAGGCTCTCGAGAACAAGTGACACTGTTGAGACCGTGGTCATGCTGTCTTGCGAAGGCCTTGGGTATGGATTATCGGCAGACTGGCGGCTCCTACTTATCAGCGTCTCCTCCTCTTCTTGTAGGCTCTCGCTGGCCCTCCCCATCATGGAGGTGGGAGGTTGCCTCCTCGGACTCCAGTGAAAGACGTCGTGGCTGAAAGCAAGGGAGGTCGACCTCGACTGGGAGTGAGGGGGATTATCTGTACATGACAAAGATTGGGAAGTGAAGGGAAAGACAGCGCTCGCAGCGTCTCTGCGTGATATTCGCTTGCGTGGGGAAACGAGAGGGCCTTCTGCCCCCAAGCCTGTGATGATCTGAAGAGGTCGTGTATGATTGGAGTGGTGCAATGGTGGTGATGATGACGGTGGAGGTGGTGGAGTTACAGTCTGATGGTGAATCTCCGACTGCGCAGTCAGCGCGACATCCATCGTGCCAAGCCTGTGGCTGGACGACGCAGCTCATGCCAACCAACGTCCCTCTTTCTGTTCTTCCTCCGCCAGGATTGCGATACACATCGTGGTTGCCATTCAATTTGATCTCATTCTCACTCATCTTGTACTGTCTATGTCTGTATCTACGAGAACATACTGCTTGCGGAGTGCCAGCGACCAGCCGCACCCTTTCTCCCTGAACGCGTTCATCGGCGTCCGAAAACGGCATTCGTCAACATTCCTCAAACGCCGTCTCGAAACTCCCCACGAAACACACCCTCAATGACCAGTGTCGGTACATTCCCTTCAAATCAACACCACTTGGCCCCTTCAAATCATTTCGCGTACTTGTAAGCCACTGTAGCAATAAGGAAATAGCTACATACGGTGAGAAATGTAAAGCACAGCCAAAGCTTGAAATACTCAGCTCCTCCCGTCAACCGCCGTCTGAGCGACCCCAAGGAATTCAACCCCAGCCAGGCTAGGAACACCAAGCTCAAGGCTGAAGTCACTGGGATAGCTAAGAGTGACAAAAAAGAGAGCGTCCTTTGTTTCTCTTTCATCATCGCGGTCGCCTGCGTCAACTCTTCAGAGAAGACATAGTAAACAAGGTATGGACTCGCTCCAAGGATCCCCGCTGTCAATCCCAACAAACACCTTCCTGTGGCCGCCACTGAGGCTTGGTCTTTGCAAGCTCGACAATCCTCGGCTTCGAGCTGGCTGAGGGTGGCGACAGCCGCTTCACGTTCGATGTCGCTGGTCGGTTGCTGGTGTGGCGGGTGCCGGAGAATTTGTGCTACTGGGCGCTGTCCTCGTCCTTCTGAATCAGTTGAGTCGTTTGCAGGCTCTTCTCCCCCATCCATTTGGATTCTAAAATTCCACCTCGCCTCCCCGTGGTTGCGCGGAGAAGTCGCTTGTCTATTCAATATGCGCTCAATGGCTTCGGTTTGGCGGTCGACTTGTTCTAGAGTCAGCGTCAACTCTGACTTTGCGGCTGGTGATAGGAAATGCATGGCTTCAACAGTTCCTGGCACCGCTGTAGAACTTGAAGCTTCAGATCGAAATGTGTCACTGAATGGATTTTCAAGAGCGAAGACTGCAACGAAAGGGTTGGTGCTACTGTTGATTGCGGCAGAGTCGCCCATCCGATCCAAACTCGAACCCCTGGTGGCGCCCGTCTCGCTGCTGAGGGCAGTCCAGCTTGAGATACTGCGACGTCTGAGTGGCCAGGGTCCGACGTAATCTTGTTGCTCGGCATCGGCTTCTTGCTGTGGACCCACGTCAACATGAAAAGCGTTGTCGTTTGTGTCGGCATATTCTATATATTGTGCCGAGCCGGTGGGTTGTTCAGCGACAGCTGCGTTCGCTTGTTCAGAGATCGCCATTGTTTTCAACAGTCGTGAACCAAGGAGTGTGGCGTGGTGAAATTTTGTTGGCCGTTGACGTTTCGGTGTCCGGATGCGTGAAGGAAGATATAGGATTTGTATCCAAAATGCAATGAACGATTGCGAGTTTTCAAAAAGCAGGGGTTGAATGAGTGGAGGGGCACCGAAATACTCGAAGGGAGAAGAGTCCAACAGCCAGGATAAAGCGCTCGGGTGGTTCAAATATATATGCTCATCAGTCATGGTGGGTTGGCAAGCAGTCTGAGCCTGAAATATCCTCAAAACATCAGCCAGCTGAGTTTGTGTCTCGGAACCCAGAGACCAACAAGCACTGTACGCTAACGTCCACGAAGAACGCACGATGAAACTGTCGAAGGAACGAGCCTCATGGAATCTCGAAGAGACTTTTTGTCTAGCATCAACCTTCCCGCACGGAACCCTCCCATTCGCCCTCTCCTGGTGTGTGGCCCAGTCTCTGCTTGGGCAAACATCCTTCAGGACCAGCTAGTCCAGAATCTACACAAAGATAAGAACTCTTGTGAGATGGATGGTCTTTACGAATGGTCAATATCGGATGTCTTGAGTACCGGCAAGCTTGGCAAGGCAGACGCTAGAGCAGGCCTATTCCTCCGGTGCGATGGGAGGGGCAGCATGAATAGGGAAACAAAAGCCAGGCTTCAACGCAACAACCATTGCGGAGCGAACTTTGACTCACAAATGAGGCAAATGAGCGATTGAGGCAGAACAGGATGAGAACGGGACCAGCCTCGAAACCCAAAGATTGCGATCAAGTATGCACTTCCTCAAGGCCAACCCAAACTTGGTTTTCCGCTCGAGTTCGACAAATGGAAGCCAGTACACTCTAGCCATTACATGCACGTGGATTCCCGACGCACTATCTCTCACGTCACCCCCATCGAGGCCAAACCCACGGAATCGAGAAAAAACAAGCAATCAATTCCGGGGGCAGGCCCACCAACAAGAAGCGGGAGGAAACAAGAACAAAAAGTAACTCTAAGATTCTGTGTTGTTCATCGGAATGACGCAACCCTTTGGTCTTGTTTTTGCCTCGTGGCCGCGGAAAGAGGAGGGGGGAAAAGAGGGCGAAGGAGCGACGAAAGCCCTGTCGAATGAATGGTCTGCGTGCTGGACTCCGGACAACCACAGCCTTGGGCAAAGTGATACCCGGTCCGTGTTTGTGATTGGTCAGGCGAATGGAACCCCGAAGCTGCGAGGCGGCGGAGCATATTAAACTAGATAGATCTAGGCCTGAACCGGTTAGCCCAGCATCACAACCCCGTTCGCGTCCAGACTCTTACCACCAGTGGTGCTCGGCGGCAAATCTTGGCCTCTTCAAAGGTCCCATTTCCGTTGGCACACGAGGATCCGCCGATCGAATGGAGCCATGGCGCAAGCCATTTTTGAGCTGTGGCTTTGCAATCCTAACTTTGGCTCGGCAAATTGTAGAGAGACTTCCGTGAGGAGCTTGGGAACCAGCAACTTCTGCCCTTCGCTCCGGCTTTGAGTGCTTCGAATGCTCAGAAATGCCAGATATTCCGTTTCCGTTTTCCTTTTTTCTCTCACTCTCTCACTATTACCAGCAGTTCCATTGGTGCGTCTTTTCTGACCAAACTGACGCCCGCAGTAGGGGCCCTTGGAGCGTACCATTGACCTGAACCGTCTCTGGGCCGGCTTGTGCCAACAAAGATGTTTCAATACGGAGACAGCGACGTTGTCGACATCCAATGAAGCTCAGACCATGCAATCGGCCAACTATCCCTATTAGCGCAGAATAGATTCATCCAATTCGGTCCGTTGACTTCCTATTAAAATAACCCCATCCGCCTGCTTTCCGCCTCTCAATCCGGTCGACTGCAAGAAGACCTGGTTTCGCCCTGTACGGCCTCGAGAATTTCATCCACCAGCAGATGCCACCCTCTTTTTCGTGCAGCTTCAGATTTCAAGGGGCTTTGGATTCCAAGCACCCGCCGCCGTTTACCGCGGTGAACCAGCTCCACTAGGCTCCCCATGGCCAGAATTGCCAACGAAGACAAGTCGGTCATGGAAGACGAATTCTCGGAATGCGTGCGAACCGCACCTAGAAGTGGCAGTGTTCGTGGAGGCCGGTCGGTCCATGGGAATTGTCTCCGCCACGACGTTGCATCGGTTGCTTCCCACATCTTTTCGTCATAAGGCAAGTAGAGGTCCAGCTCGGCGAAACTGAGCCGGAAAGGAGATTGTGTACGAAGATGATACAAGCTGTGGATGGCCTAGGCATACGTTAGCATCAATCTTTTGTGGCGGGGATGAGAAGGATCAAGGCTCACCACGACGGCCCATCCAAGCCGTTTACGTTTCTCGGCTGCGATCCACTCCAACCACTGCCTATGGATCACTGTGCCCTCCAGATCCTGATCCAACAGTTCTTGCGGACTGAGAGAGCAATCAACCGTGCTGAGGTCGGAGGGGGATGGAGCAATGCCGACTTCCGAGTCATCGTTGAGTCCTTGGTTGGAATAGAACACAGACGCGCTCCGTGCAGTGGCGACCATGCACGCCTGACCAGCGAGAGCCCAAGGACGAAAGATCCCAGAGCTGTCGATAACGATGAAAAAATACACCAGGCATTGGCACAGAAGTAATGTCAATGGGTCGCAAAGTTTGTGTATCCCTTGCGATCCGCACGATTTCTACCACCGAGTCAGCTTGGGCACTCTCCTCCAGGCCGGCCGTGGACATAGACGTACACATGAGAGGATCATACAAATTCTAGCGAAGACACGAACATAATACTCGGTGGCCCCAGGTTCTGGGCTGTAACTGGCTCCGATCGCAGTGACTACGCTGACCAACAACGGAGGGCTTTCCCAAATTTGGGTGGAGGCGCGATGTATAACTGGGAATCTCTAGGAAAGCGGGATCAGCAAATAACTTGACACTGGTCCGGGGTTGATGGGCCGTTTACCTTGTGAAAACCCTCGAAGTATTGATTCCAGAACTTGAGCATATCCGTATCGCTCCTTTTGGGCACGTCAAGAAGAAGGCTCTTGTGCTCGGGTGAATCGAGAGTGTCCAGGACCCTCAGCACCGTACCGAATAGATCAGCTGGATCATTGTGTAGGTATACACTAGTCTGAACCTCGTTCCCTTCTTCTCTGCCGGACGGAATTGAGTCGTTATTGCTGATATCTGCGCTGTCTCCCAGATCATTGAATAGAACTTCAGCGTGAGGAAGGTCAAACGGTAGATCGCTTTCCCAATTGAACCAGGACCAAGGCGTGTCACTCGCTCGCAGTTCTGTGATGTTGTCTCGATTTTGATTTAATGCAGTCGAGTGCATGGATGAAGGGATATTCTCCAGACTCGTCTCCTGTGGCAGTTGCGGGTCGAAATGCATGGTCTCCTCTCGTATTGAATGCGGAGAACGGAAGATGTTATGTGCAGCCAGAGCTGTCTGCGAAATGGTGTCAGCCAGGATGTCGAAGTTGCGTGCGACATAGAAGCACCACGATGGAATAGGCACCATGGCCGGCTTCGAATGGGGGAACACCAGTTTCGAAGCGGCACCAGGACCGGGGCGTTTGTATTCTGCTGGGGCTTACCGGTCCGTTTGCGGAAGTTGATTGACACTCTCTATTATTATGATCAGACGTTGAGGCCTGGTTATCAACCGTGGCTCGCAAAGATACAGGCCAATCGGCTCCGTCCACAGGTCCTGATTGCTCTTTACTGGGAGATGTCATCGAGCCGCGAGTCTCACCATCGTCGAGGATTTCGATGCCATCGACGACAGGAGTCGTGCAGTCTTGTGGCTGGCCATGATTATCTTTCGTAGAGAAATCGAACTGGCAGATAATCCCCTTCTTCTCACACTGGGTGCAAGAGGGAGCACCGCTGCATCTGATCTTGTAGCTTGTGTAGCCCATGCGAGTTAGAAGAAGAGCCTTTCCTGAGGAGACCAGTCCGAGCTCGGGAGACAGCGTACGTACAAGGCACATCGAAGACAACTCTTCCGGCGACTCTTTTTCCTAGGCAGCTCGACTGAAGCGAGTTGATGCTTTGCCTTTGTGTGTCGTGTTAGGACATCCTTTCGCGAGAAGGTTTTGGCACAGAGCGGGCATGTGACTGGATTGGCCCGTCTGGAGGAGAGATTGCGAGCACTGAACGAGGCCTGGGCTGTATCTTGAAACATGATACCTTCAGAGGTGTGTTTGTAGAGGTTGGAGGGACAGAAGTTGGCGATATGCACAATCTGGGGATGCAGAACCCACACTTCGGGGCCCCAGAGGCTGGTAGATGTCCATTCCAGGGGTCCAACCCGACCGAGGTAGAGACGGCAGGCATGGCGGGGTCGCACTGCCAATATGAGGGGTCATCAGCTGCTGAAAGTAGACGATCGCTGGCACATGAGGCCTCCTATTGAGATGCCCTCAGTGTCGTTCTAGGCGTGGGACTGTCGGCTTCCAGCGAGGTGGACATTACCCCCCCCCCCCCCCCGGGTCCGTCTCGCATATTCATTCGCCTTGGTTCCTGCCCAACGAATCACCATCGCTCACCGCTATATTCAGCCGCGTGGAAAGCCTGGATATTGCTGCTAGTGTGTGTCATTGAATTCGACAACTCTTACAAAGAATTTGTTACGAGGATCGCCCTGCCGCAGTCATGGACTTGCCGACATCCCTACACCTCGTCGAGCCTCGAGCTTCAGACGGTCGCCCAAATCATGGGTCAACAAGCAGCGCAGAACTCGAGAGGAAGTTCAACGAGTTGGAACAGCGCCTCGCCGAGGTGCGAGAGCTGGCCATGCAAAGCTTTCACGGCCTCTCCAACCACAACTCGGGGAATTTCGAGGGATTTGACGACTTTTACACCAATGATCGACGGGACCAAGATACCTTTGGCGATTTCCTTGACTTTGGTGCCTTGTCTGCAGAAGGACTGACCTTGCCACCGTCGCATCAACAGCTGGGGACAAGTCGGTCGTCAGAAGGCACGACGAGCCTCCAGTGGCACAAAGCTGTCGAAAAAGCCGGCACAGCGCGGCCATCGCCGCGGTTGCCATCCCAACCCTCAGTCTATGACATGGATCTCCTGGAACTTCACGGCTCTGTAAGATGTAAACTTCTGAGACAATCAATGACTCCAGGGCAGCCCCAGCAAAGGTCAGTTCTTTCGACTTCTCCCAGAGTAGAAAGGAAAATAATAGAACGTGTGCTAATGACTGCACGCGCAGCCTTGATACGTTGGTACAGAGAATGCTATATCTATTGGCATCAGACCGCTATTGGGGTGGTAAAAGGACATTCTGGTTCGAGACATTGGCTTTTGAGAAGCTGGCCCCAATCACTCGCTATCAGATCCTCCCGACTGTTGAGCATTACTTTGCAATTCAACCAGAGTTCCAGCCAACACAACTACAACTAACCAGGTATCATTGGCCAATGGTCGACTGGATTCCGTTCCCGGGCCTACGAGACAACATAATCCTTCACGCCCATGAGATTGACCTCACGGCCGTGGTGGAAGGTACCCTGGACTGTTGGTGCTTAGAATCAAAAGTACAAGACCCCTCTGAGGATGAACACCGCGAGATCCAGGTATATTATCGTCTCTCGGAATATCTTGATTACAGACGGCAACAATCCTCCACCCCGGCTTCTCTACCTGGCAGGATGTCGAAATCCGTGGAGACAGAGTTCGTCCTCGCTCTCCGCCAGTCGAACCAGATCTTCAAGCTGGAACAGTCGTACTTCGACCGCTTTCCGATGCTGTTCACGGAAGATGCTCTGGTAAAGGGCCAATACTGGCCCATCGTCCTCCAACCGAAATCTCCAGAGTCAGATGCCCTTGACGTGCCGATGATTGGAGAATCCCAGTCGCAATGAGTGTCAGCCTCGAAGAATGTATGGCGAAAGAGTGTCATGTTTCGACAGATGTGACTCGAGCAAGCGAGGATCGGATATTGTGGAATTAGTGTTATTTCTCTGTGTAGCAATTCCGTCCTGCTTTTGTGGACGGGTCATCTATTCCCAATTTCCGTCACAACAGCGCAATTGCATTTGGCGGAGATCCAACGCCTCCTCGGACGTATAGCGGGGCGCTCGTGAACAAGAAAGACCACTGGTTCTGTTTCCTACACAATTCACTCAGGCCCTCTAGGTTCCAAAGCTCCCCTAGAGGCATCCCCCAGTGGGCAAGGATCCATTCATGGAGGACGACTGCCCCTTTCTGCCCAAACGGAACGGGACATTGCTCAAACCCAATCGAGTCAGTTGCGACAGCGGCAAAGTGCTGATTCCACAAGAATCGTGCCATCTCCATACTTCTCTCGACCCCTATGAAGGCGGTCTTGTCCAACTTCTGCTTGCGTTCTTCCGGAGAGGCGGCATTATACCAGAGGGTGAACCCGCCACGGAGGAGAAGGATATCTCCAGGCAGGAATTCCAATTTCTGATGGTTTGCCACCGCCTTTAGTTCTGACAGTGTTATCGAGTAAGGAGAGTCCGCAGGCACCGGCGGCTGTCCAGTCTCCTGTCGCCACCGAACAAAATCGATCAACACTCCTCTTCCAACTATGCCGCCGGCCTCAACCCATTCTGAACGTGTTAGTAGAGTAGTCGACGCCTTCACGGAGAACATACTATGAATCCCATTACGGCCATTGCGGTTCTTGATAATGTCCGCATGTCTCAATCCGTTGTAATATAGCTCTTGGTCCTGGAGACCGCAATGCGTGAGTCCGTCCCACTGAGAGGATGACTGCGTGTTGAAGGTCAACTCGTCGTCGTGGCCGACGCCCATGTTCATTTTCTTGAAGTCGATGACGGTCTGCTTGAACAGCCTTCTGTTGGCGATCACATAGTCGAAGGCGTCCAGAGGGAGATCCAAAGATACACTGATCCCTGCCCTGACCTCTTGAGCAGCCCTCTTGCGGCTTTCCGGAGTGATTTTGTTCAGCGCTAATTGGCTCTGCTGGTCAGTGAAACTCCTTTCGACTGTAACTGCTTCAGATAGGGGCGAGACGCACTGCCCAGCTGGTCATCCTGACCCCAAAGGCCCCACGAGTTGCCCTGAGGTTGACCTGGAACCTTTGGTAGATCATCGAACTGTGGAATACTAGACTTTGACATTTTTGAATACAAGGATTTGTGCAGGAGTGCATTATGATTACCGCGCTGAAGATGCGCGATCAGAGTCCCTACTTCAATAATTGCTGCCTCACATGTGACTGTGCTGTCGGTCTGCCACCGCCACTACCACCACCCAACTCCGGTTTGAAACACGGCGGTGGCGCCCTTGGGCCCCAGCCTCATCGTTGGATGATTCCACATGTTTTCCCTTGTGGTCGAAATAAAGCCTTTGGTTCTCGTGGTTCAAAGCAGTTCAAAATGATAAAGGGGATACGTCGGTGACCCTCGCGATTGTCCCTGGTTGACCCTCTGGCTCCAATCACCCATTTTTCCCTATACCATGGGGTCCATCTCAGAAGACCATACTTCTCACCTTGATGGCACCAATGGGGATGTGCACGCCTCCATTCCGTCCAATCTCGAAGACCTGCCCGATCTCTACGGCTGGCCTCGAGAGAATGAGAGGGGCTACCGTATTCGCGAAATGCCCTCGGAGTCGTATCGACCCCTCCGAGTTGTCGTGCTGGGCTGTGGAGCGTCGGGGATATCGTTTGCGAAATTCGCACAGGACGATCTGAAGAACGTCGACTTCGTCTTGTACGAGAAGAACAGCGACGTGGGCGGAACGTGGCTCGAGAATCGATACCCGTAAGTGGGTTCTTGCCCGCCTTCCCACTGGATCAAGGGGACTAAACAAGCCATCGTAAAACAGCGGATGTGCCTGCGACGTTCCAAGTGTCACGTACCAGTTCACCTGGGCACCCGACACTTGGTCCCATTTCTACTCCGAATCGCCCGAGATACACCGCTACTTTAGACGGGTGGCTGAAAGGTACAACGTTCTGAAGTACACTAAGCTCAACCATGCAGTCACGAACGCGCTTTGGGACCAGGAGAGTGGCAAGTGGAAGATCACCGTCCGGAACGAGGTCACAAAGGTGACTTTCGTGGATGAGTGCGATGTTTTCGTCAATGCCGGAGGTCCCTTAAAGTGAGTCGAAGGCGTCCTACTTCCTGCCCTCTGTGATTTTGTGTCAACTGATGCTGTAGCTCAGTCATTGGAACATGCCCAAGATTGACGGGATAGAACGATTCCAAGGGGTCCTAGCGCACACTGCCAATTATCCCGAGGGGCTCGACCTCCAGGGCAAGAGGGTCGCAGTTTGTGGCATTGGATCCAGCGGCATACAAGTGATTGCTTCGATCCAGAAGGAAGTGTCCAAGTTGTATACTTGGATAAGAACCCCAACCTGGGTCCTCGGCTCGTTTGGAGCAAAGTACATGCGAGAACCGGACACCAACTCAGCCTGTAAGTCAACACGAATTATCTGATTTGCAGCCGGCTGCTGACAGACGGCGATGAGAAGATACCGAAGAAGAACTTCGGCTGATGCGACAAGATCCGACGACCTATTTGAAATATCGAAAGAACATTGAGCTAAGTATCAGTGAAGGGTTTGGTGTGTTTTTCAAGAATACCCCAGAGGCGAATGCCGCGAGGGAGGTTCGTCTACTGCCCTTCCTTGACGTCTTCAATGTCCCTGACCGCATGGTAAGATTGCCAGCAAGGAGATGCGTTCGAAACTGGCAAGTCGGCCTGCTATTGCCGATGCTCTGATCCCAAAGGATTTCCCTGTGGGATGCAAGCGACCAACGTACGTGCCCAACTCCCTGAGACTTTTCAGCCGATGAATCTCCTGACAATCTCCAGGCCTGGAATCGGATTCTTGGAAGCCCTCTGTGCCGACAACGTCGTCACCTACCCGGGCGGACAATTGACCACTATCACCGAAAAGGGCATCCTCGACCCAGCTGGCCAAGAAGAGGAGGTCGACGTGATTATCCTAGCGACAGGATTCAACACGACCTGGATTCCTCGGTTCCCAATCGTCGCCAACGGCAAAAATCTCCAGGACATGTACAGAGAAAACCCCCTATCGTATCTCGGTATCGCCGCGCCGGAGATGCCAAACTACTTTACCTACTACGGACCTTACGGACCCCTCGGCCAAGCCAGTGCAGTGGTCATGATCGAATTCTTCACACGGTACTTCAACGCAGCCATTCGGAAGATTCAGGCCGAATGGATCAAGAGTCTGGCGCCGCGGATGGACGTCGCAAAGGAATTCCAGGAACATGCCGATCTCTACTTGAAGCGCACCGTCTGGGATTCCAACTGTCGAAGCTGGTGGAAAGGCGGCAAGGTTGACGGGAAGATCATGCTGTACCCCGGATCGCGAACTCAATAGTTTGTCGGCCCCTTTTCCCATCATCCTACCTCGTCGACTTGCTTGGAAAGTTGTCAGGCTAACTTTGAAGCGTTCAACAGTATGGAACTCATCAGCACACCGAGATACGAAGACTATGATATAAAGTACCACGACGTGAATCGATGGGCTTTCTTGGGCAACGGATGGTCGACCCGAGATTATGACGGGAGGGACATAACGTGGTTTTGGGGCATGGTAAACGGTCGGGATAGGAAGGAAGAGTATGAGCTACAATGGAAGGCCTCTGCGGAAGATCCAGAAAGCTACCATGCGCCGGACGATCAGAAGGTGCAAGACGTGTTGATCTCGCCCAATGCTCTCTGAAAGATCGACCAAGCCCGACGTAGACAGCGCAGAATCATAGTCGTCATCGAGGGAGTACTTTTCTCTAGTAAATGGTAAACTGAAGCCGCGGTCAGACTTCGTCTTGTGATCCGCCTCTGATTCGCCCATGCTTTCCAGTGAAGGGTGTTTCCAGAACCAATCTCAATGTGTTCAAATGTGTGGTTGGTGCCACATTTGGATCCCGGTCGAACGCCACCGTCGCATCGGGTTTATGCCACACTTCCAGCCAAGAAAGGACCACAGCACTCACCAGCAGTTGGCCCCCAGGATTCCACAACGAGCAGAAGGTCTTTTTCGGCGCTCACAAGTGGCATGGGCGATAGCACTGCGGTGGTCATAAGTGGTGGTGAAAGTTTCACGGTGCTCCCTAACAGCGTTAACGGACGATTGGGGCCCTTTAGCTTGTCGTACGCTTGCAGATATCTAGATCATCTACTGCTCTTCGGAAAGCGAGAAGCAGTTTGAGCCCACTCTATTACGCGCCTCACAGAGAACCTCTTCAAGAGGCCAGACTCCCACTCGTAAGATGGCTCCACGGCAATCGGCAATTGTCACCGGAGGGTCGTCCGGCATTGGGAAAGCCACCGCCCATAAACTGGCCAGTCGGGGCATCAATGTGCTCGTGGCGGACATCAATGTCGCCGACGGAGAGAAGGTGTCGACGGACTTGAAAGCCAAGTACGGCGTCGACTCGGCCTTCGTCAAGCTGGACACGGCGCTGGAAGCGGACGTTGTCAACATGGTGGACACGGCGGTGAAGTTGTGGGGGCGGATCGACTGGGCGTGTAACTGTGCGGGCAAGGCTGAGATCCTGACCGAGGGCGAGGAGGGGGTGACGGAGAAAGTCTTCGACGAGTGAGTCCCGCCCGCAGACGCGATGATTTGGCAGACACTGCTGAAGCTGCTCATCTCGAAACAGGATGTACCAAATCAACCAACGAGGCACCTGGTTCTGTCAACGGCACGAAGCCGTGCAAATGCGGAAACAAGAGCCACGGACCGTCACCCTGACGCCTTCGGAGCGGACGGTAGAGACACGAGGCTCGATCGTCAACATCTCCTCCGTCAACGGAATCGTCGGTCTGGGCCAGCCTGGCTACTCGTCGGCAAAGGCGGGGATCATTGCATTCACGCGGACGGGGGCACAGTTCTACGGCAAGGACAAGATCCGCGTCAACGCCGTTCTGCCGGGGTCCATTCGCACGGACGCCATGGGCGTGTGGCTCGAGCAGCTCTCCGAGGACAAGAGGAAGTTTGTCGTCGAGGGGCTGGTCAACTCGACCCCGTTGGCGAGGCAGGGCGCGCCGGAAGAGCTGGCCAACGCCGTTTCCTACTTCCTCAGTGACGAAAGCACGTACGTCAACGGGACCACGTTGGTGGTTGATGGTGGGTTGATGGCCATTAAATAGCTAGTATTCGCTGTGGAATGAAGGCGCTTCCTCACACCTGGCAACTAAGACTATGTATGGAAATCTAAACCCACTTCGGTGGCTGCTACAGTGATGTTCGATGGCCTGGGCACGACCAACAAGGTTGACAGGCAGAATGTTTGGCTTGTTGAGAAGCTACCTTCTCATGCGATGCCAGTCTAATCTCCCTAGCCAGTATCTTGAATTGGGCATAGGTTCAACAACATCTGAGGCCTTCTCTTGGGCATAGCTGACATGAAAGACGAGGTTAGCAGTCCCTCGGAACGCTGAGGACGAGCACACGATAGTCGGCATTGGTAAAGAACCTTGTCCCTAGGTGGTGAACGGTATCCCGGCCAGCCCCTTAGAAATCACCCGCGCGATAGGCGTTCTGGCGCATGGTGGTTCCGGGGCGGTTCAACAGACAATATGGTGGTCTCCGGAGCAATGCCACACATCACCGAAGAGCGATGGATAAATGAACGGGTTCTGTGAGGCCTACTGCTGGGCAAACAACCGTCCTACAGACAGCACCAGCTACAACAACAATATGGCCGGCTGGGTGTTATCTGAAGTTTCGTCCTCGCGAATACTCGGTGGCATTATCCAGTATCGCGATTCCCTCCCACTTGTTTTCCTGGTCGCACTCATTGGCTACGTGGTGGTGAAATCGATCTATCGCGTCTATTTCCACCCCCTGGCCAAATACCCGGGCCCCTTCTGGGCCAAAGTCACATCCCTCTACGACTTTTACCAGGCGCTGTCGGAGCGGCGCGCACACAACTTCCTGGCCCTTCACAAGAAATACGGTAGGTACAATGCATTTTCGATGGGTGAGAGTATGCTCAAGGAACGAAAAACCACAGGTCCCATCGTGCGATATGCTCCCAACAAGCTCGTGTTCAACGAGCCTCAAGCATGGCAAGGTAATGTCCTCCGCCGCCCAGAGCGTATTAGGTGGTAGAAGGTCAAATTGACCCCTCGTCTTTGCCAGACATCTACGCGTACAAAGCCAACGTCCGGAAATCCGACCTGTTCGCCGCCTCCCAATCAAACCCCGAGTCCACCGACACCTTCAGCGAGCTATACAAGGAGCCGGCGCTGAAGAAAAGAAAGGTCCTGTCCTACGGGTTCTCGGAGAGCTCGTTGCGGTCGTTTGAAGGTGAGAAGAATGACCGTGAGCCCTGCGGCGACCGCTTTTGTCTAACTTGATCCAAAAAGTGTACATGCTAGACCAGATCAACATCTTTTGCCGGCAGCTGGTGAGCCCAGAGACGGAAAGGATCAAGGATATGTCTCTGTGGTTTAATTATCTGTCGTACGATATCATGGGCGAATTGGTTTTTGGACGGGGCTTCGGCATGCTCACCGATCCTTCGTTGCGATACATCCTGGACCTCATCGACTCGACAGTCTTCTCTTATTTATTGGTACGTAATGAATGGTGTCTGATGGGTGGTGATTAAATACTGACTGCTTTGAAAAGGGCGGCATCATCCCCTGGCTACACAAGTCAGGCCTCATAACGCTCCTAATGCCTCGGATCTTCTTCATGAGGAAGAAGTTTGTCGCAGAGTCGAACAAGAGAATCGTCGAGAGAATCAAGCTTGGTCCAGATGCGGTCGGGGTGAATGGACGGAGAGACTTCTTCCACTACGTAAGTCTGAAGCGGACGACCCAAGCAGCGCCCTTTTAGCTGACAGCGCGGAGCTGCTCAACGGCAAAGACGAGAATGGAAACCCGCTTTCACATGCGCGGTTAGGCGCCGAGGGAGTCCTCCTTATCCTAGCAGGAAGCGACACAAGCTCTGCATGTAAGTCCTCCGGCCTTCGGAACTGACGCATGGATTGTTTCTGATGTCGCCACAGCGATGGCCGGCACGCTCTTCTATCTCATGCAACAAGTACAATGCCAGAAAAGGCTATTCGACGAGCTCGATCGAACCTTTGGCAGTGTTGACGACATCCGACTGGGCGACAAATTGACGAGTTGCGTGTATCTACGGGCCTGCGTTGATGAAGCACTCAGGATGGCATCGGCTGGACCGGGGGTCTCGGAAAGGACTGTGCTCAAGGTGGGTGCCATGTGCTTTTGTGTCCTTGAGACGAAGCTGACAAGAGCGGTAAGGGAGGGACGTTCATTGACCACGAATACTTTCCAGAAGGGGTAGGTACGACATCATCACTCCGGCGATGGTACTGACGTGTTCCAGACCACCGTTGGCGCAGGGGGTTGGGCGACGAGCTACAATGCGAAGTACATACGAGATGCCGAGAAGTATTGGCCCGAGCGACACATACCCAGTGCAGAGATGACGGTCGAGGAGGTCCAGAGCGCTCACAGTGCCTACTGGCCCTTTGGCCTCGGGGCGAGAAAGTGCGTCGGGATGAAAGTGGCGTTGAACGAGTTACACCTCACCATTGCGAGACTCATCTACCTGTTCGAAGTGATGCCGGAGAAGCCCGAGGAGTTTCGGAAGAACTTCGAAATTCTCGATCACCAGAGTAGGTGGTTCTTGCAGATCAAGTTCTCTACTTACACGCCACAGACCCGAAGAAGACCGGTCCTTTCGCCTCTTTCAGGTTGCGTCCGGGAAGGCAGCTTCCAGACACGAGGCCAACTGAGATGCAGGCAGAAATGCCCTCGTAGAGAATATGGATGGATGTTCCGTGACGATGACTGGAATGGATGTACAAGGGGTCAACGTCTTACAAGGAGCGAAGAACATGGCTTAAAGAGGCTTGGAAAAGCCTCGGACTACATACCTACCCAGATACTCATGAACTCGTAAACTGCTTCAATGAGACTGCCGATGTCAAACATACCATGGCCGTCTCCAATTCCCAGGAACTTCCACTGCAAGGAGGCATTACAGGTATTCTTGTTCTTCAATGAATGTTCCTTAGGAACAGCGACGGGTCTTGGTTACATGGTCTCATCTGTTCTGTCTCCTGACACACGTCGAGAGTTGCAAAACACGAAAGGCTGCCTACGGCTTGAATTCTGGCCGGGTTCTTGCGCCATACAATGCTCCAAGAGTGGAGCATCACAGGAAGGCCAGCACAAACGCACTCCCACAGCCTCTGGTCTTCAAGCAAGCTTCGAGCTGTAGAATGACCGTGAATCTAGACCGCTCTTGAGCTACATACGATTCCCAGACGGTCGGAGCATTTTGCCACTACGACCGACGTGGCGGCGGTGGTCGACAAAGTTGGTGGTCAAATCTCCGGTGCCACATTCTGGATACTACCCCGTGGGGAATGGCCGTCTGAGTGCTTGAGTGGGTCTCGCCGTCTCGGATTGGCCCGCGCGAATACAACGGGCGAGGCTACCTAGTTATACGGAGTACATATATATCGCTTGCCCTGGGCCACTTTTCCTGCTGCGACTGACTAGCCTCAAATACCCAGTGAATGCTCCCCCCATCTAAGGTCTCTTTCTCACTCGTCACAGCTCGTCATGGCGACCGGGCAGGAAAAGAACGGCGTCGACCTCGTCAAGGATGAAGTGGCCGAGTCGGAGTTCGGCGGACAGGCCGCCTACTACGTGCCCAAGACCAGCATGAGGAACGTGTGGTACGTGCTGATGGTCGGGACGGGCCAGATCGCGGGCGGCGGCGCCAACGCGGTCATCGCCACGACGCTGGCCCAGCCGACGTTCGTGGCCAAGATGTCCCTCGCCGGGCCCAACGCGAACTCCCTGATGGGCGGGACCAACGGCAGCTTCTACGCCGGCGGGTTCTTTGGCGTCTTCTTCGCCGCGTGGGCGTGCGACACCCTTGGGCGGCGCAAGGCCATGTGGCTCACGGGCGTGCTGAACATCATCTCGTGCATCCTGTGTGCCTCGTCCGTCAACATCGGCATGTTCATCGCCGTCCGGTGAGCTGCAACCCCATCCACGGACGTGAGAGCGGGCGGGTGCTGATCCACACCGCAGATTTATCGCCGGCTTCTCGGCCTGTCAATACGTGATGCAGACGCCGCTGTACCAGTCCGAGATCGCGCCGCCTCACCTTCGCGGCCTCCTCGTGGGGACCTTCGGCATCTTCAACGTCCTCGGGTACAACATCGCCAACTGGTCGGGCGTGGGGTTCTACTACGTCAAGGACTCCAACGTGGCCTGGCGCATGATCTTCGTCATGGTCGGCGGCCTGGCCGTCGTCAACATGGTCCTCATCTACTTCTGCCCGGAGTCCCCCCGCTGGCTGGTCATGAAGAACCGGCCGGCCGAGGCCGAACAGGTGATCCGGCTGATCCACGGCGACCGCGGCGGCGACGACACGTTCGTCAGGCTGGAGACCATGCAGATCGAGCGGCAGGTGGCGGCCGAGCGCGAACTCAACGTCTCATACGTCCAGATGTTTGCGGACAAGCGATGGCGCCGCCGCACGCTCCTGTGCTGCCTCATCGGCACCGTGGGCCAGGTTCGTCCCCGACATTCCTTCCTGCACACAACCACGCCCTCTTCTTTTCCCAATAAGATCAAGAAATGCTGACCAGAACCCATCCATACAGTCCACCGGCGTCCTCGTCATCAACAACTACGGGCCCTACTTCTACTCGATCCTCGGCATGTCGACGCTGCAGCAGCTGTACCTGGCCGGCGGCTACGTGCTGCTGTCGCTGGCCGTCGCGACCGTCGGGGCCTTCGGCATCGACAAGCTCGGCCGGGTCAAGATCATGGTCGGCGGCATCGCGGGCCAGGTGGTCATGCTGTGCGTCGAGACGGCCATCGTCGCGCGGTACTCGGGCACGGCCACCACCAACCGCGCCGCCAACATCGCGGGCATCTGGGCGTTTTTCATGTACTGCGCCGTCTACGGGCTGACCTGGGACTGCACGCCGTACGTGTACGTCTCGGAGATCATGCCCTCGCACCTGCGCGCCAAGGGCGTCACCCTCTCGATCGGGTGCTTGTACTTGAGCGTCTGCGCCCTGATCACGTAAGTTGGACGTCGTTTCTCTTGGACCAGACCGGGCTAACGTTACGTGATAGTGGCGCTTTATATGCCTTTGGGGACATTGGGTGGAAGTACTTCCTCGTATTCATCTGCGCGGGCCCGGTCGGGGCGTTGCTCATTTGGCTCTACGGGCCCGAGACCAAGGGCAAGACGTTGGAAGAGATTGGCGGCATCTTTGGCGACGAGCTCGCTATCCCCGAGCTTCACGCCACAGATGAGTCCCATCTCGCACAGAAGAGAGTAGCCTAAAGGCAGAACCGCGAATGTAAAGGGGCTAGATTGGATTTTGGTCTCGAAAGAAACCTTGTTTGAGCAAGACCCGTATGGCCGTGGCTCGACTCACCGACTGGCGATGACAATATTGACGCATTAGTCTTGAATAGCCGTCCACGACGCGTCTGATTCGAGCCCCAATCTATATAGGAAGTAATGAGTACATCCAACAAGACGTTATCACTGCAATGTGGCAGATCCGTTACAATTCGCTTTACCTGTGAGGTTTCATGGCGACAGTGAACTATTTTCACTTGGCAATGTAGGAGTTGAGTAGTATACCGAACACTAGAAACCAGGAGTATCCGAGATAGTAGATAAAGCTGTATGGTAAGTCGTATAGCACTAAACGAACGCCATCTATGTACTACTAAGTTGATGACGCTAGAAGCTTTAGAAAGCGTTTTACATAAACAAAAATAAAATTACACAGTAATCCATTCCTGTGTGAGAGTACATCAAAGTCATACATGCCTACTTTATACTACTCCGATCTGTCCCTCGAGAGTATCGTAGTAAGAGGCCGTTGTCTCAAGAGCCGAGCGCCATCATAGGCAATGATGAAATAAGGAAAATACACGGGCTGAAGAAACGAAGATGCTCTTATACCTCAGACGGCCGGGTTTTGTTTCTTGCTGGTTCTTGGTGTTCAACAATGAATTGCTGGGCTCAATCCGGCCACTCCATCACCGGCGGCTGCCCTCATGCTCCAAGGTCTTAATGTACCTCACAAACGCCTTCTTATGCACCATTCCCCTGTATTCACCCTCATTCAACACACAAATGTACCTCAAACCCAACTTGACAAAACATTGATACACGAGGTCCATCGGCGAATGCATATCCAACGCCACTGGAGCAGGGTCGACATAAGGAGTTAAATCGGTGGGATTTGTGGCGGGCGAGTCTTGATCGTCAGAGTCGTCTCGCCCGGAATCGTAGCCCGCCTCTTCAAACGCTTCCCAGTAGCGACGATGCGTATTGTGCGCATGATCTTCGGTGGAGAGTAAGCAGAAGGCACTGTCCTCACCCTCCACCCTGTCCAGAGCAAACTCAAGGTCTGGCGCCGGAATCAGCCCTACCAGCTTCTTGTCTCGGAGGATGGGTAGGCCGCCGTCGAGTTCGCCAAGATTCTGTAAGCGTCGGAGTTTGGCCCGCAAATCGCTTGCTTTGACAAGAGGGGATATGGTAATGTCAATCACTTTGTCCCTTCGGAACCGCGGCGTGATGTCTCCGAGCTCCGAGTCAAAGACGGGAGTGCTCCTGTTGTCTAGGAATGGATACGAATTCATGTCGGTGAGAAGGTCATAGATGCTGAGAGGCTCGACCGCGTCAGCTGTCCACTTGGCGCAGAGCACTCCCAGAGAGAAGGGCAGCACATGGTCGAGGCTTCCTGTCAGTTCGAACAAAATGACTGCCAAGGTGACAGAGAGACGTGTGACACCGCACATGGTAGCACCCGCAGCCACCAAGGCGTACACTCCAGGTGTGACGCATGCTTCGATATTGCCGGCATCCTGACAGCGCGACCACAAGAAGAAATTAGGCAGTTTGACAACGACGTACTGGATCAAGTGACCGACAATTCGCCCCATCAGACCACCAACCACCATCGACGGTACGTAGATGCCAGCCGGCACCTTGATCCCGAAGGTAATGGTCGTGAGGAAAGCCTTAACGACGAACGCCATGCTCAGGTAACCAATAACCCGGAGAATCTCATCCTCGGTTTTAGGACAGAGACCTGTTGACGAGTGCTTCTGACATGGGCTCGCTAGTTCGAAAAGCAGCTCTGTGACTGCCAGCCGGGTGTATCGGTTCCAGAAGCCGATGAGGCCAGTGACGAGAGCCACGAGAAGAACTTCCAGCATTGGATAGGTCTTGATGACTTTAATGCGGCGGAATGTGGTTGCCCAGAATCGAGACGCTTTGATGAAGAGCGCACCAGCCAGCCCACCTGCAACGCCGAGTAAGATGAAGATAAAAAGCTCGAAGAAACGCCAATCGGTAATGTAACGAACTTCAAACAAGACAATTTTGGATGTCCCATATGGGTTCAGAAACTTAAGGGACAATGCAGCCACAATGCAACAAAAAAATGTTCGAAATAGCGTTTTCGGCGGAAAATAATAGCTGACTTCTTCCAGACTGAAAAGGACTCCGCCCAGCGGTGAACCAAAAGCGACGGCCACCCCGGCGGCAGCACTGGCGGACAAGACCTCCCTTCTCTTACCGTCATTGAGATTGTACTTGGAGAACAGCCTGCAAGCAATGTTGCCCACACACGTGGCGATGTGGACATAAGGACCTTCTTTGCCCAAGCTCATTCCCGACGCCACACTCAAAATCAGAGCAATGGTCTTCAGGACCAGAACCCGAAGGCCAAGGTATCCATGGAGAACGAAGCCACTCAAAATGACTTTGACTTCTGCAACGCCACTTCCCGCGGCCGAGTAGTAGATGTTTGGAGGCAGCGGATCTTGCGTTGTCAGCAGCTGAGCACCCCCTGACTTGTCCTCGTCGGCATCGTCATTGACGTTCTGCTTGATGGCGCCCAGATTCTCGTCGAAAGTGGAGGCGATTTGGGAAGGCACAACGGTCTTGGAGTAGAGAGTGATGAAGCATGCCAGGGCAGCGAGAACCAACGACCCGATGACAAACGCAACGAAGTCGATGTAGACATCGTCCATACCGGACGGATGGATGAGTTTGGACCAGGTCCTCCATCTGTCACAGTTGCGTTCGCCAGCACAGCAGTTTGTGCGACCAAGATACCAGGCGCCTCGACAAAAGCCACGCTTGATGTCGAAAATGGCCGACTCAGTGACGTCGACAAAGTACGCTATACCCGCCGTAACCACGCCGATTAGAGCAACGAGAACCCAACCCTGGGCTGAATCAAGAAGCAACCCCAGGCGTCCGCGCCATCCTTTCCGCTTTTTCAGGTCCAGAACACGGTATCCATCAGCAATGCTGTCGTGCACCCAATCGGTTGAGGTGAATTGATCATACCACAGCCGATCGTCTTTGGATAGTGAGCCCGCCAGCATGGACGAAGACAGCTTGGGCGTACGGAGACCCGAGTTGCGCATCCAGACAGGACTTGTGTTTCCCGAGGGTCGAGCACTGTAGTATCTCCGCCTGCGTAGACTATCACTTGTGCTGTTTACCCTCGACAGTTGTCTTGATTTGGGTGACTCGGGCATACTTTCTGTGTACCTGCGGACCGAGCGGTGGTCTCCTTCCAACAGGGCACTCTCTTCGGTCGATCGAGGAGTCATAACGAGAGAAGGTGGTAAACGGGTTCTCAGTTCGCTGGCGGATAGGCAAGTATTCGTCCTACGCAAGGTTTCGGGGGAGGATGGCGTGGTTGCGGGACGAGGGGAAAAGTGGTCGGCTTCATCGTAGTCCTGAAAGGAGACGAAAGATTTAGGCATGGTGGTTGCCAGCAGCTCCTTCTGGGTTTCCTCTCCTAATTGATTGGGGGGTTATGTTGGCTGCTAAAGAAGATGGCACGAACGGCGTCCCTCACAGGCAGACGCCGCCTTCCAAGGGTCGTCAGCTGGCCATTGAAGGGGCAGGTGAGAGGCAGGATTGCTCGCAGGAGGTATTTTGCAAAGCGAGAGACTTCAGGCTTCTATTGAGTCAAGAGACATCAGCCGTCAGCGGCAACCTAGACAGAAATGAATGAATGACCTTGGTCAACTAGGGAAAGGGATGGGGGAGTCGGAGAGGTGGGCAGCTCGAACCAAGGGGGGACAAGGGAGATGAGCCAAAGGAAAAGAAGGTGTGCTGCTCGTTGTGCAAGTAGATGACAGTGTATTCAGCCCCAAGGCATCTTGATCAGGTGGCCGACATGGTTTGGGTGAATACTGCGCTGGATTGAGTAGATGGCCGGGGGAGAGTGGCAGTGGGCATTTGGCATCCCCATCATCTGACAAACATTGTGTGGCCGCACGCGTCGAGGTCTCTTCTTCTGTGCCCCACGAGGCGAGACGAGCGTGACGAGTCAAGGGCGCAGTCTGGCGCAGGCTGGCGCGACGGCGGCAGCCGTAGCGGCGGTGACGGGCTGGGCATACGCAACGCAATCCCCGTCGAGTATCGTCGTTACTTCATCGCTGGTAGTCTCTCGTCCTTCTCACACCCAAGGATTCATCGTCCAAAAGACCAAGAGACGCCCAATGCGGTGCGAGTTGAGCGGCAATTGGACGTTCACGGGGCTAGAGAGTGCTGATGCCCCGGCTGCCCCTCGTTGGCAGCCTCGGTGGATGGAAACATCTTCTCTCTACCGTCTTGATTCGACTGGCGATGACTTGCAGATGGGCAGCGACTGGCCTCTGGCTGCTGCCAGCCCTTGTGCATCTGCAGCTACAGCTCTTGACTAGCACATGATTCGTTGTGGCCGTCCTCCCTGGATGCACCATCCTGTCATACTGCATCTCCGAGATTGCCCCACGCTTTCAGGTATGTAGTTACATTGCAACGCACGGAGGGAATAGCCTTTCACAGCGAATAACCTGGACGATCTCCAACACTACCCATTGACCTGTGCCTGCCTGGCTTCCTCTGGGCCTTCATTCTTTGCCTTTTTGTACCCACGACAGACTCATCACGGCTAATCGGTACCATGTCTCGTTCTCCAGCTCCCGATCAGCGTCCCACGCCCGTTGGCGCATCCAATCCGCATCCCACCACGTACCCGCAGTTCATCCTCTTCGGCGACAGCATCACCCAGTTCTCCTCCCAGGTCCTGTTTGCCTCCCTAGCCGAGTGGTACTCTCGCCGTCTCGATGTCGTCAATCGCGGCTTCAGCGGATACACTGCTCCCATGGGCTATGACATCCTCGGGCAATTTTTCCCATCATCAGACGCTGCTCCTCCCTCGCCAACCACCCCGAGAGTACAGCTGATGACCGTCTTTTTTGGTGCCAACGACGCCTGCCTTCCCGGTCATCCTCAACATGTTCCTCTTGCCGACTACCGAACAGCTCTCAGATCCATCATTAAGTCCCGGGGCGTTGAGTCCCACCAAACAAAATGTCTCCTTATCACTCCACCACCCGTGGATGAATGGCAACTGGGATCTGAGGAGAGGACGGCAGAACACACGGCAACATATGCTTCCGCGTGCCGAACGGTAGGGAGAGAAATGGGCATCCCAGTCCTGGACCTCTGGACGATATTTATGAACAAGGCTGGCTGGTGGGAAGGTTCGCCGGGCGCCTTGACCGGGAGCAAAAAAGCACCCAGGAACGAGGTGTTGGGAAAGTTGTTGAACGACGGATTGCATCTCACTGCGCGGGGCTACAAACTGATGTATGAAGAATTGGTCCAGGTGATCAAAGACCAGCTACCCGATCAACTGCCCGAGAACTTACCCATGATATTCCCGGAATGGAGGGACAAGCTGGGAATTCTGTAGAGGGCGAATGTTGAACCGGTGTCGAGTAACGGGGACTTCAAAGAAAAGAAAAAGGACTAGACAATTGAGTTGATAGAAACTGGATTCAATTTTTAGGCAAGATTCTAGGAACAGGGATCGGCTTCGCAAGACAAGCATACACCCGACTTGACGGAGCAATTCTGTTTACCACCATCACCACGAAAGGAAGGAAAGGAGTGACCCGAAAACAAATCTCAAGCATCAGACCTGGTGGCGCCGGAGAGGGGAGAGGAGAGGGTGTGTCGGCCTATTGATAGACGACAACAGACTCGAACACGAGACACTTGGACAGTGGAGAAATCTGTGGATAAGCCACGGACCTACTCCTCGTCGCTCTCTTCGTCGCTCTCGGCTTCATCGAGCCATTGCAAGAACTTCTCGGCAGCTTGGCGGACCTTGCGGCTGGTGCTGATGTCGACGTATTTCTTGCTGGCCTTCTGACCCCATGCTTTGGCGACCTCTTCGCTCAGGAGGTCATTTTGGTAGTAGCCTAGTAGGATAGCCGGCACTTGAGGAATCAGAGCCGGGTGGTCATTGCCGACAAAACGCTCGGTGCCGCCGAGGAAGGCCTTCATGTGCTTCTCTGAGTCGCCGATCATGGTCTTGAGCATGCTGGCCCGCTGGGGGATCTGCTTGACAATGTTGTCGTCGAAAATGGTCTGAGCAAGAACGGTGAGAGTCTTGTGCTTGTTCTCGATCCCCAATTCTTTGGCCTTCTTGTAGATCTCGAGATCGTCGACCTTGCTGACAGAGCCCTTGGCTTTCGCTTCGTCAATGACCCAGGATCCGAGTTGGTCGTATGCATTGGCACCATTTTCCTCGGCTTCTTCCTCCTCGTCAAAGGCCAGGGAACGCTTCAACTCGGTCGGAAGTTCTTTGGCACGAGCAGCGACGGCTTCGGCGGAAGTGTCGACAGCCCATTCCTCGTCCTTGGGCTCTCCATTGGTGTTGGCCTCGATAACCTTGGCGTCAGCATTGATCTGTTTGGTGAACTCGTCGTCGCTGCCGGCTGCGAGCTCCACGTCTCCTTCATCGACGTCGCCCTTGTCCGAGTTGGAGTCGTGGGGGCTGCCGCCGTTCATCGAGCCGTTCTCCTGTGCCTCGGCCTTGGCTCGGTCGCGGCGAGACATCTTTTCCTTCTTTGCGCCTTTCTTTCCACCCTTTGGTTCGTTCTTGAGAATGAATCCACTCAATTTGTGGCGTATGTCAACCTGAGTGCGTTGACCACAGGCTTTGCAGTCCAACAAAATGCGTCCGTCTTTGATGTTGATCTCGGTCTCGGGGTTCTTGCATGACTTGCAGAGGACGAAGCGGGATATGAAGCCGTCCAACGAGTCTTGCAACTTTCCGGCCTCGTGGGCCCCGTTGATGATCCAACGATCGTCCTTTGGGTTGGTATTGGTCTGGGCACCGAGCTCGAAACCAAAATACTTGATGATGTAGGCAGGAGGACGGGCTAGGGAAGCCGAGACGCTAGGAAGGTTGGCAACAACGGTTCTGACAGGACAGTCAGTAGGTGGTTTTCTGGAGGGGGATAGAACAGCGTCGTGGCTTACTTGATGCCGTTTCCTTTTCCTTCAATCTTGGACTGCAAGCGCTCCATCTTGTAGCGGTAGAAGGGATCGGTAACATCCCGACGAATATTGATGGTAGCCATGTTGAGGGATGCTGAATTTTCTTTTTTTCCCTGGGGGATTTCTCTGGGGGGGAAAAATGACTGGAAAGAACCAAAGATCTTGATATCTCAAGCGGACACAAGAAGCAGGTGGTGGTGGTTGGCGTGGGTGTGGATGTGTGCGAATCTTTCAAATTGACCAGACATGCGTGGATTTCACCACTGAATAATGAAATATAACATGAAGAAAACGGTCACCGGCAACGTATCAACCATATGAGGATCTTGCGACGCGACAAAGATGTCGTTTGGCCGGAAATATGTCCAGCTTTTGCTTGGTTTTGGTTTTGGAGGTGTGAAAGACTGTCCGATACATGAACAATCGATGCCTGCGCTGTGACTGCTGAGGCGGTTGGCTTCTGCGGTAGATGGGCTGATGGGAACAGCGGATCGGACAATCCGAGCTGGAGAACGCAACCGATCTCGACGGCGATGGAAATGCTGGGATGATCTTGGACGAGGCCGATGATGAGAATACCTGGGCGAGAGCGAGAGATTCTCGACCGCTGGACAGAGTAAGTAATGATGATGAGAAAGAAAAGAGAAGAGAGTCGAGGAAGGAGGCGAAGAGAAATATTCTTTCTTGTTTGCGGGACTAGGCGCTACTTCGGGGTAGGGACTAGGCGGGAGGATCTTCGGCTGCGCTAGAAGGGGTGGTTAACCAGAGTCACCGAGAAGCACCGTGAAGGACCAGGAGCACGGCTTACCAGGAGGTAACTTTGTCACTCGGGGGGGCCAAACAGTCGGAGGCTGAGCTGGGCGGGTGAGGAGTGGATGATGTGAATGATTTGAATGGCTGGACTGGGCGACAAGTGGTTTGTGCGATGGAATTTGGAGATGGACATGGAGAGCGAGAGAAGCCGAGATGCATAATAATGCGACATAATAATAATAAACAATCCATTGTGGCTGCCCGTAACGATTACCCGGAGGCGTCTGGCTTGCTGGGTAGCTGGGGGGGGGGGTAGGAATTAGCGCCTACAGTTGCCCCCCAGGGAGCGTTATAGGCTTGGACCCCCTATCGATACGGCGGATGGCCTACCTAGAGCCCAGCCGAGGCAGCTTTATCTGCCTAAAAGTCACCCAGGGTCAGGATATGTGTCAATCCGCAAGGCTGAGCACAGACGACTCCCTTCAGATATGCCTACAGGCAGTCTTTATACCTCCATCTATGTGTATTTACCTCTCACTGTCACGGCTCTGTACCCTCAGGAGTAAATCAGTAGCCATGCAGTGCCTTCTTTGGACCTGCATATCCTCTCCCAGCTAATAGAACCACCCTCCCTGGACCGTGGCCAACTTCCACCCCCGATTGGCGGTATAGCCTCGTCCAAGAGCTCGTGTTTCCTTGGGAGAGCCATGCATCCATCGTTGCCACGCATATTAGGCAGGCCACTAGCGCCCCGTCCTTTCAGTCTGAACGGTTGCAGGCTGCGGGTGATTGCGGCTTCGCATTGACTGATTGCTTTCGCGCAGTTCAGAGCTCCTGGTAACCGCATCACCTGAGGTCCACCTCCATCTTCTTCCTGGTCTGGATACCGTGGGTAAGGCTGATAGCGAAGATGGTATTCGTCTGTAGCCCCAGAGCACTCTAGGTAGAGGCGAGTCCCGTCACAAAGCTAGCCTTCATTCTTGTACGCTTTCCGTTGTTGTGCCTCTTGGCTTGAGCGCAGGGGGTGTTCTAGTCAGCTCTTCGAGGTCAGATCATCTGATAATGACACGATAGATCATCAATCATACCTCTAATTGCGTTTGCTTTGTGCCCGTGTCTTGTCGAGCAGCCACAGAGCAAACAAGTAGCAATTGACGCAAAGGGGAGGGAAACAGTCGAATGGTTTTTAATTTCCCCAACGGCCTCCACCATCCAAACTGAACCTGGAGAAATTTTTCTCTCCCAAGTCGCATCGACACGGATTTCGACTTGCATCTCGAAAGTCCCCACGACGAACGAACACCGATCGCTCACTTGGAAATGGTTTGAGCACACAGCATTCTATCTCCCTCCTCAGAGCAGAGCGCACGCAGAAGCATCCTGTTGCGACATGTCACGAACACCAAATCCAAAATGCCGCTCTATAGATTGGTCGCTGTACCTGGTCACGGACTCCACGCCGGCCATCCTGGGGGACAAGGACTTGCTGCACATCGTCGATGAAGCGATCCAGGGTGGCGTGGGCGTGGTGCAGTACCGAGAGAAGCACGCCGACACGGGGGCCATGGTCGACGTCGCCGCGAAACTGCACGCCATCACCCGAAAACACGGCGTGCCGCTTCTGATCAACGATCGCGTCGACGTGTGCCTGGCCGTCGGCGCCGAAGGAGTCCACATCGGCCAGGACGACATGGACGTGGCCCGCGCCAGGCAGCTCCTGGGCTCCGACGCCATCATAGGGGTCACAGCCTCGTCGCCCGGCGAGGCCGACAGGGCCATCAAGGACGGCGCCGACTACCTGGGCATTGGTACCACGTTCGCTACGCCCACCAAGACGGACACAAAGCACATCATCGGGACCAGGGGCCTCCAGCAGATTCTGGCCGCCTGTGACACGGGTACGGCGAAGACGATCCCCTGCGTGGCCATCGGCAGCATCAACGCCTCCAACGTCCAGCGAGTCCTGCATCAGTCTGCGTCGGACTCGAACCGCCTGAACGGGATCGCCGTGGTCAGCGCCATCATGGCCTCGCTCGAGCCGCACAGGTCGGCGAGAACGCTTCTCGACCTGATCAAATCGGCGCCGGAGAAGTTCTACACGGCTGTCCCCCCGCAGATACCGCCGACCACCGACCTGAAACTCCTCATCAGCCACACGCCCAACATCATCCGGGCCCACGTTGCGTCCGGCGTCATCTGCCACAACATGACCAACACGGTGGTGCAGAACTTCGTGGCCAACGTGTGCCTGGGCACGGGCTCGTCGCCGATCATGTCGGAGAACGGGCCCGAGGCGGCGGACCTGGCGCGACTGGGCGGCGCGCTGGTTATCAACATGGGCACGGTCACGCCGGACAAGCTGGACGCCTACATCGCGGGCATGAGAGCGTACAACGCCGTGGGGGCGCCGATCCTGTTCGACCCGGTCGGCGGCGGGGCGACGGGCGTGCGGCGCGCGGCGATCGAGACGCTCCTCGCGGCGGGCTTCTTCAGCGTCATCAAGGGCAACGAGGGCGAGATCGGCGCCGTCGCGGGTACGTCGACGGGCCAGCAGCGTGGGGTGGACGCGGGCCCCTCGAACTCGAGCCCCGAGCAGAAGGCCCAGCTGGTCAAGACGCTGGCGCGGCGCGAGCACTGCGTCGTCCTCATGACGGGCAAGACCGACTACCTGTCCGACGGGACGCGCACGGTCGCGATCCACAACGGCTCGCGCTGGCTGGGCAAGATCACCGGGTCGGGATGCGCCCTGGGCGCCGTCATCGCGAGCTACCTGGCCGTGCACCCCGAGGACAAGTTCCTCGCCGCCCTCGCGGGCATCCTGCATTTCGAACTCGCCGCCGAGTCGGCTGGCGAATACTGCAGCGGGCCGGGGACGTTCATCCCGGCGTTTCTCGACGCGCTCAATCAGCTGGGCCAAGAGATGCTCGGTCAAGAGGGCATTGGGCAACCCGGGTTTTTTGCGTCTCAGGTCAAGGCGGAGATGGTTCCGTGAGCATGAAGCAGAAAGGGGACGGGGTCGGGCTGCTAATCAAGAAGAAATGAATGCATAGAAGAACGAATCATCATCATCATTGTGTCTGCCCGTTTTGCTCTTCCCTTTTCTCTTTCTTTGAACACGGAGGAAAGGGAAATGCTCAATCTGAGTTCTACTCTTCTAAACAGCTACACCAGCCCTCGGCACAGGGTCTAATATCCTGCTCAATGTCCAACCTCAACCACCATCCACTCCCTTCACCCCAGCCAGCACCGCCATCGCCACCCGATATCGGTCTTTCCTTGACGCCTCTCGTGGCTGTGGCGATCATGAAGTCCTGGTCATACGCCACAAGCTCGATCTGTACGTCTTCGACCCGCTTGCCGCGGAGCAGCGTGGTCATGCCCCTTTCAGCTTGCTGCGGGGGTGTCCACTTGGCGGTTTCAACAGGGGAAGGATGATGTCCCGTGCCGCTGCCGTTGGGCGATGAAGGCGCCGGGAAGTGTGGTTCAAGAAGGGAAGGGGTGCTGGGGGAGTCTGCGAAGGGAGAGAGGTAATCGTGTGAACGGTTGCGCGCGTGAGAATGGGACGGGGCTATTGTGGTTGCAGGTATGGAGAGCTTTCTGGGTTTGCCCTCCAACGGGGAGGCGAAGGATGCTTTTCTCTGCGCATACATGTCGGCAGCAGGAACCGAGGATTTTCGACGGTGCGTGTCGGAGGATGAGCCGGGAGGTGGGAGAATGCTCTCAACAGATTCGCGCTTAGCGTACATGTCTGGGGGTGCCGCTGCACGCCCACCACTCGGAATAGATGTGTCGACCGGTGGTACAGAAGGAACATTCGCCAGGGATTTCCTGTGCGCATATATATCGGCAGATGCAGGAAGGGGCATGCCTTGTGACTCTATAATGCTGTGTGTGTTACTGCTGTTCTTTGGCTGGTAACTCGAGGCGGTGGACGGGGGCCCATCATGCTTGGGCAATGGTGGAGGCGGAGGAGCATGTACATCAAGGAATTCGAGTTCTCTCAACCAACTCGCCAGCAGTCCTTCGCCCACCATCTTAATATACGCCTCCTTCAGGCTCCAATACGCATAAAACCGGCGCAACTTCATATTGATGATCCTGGCCTCATGATTCTGGAAGAACTTGGTGTTTCCACCGCCGGGTCCGTCTGTCGGCGAGGAAGCAGCCGACGACGAGCTCGAATCACTTCCCCACTCGCCTTCCTCGCGCTCTTTGATGGGGATGTGGATCGGCATTTGACGCATGTGGCGTCTCTCGCGGTCAGAGAACATCTCGGCGAAAATTTCGATCCACTCGTCGAATTTGGACTGTGTGGTGAGATCCTTGGGGGTGCGCTTGTCTTCATTTGTGCAGGCTATATCCACTCCTAGGCGGACGAGATCAGGATGTTCAAAAGCTGTGCATGTTGGATGGCTAGAGAGATCTATTTGCGCCAGAGAATCTAGAACTGTGGGTGAGAGCGGACCAGGGTTCGGAATGACAGATGAAGGAAGCTGGGGGGTGGGTGTAGAGCACCCGACGATGGTGACGAGGCCGGCTTGGTGAGAGACATTGAATTCAAGGCCTCTTATCGGGCGAGACTCTTCTTCAGTAGGGTCACTGTCGTCGTAAATGTCAGTGGTGGACCAGTTCTCGGGCGGTTCCCAATACGGACGTCGATGAGGTGCTGGTGTTCGTGAGATCTGGACCTCAGACCAGGGGATCTTCGCGCGGCGGTGGATGAAGGTGTACTTTAGCAGGGCGCTTGCAAGGGACATGAATCGGTCAGCGGGGCGGATAAACCTAGTAATGGCTTCTTCATCGGAATGCTGTAAGGTCGAGAGCAAAGGGAGGGAGTGGAGCGACTTGGGATTGTGTGGTTGGGGCACATATGGCCGGGTATCGATGTACCAACGGTTTATGGTGGTGGTGAAGTTCGCGGGACAATGCGGCGACATTGTGTGAGGGCTGTCACGTTCCTCCTGTAGGCGATATCAAGCAGCTGTCGGCTCGTGTATTGGAACAGGGGTCGACAATGGCGATGTGCTCGGTGCTGTGAGCCGCAAGCAGCAGAACCCGCACCTCCTCTTACAATCACAAAGACGCGAAACAGTAGGTGCTCAAGAATATACTACCGGTGACAGTATTTCCATTCGCCGAGGAGAGGTCTCGCGAGACATTCAGTCAATTTCCGAACTGGTAGACCTTGCGGTGGTCGGCTGGAGGTGATAATAGAATTGTGAGGATAGAGTCGGATGGGAGGGTCTATCAGGGCTGATTAGTGGATCAACTGAATCTATGGGTCTATGATATAGAAAAAAAGAATAAGAGAATGAATGACAGAGAAGAGATATTTGACAGTATTCAGGAGACAAGTCTTAATTTAGCAATAGGCCGAAGGGGGGATCAACAGCGCGGTGGACGGAGGGTTCAGAGGTGTCCAGATCAGAGGGTTCCACAAGGCTGATGGGTTTCACTGCCTCGAGGGCCTGAGGGCTGCCAGATGGAGATGAGAGAAGTCTCTTATTGGATCGGAGGCATGAAGGATCGATGGAAGAGTGATGCCGAGATGCAGTTCAGGTGTTTGCAGCAGGAGAAAAAGTCGAGGAGTCGGCGAACGAGGAAGATGCCCAATCAAAGGGCGCAGGCACAGGAAGCCACCGCAGCCACCGCCGGGCGGAATCATCGTTGAATTTTTCCCATACGAACATGACTGGCAGCGGACTACGGCGAGAAGACCATCATATTATTCGCTGCTCCTATCGTCCAGACGCCTGTTCCACCCGCTTCATATCTCCCATATCGCCTGCCTCTCGATATCTCGTCCTCTCGCTCTCTCCGTCGACTCCCGCTCCCTCGTACATGAGGTGTCAATGACAATCACCGTCGGCGTGCTGGCCCTGCAAGGCGCCTTTTTAGAACATCTGGTCCTGCTGCAAAGAGCGGCGGATTACTTGCGCCGCGAGGACACTGCGGCTTCTTTCGAGTTTACAGAAGTCAGAAACGCCAAAGACTTGGCTCGTTGTGATGCCTTGATCATCCCGGGCGGCGAAAGTACGACCATTTCCCTCGTCGCCGCTCAGTCCGGTCTGCTGGAACCGTTGAGGGAATTCGTCAAGTGAGACTAACACCTCTTATCTCCCCAGATGCCGATATGATGACTGACTCATATCCTCGCCAGAGTCAACCGTAAACCAACTTGGGGAACCTGCGCCGGCTTGATTCTGCTCGCTGAGGCGGCTAATGCTACTAAGAAAGGCGGCCAGGACTTGATTGGGGGCCTGGATGTACGGGTGAACCGAAATCATTTTGGACGACAGGTAGAAAGCTTCCAAGCCGATCTTGACTTGCCCTTCTTGCAAAACAATGGCGCAGTCGACAAGACGCCCTTTCCCGGCGTCTTCATTCGCGCTCCCGTTGTCGAAAAGATCCTTCCCAATGTGGAAGGAATCCAGAAGGGCGAACAACAACTGGCCGAGACGGTCGTTGCCCCATACAAATCGGCCAAAGATGACCACGCCCGCCAGGCCATGAGCTCTCATGTTGATATCATGGGAAAGTTGCCTGGTCGCTTGAAGAAGGCAGCTGGCATGGGGCCTGAAGTACACGCTGGTGAGGAAGTGGGAGATATCATTGCCGTCAAGCAAGGCAATGTCTTCGGTACCAGCTTCCACCCTGAATTGACCTCAGATATCCGGATCCATGTTTGGTGGCTAAGGCAAGTCTTGGATGCGGTCGGTACGGCAAACGGAGTTTCATGAGCCCAGCACTTTGGATAGAGGTCCCGCACATATTGGAGAGGTTCATCATCTGCCCCCACCATATTCTTCTTCCTCCTTCTTTCTTTCTGCGTCAATCGCCCGACCATAGCCTCCTCTTCCAGGGTCGAATTCGTCTCGGTATTCGTCCCTGACCTGCCCACCTGATTTGCCGCGGCCGTACTGTCTGCCCTCTTGAAATCCGGCATCGAGGTCGGTTCTGATGACGCGTTCGTCGAGCTTGGTGCCACCGATGTACTTCATACAATCCAGTGCCTCTTGATGTGTGTAATACTCCACAAAGCAAAAGCCGCAGGGCGTCTTCTGGAAACGGTCCAAGCCCATGATGAGACGTTTAATTTCGCCGCACTTCGAGAACAGCTCGTGGATCTGCTCCTCAGTGGTGTAAAATGACCTGCGCAACATTCAGCTTCAACGTCCAGAAAAAAAATCACTCAGAGGACGAACAAATTCCCCACGTAGAGGGTGGTGGCATCTTTCAGTAGGTCGTCTTGTTCTGCTTGCTTGTCGCCATCTTCAGGCTGATCTCGACCGTACTTCCGCTTCTTCTTCACAGGGCATCAGCTCAGATCTTGCATCATTATATGTGGGAGAGACTTACCCTTGCGGAGTAGTATGTACTGGGCCTGTCTAGTCTCTCGACCGTAGACATGTTGTAAACTTCTCAAGCTGTATTGAAGGATTGAACGATGCAAAAGTGAGAACAAGTTGCGCCGCGTCTTCTCCTCGCGCATTCACGCTACCTAAAGTGGTTTAGCTGCCCAATACCTCTCAGCCAATCACAGAGACTCATTATCGTCGCTGCTTTATCCTTCTACCTGACCTCGTGCCACGACATCGTATCCTCCTATGTACCTCTCTTTGAGCATTGCTACAAAGCCGCCTCAGATTGTGAAAAATTCAACAGCCTACACTCTGACGAACTATGTGTCCACTGGAAGATATTTGGATATTTTGCCAAACAGTTCGATGATTTTTCTGTTTGTGTGTTCAAAAATTCAACATCCGAAGCGCTTTGTTCCCAAGACATACTGGAAGCCTTGTCAGCAGGAGGCCCCAATCCAGCTATGCTGCGTCCTTCCGCTTGCCCAGTCTCACTTGGAGATTGCCGCAGAGCTTCTAACGTTCAATGATTCTTTCTCTCTTGGCGGCACCTCCTGTCCTCCCCCTCCGATAAAGTAGGGGCGCAGGTTGGCTGAGCGAGATTTCATACGCCCGTTGTCTTTGCCACGTGTATCTCCCTTGTGGGCTCTGGTGTTTATTCATTGCCATCCGAGCCGGCACATGAAGCTCCCACTGACGATCCATTCCCCGTGAAAGGTGCCAGGTCTCGACAGGAGCGACTACTCGATCTGAACAATACACGAAAGGGAGAATTGGGCCTTTCCACGCTTCAGTCTAGAGGAAGCCAATTATATCGAGAACTCTTCCACATGACCGTTTTAGACCAACATCCAGTCCTCCCTCAGAAGATCGAGACACTCCGCTGCCCCGTGGTGGATGCAAAAAGGCATGCAGGTCTCTCGAACAAAGGGTGACGGAATTGGCTCCGTCTAAGACTAATTGACGGGCCGTCGTCCAGGGTTGCCTTAGTCGCTTTTCTGTTTCGACGAGAGTTGCATGGTTCGAAGCATTTGGCAAGTGTGGCTCGAGGCACGCCATTTACCATGTTGATTGCCAAATCCCAGATTTCTTTTTGTTCTTTTTGTTCCCTCTCTCTTTCTCTCTCCTCAATCTACTCACATTCTCCCACTCTAGGACGCGCCGTCGGGCTGCAGTGAGTCTAGACCCTCATCTACTTGGGAGAGTCAGTCACGTCATTTGCCATCGCGATTGTCAATTTACCATCGTGGTCTCTGTTGGCATTTTCAGAGTCTTCATATCATACACCAAGTCAATAAGAGCCTTATCACAGGTTCCTTATCGTCCAATTGAGGCTCCAGAATGTCGTTGTCTGTGGTCGAAATGATAATAGCAACGAATTTTGTCCGACGCACCTAACAGATCCGTGCGTATTGGACATGCAATTACTGGCAAGACCCAGACATCTTCTGTCAAGTTGCTCGCATCATCCTGCATGCAATGACGATGGCGCTGTTGAGCGTGAGACCGAGGCATGGTCTTGAGTAAGGTTCAATGTGGATTTTTCGTCCCTTGCGCACTATATATATCTGGTGCATTGTTTTCTTTGTCCACCTAATGCCCGCATTGCCTACTACCTGCTCATTCGCTTCCGTCCATCTCACTTGCCTCCAAAATGGCAGAAAAAGCAGCTTCAATCACTTCGTCCACGCGATCCGGTAGTTGGAAAGGATGGCTATGGGATTCAGCTGATGTTTCCAAAGAAGAAAGAAGATTTCTTCTCAAGGTGGGTCGGCTTATAAGGCTATCATTTAGCGAAGACGATTTGTTCTAAGTCGATATCACTTGTTGCAGTTGGACTTTACACTGCTGACGTTCGGCACACTGGGAATGTTGACGAAATGGGTAAGTGTCATCCTTTGCCATGCTACAAACCAAAGTCTAAGGCCCTTGACACAGATTGATACCTCCAATATAACCAATGCGTTTGTCTCCGGGATGAAGGAAGACCTCAACCTCTATCAAAATCAATATAACTACATTGTCGTTGCATGGACGGTGGGCTATATCATTGGACAATGGGTATGTTCTTTCGTGGTACAAATAAAACTTCCTATCAGACGCTGACAACGGTTCAATACAGCCTTCAAACTTCATCTTGACCCGAGTCCGTGCTCATAGTAAGCACCATCCTGAAAGCTCCATGTCCTAAAGAACCCAGCCTTCCTAACTCTAGATCCCTAGTCTGGATCCCGTTCCTCGAACTCGGTTGGACTATCTTCACTTTTACCCTTGCTGGTGCAAAGAGCTATCATGCAATGCTCGGCCTTCGATTCGTCGTCGGACTTTTTGAGGCTGGGTACTGGCCAGCTCTTTACTATATTCTTGGAAGCTGGTACAATAAACGTAAGTTGGGTTACGAAAACAACAGGACAATGATTCTGGACGCTGCTAACCTTTGCACTGACTAACAGGGGAACTTGGAAAACGCAACGGCATTCTTCAATCTGCTGTGTCAATTGCGCCGATTTTCAGTGGGTTCTTGCAGGCCGGAATCTACAACTCCCTCAATGGCCATGCCGGTCTCGCTGGATGGAGGTGGCTTTTTGGTAAGCCCCTGATCGTGCGTTGTGGTGTATCATTTCCAACTCTAACATAACCTTTCGTGCCACAGTCATCAACGGCGTGATTTCTTTCCCGATCGCCGTCCTCGCTTACTTCTGCTTGCCTGACACTCCTGGCACGGCGAAGCCTAGCTGGTTGTTCACTGAGCGTGTAAGTAGCGGATCCACCAAAATGAAGAAGACATGGTAATTGACTGCCCTTTTTCTTTGACTTTTAGGATATTGAAATTGCGCGGGAGAGGATGTCCAGAGCTGGTCGAGTTCCTGAAGGCAAACCTTACACCGTCAAGGTTATCCTGGGCTACTTTACCAGCTGGAAGACGGTGCTCTTCACCCTGATTTTCAGTAAGCTCCCCACGTTCAATTGCGTTAGCAAATATTTTGTTAACCTTCTTGTTCTCGACAGCAATGCAACCCTTTGGAAGCCAGCCATTCACCTCTTTCGTTTTCTGGCTCAAGGCACACAACATCAAGGGCAAGCCACCGGTTTACAGTGTTGCCCAGATTGTAGGGCTGTCCCGCATCTCATTGACCGCAGAAAGACTGGACTGACTCCGGGTTGTTCCTTGATAGAACGAATACCCGACCATCGGAAACGCCTTTACGGCAGTATACTCTCTGCTCGCCGTCTGGATCTCTGATGGACCATTTAGAGGCCGCCGCTGGCCGATCATCATCTTCTCCAATCTCGTCGCCATCGTCATCTTCGTCCTGCTCGTTGTCACTCCTGTTTTCGGTCCTTTCTCTCATCGAGCACCTCTTTACATTGTGTCCTCAATTGGAGGAAGCTGCGTTCCACTGACCATGGCGTGAGTCCCTTACCCCACTTGTTTGCTTTGCGGGCATGAAAGCAATGACTGCTGACAAAATCCCGAAAGATGGATGGCCGAGTTGATTTCGGACAATGCTGAACAAAGAGCTTTCACTGCGGCAGCCATGAATACTCTTCAGTGTAAGCTGCATTCCTATAACCTGCTTCCTTTCCTCTATTTAGACCATACGCTGACAGATTTTGTTTTGTGTAAAGATACTTTTACGGCATGGATACCACTGGTTTGGTTCCAACAAGTCCATCAACCCAATGGTTCGTTTTCATCTACTTGATCCAAGGCATATGAGACTGACAGCTGCCGATGCTTAGTCACACCCGGTAACAGAGCAGCGGCAGTGGTTGCGGGACTCAACGTGATCGTTTTCGGACTCATTGCTTTGCTTGCTCATAGAGAGAAGAAGCAAAAGAAGAGGAATGGTGAACTCGAACTTAGTTCTGCTGAAATCGACCCGCCCACGCCTTTCACTGGAGAGACTAACGAGAAGAAGCCATCGTTGGGTGTGCAAGCGGTCGAGATCTGAATGGTCATGGATGAAGTGGGCTGTGATGTTGAACCGCAGCGGCGTGGTATAACACGCCCAAAGTTGGTCTTTTGATGGAAGACGACTCTTGTGAATCGTTGTTCCTCATGTGTTAGGTGGCAGACGAGAATCAGGTGTGGCAAGCCCGGTAGCTGTGGTGGGCGGCCTATTATGGCTCGCTCCACGAACGGGAAGGAATGTGTCTGAGGATCAATGAGGCCATAGAAGGCGAATAGTTCCAGATGTCATCCTCATATCTGCAAGAAAGCGGATTAGCAGCCAATATCAGGGATTTCAGTTCGCTCCGTGCCCATACTGTCGCTTTTATCGATGTGAAATAGGTTAATCTGACTCAAAAGGCTCTTCTGGTGTTCATTGAAGTACTAATCACGTGGACATGACAAAAAGGGAGGTTCTAAAAGCAGCGCCGCGCGGCAGCTGTTTCGGGAAGATTGTTTCTCCGCAAAGACGCGCCCAATTTCACTTTCTAATATTCACGACATTCTATGCGAGGCTGCGCCTTTGTCCTGATCCTGGTACCGCAAGGTCTAGCAATTGTGTGATTCCAATGTGTGCCTTATCTCGCAACTACGTTTAATTTGACAAACCAAAATGCCCAAGGTTATTGGATATACACCCCCTTTCCTGTCACGACCGTCGTCAGGCTCCAAAATCTTCACAGACCCCGAGCCTCAATCGCCCGCCTCTCCCTCCAAACGTTCCTCTTACCTTGGCGCACTTCCCTCGACACAATACCAAGGACCTAGGAGGTTGGTCGCTAGTAGGGGGACGGAGATATTCACGGTTGTGGGCAATAAAATCAGATGGGCAGATCTCAGCGCAGTTCGAGATGAATGGGAGGATAACACCCAGTCTGGCGCCAGTCGGTTTGGACTGTCTCGCTCTGACGCAACGGAAGCGACAGGAGACAGTGTTTACAGAGTACGTGGGATCATTCCCCTGTATGGAGAGAAAATTCTGACAAATGTAGACATTAGCTGTTCCTGTCTATTATCAGATTCGCCAGATTTTGATCTCCCCATCCGGGTTTTTTCTGGCCATCTGCACAGAACATACCGTCCACATCGCAGTGCTACCAGATCCGTCACGGCTGAAGGAGCATGACCGCTCACTATTGAAAGTGAAAACGTATCAGCTTGGCCCGACGGTCCATGTCATTCCGGAATCTCCGCTCACATCTGTGTTATGGCATCCATTGGCCTACTCCACTGCTTCCACCGACTGTCTTGTCACTGTGACTGCTGAAGCAGCAGTTCGACTATGGGAATTTGACAAGGCAAACAGCTGGTCCCTTGACCGTCCAAGATTGGCCATAGACCTGCGAAAGCTCGCCGATGGCGTTTCGTGCGACCAAGACTTTGAGCCGTCCGGCTTTGGCAAAAACCGTGGATTTTCCGTTGATGATTTTGACATGGAAGTTTCTGCTGCATGTTTTGGTGGTCGAGGCAGAGAGGACGAAGATGCTTGGGCAAGTATGAGTCTCTGGGTTGCCATGAGGAACGGGGATTTGTACGCTCTGTGCCCGTTGCTGCCATCAAGATGGAAGCCGACATCAACCACTATCCCCTCGTTAACCACGACCGCTGTCTCACGAATGGCATCAATCAATGATGACGAGACAGACATGGATGAAAGACGCGCCGCCGACCAGCAATATGAGTGGGTCCAGGAAATCGATAACGAGGAGCCCCAGATTCAACAGTCGACGGATAGCCTTGGTGAGTTTGAGGTACGGTTCAGACCGCAGAACCCGAGTGCCATTCCACGTCTCCAAGGACCCTTTGCGATCGTCCCCGAGGAGGATGCTTCGGAGATTGAGGTGTCTGATATCCATGTGTTTCCTGCGAAGCTTGATGAACAAGATCTGTTCGATGGGGAGGAGGATGATGAAATCGACCGGGGCCTCGTCCAACCTATCCCCTTTACGACCATTTGTGTTGCCACACCTGAGAATCAAATTTGGCTTGCCATCGATCTTGAGGGCGTGACAGGACAGTGGCTCCCCAAGAAAGGGAAAAGCGCATTTGGTGTGCCTTCATCTGATGCCACGCCCTTGACATTGGTCGATATCGTTACGCTTGATGGATCGACCACGAACCCGGCAGCCAACTGGCCTGTTTTCACTCCAGACATTGCCTACAGCTATTCCTTTTTTGTGACGACTTTGAAGCATGTCTACTCATTGTCTTTGAATGATTGGGTCACTCAGCTAGGTGCCGAACTATCTGGGACTGAGCCTGTCGATCCTGGCATGAGGACCAGGCTGGAAACCCGATGTCAGAATCAAGTCTGTGTGACTGACAAGTTAGTGGAGGTACGTGAGCCTTCTGAGGCTCTCTCGGCCCCGACCATCATTGACGACACATCACTCGGATACTTGCTCTTGACTGCAACCTCGAATGCTCCCTATGGAGTGGTTTTCGACCAGTCGCCTACAGGCCCCTCAACTGTCGGCCCCTCAATTACAGATTTCACGATGTCTTCTAGTCGTCTAGAATCTCAACTCATGAATATGCCGATGTCACCCATCGAAACAGTCCCTGCACGAGAGCCATACTGTCCTCCCAAAATCTTCTACTTCAACCAGCATATTCCCATTGATTCCATGCGCCAACGTCTGCCGCCACATCTCAAAAAAGCCATCGCCGAACAACCTATACGTTTGAGCCCGGCCATGTTAGAGATCATGACCTTCACACACCGTACAGTCGGGGTGCAGTCTGCTCAGCTAGAGAATGCAGCAGCGGAACTCTTCCGGCGTTGCGAGCGTCTAAGAATCGAACTTGCTGGTCAGGTCAAGCAGATGACTGAACTTGCCCAACAATTGCAGCGCCTTACCGCTACCACGGAGGAGGATGAAAATGGCAATATCAAGGAGAAGAAGACCCCTGAGACGAGGATCAAGGAGGCACGAGAGAGGCAGAGCAAGCTGGTGGCAAGATATGAGGCACTAAGAAGGAAGGTGGGACGTGTCGGATCGGCGAACAGAGAATTGAGCTCAAAGGAACTGGCCTGGATGCATGAGATTGAGAGTCTTGGTCAGAATGTCGGCATTGTGACTAAAGAGGACGGAGAGCAAGAGGGTGACGGAAGAGATACCGCTCTCGACAAGCGATTTGCAACGGTGTGTATCCTATCCTTGCTTTTCCCTCGTACTTGGAAACCGACTAACGATGGACTACAGGTCAAACAATTGACTCGTTCCCTTGTGGAAGAAGCTCATAGTATCGAGAAAAAGCACCAACAACACCCAATCTCGCCGAAAGGGCCCCCAACCCTGGACGCATCCGTATCCTCAATCTCTGCATCATCAATCACGCCATCAATGTCAGCGTCCCAGATCACTCTTACGTCTCGCTCCAGTGGAGCTGCCGCTTCTCCGAGAAGTGCCAATTTCAGTGCACTGGGCGTTTCTAGTCGATTGCAAAAAGAACGCATTGCGGATATCATGGCCACGGTTGAGAGAGAAGGTGCAGTGATTGAGGCGGCCATGAAAAGACTGGAGAGATTGAAAATGGAGTACTAGGAGTGCTTGTGGACGGGTCCTGGTTCTGGAGAGCTCTCCGGTCGTGCAAGAGGAATTGCTCGAAGGCGGCGACGATGTACAAATACTAGGAGGAGGTAGTCGCTTTGAGAATACAGTCGAAAAGGACAACCGACACCAATCACTCGGAATGTATTAGCACAAGCTTCATTCTTTGTGTTGACTGATTGTGGCTGGTGGGGAATGAGTGCAACTCCATCTACCGCAGCCTTGTCGGAGCCATTGGTGTACTGGGTCACGTGTGGCTTCAGCGCCCCGCGGCTTCGCGAAAGGCAGATTCCAATGAGGCTGTGCACAATCTTGACTTTTCCACACCTCGACCTCTCCTTTAAGTCCTTCGATTTCCCTTGCACAATTGAGATCGAGACTGCGCCGACTGCAATCACTGATTTTACCTTTGTTAACAGCTCCTTACAAGTTGATGTGGAGGACATGGCGGAGGTGGGCCTGGTAGCCTCGTTGCTAGGCATCTCATCTTTCGGTATTCAGTTGACAACGACCCTCTACAGGTTTGGCTCGACGACTTCATCCGCCAGAGAGCAGACAGATTACATCGCTCGCCATGTCTCGCTCTACTCGGACGTGCTCGACTTGCTTGCCCAACGCATTGATGATGACGAACCGATTCACTCCCGCAAGGCTCTGTATCTGGTTTCCGACATCTACGATCAATCCTGTGATCTCTTCGATGACATTCGAGATCTCTGCCGGACAGAGCCGACAAGATGAGCTTCATGCAGAAGATCAAGTGGAACTTCAGAAAAACAAAAGTCGATCTACTCGTCGCTGAGATCGAGTAACTGAAAAGCACCGTTAATCTCTTGGTCAGCATCCTGTACGCTGGCAAGAAGATACGAACTCACAGGCGCAAAAGACGATCGAAGAAAGCAGAGGACGACGCAAAGGCCCAATTTGCAAGAGCGCAGATTGCCGTCGTGGAGCAAATCAATGCGACCGCGATAAAGGAGGATTGCCAGGCCAAGGTCGAGAAAGATGAACAAAATGCCGTCGACGAGACAACCGGCACGCGCAATGGCGAAGGGAAGTCGGCGGCTGTCGTCAAGCATCTACCACATATTCCCCAACTGGTCAACAATACTGCCATGGTTTATTTCAGACAGTTGGTAGGACAAGCTAGGGATATATCAGAGGAGCGAAGCCTCGTCATCTCGAACACTGTCAACTTGTTGCAAGCTCTCCTCGACCAATGGACAAACCTAGCGGCCGACAGCACCGCGGCCGCCTCCGCAGATGAAGCCGAGCCACCAACGGCACGAGTAGAAAACGAACAGACGCCGAGAGAAAGCAACAGTGATACCGCGACAGGGAGCAAAGGTACAGATGATGCACAGGATATCTGGAGAAATCACTACCTTCTGTCACAAAAACGAGTAGAAGAGCTGGAGGCTGAATTGTTAAAGATGAAGATGTCGGAGAATATCAATTCCCGAGCAGAGTCAGCTAGGAACACTGAAGCAGAGGAAAAAGGAACCCGCAAGGCGAAGAGGCGCGAAGGAAATGCTGCTGCTGATGAGACAGAGCCAGCGTCCCGAAGTTCGGCTCCTGGAGACTGGGATGAGTAAAAGAGGGGAGAGCTTCGTGGAAGACCATTCACCTGGACGACCGTTCCACGTTACAAGACCTCGAACCTGAGGGATGATGAGGCGCAAGAACAAGAACTACGAGAAGGGTCTGGCGGAGGTGAGGGCGCCAGGACACGAAACCACCACAGCTATTCCTCTGCTCGTATGCTGCCTCGAGAATTCCCGTTCGAATATTCAGATCCGGATAACAACTACCCAAGCTTCTCCCGACATCCCAATCTTGACTACCCGACCCCCTTCCGCCGTTCCGACAGCAGCTCTGTTTACCCTAGTACGCCAGAGATGAGAGAGGAGAGCCCACCAAGAACTACGAGGAAACCCGTGACATCCTCCACGAAATATCAGGTTGTTGATCCGGACTTTACGACTGACGACTATGAACGGACTCCCACACCGGAAGCACTCGATGGTGACGACGATCATGTTCGTCCTTCTCGTCGCTATCATTATAGCCCGGAGTGCCACAATATACTTCCTGATCCATCCTTCCCGACTCGCCGTCCTTACGCTTACACTGTGGACAGTGGCTCTTACCAAGAAGTTCCTCCTCCGTCCGTGACCCGCGACAAACCTCCCGAACGTCCCCCAGTTGACACAAGAAAAAGTGCACGCGGAGCCAGCATGATGTCTGAAACTCGTCGCCACCCCCCCCCCCCCCCCCCGAAGGAACGGCCACCACTCGAGAAGGAACAAGCGCCCCCAAGAAGGCACAACCGCCCTCGTGGAAGGAACTCGAACGCATCTTCACAAAGAAACCCCCCCGGGATGTTACCGTGAGGCAGAATTTTCCTGACCCTGGCCCGAACATGGAAAAAGATAAACCTAGGCGGAAGAATAACCCCGGCACCCAGGGCCTTCCAAGCTGGGCTTCTCTCCTCTGAGGTTCCGACCTGGGCGTCTAGATAGAGTATACGATCCATGGCTTCTGTGCTGCTCATTCTTAAGCCAACTCCTGTACTAGGTATGCATATACACATCTATGCATATAAGGTTGTCGAGAAGCTAGGTCTTGACTACCTTTACCTTCACTACCTAGATACCTAGGTGGTGTACCTATATGCGTCCCTACGCAGCTCGGGGGGACAAGTACCGCTTATAGTCTCTGCCTGCATGCCACGAAGACAGAGAGAACGAAGGGACGGGCACAGATTGTCCAGGAAATTCAAGGCTCTAAGGGCGTATACATCCTGGCTGCTATACTATATCGTATATGCTACATGCTTCAAGCTCCATGTTACAAGCGACGGCCTCAACGTTATCATTTCAGCTCATACCTTCGTTGTTCCCCATTCTCAAGGCTTAGAGCCGTCCTCATCCCTCAAAACCTCAAGTTCCTCTCCTCCCCTTTCCTGCTTCGACAATCATACTCGATCCACCGCGCAACCCCGCTGCCCCTGACGGCACCACCCTGGCCTCTGCGCAGGGAGAACTCGTCGACGAGCCTGCCGACGTTCATGACGTGGCATCCCTCGTAGCTGATCGCAAAGGCCGGCATTTCCGCGTCGCAGAGCACCAGCGCCGTGGGCAGCGGGTAGAGTGACAATGCTGCGCTGTGGTCCCAGAGCTGGGGCCGGATGGACAGCGGGAAGGGCGAGAGGTGCGATTGGTCGAGGATGGTTTTGACGAGTTTCCTCGCGGCGTGGATGGATGGGGGACTTGACGGGGCGGGACCTGAGGAAGGGACGTGCGAGGTTGCGTCTTGGACAGCTCTGTCGAGGTTGTTCCTAGGATCGTCCAGATCCATTTCCTCCGCATCGGACTGTGGCGCGTCTTGACTTTGACTCTGCACGTTGGAAGCCGCTGCTGCCGCTGCTTCGATTTCCTCGTCATCTCCGTCGAGCTTCGGGAAAGTGATGGCAGTCCGCCGGAACCGACTTGTGATGTCGTCGCGAAACATGACCATCTCCTCCAGCGGCCCGAACAGACTCATCCTCGCTGGGTTCGTCGCCCATATCCCCTGCCCTTTCATCGCGTCCGTCTCTTTTAATCCACCGTGAACCTCAGTGTTGGCGGTGGTGAACGCTCGTCGGACTCTGCTGGTGAACACTTCGGGCAACCCCTGTCTCGGGAGCAAACAACTCGCGCCCGCCGAGAACGAACTCACCCACGGGTCGTTGTCCCCTGGCACGAAGACGAACGTCGTGTTCGCCAACAGCAATGGAAATTCTGACAGGATCGACGCCAGGGCGTCGAAATGTTCTTTATACTCGATGCTACCGCCGCCCTTGCTGGATCCTGACATGCTTGCCGCCGAGACGAAATTGCCCATCATGACAATGGAGAACGGTAGGTCGCTTATATGTCCCGAGCTGGAGGCATTGTAGGATGAGAGGATGGCGCGGATCGCGTCTAGCGTTCGGGGACTGTCGAGGTTGCACTCGCCCAGGAGCGCAATTTGGCGTCGAGGCGGTTCGGTTTCGATCTGGTCATCATCCGGGACATTGATAGTCTGGAGGGCTGTGGGTGGTCTGAAGATACGTCGTTGAATGCGACGCATCTGGTTTCCCAGCGCTTTTTCGCTGCCAACGCCCAGAAAATCAACCCAGCCAAAGCCTGCACCCGCGCTTGCATGAGTGTTACCGCCGGGATCCAACCCGGCGGAAATACCCAGAGACAATGATCGTCGTTCGGCTGGTGGACCGGCCAATGTATGCGCCACGAAGACTCCTTTAATCTGTCCACCTACACCCGCAGCCGAGCCGAGGTTTGAATTGTGAGAGCCGTCTTCTTCGTAAGTTCCTTCCACAAGAATGATCATGCCTGGACAAAACCATACACCGTCTTCAGGGACAGGCCGGGCTATTGACAGGTCGAGGACCACACTCCCGGATAGGTCTGTCAGGGCGAGATCTCCAGCTGGAGAGTGTACCAACATACCCAGCAAGAGATGAGATGTTCCTGATCGGCCAAGAAGGTTTGCTATGGGAGTAATCTTGTAGGCCTGTTGCATTGTTGTCATACCACTTGCTGAATGCATCAGTCTGGGTGGTCGCGTGGCGGTCGTAAATGATGGAGTTTGGAAGGATTCATTTCGCATCAGTCGCTGGTGGACGAGGTGGTAGCGATTCCGGAACGTCGAGATCTTGTGTTGGATGGGAGGGAGTAGGCTGGCCATCCCGTTCACCGGCTCCAGACTTTTTGACGAAGTCGAGTACATTAGTCGTGGTTGGTCGAACGCTGAGATCACCTTCAAGTATGACCGGACATCCAGTTGAGATTGCTCTTCATCCTCCCCCAGGTTCCGCGAATCTCCTTCTTCCACGTTAAGTGCCGAGAGTCCTAGGCTCGACTGACTGATATCTGTGTTCGCATCTGGTCGGCTGGTGGTGAATGAAGGCGCCCGAGACAGATTAGGAGTCGGTACTGAACTGTTGCTCCGCGAGAGCTTCCCCGTGTCCAGACGCCCGCCTGACATACAAGGTTCTAAGGTCTTCAAAATGTTGGACAGCTTCTTCTCGGGCCCATCCTCGACGAGGAGGCCACCTCCGCATTTCTTCCATGCTTTTGCTATCTCGTCCAACACACGCTCTGCAAGGCCTTCTTCCCGCCAGCCGCTGCCACAGAATTTGCCGATGAACGTAGAGAGCAACCCGAGACCCGATGAGGTCAAGGTCAGGTTGTGTTTCTTCGTGAGCGTCCTGAAAGCGACGGGTCGGAGAGTTTGAGGAGGAAGGAGGATCGGTAAGACCGTCGGGGCACTATGTGTAGTCGTCCTGGTGTTCAATTGCGCTGCAAAGGGCTTTGCAACTTCTGTCGGTCGGCTCTTGATTGGGTAGGCTGGGGTGCCGAATCCCGGCGATGAAGAGAGCAACTGTTCTTCAGTATGCAGGTTAGCCCCAGCTTTGTATGTCCGTGTAGGCAGCCCTGGGGTCGAAATGGGCTCCTCCATGATTGAACTGGATGAGCAGGGTGTATAATGCGAAGTGGTTGGATTGACAGTAGGAGAAAGTTGAGCCTCGACGCGTAAACAAATCACTTTACGCGTGCCGCGTTTGGGGACGAGGCTTGTGACGTGACCACCCACAATGTCGCATCTCCTTCAAACTCTCCACCATATTCTCTTCACTCTTCGCTACTTTTCATCTTAGCACCATCGCGATTTTCGCACTCAACCAATTTCCATTCCTTGCGCGCCATGGCGACGACTGCTGACGAAACTCCCAAGCCCGATCCGGAGCCCCCTCAGCAAGAGCAGTTGGCGGATCTTATCGCGAAAGCGACAGCCGAATATGCCGTCAAACACTACTCGGAGGCGGCGGAGCTCTACTCCCAGGCGACGGAGCTGCAAGCGGAGATCAATGGCGAGATGGCGCTCGACAACGCCGACCTGCTATATTCCTACGGAAAATGCCTGTTCTTCCTCGCGCAGCAAACAAGCAATGTCTTAGGCGGCACGGCGGCATCAGCACAACTGTCCTCGAGCAAATCTAAAAAGTCTGGGAAGAAGAGAAAAGCGAACAGCGCGGCCAAAGCAGGGGGGTCTACCAATGGAAGCGGCGTCGGCGAAAGCTCCAGTTCGATGGCTGCGATCCCGGAGGAGCCGGTGCCTAATGTGGGTGATGTCGTGCCCAAAGAAGACGTACAACCTCAGGAGACCGCTTCAGACAAGCCCTATTTCCAGATCTCTGGCGATGCCGAAGGCTGGGATGATTCGGATGAGGACGAGGAAGATCAGGACGAAGAGGCTGATGAAGAAGAGGACGACGACTTCGCCACATCCTACGAGCTTTTGGATTTGGCGCGCATCCTATATCTCAAGAAGCTGGAACAGAGTCAAGAACATGCACTGGAGGACTCGGAGAAGGGCAAATATGTGGCATCTATCGACCTCACACCAGAGGTCAAGACGCTGAAGACGCGTGTGGCGGACATCTACGACCTGCAATCAGAAGTCTCTCTGGAAGGAGAGAAGTACTCGAATGCCGTCACCGATCTCAGGGCATGTCTTGCGCTGAGGGAGGAGCTTGAACCTCCAGAGTCGAGCATTCTAGCCGAGTGTCACTACAAGCTCAGTCTGGCACTCGAGTTCAGTTCCCAGACACAACAGCACGATGAACAAGGGAACCCAACCGGCGAAGTGCAGGTCGATTGGGATATCCGGAATGAAGCTATCGCCCAGCAAGAGAAAGCTATCGACAGCTGCAAATTGCGCATCTCCAAAGAAACAGCTGCGCTGGATAAGCTCGAAGCAGGTCCCCAGAAAGACAAGGCCATGGCTCAGATTGAGGATGTTCAAGACATGGTTGCGGAAATGGAAGTACGACTGGCAGAACTCCGCAAGCCACCCGTCAGCGTCAAAGCGGAGTCGGAAAGTCAGATGAGAGAACAGATTTCTGGTGTCTTGGGCAGTCTGCTGGGCAGTGGCGCATCCGAACAAGAGAAGAAAGAGAAATTGGCGCAAGTAGCGGAGACAGCAACCGATGTATCGGGGCTGGTCAAGCGAAAGAAGCCGAAGACGACACACGCCAATGGAGGGGACAGTGGGTTTGGGTCTTCTGCTTCGACTCCGGCTGCAATGCCGCCGGCTGCAGAAGGGTCAAACTTGGGCAAACGGAAGGTGGAATTTGTGGACGAAGCAGAGGGTTCTGACAGTGGGAAAAAAGCGAAGGTAGAGGATGCCGAGGACTCTGGACATTGATGGACCTGCAAGAAGATTGCGCTTCCAACGCGGGAATGATGCTGCTGGTACCGTTGGCGGCAGCAGGACGAGGACGGCCACAACTCGGTTCTTCCTCGAACGACCCTCAACATCTATCTCCATGACCTGATTTTAATTTTGCCAATCACTTCTGTACAATAGCCATAGCCTCGACCTCATACAACCAATTCGGGGCAGCCAGTGCCGCGACGCCCACCAGCGTACTTGGCGGACGATGACCGGCCATGAACTTGGTATAAGCCTCGGACCGCGACGTGTCGGTGGGATCCAGGTTGACCACGAACTGGGTCATCTTGACGATATTGGCGGGCGTCGCCCCGACCGCGGCCAGACACCTGCCCAGGTTGGCCAGCGCGATCTCGACCTGCGCGATGAAGGACTCGGGCGTGGTCCCGGTCGCCGGGTCAACCCCGATCTGGCCGGCTATTGTTACCAGCGTGCTCGTGGCAGAGATGGGTGTGCATTGGACGTGGGAATATGTCGGGCGCGGAGGGGGCACGTCGGGCGGGTTAATCAGTTGGATTGACATGCTGAGTGGATTGGGTGATTGCCGATGGCTTGAGACTGGGGCAGAGAAGCTGAGAAGAGTGGTCTTTTTGGTAGGAGAAGCTGAGAAAAGAAGTGGTGATGGTATATAACAAAGTGAGTGGGTGGATGATGCGTGCTCGCTATCGCCTGTTACCCCACTCGCCTACGGCTTCACGGGATTCTCCGTGTCCTCGATGAGAATGAGCATTGTGTTTGTGAAGCGGACGCAGGTACAGACAACCGATGGTGAACGAGCCAAGTCGGAATAACTCATTATCCGAGGTGAGCACCCTTCATGCCTTTGTGCCCAGCGCGGAGGATGGACGATGTACCTAGCCTCGTCGTCTGTCTGGTATCTAACAGCGACGGACCTTTGTCTATATGTCTTGGAAACTCATCTTCTCGTGCATATCATGCGTGTTGGCTGTTCGGGGTCGAAGCAAGCCCGCACCATTCCCAATCTATATCACACCAGGCGCAGACTTCGTGCAAGGCAGGGGTGTGATATCTGGAACCTGTGCTAAAGTGTTCTTGTCAGTCAAGATACCACGGGGCTGGATGGATCTTTTGGAGCTCAATTGTCACCTTCAGCTATGTAGATCTGAGAGCTCTGCCTCGCGTGTGGGGAGCTGTTGTCAGCTATAACGAGCGCGGGACACAGTTGTTCCATCATAATTTTGCTCGGGTAATCGGCGAGGCGGCGAACCCCGGATCAACAGAATTAATGAAGAGGTCAGGCGTTCAGGATTGGGCTGGGGTGCGTATCGCGGGTTGCTTGTGGTGGGCAATGCGGGTACGTATTCTTGCGAGTAAAGGTTGAGGGGGAGGGAAGACTTTTGCCTGCGCTGCGTGTGGCTGTGTGTGGCCGCGTGTGGCTGCGTAGCTACGGATCAACCCCGTGTCCGTGGCCCCGTAACGCGGGGTTTTTTCGTCTCGCCGTTCCTCGCTCTGCTCCTCACGTTCTAGACACACGGCCACAACTGCCACTCCAACCAACTTGCTCACTCCCTCATTCCACGGGGCACCTCGGGACCCGGCACCTTGCAGCACTTGATCATCCGGTGTCATCTCTTGTCCCTACTCTCGGTATCAGTCTCCACGTCTCATTCTTGTTTTCTGGATGTCGCGAACACTCTCCTCGACGCACCTCTAGAGCCTGGCGCCAATGACCACTTACACAGCTGTCCAAACCTCTCCTACCGACGCCTCCGAGGAGAGAAATTCCTCTGTCTCAGGGAGCGACGCCGAGAATGACGATGCCAACGCCGATAATACGCCGGAGAATGGCACCATCACGAGCAAAAAGAGGAAGAGGCTCTTGAAAATCTCGTAAGAACTCACCTCTCCCTGGTCCGCGCTGACACTAATTTGTGCCCTCCCAGCTGTGAGCTCTGCAAGGTTCGTAGGAACAAACCCTGAAGCTATTTCGATCGCAGTCTATTTACTCCGTGGGAGCAGGCCCGGAAAGTCAAATGCGACAGAGCAGAGCCGGCTTGTGGCTGGTGCGCCCGCAACAATCGTGCATGTGTTTACAAAGAGCGACAAAAGCCCGGTCTTCGGGTGGGCTACGGTCGCGAGCTCGAGGAGAAAATCAATCGCCTCGAAGCTCTGCTCCAAGTAATGGGTCGCCGTCTCGAGGAACACATCGCTGAGCATGGAGACTTCTCCACCCATCGACCGGGTTCCGTTCGCATGTCTCATCAACCCCCATCCGCCCAGTTTAACGCGTACGGCCAGAACGACCCTCGCCCGTCCACCGCCAGTATTATTTCCCAGGACACTCCTGGCTCCGATCCCAGATGGCCTGTCGCTAATGCCTATGAACGAATGCAGTACCCCCGACCCCAAGATGCCATGTCCATTCGATCCGTTGTGGATAACGGCAGTCACGAGCTGGTGCCCCAAAGCGAGAGAGGCCATTCCGCAGCTTGGTATCCAACAGCTACCCCTGCGCCATCGATACCCGACTCGGAGCTTCCTCCTTACGACTTGCTGTATACCTTGGTTGATCTCTATTTCAAGCATGTCAACCCGTGGTCGCCCATCTTGGACCGTAAAGCCACGTTCGATGCTTTCTTCGGCTCCCAGTCAATGGACGATTCGGACAAGGTGCTCATGCACGCGATTGTCGCCACCACGATGCGCTTCTCCAAAGACTCGCGGCTGACCCCAGAATCAAGGAGGCAGTTCCACGAGATCTCCAGACATAAGATTATGATGTATGCTCTTGACCACCCGAACGTCCGCGCCCTCCAAGCGCTAGTGATCCTTGCCGTCGATGTGCTTGGAACGTCAAACGGCCAGCAGGGCTGGAATTTGCTGGCCCTCATCACGCGCAATGTCGTTCAACTGGGATTGGATGTTGAGAAGAGCGCATACCTCGCGTCTAGCACTTATCCCTCAGCAACCCTTTTGCAGGCCACACAACCTCAATCCTGGATCGAGAATGAAGAGCGCCGGCGTCTGTGTTGGATGACCTTCATTCTCGACAGATACGCGACAGTCGCCACTGCAGACACCTTTACCCTGGATGAAAGGGAGATGGACCGATGTCTCCCTTGTCGCTATGATCTCTTCTCACGAAACGAACCTGTCGAGACGAGGTGGCGTCGGCGAGGCGCACCCTCGGAAATGATTGTGAACAAACCAGAAAACCTGGGGAGTTTCTCCTACCACTGTGAAGTCCTCGGGATCTTGAGCCGCATCCACCGATTCCTCCATCAACCTCTCGACATCACCCGCCACTCCGACATCCAGCGCTGGCGCGAAACATACCGAGGGTTAGATGGTGAATTGAACGATTGGCTGCAGAACCTGCCGGGCGAATACGGGAAGATCTCTCAACTCTGCCATTCGGACCCAGGAAGCAGGATTTCCAACTGGATCATGCTTCATGCGGCGTTTGTGACGTCCGTTATCCGTCTACATTCTTCCGCCGCATATCCCACGATTAAGTCTCCTGTTTTCACACCTTCATACCATGCCATCCAACGCTGCCTCGGCGCCGTGGAGAGCCTGAGGGAGATTGCCCAAGATGTTATGAATACCGGCATGCTTGCCCTTCTCGGCCATCCCTTTGCTTTTGCGCTATGGGTTTCTGCACGGCTACTTCTCGTCCACGCAGCGACCATGGAGTGCGAGGTGGATCCGAAAATCACGTTCTTCATCTCCACGCTCGAGCAGATGGGGCGACACTGGCAGGTTGCGGGGGACTACGCGAGAATATTGAACGATGTGGTACAAGAGGGAAGCAATGGTTCTGGGAGGACATTCACCGCCATGAGAAGGTAAGCGTCTTGGGAGCTCTCATCACTAGGGATACTGACAGGGTGTCTTCAGGTGTGCTTACGAGTTAAATCTCCTAACCTCGCAACGTCCTCGTTCTGTCCTCGACACCGTTACCACGCACAATTCATCGCAAAGCGAACTCGAATTCCTAGAGGTCTTTGACTTCTTCAACTACCCTCGATTGAATGCCATTGCGGGTAACAATGCCTTTGATCCGTCGGTGTCGGTCACGAATCAGAATCAAACAACGCCGACGCAGGGCCAGCCGCCGAATTATCGAGCCACGCCGGCTTTTGTCATCCCGAACCCGGAGAGTGATTGGTTGATATTTAAGCCGCCGTATGAATAGTATTCATCGGGTTAGCTCCTTCATTTGCCCCATCGTCCTAATGTTGCTCGACCATTGCAGTATATCTAATATGAACGCTGGGTACCTCGTGAGGGCATCACTAAGCAGGCTGACCAATGGCCACGACAGTATGGTAGGCAGACCACGTGGCAGGCGGGCCTACCGTCGTATTCAATATGAGCCTTACATCTATATCTTCGAGCCAGTGTACAGCGACACAGCGAATTTTAGCAAATGTCGTCGGCGATTTGAAGAGGGCGGTTGGACGAGAAACCTCAGGCAAACAGACTATGACAGCTGCCAGGCTCTCTGATACCGAATCTACCACTCCTCCGACATGTTCTCCCGGGGCCAAAACAAGCTGTGATTTACGACCCAGCTCGACGGCACTGCGAACAATAAGACGAATTCGAACTCCAACAAGAGAAAGGCCTGGATCTAGGTGGACAGATTCAGGCCTGCTGTGAGACGGATCATCAAACATCTGCCGTCAACACCGGAATCGACAGGTCTCATTTTGAGACAATCTCAGTCGACGTCACCGGGGATACGCATATTAAGACGGCCAAGCTAGAGCCTGTAGACTCTAAGCCATGCACCAATATAGTTAATTCACATAAGACAAGAGTGAAAGCACAAATATAGCTATTTATATCACTCAATCGAGAAGCCTCGAAGCCACAGTCCATCACAACCCTGCCGACTTATCCCGCATTAACTGGTGAATTCTTTCCTTCGTCCTACGAACCATATATCTACAAACCCAGCGCATAGCCGTCCAATCTTCCCTCCGATCCCAGAGCTGCGGAACCTACGCAAACGCCCCGGGCGAGGCCTTGCAGACGGCAAACCCGCCGAACTGGAGCACGCTGGCGCCGATAAATAGGTCCTTGAACACGTGGGCCGCGGTCATGAAGCTGAGATTCGAGCCGTCGTCAAAGTAGATCAGCTCGGGGGTATAGTTGGTCTCGCGGCGGAGGCGCAACGCCCCAGCCGGGACCAGGAGCTCTTTGCCCAGCGCTCGGACGTTCTCGAGATACTTCGGGAGGTCCTCGAGCGTGGGGAAGACTGAGATGGAGTGAATAATATGGTTAGAACTCCTGAGGGTATTGGGGACATGAATGGGCAGAGGGGTGAATCGGTGCAAGGATGGCTGGCTGGCTGGCAGGGCTTACCTGCGACGATGAGATCGCCTGTGCTTGGGACAACGTTGATGTTGTCTGCGGCAGCTCCCAGATCCTAGCATTGACGGAGCGATAAGCTACTGGCCCCTTCATTGTTGGCCGATATGGCAGGCGGGAGATATTTACTCACCACGGTCTGCAAATAGGTCAAGCTCTTGTCCCCGTGGACCTCGAACACGGTGACGGTTCCATTCTTCGAGTCGCCGACGTACAGACGGTCTTCCCACACGTTGATCCCGTTGGCGCCGGGGAAGGTCTCCGATACCTGTCTGCAGAGGATGTCCTGTTGAATGGGGAGGGGCACACGTGAGAATCCATGCACGCACAGGATCGAGCGTCGACTGTAGGCCTACATCTGCTTCTGCGTTGCAGTATTGGACATTCGTCGCCCAGCTCCATGGGCCGAACATCTCCTCCATCGCCCGCAGCGGACCCCCGGCGAAGTAATGGTCATTGGTCACGAAGAAGGCCCTGCCAGAGTGCGGTCAGCTTCGTGCGATCGAGGGGGTGACAGTCGACCTGTGTCATGTTACAATGGGCCCGTTGCGGCAACGCCGTTGGCAGTCTTGATATTGGGATGCTTGACGTTCTTCACCAGCTCGACCACGTCGGACCCGAGCGTGTGCGCGAATATGGCAATCGAGTCTCCGCTGCGCGCATGGTTGACGGCAAAGAGATGGATCTAACCCCCCAATATCTAGTCAGCCGAAACCTGGATGCAGTGCTTGGGGGGAAGAGAAAGGGCCGACCCGAGAAGGATCTCCAGGAAGGGGAAATATGTCGATGCCGTGCGTGATGAAGTCGCCTTCGAGGCCTTGGATCCGCAGCTCCGTGGTCTCGCCGGTCTCCAGATCATGCTTGAACAGCTGCTCACGAAAGGACGACTCGGCGCGGCGTGACACCGTCCGCACGCCGGCGCAGGGGTACCAATGCGTCCTCTCGACGGGGTCGCCGCAGGACAAGAAGGCCGTGTGTGACGGGAAATGGATCTTGACGTCCTCGCACGCGTTGGCGGCCCGGACGACCTGGCAGTCGTGGTTGTTGAGCGCCGAGCTGTTCTCCCAGCGCACGAGTCGGGTCTTGTCGATCTCCACGCGCCCGACCAGTCTGCCCAGCTGGGACGACTGGTTGTACAGGATGACTGAGATCAGGGGGAGCAATAGAGACAAGCGGAGTAGGCTCGACATGATGTTTTTGATTTCGTCTTCAAGACAGTCAAAGGCAGATGGGTTTCGGAAAATGCAGCGTCGCAAAGGATCTTAATGCCAGCATCATGCAGCCGCCCAAAGTTGTTTGCGGAGAAGAACGACATCCGATGACAACGATTCCTTGCCAAGGTCGATAGCCTATGACGATTCGAGAGTTGCTCATTGAGCTACCTTCTGTCATTTTCTGATTTCTTGCATATCGCCGAGGCTGGATCAAAAGATGAGAAGGCGTCGAGATCCCAGTCTCTGGGAGTCAGCAATGATGAGGAATCAATATACTAAGAGGATGCTTCCACCAACTAATTCACCAGCCGCGGTGTCTGGGCGTTGCTCATACACACCCAATATCCCGAGCCGAAGAATATATCGATTTGAGTGAGCAAGGCATCATTTCCCGCGATCCACGTCAACGCGGTCGGCACCTTTCACCCCAAAAGATCACGGCGAGACATCGTTCACAGCGCGGATCGAGACCCCTCCGGTGAGATCAGGACCATTGCTCCTCGTTCATCTCTGACTGAAATCCTTCTCGCAGCTTACAATGGAGCACCATGTCGGCACATATCGCCTTGAGAGTGGCCACACCACTACGCAGGACATACGCCAACAAAAACATGGAGCATTGATACGATAGTCTGCAAGGCCCAACAGCGCATATACGAGAAGTGGTGCTGACGTTCCTCCAATGGACCAGATAGGAAATGTGGGGCCCTCCACATTGTGGGATCGATATTGATACTGAGAGTATATGGATTGGGGTAAAGTATACAACCTTCCGACCCCTGACGAGGCTGGCACCAAGAAAGTCTGTTTGTTGGGCTTTTAGACCATTGGTGCGAAAGTTGAGACACCCTGCATCGCTCAGCTCTATCACCATGTCGACAGTCACAGTGGAACATCCTTCAATAGGGCCAGTCAGGGGGCTCGAGGGCGACGGCGTGTATCAATTCCTAGGGGTCCAATATGCCACCCTCGAAGACCGGCTGGCTGAAGCTCAGGTCAAATCAACATACGACAGTCCAGTCGATGCAACGAGTCACGGGTAAGTTGACTCTTCCCACAGAGCAATCGGGGGTGTTGACAACATTTTCAGACCCTCTTCATTCTCTCCGCCGAATGGATACGACAATGAGATGCTGTTTATTCAGCAATCTATGCCCAAACCACCCATTGTCCACGCGGATTTGGAATGCTTGAATCTAAACATCACGGTACCGAAAGGCCTGGGTGGCGTTGATCTCACGAAGCAAAAGCTCCCCGTCTTCATCTGGATGCACGGAGGAGGCTTCGTGGTCGGAGCGAACTCCTGGCCGCATTATGACCACGCCAAACTCGTCAAGCTGGCCAGTGACAATGGGGTTCCGGTCATTGGTGTGGGCATCAAGTACGTCTAACCCCCCTGTTCAGCAACTCCTAGAGAGACCGGGAACCAGATCTGGACACTGCTGAGGACAGATTAGCTTTCGTCTCGGTCTTCCAGGCATGTTGACTTCGGAAGAACTGCTCCAAAGAGGGTACAAACCCAACAACGGACTTCGTGATCAGAGCGCGGCGTTCCGTTGGGTCAAGCAGCACATCGCCGGGTTTGGTGGCGACCCGGATCAAATCACAGTGATTGGCGAGAGTGCTGGCGCGGGTATGTGAAAAGCCATGATTCAAAAACAAAACCCCTCAGATCTGCAGCTGATCAGAAATCGCAAGTTGCTACCACGCTACACCTGTATTCCAAAGAGCGACTCTTCAACCGCGCAGTGGCTACAGGTGGATCTTGCCTTCTCGTACCGGTTTTCGCCCCCGAGGACCAAGAACGCACGTATCAGCAGGTTCTATCCATCCTGGGCCTGGAGAAACTTGACGCCGAACAACGGATCCAGAAACTTTTGACATTGCCGATGGACGAGGTCATTGCAAAACTTCCCCCATCCGTTGCATTCTTGCCCACAATCGATGGAGACGTCATCCCTGTACAGCCGTCCTTTGCGGGCGTAGCCGATCCATCTGATCGAAGCATGCCTGGCAAGCAATGGGCAGAAGCTTTCATGATCGGGCACAGCGTATTTGATGTAAGTTCGAATAAGCCATAACGTGGCCGACCTGGTGGTCGTAAGAGGGTTTCTCGCGCCAGAACTGACCTGAATCTAGGCCTCCGTCCTTGGGTTCATGCTCGGACACCTGAAACCAGGCATACGGGAGAAATTCCCAGCGTCGATACGATCCTCTCTCTCGGCGACACCCGACGTCGCAGAAGCCCTCCTCGACTCGTACGGCTTCAAAGATTCGACGCTGAACGATGGAGACGCCTTCACCAAATTCCTCGAGTTCGTCAACGACGTCAGCTTCTTCGGCGCGACGACCTGCTTTGCCCGAGGCTGGCCGCTCTCGCCGCCCTCCGAGCCCAAGATCTTCACCTTCGTCTTCAACGAGCCCAATCCCTGGCCCGGCGCTTACCGGGGCCGGGCAACCCATGTCCTCGACGTCGTGTTCCTGTTCCAGAACCACAACCACAACCTGCCGCCCGCGCAAAGAGCCGCCGCTGAGGCGTTCGGCATGGACGTGGTCAGGTTCGTGGCCGGACAGAGGCCGTGGCAAGGGTACACGCCTGAGATGAGGGCCGCCAAGATATTCGGCCCGTCCACCGGCGACGACGAGGCAAAGGCGAATGCTATGGTCATTGAGGATGCCGAGTCAGTGGAGACGGGGAGAAGCAAGGCGATCCTGGAGATTGCGGAGAAGGTCGGGTTCGACAAGTTGAATGGGACGGTTGCGAGGTTCAGAATGGGTCTCTGAGGGGCATGTAGCATGGCACAGTGTGGAAATAGCCTTGCGCGTGGCGCGTATAGGGGTAGGCCCAGAATGTGTCCTTCCCCCCCTTTGTGTTCATGGGTCTCAGCCTCGTCGTGGTTGGGGAAGGTTGGGGGAGACACACAAAAACCAGAGACACATACACATACACATACAGACAGAACCCCACGTGGATTGCTCCCAATACTACTAGCCCTGCTAGATGGAGTGCCGTACCTCGCTCGCTAGGGTAGTCCCACTTCAGGGGAACTTGCTTGTGCTTGTAGTCACCTCCATGGACTTGTGCTTTGCAGCGGCGCCCGAGGCGGCGGGTTTGTCCACGACCGCCGCTATGTGGAATCGAGGACCTGCTCTCCCCGAGGACTCGTGAGATACTGCCACGGGTGCATTCGAGGAGCATCGTCTTTGGCCATGAAACTCACAGGCATCGCATCTCTTTAGTTGAGAAAGGGAGCGTGTGCGTTTTCACGGCTGTATCTATCTCGGCTCGAGTTATTGTGCATACAAGTGCGTGTTTCGGTGTCATCGAAAATCACCACTTTCCTTCCAGGGAGGCGGTCAGATGCTTTGTTCGGGTGGAAGTGCTCGTGGTAGGTATCGAAGATGAAAGCAGGCTGGTGTTGAACAAGTTTGAACCATCAGGTGCTCGTTATGTGTTACTATGTAGAATCTAGATACATACATGTTCCGCCCAAAATGGTCTTGGATCTGGCGGCTGGGTAGGCAGAGTGGTGATGGATCCTCCTACTCTCCCTGCGGTGCTCTTGAAGAATATTATTGTGGAGAGGCCAGTCTCATTCTGCAGCATTCATGACGACTAGACGCTCTCTGGGCAACCCAAAGATTCTAGAATCACACCCAGAAACTACTCCTCATGCGTCCGGATGTGCATCTTCTCGAGCAGGTTATTCCGGGCCCAGTAGCTGCGGTATTTCTTGCCCAGGAAGAACATGGCGGGCACGGTGGCGATCAGGGCAAAGGCGACGCCGCCCCAGACGTAGAAGGCGTGCTGGGCCCCGACCTGGGCGGTCCAGTTGTTGACAAAGTAGCTGAAGCCGTAGAGGATGAGGTTCTTGACGGCCATGCTGGCGATGAAGATTTCGTTGGCCATGCCCCGGTACGCGTCCAGCGCGTAGTTGGACGTGCCGATGCACAGGAACATGACCCCGAACAGCATCAGGCCGTGCACGGTCGCGCACGCGTACGGGGATGCCCCCTCCGACACCAGGTGCCCGAACAGCATCAGCCCCACGCCCGAGCACACGCCCAGGACGCACGGGATCAGGCGGTACTCGGGCTCGTAGACGCCGCGGTTGCGGCGCGCGCACCACTTGATGAACGGGTCCGAGAGCGCGCCCATGATCACGGAGCCCAGCACCCCGCCCACGAACGGGCCCAGGGACAGGTAGCCGATGCTGGCCGGGCTGAGGAGGTACGGCGGCGGCGCGAACAGCTGGGCCAGGCAGAACGCAATCACCACGTACAGCACCACGTACATGGAGTTGATGACCAGGATCCACAGCACCGCCAGGTTGAGGACCACGGCGAAGGGCGCGAGGAGCAGCTGGAAGAAGTTCTCGTGCGAGTACGTGCCGCTGAAGATGGCCAGCTCCTGCGCGAACGTCTTCTTGTGGTAGACTGGCGCTCCGTCCAGGGGAGGCGTCGAAGAGGCGGCGGTTTCCTCGGTGTGCGTGGCCACGCCGGGCTTCTCCATGTTCAGCTTCTCCTGGTACTCGAGCGCCGCGAGGTCCTGGAGGTTGTCGTTCTTGATCTCGTCGATCTCGTAGCGCCGGTCGCGCACGTAGCTTGTCTCCGGGACGAAAAAGAATTGGAGGATGGTCTGGATCCCGCCGAACAGGACCAGAAGGTAATAGCTGGCCAAAAAGTCGATCAGCACGACCAGTTCCCAAATTCTAAAATGGCAATGGTCACAGAAAGAGGGCCAAAAACTTACAGCCATCGCCATCCGATATTCGATGCGATTGGGCCAGCAACCACGCCCGTCAGATTCGAGATCCCAGCCAGGATGAAGTTGATGCAGGATGCGTAGATGCCACGCTCGTGGACGAAAAACATGTCACTGATCAGAGTAAAGATCAGAGATTCGTAGGGTGCAATCGCGAACCCTTGCAGAATCCGCGAGGTGAGCACTCCCTCGTAGGTGTCGACGCAGGAGCCCACAATGTCGGCGATGAGACAGAAAACCGAGGCAAACAGGAAAATCGGCCTCGTGCCCCATTTCCTCGACAGGGCCGAGAACAGCGGACCCGTCACGCCGATGACCAGTGTCTGGTAGCCCGAGCTCAGCACGAGCTTGGGGATTGTGGTGTCGATCTCGATGGACATCTCGTAGAAGGCCGAGTTCAGCATGGCGCTCACGACGGCGGCGTAGAGGATCGATCCCCAGCAGGTGATGCCCAAGGCTGTGAGTTTTTTCGTGTAGGGCCAGTTGAGCGGGTCGTTGGGATCGTTAGACGGCTGCGGTACTAGCACAATGTGCGCGTTGCGCCCCGTGCCATGCTTGAGGCCGCCGGTCACATCCTGTGAGTGCGCGGCGTCTTCTTCGAGGATGACGGTGCCGGGGACGTGCGGGAGCTTGGTGTCGTCGATAATGCCGAGAAACGGCATCTTGAGTGGCTGGATATGGTGATCCGGATCGCCCTGTAAGGATGGAAGGATGACACGAAGTTGAGAGGGAGATGGAGCTCGAGGGCGGAGGGAGGGCGCGGAGTTCGGCCGTCTCTTATAACTTGGATCTTTCTGAGGATGTCGAAGAATAATAAATTCCCTGCAGACCCATGACTCAGAGAGCTCCCTGCCACACGCGGTGCAAGCCTTCAGTCAAGCGAGAAGAGATTCCCCGACATCAAGGCTCCCAAGTCGACCATCGCCAGCCAATGAATGGCCAGAAGCCTCCACCGCCCCATGCGCCCCACCTTCTCCAACCGCCCGCCGCTTTTCCATTTGCGGATGAATCTGGAGAGCTGTCTGGGGTCGCCGTCTTAATATGCGGAGTCCTTTTGAGTATACGGACGACAGAAATATGTCCGCGTCAAGGGAGGGAAGAGACGTGGGGTACTCCAACTTCCTTACGTGGCTAGACAGCCCAGATGCATCTTGATCCAAGATTGTCTCTGCCATGTGTTTCTCTCTCTTGCCAGGGGTTATCCATCTCTTGTTGGCCGGATGCCCACGCTCCGCGCCTCGATATGATGCTCTCCAAAATGTTGAATAGTGCCATTCTCCGAATTGCTGCAGGTCCAATAGGCTAGAGTTCTGTCGCCGAGTCCGGTTACGAGGCGGCATGGACGATGTGGACGATGTGACGACAAGAAGAGATTGTATAAAGACAGCCTTGCAGCAGCATCCAGTGAAGTGCCCGGACGATACAAGTGATCTCAACGAAGCATCTACGATTGAAAGCGTGAATGCCCGCGAGCTCACACAGCCTCAGCAGTGGACAATGCAATCTCTTTTGTTGGGAGACTCCAAGCAGCAAAGGCTCTCATGAGTTCGCGTCAAGATCTAGGATGTTCTGCGGCAACATGTACGAGGTAGGTATAAACATATTGACGTCGTGAGTACGGTGGAAATATTTTTGGTCTCGTTACATATGTTGGCGCTTTAAAAGGCAGAGCGACGGCACCTTGACTGATATTCTATGTATTGTGACGCTCTGTTCCCGGAAAGCGATGTCACGGGAGAACTTTTCAAGTTGAACCGGTTTCCAAGATTCTGTACAAAATATAAGTAGGTATTTGGATATTGCATTACCCTCAGTCATCTGACGTTCAATTTAGCCATAGCCCTTTTCCTGCACAACTAACCACTGACTCCAAGCGCCTTGCTTTTGTCCTGCGGGTATCAATCTTAATTGTTCTCACTTTTGTTGTGCTCCAGCCGACCCGGCCACCAGATCATCACATACTAAACCAAAAGACGCTCATGGTAAAGGCCCGTGTGCCTCCGATGCAGGCTCAAGCGTCGGTCTCAGAGGCACAGGACCTGCTGAGCTACCTTTCAAGGGCGCGAGAATCCGCGAAGGCACTTCTCCCTGCAAGACCTGTTCACGGGTGATCTGGAGCATATCGCTAGGCAATCCCATGCTGGCCAAAAACGCAACAGTATCTTTCCACTCCGCCTGCTTTCTCTTCTCACTCCACTTCAATTCTTCAGCCATGATGTCAATCACTTTGGGCAGAGCATGTAACGCTGCCTGTGCATTCAGGAAACTCAATCTGGTACGTCTTGCGAGGACATCGACTGCGGTTTGCGCGTATTCGCTGCGCACGGCATAGCGGACCTCACCGTCAATGAATGGATACAACGATGATAGTCGCTGACCACGAAGGGGATAGTGTTCGGTGTTGTCGGTGGGAGAAGCCAGCGCCGCAACATCCCAGGCTCGGTCGCCGTAGTCGCTGGCCAAATGCTTGGCAACATCTGGGTCGAGGCCAAAATGCTGGATAAGGTTGATGAAAAGAGTTGTCGAGTACCCGTGAGCTCCAATTAGTCGGATATGATGCGTTTGACACGTTCCATTGAGAAGTCCAACCGAAGGATCAATCCCATTGACACCGCTGATGTCCGGAACGTAGGCGGTTGGCTTCGGTTGTAGCTTGAATGTTTCAATCGCTTTATCAACCGCATCCTCAGCCATTTGTCGGTATGTCGTCCATTTGCCACCGGCGCAGGTCAGCAGCCCTGAGTCTGAGACAGTAACAAGATGGCTCCGGACAAGCGATTCCGTCTTTCTCGAGTTGGGATCACGGACAAGGGGACGTATACCTAGACGACGAGTGTCAGTATAGATTTTCACTTCACAAAAATCAAGGAAAACTCACCTGACCAGGCGGCAAGAATGTCCGACCTCCGGACGTCAATGTCTGGAGTAAGATACGTCCGAATCTCGTTCAATATCCATTCAATATCTTTCTCTCCAGCCACTGGGTTCTGGGAGATGGCACAAGGAGCGTCTGTCGTCCCGGCGATGGTATTACCTTGCCATGGGAGGAAGAAAATGACACGCCCATCAGATGTAGAGGGGTCGATGAGGCCCATATTTTCAGGACTGAGGTATCCGGGCAGAACAACATGCACACCCAAGCTCGGTGCAACAATCTCCTTGTCACTGGGAGAGTCCATTTGCCGGATGGCGTCGGAAAATGGTCCTGTCGCGTTGATGATGCCTTTCGCTTTGACAACAAACTCTTCGCCGTTGCGTTTTCCATCCTTGTCTGCAATCAGATCTCGTACCTTGGCACCCGTCAATTTGCCGTTCGCATCCTTCTCCAGGCCTGTCACTTCCAAATGGTTGACTGTCGTGGCCCCGTACAATGTCGCGGTCATGGCCAGGGAAATATTCATCCTTGAATCGTTGTGCTGGCCATCGTAGTACACGAGAGCACCGATGAGATTCTCCTTCTTCAGCATGGGAAATGCTTCTAGAGCCTTGCTTCTAGGTAGAAAGTAAGAGCTTTCGATTCCCTCCGAGCCAGCCAGGAAATCGTAGAATTTGGTTCCCGCCCAGAAGTATGGTGCCTGCCACCACGCCTGCAGGGGCAGCATAATCGGTAGCCAGGACGACAGATGCGGCGCCGTGTACAGGAAACTCTTTCGCTCTCTCAAAGCCTCTCTGACAAGCTGGTATTGATTGTAGTCCAGATTCCACACTGCTTTTTCGAGATATCGAACTCCGCCATGGACAAGTTTGGTGGATTTGCTGCTTGTACCGCTGCTGAAATCGTCTCTTTCCACGATTGCCACTTTCAAGCCTCTGGTGGCTGCATCGAGGGCGATGCCTGTGCCCGTAGCTCCGCCGCCAATAACGAGAAGGTCGTAAATCTCGGAGGACGGCGTCGAGGAGGATTTCTTGAGGTCGGCAATCTGTTCGGCTCTCGTCTTGATGTAGGGGAACTTGGGTGGGATGATGTTTCCGTGCTCGTCTCTCCTGGGCGGTTTCGGCGCGAGCGTTTCTGCTCCCGGGACGTTTCGAGGACGGTAGATAATATACATGCCTGCGGTACCCGCCGCAGCCAGACCTGTGCCGTACGCCAACGGCTTGAGTAGCCGGCGCATGGAGAATCGGGAGGCCATCGTAGGAGGAGTGCACCGAGTAGCGGCCGGCAAGGAGGTCGTCAGGTGAGAAACAAGGACCTTGTGAGCATACACTTGCAATACCCCGAGGTTACCAATACGGTAGGGAAGGTGAGCAAGCTGAAGTCTCTGGCAATCAACAGAGTGATAGAGCTATGTCAAGGAGGATGCCAGCTGCGATATTTGAAGGAGTCGTAAATGGCTCTGGATCGACAAGCAGTCGAGAGGGAACGCAACATGGCGGAGACGCATTTCTGCCATTGACTGCACTCGGGGGATTTGCATGACCGAGCTCGAGAGGCAAACTGAGCCCAGCCCGCAACACGAGCTTTGGACGACCCCGGATCTGCTAGGCATCTCGCGTGATGCTGAGTATTGAACTTTGTGGCTCGTACGCAGGGAACCTTGGCCATTGCGGAGAAATTAGTGAGGGACGCAGTGGCTCGGGCTGATTGTTCCGACTAGATTCCGGAAATTGAGGCGTCGGGGTTGGTTCCCCGAGGTACAGCAGGGCGCAATAGACCTCTTTATACAGGTTTCCCGATCGGGCATTTGTGCCGCCTTCCTTTTCACCAGCGTCGTATTGCGGATGGATCTCAGGAACCGCACAAAAAACTTTGTCCCTGAAGAACAAGACATCGGCCGTATCTTGCCACCACCGACGTACCGAGAGATCGGCCCATGGATATCGACGACTTGAGACTCAGCTGACATGGTTTGATTCGCTCAGCTTGGACGTCCTCGATTCAGTGCTTCTTATGTGGCCAACTTCGGCCATCTCCGCTCTGAAGGAAGGACGTTTTCCTCAGCAGACACGACGTGCGGCTTTCTCAGTTTTATGTAGATGGATCATGCCACTTGTAGCACTGTACTATGATCCGAGATCTCCCAGAGATGCTGTATCCACCCCCAAAGACCTTGGTTAGCCTCCAGAAGATAACGTTGTTCCCCTGAAATGCCAGCCCAGCACCTGTTGACTGCAAAATGCCAATGTATAAATCACAGATGGGCCTATCGACTGAGTCTATCACAATTCGAATTATGAATAGATGAGTTTGCAGCTACGTTGACTCATACATTAGTTACCATGTCTAGAGCGCAGTTTGCATTTGGAGGAAACACCATAAATTGAAGGAAATATACATTTCTTCAACATAATTGATTGGTCTGCCATCATTGTCCTCGATAAATATGTACAGAAATGGTCAACGCCTGCGCTTACGGCTCTCCCCAAACCCGTACAAATGTAGCCGTCCCGGTATAGAGTCTTTCTCTTGGAGCACCCAAAATAACAACCATGTGCTGAATCACACCTGGCTCTCGGTGTTGGCAGTGTAGGTGTTCGACCAGACCGATCGCTTCGGCTGCACAAAACGTTTCAAGCCCATATAAGGAGTATTGATCGGGCTCTCGCCAGTAAAGAGGAACATATCATAGAGCCAGCCACCAAATGCGCATCCGCAGAAAGGGGCAACCATTGGGACCTTTTCATGGATTGTTAGCTTCAGATCGTCCACATTCTCGGACTACTTGTGTGTGAACTTACCCAGAAGTAGTAGCCGCCAGCGCTCCACACCTCGTGGCCATAACCGATCATATAGCTGACCAGACGAGGACCGAAGTCTCGAGCAAGGTTGATGGCATAGCCAGTTTCCCAGCCGAAGCAAGCACCAATACCAAAGATAACGAAGAAGAGAGCCAGAGGCGTCAGATTTCCTGCACCGATGTTTCCGTCGTCCTTCAAGGCGTAGATCAAGAACATCAGGATAGCGCTGGCAATGAATTCCGAGAAAAACTGGCCGGTCTTTGTCATGAACGGTGCCGGATAGGTGCAAAAGATGCCCGCGGTCGAGGTCTCGCCACCGACAGTACGGATGCCGGCACCTCCTTCGAAAACATCGATTGCGGACTTGTAGTTGGCATAGACAATCGCAGACGCCACCATAGCGCCAAGGGTCTGCGCAAGCATGTAGATAGGAAATTTTCTCCAGGGAAACTTCCTATAAATGCAATTCGATAATGTTACTGCCGGATTTAAATGCGCCCCTGAGATGCCAGAGGTGTAAACTCCCAGCATGACACCAAGACTATATAACTGTTAGCGATTTGGGCCATTGAAAAGCATATAGGGCAGATGTGCATACCCCCAGCCCCAGGAAATTGATTGGTAGTCACCCTTTGTGCCTCCACTGAGGACTACCTGAGCGACGACACCATCACCGAAGAGGATGAGGATGAAAACGCCAAAGAATTCCGACAGGGGTTCTCGAAGGAAATGTCGGATTCGACTCCAAGCTAGATCTGGTTCTTGTTGCACCGCATCCGCTTGAGGAATCTTGTGGTCGACAAGAGGGCCATGCTCAGCAAAAGCAGGGACGTCTTGAACAGAGGTTCGTCGTCTCTGCTCCTGAGGGACATTGAGGTGTTCTTGGTGGGTGATGTTGCCCATTGTCGCTGGCTGTTTCTCCAAAGATAGAGAGGAGGAGGACGTTGACATGAAAGAGAAGAAGGTGGCAATCTGGACAGCGAGATGTTGCACGGGTTTGTGGGGATTGGGAAGAATGAGAGGTTGCCCATGGGGAGAGGACCTGCGTTATATAGACGGATACCACCATGGTATAAACTCCATGATCCCGCCTTCTCTCCCTCGAACTCCACTATGTGTAATCTCGAGCGCCGTTGCAAGTGATACCGAAAACGTAGAAACAGAGTTAGCCTAGGAGACAAGGTGCTGTGGCCGACACGAGCCCGTTGTGTCAAATCTAGAACCAAACTGTGCATGGGGCCGGAACACCCGCACGTTTGTCCTGCATAATTCACAAGCTCGTGGCTTGTACGCGACCAATGATGCAGTATGACGGCCAAGAAAATCCTTCCACTCAGATGCTTTTCCTTTAGCTGATATCGCCGAACTTCGCACGACCGGACCCGGATGCCCTTGAAACTCTCTCGGACGCCACATACCGACCTGCATAAGGGTCTGGGAGAGTTGCTCTCCTTTCAAAGGGTCTTTGGCATGCACAAGGCTGATACCAATATCGATACCTTGCAATTTCATGAGCTGTCAAAAGGTTCATCGAGCGGTGGCGGTTGGCAGTCAGCTGTCAATCAATAATGTAAGACAAAATTGACCACACAAATGTCATCTTCTGCTCCTCAGTCACGTTCACATTGCCTTTTCAGGGTGGCACAGGTTTACCCCCGGGTGGACACGAGTTCTTGCCAGCAAATGCGACGTAGCAAAGGCAGAGGAGGCGTAAGAACAAGCGGGGCGAAACCAGGAGGCACGTCGGCTGACAGCGGGACCGGTACCGAACGGAGAAACAGTTTCGCCGACTTCCATATTGCGGGGGCAGGCGGGGGAGCCTCGGCAAATGCACGTCGGTTGCACGTCCCCGAACTTCTCTTACTCAACTTCTTGGCCTCTCCATCCTCCCTCCTCGCTCCTCTTCGTTGCTTCCGCTCACCCCCGCAAACAGCTGCTTTCAGTATCACGTCGCAAACGGTTTCCTAGGCCGGCTCAGCTGCAGTCCACAGCAGCTATTATGTCACTTTCCACTCCTCCCCCGCCACGCGCTGTACCCCTGATCTTTCCCGCACCTTCTTGCAATCCGCCCGCCCTTCCCCATGCCCGTCGCCTGTCCCTGACCGAGCTTTACCAGCCGCGTGGAATGGAAGAGGAGGTTTGGCTGTGGAGTTCGGGGTTGCATTGTCCGGGAGAGCTCGCAAAAACGTGCGCTGAAGACCGAACAAACACCAACTGGGGACTCCAGCATGCTGTGCCTTGAGCTCGCGTAAGATTCGACCTTTACGAGGACCAGCGACCCGCTTCAATGTGGTACAGCTCCCAGGGCCAAGGGTCATGCGACCGTGTGCCTTCGACACGTTTTCTGCAAGTCCACATACTTCGGTGTTCCCCCGCTGTTGTTCTATATAACACAGCCCCCTCCCCTCCACAGAATCTCTCCAGGCCTCCAGTGTTCCAGTCCATCCCCAGATCCAGACATTGGTCCCAAGACTTGCTCACATATCTTTGAAACTTTATGAATTTCCTGCGAAAGGTCACCATGGGCAGTACTCAAGAAGTCTTTGTCGGTTCCATCGATCAAGGAACCACCAGTTCAAGGTTCCTGATCTTCAACAAGCGAGGCGAGCCCGTTGCCTCGCACCAGCTTGAGTTCAAGCAGATTTACCCGCATCCTGGGTGAGTGGTGCTGTTTCCCTCAAGACAGGACTCCTGTGCTAACCGCAGAACACAGCTGGCATGAGCATGACCCGCTGGAGATTGTTTCCTCAGTGGAGAAGTGTATCGATGGCGCAGTCCAACAATTCCAAGACCAAGGCCACAACATCAACACCATCAAGGCCGTTGGTATAACCAACCAGCGTGAAACCACTGTTCTATGGAACAAGGAGACCGGAGAGCCCCTGTACAACGCCATAGTCTGGACCGACCTAAGGACACAGGCTCTGGTGCGAAAGCTGAAGCACCGACTCGGGGCTGACAAGCTCACTGACATCTGCGGACTTCCGCTTTCCACCTATCCTTCAGTGGGCAAGTTGCTTTGGCTGCTCGAGAACGAGCCCAAGGTTAAAGATGCTTATGAGAAGGGTGTTCTGGCTTTTGGCACAATCGATGCGTGGCTTGTGTATAAACTCAATGGAGGTGAGCTATTTCTGGATGGCTTTGCAACCACCATGTACTGATGTCGAGAACCAAAGGCCCGAAGAGAAACATCTTCGTCTCTGACCCTTCAAATGCATCGCGAACGATGTTCATGAACCTGAACACCCTCGAGTACGACGACTCCCTTCTCGACTTCTTCCGCATCGACACCTCAAAAATCCATCTCCCTAAGATCGTCCATTCCTCCGACTCCTCAGCATATGGCTCCCTCACCTCAACCGTCCTTAAGGGTGTCCCAATCACTGGCTGTTTAGGAGATCAGTCGGCTGCTCTGGTCGGTCAGAAGGGCTTCACACCAGGCCTCGGCAAGAACACGTATGGAACTGGTAGCTTTATCCTTTACAACGTGGGCGACAAGCCCGTTATTTCCACCCACGGCCTCTTGACCACCGTGGCGTTTGATTTCGGTGGCAATACCAAGCCCATGTACGCGCTTGAAGGGTCCATTGCAGTGGCCGGCTCGAGCGTCAAATTCCTTGTTGACAACTTTGGATTCATCGACAAATCCTCGGAGATCAGCCAACTGGCCGAGACTGTCGAGGACAACGGTGGTGTCACATTCGTGACTGCATTTAGCGGCCTCTTTGCGCCCTATTGGATTGACGACGCTCGCGGAACCATCTTCGGTATCACAGCTTACACGAAGCGTGGGCACATCGCTCGCGCAACATTGGAAGCGACGTGCTTCCAAACCAAAGCCATCCTGGTGGCTATGGAAAAGGATTCGGGCCACAAACTTAGCGAACTAGCCGTCGACGGCGGCATGTGCAACTCGGATTTGTGCATGCAGACGCAATCCGACCTCATTGGCATCCCCGTTAAGAGACCCGCGATGCGCGAGACCACAGCCCTGGGCGCAGCGATCGCAGCTGGTTTGGCTGTTGGTGTCTGGGACAGCATTGACGAGTTGAAGGATGTCAACATCGAGGGCTCCTCGGTCTTCAAGCCTGCCATGAGCAAGCAGGAGAGTGACCAGCAGTTTGCGCGATGGCAGAAGGCCGTGGAGATGAGCAAGGGCTGGGCAAACTGAAATCGAGCCGAGGACCTCTTCAGACGTGTAGAAAGGCTCGGGTCTTGTAGCGTGGTGTCAATGGCGTTCATCCGTTGATGATGTGTGATTATTGCGGTCAACCGATGTGAAAGGCTCGGGGAATGAGTGGTTTGGGATTCCACGGTTTCAGTCGAAAAAGAAAAGGTTCAGCATATGCAATGTAGAGCTACCGATCATCCGCGGTAGTCACATAGGTTGCAGTTTTCCAAAATTGTGAAGTTGGACGTTGCTCCTCTGATCCTCGAACCATCTCCGTAACATCCGAACTTCTCTGACCATAGAGGACATCTGGCATGGCAGATATAGATATCCGTGGGCACGCATTGCACTCGAATAGAAACCTAAATGCATCAGAGTCAGCCTGAGAAACTTTACAGGAAACTCAGTAATATATGTTGTTGAGCCCATCCCTCTCTCACCTCCCCATCCCCCCATCCGGTGCAGCAGCAGGAGCAGCAGCACATCCCACGATATGAAGATCATCATCGTCGGCGCCGGGATCGGCGGGCTCTCAGCGGCACTGGCTCTTGCGCTGCAAAGGCCACCCCAGCATAGCGTGACGGTGCTGGAATCGGCGCCGCAGCTGGCAGAGATCGGCGCGGGCGTGCAGCTGACGCCCGACGCCATCAAGTTCTTCTTCCGCTGGGGGCTGCGCGACGATATCGTGGCCAGGGCCGCGTTCCCAGGCACGTTCTTCATCCACGGCTGGAAGGACGGGCGGGTGCTAGGGAGCGTCGACGTAAAAGCGTTGGAGGTCGAGTACGGCGCGCCGTATGTCGTCGTGCACCGTGGCGTGTTGCACGAGATCCTGCACCGCCATGCCGTCAGGGCGGGGGCGCAGGTGAGGGTCGCGTCGAGGGTGGTCGAGTATGATTTCGAGGGCGGCGCCGTGGTGTTGAAGGATGGCAAGAGGATGGATGCGGATTTGGTCGTTGCCTGTGACGGTGAGTTAGTCAGTCCACCACCGCACGTCTTTACCCCCTTCTTTTTTTTCCATTTTACCTTGATGATCGCGGACACCGTCTCACTGGAAAGGACGTGAGTGAGTCAAAGGCATCAATTCCTTTGCCCGGACGCAGTTCCTCAGGGAGCAGGACCGAGGCGCTCAACGAACCGGCTGGGCGGCATACCGCACGATGGTAGACGTCGCGAGCATCCAGGCGAACCCTGCGACGGCCGACTTGGTCGAGCAACACAACAACCACCTTTGGTACGTACAAAAGAGCCCTACGCTGCTCCCCTCGCACCATGGACTCATCCCAGTGGAATCTAACGATGTTGTGTCGCTGGGTAGGATCGGCGAAAACTGCTCAGCCATGACCTACATGATCTACGAGTCCACCAAGCTCAACATGGTGCTCTCGCACCGGGACGACGTCGACACCACGGCCTGGACACCCTCGCAATACCACGGCACAATCAAGTCCCTCTTCCACGGGTGGGACGGCAAGCTCACGAGTCTGATCGACATGGTGCGTGCGGACACCATCAACAATTGGCCCGTGTATCAGGTCGAGCCACTCCCCAGCTGGGTGTCAAAGTCCGGCAAGTTCGTGCTCATGGGCGATGCCGCGCATGCAATGGCGTTCTATCTGTCCATGGGCATCTCCATGGCCGTGGAAGACGCGGTTGCGTTGGCAGAGTGTCTTTCGCTGCTGGAATCAGCAACGACGACATGCAGCACCGATACGAAAGGCGATTGTGCAGCCAGATCCAAACCAAGACCATCTCTCTCATCCGCCCTCGGTCTCTTCGAATCGGTCCGCAAACCCCGTGCTGAGGCAGTCCAAGCCGCCAGTCTTCGCGCCGGGAACATTTTGCACCTTCCACCCAGTGCCGCGCAGGAGACGAGGGACGCCATGTTGCAAGTCGACGGAAAAACGGAGAGTGAGGAAGATAGACAATACGTGTATGGGATCGCCGACCGGGAGACGAGGGACTGGTGTTATGGGTATGACGCCGCCTTGGAGACGCGAAAGGCTTGGAGCGAGCTATTCGGGTAGCGAACAGGATCCTCAGGACCGGAGAGAAGACTGAGTATATAATCTGAGAATGGCTCCTCATCGGCACTGGAGGGCGAAGAAATAGAGACACTGGAGGGCAAAAGGCAGGGCATCACAGGGACAATGGTATGGGAAACAGAACAGAGCAGGTAAAACGGTACCAGCGAATGGCAAAAGGAAATCTGAGATGGCGAGTTGGATTCTCTTAGAACTATTTGGCTATGTGCAAGTGCTCGCCTCGTTGCCATAGAATGAAGGCAAGGCTGATCAGCCGCCATATGCCACTGATATACACTCCGTTGATGATGCTGACTTCGGACGAAGTAAGCCGACAGAAAACACAATGATTGTCACTCATACCGCCGTCTTGACGATTGAACCTGTCCCCCCCTCAAGGCCATCAATCGAATGGCGTCCTCAAAGATGGGACCCTTTACTCTTCGAAGCCGTAGCCCAGGTTTGAGTCAATACCAAATCTCTGTGTACAAACGCCACCCTCAATGAAGGGACGAATATGTCGAGTCCTTCAACTCAGGCACGTTTCATTCACTTTTGAGAATCGTCGTAGCTTATTGTTTTCCGGTATTTGACTTCATAATTCCCTATAGTCTGCCTGTCGAGGCTTGCGGTTCCGGTTGATGTGCCGGTGCGGATTGACAGGCTGCCGCATATACGCATTGTCTTCTTCATTTCCTACATGCCGTTGTTGATTGGAAAACCTATTGCCTGCTGGGCCAGACGGCGGATAGAAACCCTGGCTCTGGCTTTGGCTCTGGTTCTGGTTCATCAGTGCCTTGGGACCGGTGGGAACTCCTGTCATTCCAGCCGGCTGTTGGGGTGGCGATGGTTTGGACTGCTGGTTGAAGTTTGGGTTGCGATTGGGGCGATTGTTGTTGTATTGGAAGTTGTTGGGCCGGTTCTGGCTCAAGTTGGTGTTGGGATTCTGGTTCTGGTTCATGTTCATGTTCATATTCATGTTCCAGTTGGGCATTTGACCTGGATTGGCGAAGTTCATGCCCATGCCCATGTTCATGTTACCCATATTCTCCGGAGTCATGCCATTCATGCCATTCATCATCATGGGGTTCATGAAATTCATCGGGTTCATGCCGTTCATTCCATTCATTCCATTCATTCCATTCATTCCACTCATGCCCGGCATGCCCATCCCCATCATCATCGGATTCATCATCATCGGGTTGAAGCCAGGCATCATGGGCAAGGTCATGTTGTTGCTCGATTGCATTTGAGACAAGTCGGGTGGCATCATGTCCGTAGGCAGCACGCTATTACTCTCCGGAGTCTCCGTCTTCTCCTTGGTGGCGTTGACCTCTGCATCGGCCGCCTTTGGTGTGGACGACACTGCGTCTCCAGACTTCTGTCGCTTCATGGCTGGTGCTGCAAGGCTACCTGAAGGTGTTGCTCCGTCGACTTCACTGGCACTGCGCTTTCTCGCCGAGCCAGTGGCTGACTGAGGCGTTGCAGAGCCATCTCGAGACTCTGGACGTGAACGTGGAGTGTCTTTGGCCTTTGGTGAATCGACACCCACCGTGGGACTTCTAGACCGTTGCTTCTCAGCAGCCTTTTCTGCTTCATACTCTTTGATTTTCTTCTTCATGTCCTCGTCTGGCTCAAGACGCTCGAGGCTGATATTCTCGGTCTCACAGCCAGGGCATGTGAGATCGTTTTCAAGTAATGCATTTTCGATACAAACGTGACAATATGTCTTCCCACAACAAGGTGTCTTCATTGGGTCTACAAACAAGCGCTTGTCGATCGAGCATTCCAAGCCTCGATCTTGCAGCTCCTTGTCGCCAATTTGCTCTTTCTTCTGGGCCGCTTCGGCAGCCTTGACCTGTTCCAGGTGTTTTCTCCATGCCTTCTCATCCGCTTGCGCAAAGACGTACTCTCCCTCGGCGTTCACCATAAGATTTTGTCTTTGAGCATCGTCGAGCTTGTCAATATCTGCTTGGTCGATCTTCTTCAGCATCGACCGAGGAATTCCAGTTGTCCGTTTGATCCGGTTCTTGTTGTCGTAGGAAGCGTCGTCATTGGTGGGACAGGCCTGAATCCAGTGCCCTGGGACTGTTAGCGACCGAAGCCTACAAACGATGGACGGATGAGTTCTTACCTTTTTTGCCACAGCGATAACAGATGTAGCCGTGGGGAGGTTCGCCCTCGGGAATATTGGTTTTTTTATTGAACGGTTTTCCCTGCATCGGGACACGGGTCTCGTGTGACATTTCCTCTTGCTTTTGCTGCCACTGCGCATCGGTGAATTGAAGCATAGCTTGCAGCTTCTCTTGTTCCGTCATTGCCTTGGCCATATCCACCGTCTTGCGAGGCTTGCTCGCGATACTTGAGGTCGTGGGCTTTGCACTGACTGGGGGCTTGCCAGACACATAACGAGCAGCACGCCCTTTCCCGGGCGCTGAGGCAGGTAATCTTCGGGCGAGGACAGTCGAATCTTTAGGAATTATCTCGGTATCATCCGTATATTCTAGATAACCGTCAGCGACAGTTCAGGTCGGCATTGTGTGACCTATGCGAGCTTACCTTCATTGCTGTTCTCCTTGTAGATCTTCAGGTCAAAGTCTGTGCCATCGCCTAGCCGCGAAATGTTGATGATTTCACGTTTCAGGTTCCAGACATCGGTATGAGGGCCATCGATGGTTACACGCTGAGGTTCTTTTTGTGATTTGAACTTGAAATATACGTAAGAGGCCATGGTGGCAACGCCTGGCAGCGGCTCAGGACCAGCGGAGTAGGAAGTGTGTGTGTGCTTGTCGTATGAAGCTGAAGGTGAGCAACAGGTTGAGGGTGCGGTAACTTTTGGCGTAGATAGATTCCAAGGGATACAGAGTCAAAAGCGACAGGGGGGCAAAAGGGAGATGTTATTGTAAGTAAACGAATAATAAGTCCAGCTTGAGAGAACTGAGGTCCAACTCAGGCGAGCCTGTTCCCTTCACCAGTCGTTCTTGCACTGCACTGCCAACGCAGATCTGCCACTCGCGACAATGACACGCAAAAAGTCCCACTTTCCTGAATATGATGCCAGCTCTTGACAGGGAAAATTCCTTTCTTTTCACTTTACAAGAAGTGCTGATTGCAGGGAGACAGTCTCCGTCACGATGATTTTAAACCCTTCCAGGACTCCTGTCTGAAGGGCCGGCACGTGGTCGAAGCGGCCGTTTGCGGAGAGCGATGATAAAGCGAACACAATGAAATGCCCAGTCAAACCCAGTCCGATCCTATGGTGAAATGCATGGAACTTGTGGATGTGGAAGGCGAGGATGAAGTCGGGATGAATGGTTGATGGAATCAGAGGCGCCTGGCTGACGGCGATGATGGGGGGAAGAAGTGGTCGGAATCAGAAAGAGGCGCAGGCAGCCTTTTTATTCGGCCTGGCGGAAAACTGCGCCCAGTGGGAGATCACATGATCTGCTCACGTACCACGTGACCGTGCCCAGAATTACTTAGCCTTGTCGAAGTTGTCGTAGAGTTGTCAGCCTCGTGCATGGGATAGAGGGCATCGAGGGAGTATTTGTCAACCTGCACCCCTATTTCCCAGCTCTGCTCCTTCATTGTAGCACATTCCCAAGTTGTCACATCTCGACATCTATGGAACAACGATTTCTACGTTGAAAAATCTATGCAGTGCCAACATCGAACACGCTACATCCGTTTGTTGAAGTGGAACGATTCACCGAATGTCAGTTGATCCTAGAAGCTCTCTTGGCTAGTTGCCAATTGATAGTGTTGTCCATTAATGCTGTATTTCTCCTTTTCTTGCAGAACTTCAAGACCACCCTAGCCAGGGTTCCGGAAAGGAATGGCCAGTGACGAGTTCAACTCCGACATTTCAACGGACGCCGAATGAGTCTGCGATACCAACATGCTCTTTCCCTCGTCACGTTACGGCAGAGGTGAATCAGCTCTATGCATGAGAATCATGGTCAGCTCTTCACGATAACCAAAAGATGACTCGAGAAATTGGCCGCAATGCGCCGCTCAGGGTGCCTTGGAGAACGAGGCTTATACGTCAGATGTACTGAAACCGCATAGAACTCTTTGTCCCCTTGGAGCAGGTCGCCCCTCAACCCTTGAAGGCTTGACACAGCAAGCAGTATCATCGGCATTCGCGCTGAGATTGGCGATCAATATGCTGGTAAACTCGCGATAGGCGCCGCGTGGCAAGAAACAAGCCCCGTGCATGAGGGCTGGGTCTGGCTTCGAATTTCCCTGGGCTCGCGATCTCAACCCTCCTTTTCTTACGTACCACTATCTTTCCGAACTCTTGCGGCAGACGCCGATCTCGCAATGTCCCGGACCAGCCGACTTATCTCACAGCTATCCAAGCGCAGCATCTGTAAAGCCGAGCGCTTACTTTCTGACACCACAAGCAACTTTGACACAGCTGTTCGGACAGACCCTGTTTGACATGGAGGAGAATGGCAAGACCGTCCAATAAGGCCCTTGAATGACGAGGATGGCTTGCTCCATCTAGCGGAGGGGACAGCACTCGTGTCCACTTTGCATTGACGAAAAGGCAAGTCGCGATAACTGTAGAGACGATCACATTTTTGTCGGCCCTCTCCTTTGTCATCAGCGTAGACGACGCGAATCTGAAATACTGGAGTCGTCGACCTGATATTCCACCTGCCGTCAGCTCGTGCTCAAGGGGGTGCGTTATAGAAACGTCGAGCGTCCACTTCTAGTCTTGTCAGATCGGGATCAGGGAGATCCGAAGTGACTATATGAGGATCCCAAGTCCTCTGGACAAACGATTTGGTGGAGACACATCGACTGGAGGGCCGGATTCCCGATGGAGGAAGAGAGGATAGTCGATCGCAGGATAAATGGTTAAGTGGAAGGACCAAGCGAACCCATCGGAACGGTGCTATTTTGGGTCCGCAGATGCGCCCTTGAGCCGCGGAACAGGCTCTGCCAAATGAAAGCTTCGCTCAAAAGGAGCTCAATATCCTTTTCCGTCCATTCGCGAGTCGGCAATGCTTGCAAGAACATCAAGATTTCTTGAAAATTCATCTTCATCAACTTGTCGGACCACTTAACGAGAAATGCTGCGCACACATAGAGGTGAAACTGAGAAAAGCCATTCTCTTCGGCCTAGAGTATCCGGATCAGCAGAAATTGGGTGATATCAAGCGAGCCAATCTTACCATGTACGTATCCCACATGCGAACAACGCTCTTGATACTCAATTCTCGCATTAACAGGCAGTTCATCCACCTGAAACTGAATTGCATGTATTCCACGTGCTCATTTTCAAAATGCTTCGCCAGGCCTGAATCGATTCTGGTGGTCAAGTCTCGCAGAGCAGCAACTTGCCGATGAATGCCAGGCTGCGCGACGATGTAGTTGTCCTGGATGCCATCCAGCAGCTTCGTCAGGCACCAAAACGTGTCTGCCTCGACGGCGTCGAGGACCGGCCTCGGTAATTGGCCGGGATCCATTCCGCTTTCAATATTCAGGTCCGTGATATAGGTGCCGAGAAAGACTTGCCAGAAGGGCGTAGCTAGGTCGTTGATCCCTTGCACATATCCGCTTGCTGGATGCCGGATAGCCCACACATAAAGAATGCGTTCGAGGGAGCGTTGTGTGGCTTCGAACCCATACAGCGGTATATGAGGGTTCGTCCGAGGCACATCAATGCTGATCTGATGCCAAATCGCCTCGTCCAATCCTCTCCCGCGACCTGTGCTGACTGATGGCTGTGAAGCAAGCCCCGCGAGTCCTGTGCTCGATGCATTCCTGCTTGCCATTGTCCCTGAACTGAAAGCTTGTTGCACGGCATCAAGATATTCCTTCCGCTTTCGCTCGAGGGTTGCGACCCGTCGTTCACTGTTGGTTGGCAGATGACCAAGAAGAATCTGCCACGTAATAGCGCGCACCTCTTCGGGTATCCCTGACCAAGCCGCAGCTCGCAAATCTGGCAAAGACACAGAACTCGCTTGTAATATTCGCTTGAACTTGTTGATTCGGGAGATCCGCGTGCTATGGGCCTCTGCTTCTTTCGGGGTCGCATTCAACGGCAGGGAAGGGAAGTTGATGAGGTGAAGCGAGTTTGCTGGGTCCCTCAGAATGTCTTTGTATTGAGGCCTCAAGATCTTGCCTTCTCCTTTCTTTGTGCTTGGATACGAGAGCGGGTTCCGCTCTTCCGCAATATCGAAACTGTTCGATCTGACAGTGCGTGGGAATGGGGATGGTGCCAGGGCTGGAGCAGACGTAGTTTGTGACAGACTCGGATACGCGATTTGCTCGGCTTTCAGCGCCTTGTTCTTTATACTCCTCTTTCGACGCATGCTTGCAAGGCTAGGCAGCCCAAACTCATCTTCATCGTCCTCATAAACCAGATCGTCGTCGTCTCCTTCAAGGTCTCCTCCACCAGCTAAGTCCCAGCTCTCTCCCAATGCGGATGAGGTGTAGCCTGAGTAAGGTTTTCGTTCTGGGGACTGGAAGTGCGGCCTGTCTGACGGAGGAGTTTGCGATGTTCGTCGGGCCGATGTCGCCGGAGGTGTCCTTGGCCTCGAATGTGGTCCCAGGTTTCTGCGCACTCGATCAGTCACGCGATTTCGTTGTCCGTGAATGTCTTACAATGACTCAAACTTGAGCATGTCGGCGTGGGAATATGAGGCGCCAAACACCTTGGTTGGCTGTCCCGAGGTCTGACGAGGCGTGGATGGCCTTCCTCGCCAGAACGGCGAAGATGGTCGTCTTCAGAACGTTAGCAAGGTTCCATTCGGAATTTCAGTGCATGGCGCATCCATACTCTGATCTATCTACGGCGCACCTCCGCGTCAGCTAGCACTCTTAATTCAGAGAACGCAAGAGGGTTATTCGAAATGGAGGGGACACGAACCAACCTGGACCATCTCCTGCTATATGTTAGTAGAGACTCGATGTCGTCTCAGATCAGGGACTTGCCTGCTGTTGGGCCTTCTTGTGAGCCATCACGGCTCCGTCTGCGGATCAGGCCGCCCTCAGAGAGACGTTATTGAGATTTTCTCCTGAGTACTTTTGCATGGGTTGGCGAGAACATGCTTAAAGCCTGTTATCGAGAGGTCTGGTCGGTGGGAGTAACATGTTTACATTTACGGCGATGAGATGGCGGGTGGTGCAGGGCGGGATGTCTAAGTACCCGTAACCAAGACCCTTAGGCGCCACACCACTCCATGCGATGCTTGCCAAGACGAGGGAAATCGACGCCCAGCTCACCCCCCTCTAGGCTAAGGGTGATGCCGCCCTATGCTCACGCATTAAAGGGGCTAAAAAGTCTAGCGCCTTGGCCCGGGTTGTGTGAAAGCATAGAAAAGCTTCATACCTACTCAACGTTCATTTATTCAATATGTATAGTACAATACAATATCCTCTTGATTGAATAAAGTGAGGAGGTTTTCCTCCTTCTGTCATTACTATAGGAACCAGTTTCAACATTTTTCAGTATGTATTGTTGACTAAATCCTTCCCTTCGTTCTCGGAAAACAGCCTCCAAACGCTTCTCGCCTCCATACCTTTGCACTTCGCACTGTTTCTGGCTTTCGTAAAAACATCCTTTGTAGGTTTCGCGAGTACAGTCACGGCACCAACCTGTTCCATTAACGTCACAGCATCATCAATAACACCTCCGGCTAATTCCACAGTGAAACCTGTTTTGAAGTCGTTCGCCGAAGACGCTGTAGGATTCACACCTTTGACAGGATTGTGATGAAGCGAGTTCCAATTCATTCCCGAACTGGCGTTGAGGACCGCAGATAACGTGGCAGGGTCCAAACCATATCGAGTGCCTGTATTCATGACTTCGCAGAGTCCAAGGTATCCAACGTAGGCGAGGTAGTTGTTAAGTTGTTTGGTAGCGAGTCCAGCGCCGGCCTGACCACACAGATAGATGTGATTGACGGGCCCCATCATTGAAAGGGTTGGATATATGGTGTTCTTAAGCAATTCAGGATTCTCGGCTTGCTCAAGACCAACCATAAACGTCAAGTTCCCAGCTTCAGAGCCTGCCGGCCCCCCTGACACTGGAGCATCAACGAACTTCCAAGATCCTTTACTATATGAAGCGACCAAGTTCCCAATTTTTGTTGAAGTTGCAACATCTATCGATGAGCAGTCGAGAAAGAGTTTGTCCAACGGTGGGCGAGGGGTCACTGATTCGGCTGTTGTCGATGGGTGTTTTGTTGTCGAATCTGGAGATGCTGAAGAGAGAAATCCACTAGTCCCATCCGTGAACGTTTCAACCACATGTATCGACTTGGGAAGCATCGTGATGATGATATCTGCCCGGTTACAAACTTCGATGGGTGTGTTCGCTACCTCGACAGTCTTCTCAGGGTATGAAGAATGGCTCTCCTGGAGAAACTGTTCAAGCCTTGCTTGATTGATTTCGCACACGACCAATTTCGCCGTGGCTGGCATCTTAGCATGTATATTGCGTACCATTCCATGACCCATGACCCCAAGCCCAACGAAGCCATACCGTAATGTGCCGCTTAACGCGCCGTTTGTGGTTTTGAGGTTGAGGCTGGACATTCTGGTAGTGACTATGAAAAAAAAAAGGAGATCAGTGAGCTTGCCAAGGTCAACAAAGGTAGTCGTAAGGATTCAAAGAACTAATAGTTGTTGGGGTAAGAGCTAAACAATGGGAATGCCGAAAGATGAGCGAGGTATTCATGTTTCCCCATACCGGGTGACCTAAAATCATCCTGGCTCCGGTAATGTCGGCACCGGATATGGAGCCAACTGGCTTCGTGTCAAATGTTACGGATTCTGGTACGTATCCATCAGTATCGCAAGAGGCATTACGGATTGCTCTTACCCGTCAGCCGAGATACTAAGTGCACCCCCAGATCTGTACGATGCACCTAAGAGCGCGACCATCGTGGTCGAGCAAATGCATATTTACGGACTGCATAGCAGAGTTACGCCGTGGCTAGTGCGAAATCTTAGTATGAACGGCCTGAACCCTACTCCCAGGCAAATCTTTCATATTACTTGGATTTTGTTGCGCCTGAGACAGTTGCCGTTTTACGTGCGCTTCAGGCGTTACCTGATTGCGCCTAGTGCCAGGAGGTCTTGCGACATGGCAGGACTCAGGAGAGGTCTTCCTGGCACCTAGCATTTTGTATATAGACGATCAGACCTGGCCTGAGGGCAGGTACAGGCAGACAGACCAATCCATGACCTATTCACGACCCTGCCAATCCAACAGTTATGAGCCCGGGGCGATTCTAGATCGCGCCGATAGCCATTTACGTTGCATTCCTTGTATACAACTGCACCTGTTGTATAGGCACACACTGCCTCTCTGACCTCGTCGACGCCTACCTGAAGACCTCCTGCAACGCCATGGACCCTCAGTCCTCGATCAAGCGGAATGCCGTTGTTCTCACAGGTCCTGATACCTGGACTAAATGGCTTTGGATGATCAAGACTAAGGCAGAGATCTATGACCACTGGGTCTTCATTG